GTAGCCCCTGACTTCAATGCAAATGAACGAATTCATATTCTCAACCGCGTGCAGGCCTTGGAGTAACTGTTATCGAGCTCATGTGACCGTTTTCGGTGAGTTTGGAGATAACGTTAGACTTCCTTTATCAGCCTCGTGCGGGCACCTAAAGGGTTTGTCTGAGTCAATCTCCGATGTCAACCAAGAAAGTACAGAGCATACGACTAAGTCTCACGTCTTGCTGTAATCGAGAATTTGGATTGAAGTCAAGAAATTTTATCTCGGCGGGTACAACATCTCTTCATTCCGCATTCCTTGTCGAGATCCACCAACCGTTCTCGAGTAATCGAGTAGGCGTAGAGTCTGCGACGGAGCCTTGTCAACATTTGCCGTACTCGCCTTAGTCGATCTTGGTGTACAACCAGAGAGACATGAAGTCTTTGACAATGTCGAGTAGAATTTTCCTGAAATCAATACTCAGAAAAGAATATTAGATAGAAATAGCCCCCGAGCGAACGCTCAAAGGGTAACATGTTATAGAATGTATAGAAAACTGATAATGAATTAAATTTACATACCAATGTTTTGTATATGAGCGTCTACTCTTTTACCGACTTCGATCAGTCGGTTTTTTGAGTTATACACTCTCCCTAGCCCCCAGCCTTGTCGTCGGAGAATTCTTCTCGGAGGATAAGGCTCTTGGACCTTTGACCTGCCTCGGTTGAACAAGCACTGATCCTAGCCCCCAGCCGTGAAGTTGGAAAATCCATTTCCGATTACACGGCTTGGTTAATACGCACGGTGAGAACTCTTACACGACCAGATCTTACATGGTTCTTTCGTCTCTGAAGGATCCGACAAGGCCTTATCAGCTCTGGGCGTCCCCAGCCGAAGTTCCCTTAGGTTCCTCGGAGGCCTTGTCAAGACGGCGTAAAGGGACATGAGAATAGGTTTCAACTCTAGGTGTCTTTTGTGGTAAGGGATCTCTGGGTAAAACACTTGGCGATATTGTGTACCTGATATCAACTTTGTTGAAGTAGAGGTAATGGGAGAATCGCTACACCTCTGGTCAAGAACCAAGTAGTAGTCGTAACTCAACCACTAGAAGTAAATGTACGAGAGATCGCTACGATTGACTGGTTGAGAACCAATGAGTAGGTGTCTCTCGATCATTTGAAGTCGTGGTACGAGGACCGCTGCGTTATTGCTGTAGTCGTACCTCGACCATCCGAGGTTGTGGTGCGAAAGATTGCTACGTACTGGTTCGAGGACCAGCGAACGTGTAGAATCATCTCTCGAACACCAATGGAGGTTGCGGTGCGAGAGATTGCTACGTACTGGTTCGAGGACCAGCGAACGTGTAGAATTATCTCTCGAACATCAATGGAGGTTGCGGTGCGAGAGAGTGCTACGTAGTGGTTCGAGGAACAGCGAACGTGTAGAATTATCTCTCGAACATCAATGGAGGTTGCGGTGCGAGAGATTGCTACGTACTGGTTCGAGGACCAGCGAACGTGTAGAATTATCTCTCGAACACCAATGGAGGTGCTAGAGTTGGTTTATTACATGTGCGTCTCATGTGGCCAGCATGACTCACACACCCAACTTGTAGTATATCCAGATGTCCGTTCGCAATCATGTCAGGTGATCAAGCCGACGACGTTCGCGAGGAATTATCCGTTAACAACCTTTTCTCGAGTAGTCCGGCCATGGCCGGTGCTATGAGATAGATCGTCGGTCTTCATTGGTAAGTTGGGTGCGACGACTCAGCCTTATCGAGAACGTCCTCGACAAGGGGGTGTACTCGACCACAACCTACTCGAGTGCTCAATTGTTCCTGAAAAATAATTTCTAGAAGACAAAATATAGCAGAGAATATCGATTATGTACTCCAAAAAACTGCATGGATCTTCTAGCATTATCAGGACATAACGAGCAGATGTAAATATCAGGCATTATGTAAACCATAAACAAGCATGATTTATACAGAAGAAAATAGAGCGAGCCCCTAGCATTAGACCGTAGTCGATTTAACATCGGGGACACTCGCGCAACAGATATTGTATAAAAGACATGCTCTAGGAAAACATAATAAATTATAGATCTGACAATATTGTATAGATTGGAAAAATAGGTACGATAAATTGCATATAAAATATTGCGTACCTTTGTAGATACATGCTGGATGTATCTACGAAATTAGTAGATCAATTTAAAAAACCAATCTACCAATTACCTTGTTGCGTACTCGTTCGACATCATATGATCTGACATTTTTTGGTACGCCGCGAAGCTTGAGACTTGGATGGTTTCGATAGACCAAGTTGTCGATGACGATGATGGTTCCGATCTGGTTAGGTTAGATCTCCCCCTCAGCTGAAGTCGTCGAGTAGCTTATCATCGGAGAATCCATCTCTTAAACCCATCCCGTCGAAATCCTGAAGCACCAAAATCCCCCTACCTGGCGCGCTACTGTCGACGTTTGATGTCGCGATTCCGGTATTTGCATAGTATGGGGATCGTTGGTGCTAGGGTATACGCGAGACTGAGGTAAAAGAGACAGAGACGATGATTTTTATACAGGTTTGGGCCCCTGAATTGTCAGGTAACAACCCTACATCCTGTTGGCCGAAGCCGGTCGTTGATCTTATTCACCATAATCACACCAGTACAATATTTGGGGTAGCCTATCTAACTGTTGTCGACATGGCGGTCTGAAGGTTTGACTCGTAGTCAATAATAGGGTAGTCTTCCTCCTCGAATCCGTGTCCGGCGAGATCAGAGATAACGCTTTCGTCTCTCCTGATAGTATTCAGAGACACCGTAGGGGACTAGCCGTGCTTATCCGTGAAGTCGATATCCGGCGGCTTGTCTTAGCGTATGTTGGCTTGTATGTTGTGGCTTCTGTTGTTCCGTGTATGTTGATTGTGTTGGGTGTGTCCCCTCTCCTCATAGGGGGTCTTGTATTTATACACATAGGTGTCCCCTTGTCCAAGTAGAACTAGGGAAACCAATATGGATACAATCCGAGTAGTCCTTGTCGTTCCATATAGAACTCTGGTTGTCTTTCCTTATCCGGAACTACTCCTATATCCGCAGGTTGTTTCCGTATAGGATATGGTATGTGGTGGGTCCTGCCGAGACTTAGTCAACTACTATTAGGTATGTGGTATCCATAACCCTGACACGCGCGGTCTCGCGTCGTTGCCGCGCGAGACCGCGCGATACCGTCCGCGACATCATTCGCATGTCATTTTCACGCAACGGTTCTGCGACACCGACGGTATATTTTTGCACAAGTTTTTACATCCCGAATATTCCTGAGAAAAATTGAATGAACAATATATTTTCAAATTTAATTCATATATGGATCCCACTTTATTTTTCAATACATTTGATGTCTGGGTTACCACTTGGATATTATGTTAGCAAAAACCGCTCTCAAAACAACTGAGAGAGACATTTTAAACGATTTTAATAATAGTTGAAGGTGTAGTTATATCCGGTTTTACGGCTGAGAGGGACGGTTAGCCGGTTAGGAGAGTCCAAGCGGATAAACGAACAAATCTACGGTGTTGATTAGGAACCGTATGCACCACGGCCCAGCTCTGGCCGGCCGGCCGTGCGGTGCGCGAAACACAAACGCCGCCGGACCTCGTCCTCCGATCCCGCACCGCGCACGACGGAAGCCTCCGCCGGGTGCTGTTTACTTGGAGGACTCGCACGCACGGTGTCAGTAGCACGGCATTCCTCTGTCGGCACCCCTACCGCTCAGGTTCAGTAGCTGGCAGCCTGGTAACAAGTTTCTTCTTGGAGCGCGCTTCATGCTGCCCAGTTTTTACAGATACCGAGCAGTGCCATTTCAGCTCCTAGTGGTAGCATCACTCAATCCGGGTGACCACTCCCGACATTACCAACAAGCACATGGGCTATGTCGTTTCGAACAATTCAGATCCGAACAGATGAACCCCGCGGGGCTTGCGAAGGCAAAGGACTTGAGTACGGGAGTTTCATTAGCCGACGAGATATACGTACAGCGTCTAGTCTTAAGGGGTGTTTGGGAACTAGAGACTAAATTTTTGTGAAAGGGATTAAAGTTTAGCCCTACTTTAGTTCCTCCAACCAAATACCACCTTACTCAGACCGACATGGACGAAGCCACCAAGGGCTACCCAGCCAGCATGCGTCCAAGTAAACATCAGAATGAAAGCGAGAGTTTTTGAAAGTTAGCGTCAAATTAAACTGCAATCCGCGCTAAGATGGGGAGTAACAAAGTGTAGTAGCCTGACAGGGGGAGCACTAGGATAACATGTGGGGGCAGAGGAGTACACGGCTCAATGTGAAAAAAGAACCGAAAAGGCAGTAAAAAGCAAAAACAAAGCGAAAGCGATCCCGGTGTTCAGGCTTTCAGCACGATGGCATGATATCGTCCACGTCGCAGGCGTATTGCTCTTGGCAGATTCCCCTGGAGCGCCAGGGAACCCGAGGTGGAGAACAACGGAAGAACAGTGTGTGAGAAAGCTGGTACGTCTCCTCCCTCGTATCCAATCCAGTGGACTACCCTTGTTTGCCCAATGCCAGTCCTATGTCTGTGTCTCTGTCTGCCATGCTTATCCACAGGTCACGAAGAAAAATACCGCATTGCCATATTGGCATGGGCCATGATGGTCCATGGAGGTGGAGGTGCCTTGCTATAGGATTATTGCCAGGAAGGCAACACCGGCCGGCCACTACCCTCGGTTCTCGCGGATTATTACCGTTTTCTTCCCGCTAGGTGTAAAATGGCCCGATGCTAGCTTTGCATTTGCTCGGATTGTTTGTGAAAAGCTGCTTTGAGAAAAGAAGTTTAAGGATAGGTAACTTCGAGATAACCTTCTCGAATGATACCATTCCAAGAAGATAAGTCCTGAGTCATGAAAATGCAAATAGTTTTTCCAAGTTTTGATAAACCCATTCAGAATTTAGAAGTTCTCCACAAAAAAACAAGCCACCTTCCCTCTGTGTTATACTTGGACATGCCAAACCACGACAACAACAATGGCACCACGTCGCCTATAAAAACCCCCTAAAACCCCTGACCTATCACCACCACCACCACCACTCCATCACAGTCTGCTCATTAGCTCGAGACCTGGTCAGCTCGCCGCCATGGCTTCTGCCAAGCTGCTTCTCCTGGTCGCCACCTCGCTCCTGAGCTGCGGCGTCATCCTCGCCGACTACGCGCCGATGACGCTGACCATCGTGAACAACTGCCCATACCCGGTGTGGCCAGGAATCCAGGCCAACTCCGGCCACGACGTCCTCGAGGGCGGCGGCTTCTTCCTCCCGGCGCTCTCCCACCGCTCCTTCGCCGCGCCGGCCCACCCTTGGTCCGGCCGCATCTGGGCGCGCACGGGCTGCACTGGCGCCGGCGCGCAGCTCCACTGCGCCACGGGCGACTGCGGCGGGCGGCTCCAGTGCGCGGGCCTCGGCGGCGCGGCGCCCGCGACGCTGGCGCAGGTCTCCCTCCACCACGGCAACGACCAGACCTCCTACGGCGTGAGCGTGGTGGACGGCTTCAACGTCGGGCTGTCGGTGACCCCGCACGAGGGCCGGGGCAACTGCCCCGTGCTGGCGTGCCGCAAGAACCTGACCGAGACCTGCCCCAGCGAGCTGCAGCTGCGCACGCCGGCGGGGAGCGTCGTGGCGTGCAAGAGCGGCTGCGAGGCCTTCCGCACCGACGAGCTCTGCTGCCGCAACATGTACAACAGCCCGCGCACCTGCCGCTCGTCCAAGTACTCGGAGTTCTTCAAGCGCGAGTGCCCGCAGGCCTTCACCTACGCGCACGACAGCCCGTCGCTCACCCACGAGTGCGCCGCGCCGCGCGAGCTCAAGGTCATCTTCTGCCACTAGAATCCAGCGCGCCAAGGCGTACTCGGTAGGATCCCTTCCGGGGTGTCTGTGACTGTGTTCTAATGTTCGATTAGCTCGCGGGTTTAGATGCTGGAGTCGTTACTTACGTTCGATTAGCCCGTAATCGGTGTGCTGCTGCTTGTGTTGGCTGCAGGGATGTCTGTGACTGTAATGGTGTTACTGCCAGGTTTCCAGCCTGAAATAACATGTTCCTAGTGTGTTCAGATGTTTACAAACATGCTCCACTATTGGAAACTGTTTTAACAGTTCGAATGGACGTTCACCCGTTTATTGCATGTCATCTAAATGGTTATGAAAAACTTTCGAAAAAATTGACAAGATAGATCAACATGTAATATATCACTCCACAAACATGCAAATTCAAATTCAACTTTTACAAGTCGTAACAAAAATAATAAATTTAATTGTAAATATACATATAGTAATTTGAGTTTGGTTTGAACTTGCATGTTCTCACTGAAATTCTGAAATGCACGTCCTTATCTCCGCCACCATCTCTGGACTCGACTGCCGGCTGCCGCAACCTTGAATAGTACTTCTATAGTTCTATGCAGGGCTAAACTTTAGCCGCTCTCTTAAAAACATAAATTTTTAAGTCTTTGAGAGAGACTAGTTTAGTCCCTAAACATAAGTACCATAGATTGCTGAAAAGGCGCAATCTCCTAATCGGTTTTTCACTTTAAAAAAAAGTACCACGTTACTGGCACGCGAGATGCAGTAAAATGGCACGGCACCAACTCAAGGAGTACCCCAAGCCCCAGACCCTTTCCCTGTATGCCCCTTCTCTCTGGCTCTGCTTCTGGTAACGGGCTCGTCTTATACCTTTCTCCTTTTAAACTTTTCTTGCCCATTGGCGCTGCCGCTCTGCCTTTTCAGGTAGCGCATTGGATTGTTTCTCTGCGTCTTTGGCGCCTCTCTGCAGTAATTTTGGCTGGTCCTAGACCCCTAGTCTACTCCTACTAGCCCTACATCACATATGCACATTTCTAAAATTTTGTTAGCCTCATTTTACTTGAAATATGGAACACCAACAACATTTGACACAATAATTGGCACCTTCTGAACAAATAGCCAATGTGTTTTTACTAAGGAAAGTAGAGCTTCCAGCTTGCAACAAGGATGAATGTAATCATGTTTGTCGATATCACAATTTAAATCCTTTTTTTACACAATGGGATAAACCTGGCCTTTACATCCAATTGGATGTATACAACCCAATCACGATTTATTTCCTAGTACCTGATGAAAGAAAGATTTAAAATCTGATGGATGGTAGCATGGAGCCATACATCCTACTGCTTTACGTATTGATAGTTTGTTTAGGATAAGAAATTAAAGAGGGTAGCGTTGTGCTCTCTTTTGAAACCCGAATAATCACCCTAGTATCATGATCTGATGAACCCTGGTCTCCAAACATTGGATTGATCAAACAAGTGTATAAGCTTGGTCCATCCTCTTTTCAAGTTGATGGTGAGGGTCAGCTTTAAGAGCATGTACAATAGCAGGCTATAAGCCAGCTGCAAACATATTTTAAGAAGATAAATAAGGAGAGAGAAGAGCAGTGGGCTACAGATTTGTAGCCAACTGTAGTACGAACTTCAAGATGCAGTGTGTGTATGACATGTGGGACCAGTTATTAATAGTGTAGTATGTAACTATTGTATGAATGAGCTATTAGATTGGCTATAGATGAATTGGAGCTAGTAGTTGGCTATACTATTAAACTTGCTCTATGAGCAAGTATAATAGTAGGCTATAAGCCAACTATAAGCTTATGTGGAGGAAAGAGAATTTGAAAAATGGAGAGGGTTGGCTTTCATGCAAGAGCTAGCTTTTCACATACTTCAAGATAAATACATTAAATGCACAGGTGAGAGATAGAGAGAGGAGGAGAAAAAAAGAGATAATCTTATAGCTCATTTACTATACATGTTAACTCTAATATAAGCTATAAGCTCATAGTTGGCTCTATTATTAAACTTGCTCTAAGAGCAGGTACAATAGCAGGCTATTAGCCAGCTATAAATATATTTTAATGATATAAACGATGAGAGAGAAGAGCAGCGGGTTACAGATCTGTAGCTAGCTGCAGCACGGACTCCAAGACACACTGTGTGTATGACAGGTGGGACCATATATTAATAGTATAGTAAACAATTATTGTATGAATTGGCTATTAGATTGACTATAGATGAATTGAAGCTAGTAGGGAGCTGTACAACTAGACTTGCTAGTGTCTAAGGTAGTGCGTGGGAAGAGGTGAAAGGTTAAGCATGGCGTGACTTGCTAGTGTCTAAGGCAGCACTCTTTTTCCTGTAGCAAAGTGTACCACTAGTAGCTTACACTTTACATTGGTATCAGGCAGCCGCAAGTCACTAGTGTCCATGAAATGGGATAAGCACAGTGAGTAGTGCCATTAGCAAACGGATTGTCGAGGGCTTGAGCCTTGAGGCAGCCGTTAGCTATCCACTGTGCACCACTAGATTATCATGAGGAGATGATGCGGAGCTCGATCTTTGAAAATAAAAAAGCGGATTCGAAATGCTGCTGGGTCTAGCAAAAACATATTTGCTGGTTTCAGACGTCGAATCTGATGGGCTTTTGATGTTTGATGAATAACGAAAGGCCCATGATAGAGATGCCATCACATGTTCGTACGAAAAAGTACATCAAAGGTCCCTCATCTTGTCACCGAATTATAATATCATCCCTTAACCGAAATATATATATATATATATATATATATATATATATATATATATATATATATATATATATATATATATATATCCACGGGCGGATCCAACGTGGGTGCAGGGGGAACTTGAGTCCCCCCTAAACCCACAAGACCCATGGATATCCCTGGAGCACCCCTTTCGATTTTTTCACCATGAATGATAAATTAAAGGTTCCTAAATGGCTGGAAGTTGAAGAAACTGCGTAATTGAGCCCCCCCTCCCCCCACAAATTGATCTGCCCCTGTATATATCCCTCATCTTATAAAACCGGGTAACCCTCGATCTTTAGGCGGTATTGACCTCGGTTTTGTCCGACATGACAGCTGAGCCAACGTGAGCCTCACATGGCCCCCACATGTTAGCACCTTAATCTTCTCCCCCTCTTTTCCTATCCTACTTCTCTCCAACGTGGCTGGGGAGGGGCAAGGGGTGGTGGCCGGCAGGGAGAAGCATGCGGTGGCCAGCGACGAGCGGGGTAGACACGCGTGGCACGACAATGGACTCCACACAGCTGCGGCGGCCTCTCCCCACTGGCTGCCGTGCGCCTCTCATAATTTCCACTAGCGTGCTCTGGTGATTACCGATAGAAGCCTCCTTTCCATGCTTTACAGGAGAAACCGAAACATACCCTCCATGTCTTCGAGCCACTCACCGCCTCCTTGCCACACCTCTCCCTCGACTTCGTCCCTGACCTCTACCACTTCTAGATCTACGGCTCCCACCTCGGCCTTTTCCTCCTCTACTAGCACGGCCCCCTCTCCCCCGACTCCAACCCCGCATCTTTTGTCGTTTCTGACTCCATTTGCGTCCCACGTGCAGTTCTGAACACTGGTCATCGACCTGTCGACGACGTCCCCAAAAGAGGAGTCCTCGATGCCGCGCTCCTCTCTCGTGATGACGCGGAACACGCAGGAGATGAAAGATTGCAGTTCGACATCATCTGCATTGACGTCGACCGCCCGCACCCGGAACTGAGCGGGGGACTACTGCCACTGGAGCATCGACACGTGGCTCTCATCCCACGCCTCGTGCCACGCTTGTGTACCCTACCCACCGCTGCCATCGAGTATCTTCCCACCAGTCGGTGTGAGAGGTGCGCCTCTCCTGCTAACCGCCACCCCACCCGTTGCTGGCCCTAAAGAGAGGAATGAGGATTGGATGGGAAAGAGGGGAGAGAATATTGAGCTGCTGACGTGAAGGGCCCACGTGGGTCCCATCTAACTCAGCTGCCATATCGGATAAAATAGGGGGTCAATATCGCCTAAAGGCCTAGAGTAACCCGATTTTGTAAGTTGAGGGATGCCATATATCAGATTTTTTGGTTGAGAGACGATTCTGTAATTTGGTGACAACGAGGGACATGTTCCCATGTTCGTACGAAGCCGTAGAATGGGCCAGGCTTGTTTCTCTTTAGACATAACGTAGTGTGGCTGCAACGGAAGCCTATAGTTTCGTCTTCTAAGGGTTCCATGCAAGTGTCAAATTTATTTTTTTGTCAATTGTAAATCTACCAATTTTCTTATAGAGTTACTAGGGAACGCTATACCATTTCGGAATGGAATAGATCTGGTGCCAAACATGACGTCAGCAACATAAACTATATTATTGCATTCTAGTATTTCTTCTAGTATTTCTGTTTTTTATAATAAACTAAATATAGCCTTACCATTACCGACTTACTAAAAGTTGATAATTCCATAAGTTTTCTTTCACAAAAACTCCACCAAAATATGGCAAGGCTCCAAATTTGACCCATAAAATACTACCAAAATTCGAAAAGATTAATTATTAGCAACAAAGTAAACATGTTTTGATCTCGATGCATTAATATGAGTTGTTGACTTGTTGGTCGTATGGCGCTCTCCGTTGTCATCGCCAGATATGTTGTCGAATTAAAACGCTCGTTGTCAACACGCCATACCTGACGGTCCCCATCGCGTGCAACTGTGCAGATGTGGTGGAAAGAATTGAAACGCTCTTTGCTGTTCATGTGTCCTCTCCAGCTCCCGCCTACATCGTCCATACCATTATCAGCGGGGGGTGTTGCCGCTACATGCAGGGTTAAGAAAAGGCCAAGCCTACGAAACAGTAGATCCATCGTTATCCTGACGAAGAAAACAGCGACTTGCACCAGCAAGAGATGAGAGCGACGCCGGCTTTCCCCGGCACGGCAAACGATTCCCCGAAACAGCAAAAGGATTGCGGGAAACAGAGGCCAATTTGGGGGCGAATGGCCTCTCCGCCGGGTCGGGTCAGCGTGTGCGCCGTCCCGGCGCGTCAGCCGCGAGGTCATCAGGTTCCTGACCGCACTATTGGTGGCGCGGGAACGCGCGTGCGACTCCGCCTCGCGCGCGGGCGGGGATGCGATGCGATGCGATACGATCGCGAGGACCCGAAGGCGAGGGCGAGATCCGCTCGCTATCGCGCGTTCCTTGGGTGGTGGTGGTGGAGTACTGGAGTGGACCAGGGAAGGGAAGCGGGTGGTGGGAGTCGCGCGGGACCGTCCGGGGTCCGGGAAATCAACAGCCCGTCCTATCGCGTCTCTCGGGACGGAAAGTGGGTGCCGAATTTGTAGGTTTCGTAGCCCCCAGTGGACGAGTGGTGGTGGGTCTCGTTCTTTCCTTTTGGGTGCAAAAGCGGTGTCCTTCTTTGTTGTGCGTGATTGTTTTATATCCGTCTACCCTATGCATCTACTTAGATGCTAGATGCGGGTAAGAGCAAGAATAGTATAGCTCAATTTCTACTATTATCTTATTTTAAAGCCAACATATATAGTAGATTAGTTATAATGTTAACTATAATTTTCTTCTACTTTCTCTATCTTACACTTATATGCATTAATGTATTTATTTTTGAAATTGTGTTAAGCTAGCTCTTGCATAAGAGCCAACACTCTTAATATTTTGTTACATCTCTTCTCCACGTAAGTTTATAGTAGGCTTATACTCACTATTATACTTGCTCTAAACGTGTGTGTATAAGACACATGTAGGAACCACGGTCTACTTGCTGTGCTTGCGTAATTGAGTATGAGCGTATCTGTGAAAGGAGATATCAGGACGGGAATCTTTCGAAAGCCTGTTGACCACCACGATGAGCTCGCCTCCCGCCAATGTTCGACCGAGCAATTCGCGTGGGCGAGCGTGAGACGGCGGGTGAGTGGTGACATGGGTCCCCTCTACCTGCGGCAACCAAGCCGATCACCGATTCACCGTTCAATCCGAGCTGCGTACGCTCTGTTCTTGGTGCGCGTCGGTTGCCGCGGGGGGAAATCACCGCACGGCACCGCACAGCACAGGCGGTCGATCGGCGGCTGACTCGTCATATCGCAGCCAAACCGACGGGCGGGGGAACCCGACGTGACTGCCTACGCCCCCCCAAATCTTGTCGGCTCACTCGTTCAGTTTTCGCGTTTACGGTTTACCACTCGGTGTCGCGTGCTCCAAACCGCGAACGGCAGCGTCCAGGGGGTGCTCCCCTCCGCGCTCGCGCTTCGCTCGATTCGTCAACTGGCCGCGGGCGCCATACCGTGTCCATCCTTCGCTCGTGGACTCTGTTCAATGGCACAAGCGGCATGTCGGCCATTCCCCCCGGGATGCGCGTACATGGCGATGAATCCGAAGCAGTTGACAGATGCGTGGTACTACAATCCTGCATTCTGGGCCTGCTCGGAGAGCATTCGAGAATGGACGGAATTACGAAATGTCAAAGCTACACGATCGTTTGCGTGATGCTGCAGAATCTGACTAGCTTTGAATTACTACAAAAGCTTATCTAAAAGAATTATTACTTGCTCTGAAATAGTACACAAAAAACATCATCATAGTTAAACGGTTAAACAACCGAAAAGCCCTTTACCCAAAACGGTGCTTCCCATTTTATCCGCCTGCTCTGCTGCTCCACATTTTCTCCCTCTTTCCTTCCCTTATCGTCCTCTCTCTCCTTCTTCCTTTCCTGATTCATCTCGCCGAGCTCTCCTCGTCGCCTCCTCCGTCTCTCTATAAATAAGGCGCCCCACGGCGCCTATCGATTCGCGTCGCCGCTTCCTGCAGAGGCCGAGAATTATTCTCCTGCGCCCGCCGCAAAAACCCTAGCCACGCCGATCTCATGGCGGCTACCATCAGCCAGGCGAGCCTCCTCCTGCAGAAGCAGCTGAAAGGTGCGGATCCATGCGGCTCGCTTCGTCCTCGTTCGTCGGTGTTCTGTTTGCGCCCCTTTTTTTTCATCCGTGGATTGATCGATTTCGGGGTTGGGTTTGTGGTTTGGTGATTGGTGCAGATCTCGCGAAGCACCCCGTGGATGGGTTCTCGGCTGGGTTAGTCGACGACAGCAACGTCTTCGAGTGGCAGGTCACAATCATCGGCCCGCCTGACACCCTATAGTGAGTTGGATTCTCTCTCCAATTCGATGCATGCTTCCATGAATCATCTGCCTCATCCGTGTTCATGCCATGCGAGTGGAGTTTTTTCGTGTATACCCGCGAATTGGAGGCAGAATCTTGAATTCGTTTCTAACCGTGGCTTGAGGTTGGCTTCCGATTGAATTTTGCGATGATTTTAGGTTCTTGGAAGGTTTGCATAGCTACCACAGTCCTACGACTAGCTTTCATGGTTGATGCCCATTTCAATGAGTTTGGTTTGAACTGGATGTGTGGATGAGGCATGGGTAGCTCGTTTTGCAGGATGGGTTTGTTGAAGTGGTGGCAGTTTGCATGTTCACATTTAGATTGCGCATATTTCTATATGCATATGTGTGGGTAAAGGTTCATGACAGTCTGGGGTCAGATTCTTAAACTACATCATGGAAATGGAAACCTATGTATCGATTAGACTGACTGTGTTTTTCTATTAATGGGGATAAACTGGGCAGCTCATGTTCTCAATGTAAGAGTTTATGCCCTCATAAAATTTTGGGGAAGATATGCTTCAGCTTATTTATTAGTGCTTTCTTGCCGGTAATTGACCTGGCAAGTTTTTCACTCTTGTTTCAAGTAGTACCGATGTATCAACCAAGTTACATTCTAATTTCATCTGGTGTTTGGTGCATGAATGGATTTTTCTTTCGTAGAATTTATGTTTAAAATCCAGAAATCCGTCCAGAGCAGCTAGTTTGCACTATTGGACCACATGCTGGAAATACAATAGTCCAATCTAATGAGTGATAAATGGATTAACATAAAGGTACAGGGATGCTGTTTTAGGAAAGGAACCCGAAGAACTGGCAGTAGGTTCAACTCAACCTGCATGTGACATAATTAAAACTAGCTGAATTTCCAATGCAATGGGGATAGACTATTAGATATACAATCGCATTTGCTATGCATCTTTCAGGTTTATTTGTAAAATTACAATTGCCATACTGCTGTTTTAATTATGTAATAGATGGAGTAATGAGTGTGGTTACTAGTTGCAAACTACAACACCACATCTATTATATTATTAAGACAGCTCGAAAAGAAGGCACCACGTTCACCGTGGAGGCTAGAAATTTTCACATTAATCGGGGAAAAAGAAAAAACCTACACCGTTAGATCATAACAAATCTAGACTATAAGGGTTGAGATTTAATCAAAATATATGTAAAAGCTTGACTCTTTGACTTTTTGAATCGGACACGTGAAAGAGCGTGGAACTAGAATTTTGGTGCATGCTATGCAGTAGCCTTTGAAATCAAAATCAAATTAGGAAACTTAATTTACTGACACGAGACAAACACGTCATGTCTGCATAGCAAAATTAGAAATCATAAATATGCACAACTGTGACACGTCCTGTACAAAATCATGTGTAGGGGAGACAAAACAACTGGGCATCCAAACTCCTTCAACCACATTCAAGTTTTGCACTATCGCATAATCTTTAGAGACAATATGTTTTTTTAAAATAAAATTCTTAGTAACAAGATTCCCTAATAGCTTTCTCTGTATTTAGGGTCCATATGTTATAGCTCATACTCCGAGAATGGGGCAATGCTGAGAAGCGGCGGAAATCACCATATTAATAATAAAAAGTGAAGTATTTAAAGGATCTAAATTTTAATGGTGTATATTGATCGATGTAGTTTTATATAAATAAAATATTCTATCTATTATTTTAATAAAGTAATGTAAAAAGAAGTCTCTACGTTTGCTCTCAAGACTTACAAATTCTCGGATTAAAAAATATAAGCAGTTGGATCATGGTCATGCCTGTAAAGAAATTGAGTGGTGACGGTTGATGGGACATCTACAAATTTGAAAAAAAACCCAAATAGAATCCCAATGAGGATTAAGAGGGGGAACGATGGATAGATCGTTATGCGGTATGGTTATAGCGGTTGGCTGGACTTCTAGAAAGAAACAAAAAATAAACCCAATGATAATCATGTACAATTTTTAAAATATCAAAAACAATAAAGAGGGGAGGCAACAGGCGAGCTGTAGATGAGTACATTGGCAAAGCCATTAACGGATTGGCGGAACTTCTAGAAAGTAAAAGCTGAACTAACACGATAATTATGTTTGTTTTTTTAAAATCCCAATGAAAATAAAGAGAAGAGGCAGTGGGCACCCCATAAAGGAGTACAGTGGCGGTGTTTAACAGGACTTCTAAAAATTATAGAAGAGTTCATGCAGGAATACAATTTATAAATAAAATGCCAGAATAAAGAATATAGAATTTTCAAAAAAAAAAGTCCATCTAGAATACAATGATGACAAATGATAATAAAAAGGAGAAACAACATGCCTGTAAAGTAGTAGATGACGGTTGATGGTACATCTAAAAATTATAAACAGAACTCCAAATAGAATCCCAATTAAGATTAAGAGGAGGAACACAGACATGTTGTTAAGTAGCACTGTCACAACGTTTGAGGGGAGGCAGCGGGCGAGCCATAGAAGAGTACAGTGGCAAAGCCGTTGATGGTTTGGCAGGATTTCTAGAAATTAACAAATAAACTCCAATGATAATCATGTTTAAATTTTAAAATATCAATAATAACAAAGAGGGGAAGCAGTGGACGAGCCGTAGAGGAGTACATTGGCAAAGCCGCTAAAGGTTTGGCGGGACTTCTTAGATAATTATGTTCGAATTTTAAAATCCCAATATTAATAAAGAGATGAGGCAGTGGACGGGCCGTAGAGGAGTACAATGGTAGCGTTTGACGGGACTTTCTAGATAATTATGTTCGATTTTTAAAATCCCAATGTTAATAAAGAGAGGATAGTGGACTGGCCGTAGAGAAGTACATTGGCAGCATTTGACGGAACTTCTAAATATTATAAAAATGAAACCAAACAAGCCAATAAACTCTAAAAACTACAAGATATAATTTTTAAGGTTCTAAGGAGAATGAATAGAAGCAATAGTAGATCGAGCAAGCAAATAACGGAGATGTGACAAAGGAGTAAGTGGTAGCGACCGACGTGACTCTTATAAACTATAAAAGTAGAAACACCGAGATGATAAGGTTCGGTCCAATGTCCCAAGACAACGAGATAGTTGTTTAACAAATTTTAAGTAAAATCATATGTAAAAGATAGATAGTTTTGTACGGATGCTAGCCGCGCAATTGCGCGGGCCACCCAGCTAGTTATTTGAAAGAAAACTAAAGAATAGTCTCGGTAAGCTTAAAATGGAATCGTGCACTCTTGTCAGGGAGCTTGCATATGCGTTCAATATATTTTCTACTTTCAAATAATGCGCTCTTTGGTGTTTTCTTGGCTTGGACAGAAGGATTCTTTACACATTAAACGAATTTACTGGTTTGCTTGTTCCATGGTCCAGAATCTCAAATGTGTAAACATTTGATATGAGCTCAAAATGAGTTAGCTACTATGGTTTAAACTTCTAGTAAGTGGTAACTGATAACAGTCCTTATTTCAGATATAGAGCCCTTTTCATGTGCTTGCTGATTTGTCATCTATTCATCTTTGGTGTTTGGGCTGTTAGCTTGATGATCTAAACTGTTCTTTCTCAAACTGCCTTGTGACAATGACATTTATTTTCAGTGATGGAGGTTACTTTAATGCAATAATGAGCTTTCCACAGAATTATCCTAACAGTCCTCCAACTGTCAGATTTACCTCAGAAATGTGGCATCCAAATGGTCAGCTTTCCTCATTGTAACTTCATGTTTCTGTAACTCCATGATCCATAATTTTAACACAGCATAATATTGGTCAATTGCCAGTTTATCCGGATGGACGTGTATGCATTTCTATTCTTCATCCGCCTGGTGATGATCCCAATGGTTATGAGCTTGCGAGTGAGCGTTGGACACCAGTGCATACGGTACGAATTATGGTGTCTATGATGCAAGCAATTTCTTCCCTTTTCATTCTGTTCTGCACTAGTTCCATTTTGTTGACAACTTGACATATATTCTGCGTGGAGGCCTGGAGGGTATTGTCTGCTGAATTTTCTTACATAAATAATCAATAAGCTTTGACAAAGGAAAGAGCTTGTGATGCAAATTTGGGAGTTTGTTAAGCATCTGCAATGCAATACACGGGCATAACACCACACTGCAAATATTTCCTAAAATTGTGAACAATGATGATGGCTTTGTTTTGCATTTTGGATATTCATGATAACTTTTTTGCCTTCCACCTAGAGTTTCGTTTTTGTAATCCTTTTATCTCTAATATTGTTACTGTAAAGTGCAATGCGTTATTTTCTTTGGACTAGCAAGTTATTAAACTTGCATAAGAATCTTTGTGCATCTGATATTATCTAGTTCAGATAGTAAATCCTTTCAAACTTCAAAGTATAAGAAGCCTTATATGTAGAGTTGGTGTAACCTTCGGTAATTTATAGTATGATAGCTTGAAACATCACTACAAATTCCATCGTTGACATATCAAACTCAGCTTCTGGTATACTGAAAAGTCAAAAGTAATTGTAGCATTTGAATCTTGCATTTGAATAATAGTCATATTTTGAACAATGCTGCAAAGTTACTTGTTTGTTTTGTCACTGATCTTGTCATGATCATATGTTTATCTTCTCTAGCTTTTTGTAAGTAGCCATTTTTTACTGTCTAATCATCATATTCCTGATTCTTGTAATTTTAATGAGTGTTTTCCATTTACAGGTTGAGAGCATAGTTCTGAGCATCATTTCGATGCTTTCTGGTCCAAATGATGAATCACCAGCAAATATTGAAGCAGCTGTAAGTTCACTTAACATTTGCTATGGAAATTGAGAACTCTGTTCCTCCTGGGCCTTGGTGTATATGGCATTTTATCTGTCACGGAGGGATGGGGGAAGAGTTGAAGTACTTGTCAATAGGGAAAACACAGAGTTGGCAGATCCTACAAAATAATCTAACTTCCAGTCCAAAAACCATTTAACTTTATTATCAACATTTGCATACTGGATTCTGCATGTACCTTTCATCTTAGATATTCACCTATTTATTTGGTTAGTTGCAGCCCTGAGAATTTTCTCAGGTACTGCTATAGTCCTTGAAACATCTGTGAATTTACACACCAGACATTTGAATGACTTTTTAAACACACAGAAAATTGTAGTCAGGACAATGCGTAGTGTATTTTGCCTGCTGTTTGGTGGACCTTTGTTCTGAACTTCTGCCTACTGTTCTTGCGCAGAAGGAATGGAGAGAGAAGAGGGATGACTTCAAGAAAAAGGTTAGGCGCCTTGTAAGGAAATCACAAGAAATGCTCTGAAGAAACCGGCAGTACTGGGGAAAGTTAACCATACCACGTCACATGTGCATGATTTGGCTGTCGATTTCCAAATGTCAGTTGACACTAGCAATTCACTTCTCCCCCTCTGTACTTCCCATAGTGTGCCTGGTGGTGGTCGCGGTTTCGTCTCCCAGGAAGGCTGAATAGCACTGGGACATGTTTGTCACCTATTCTAAAGCTCTGGTTGTATTTGTGTGGCTTGGGCTGTAAACGTTGAGAAACTTTGAAATACTGCCACTCATCACAATTTTCGTAACAAACGTCATATAAGCAGGCACCTGCCTGATCTGCTAGCTGTTGAACGTTGAAACACAATGTCTGCAAACTGGTTTCAGTCCGTTCTTTGTAATATGTTCTTATAAATGGAGCAATACTCGGTGCTGTACAAAAATACTTGCTGGAGTTTACTCATTCATCAGTTATAAATCTATATTGGCTTACCGTGTTTCGTTTCCTCTCGAGGCAAACTACTACTCTTTTTAGTTTGCAGTTCTCAAAAAAAAAAAAAGGGTTTCCTGATACTGAATCTACGCCGCATGATATACATCCCTTTTTTGTTCTAGCAAATTTTCCAAAATCAAGCTACCACAGACAAATATATATATCGGATGTTTTCTCCACGCAACGCATACGAACACAATAACTCTGGATTGAATCTACTATGGTCTCACAGGTAGAACGTAAAAAGATTTTCTGAAACTAGCAACCACACCACGCCACAGCCTCATGTTTTGGATAATGCTGATGGACCATCGTCGAGCAAACCTTGCTTGGATGGTCCCATTTCCGGTAAAAAGAAAGATCACAATTGCTACCAGCAGATTACAGAAGGCAAATCGATAAGCCATGAAGTTCCAAGCATGCAAGCTTGTATGTATTTGCAGGGTTGCAGCTGGTAAAACCGGATGGTAAGACTCCCAAGAGTTAGAAATGAGCAGAACTCTGCACTCCGTGCCAATCCTCTCCAAAGGCAGCAAAGTTCTGGGACCAACCATATTCAAAAGTGAACTCTGAATACCTCGTGCCCTTGTGGATGATGCCAATATGTCCCTGTCAGCTGAAAACAGAACACCAGAAACAAGAAGGAAAAATAAAAGCCAAGGGAAATCGATCATAGTGGGATTCGAACCCACGACTTTTAGATTCGGAATCTAACGCGATATCCACTTCGCTATATGATCGTTGTTGGCTTGCATACACAATTAAATTTTGATACATAAAAGCCATCTGCATCCATGTCCTAGCTTTCAAGAGGCAGAGGAAACAACTAACAAGGCCAATGCAAATAAGTTCTAGCTAGCATTAGTAACATCCAAGAACTGAAGCAAAATGTAATAACTATGGATAAAGGGTATGCATTGAACTGTTTCTATAGGGAGGAAACAAAAGGAAATGCATACTCTTCAACTTACAGACGTTTTAAAATTACAGACTAGATAAACATTATTTTGCCAGGGTGGCCGAAGGAAGGGCCATCCAATTTTATTAAGATTTGGGAGATAGTTACATAGTTATATATATACAGGTAACAAACATCAACAGTAGACTGTCGAAACTGAAAGAAAAATAACTGTCAAACAACATAAATAAACATTAAACAGCACAGGATGACAAGGATGCACAACTGTGCAACATGTTAAACTGTAGGTGAATTTCTCTCAATTCCTAAAAGATACTCCCTCCGTCCCAAAAAAAGTGAATCTAGGACTGGATGTGACATATTCTAGTATAACAAATCTGGACAGATGTATGTCCAGATTCGTTGTAATAGGATGTGTCACATCCAGTACTAGGTTGGTTTTTTATGGAACGGAGGGAGTAAGTCTCACCAGCACTATACACAAACAAATATTTCTGTATCCAGTAAAGGTATGTTGATGGTACATGACAAACAAGTAGTAAGTGAAATCGGCAAGGTAACCAAACTCAATAACTGAAATAAGGAACATATATGCCCCCAAAAAAAAAGTTTTGTCACTACAATCATTCCATGCTAACGGCTAGCAAAGCATAGCAGCTGATGAGATAGTACTGTTTTGGTTTGCTGGGAGAACTAAAATGCATGCAGCAGCAACTCATTGTTGTGAAAAAGCAAAGCAAATATTTGTGAATTTGTGATACAGCCATATGCCATGAGCCTTAATCTCATGCTCATGTGCGCTGCAAACCTGCAATTACCAGGTCCAACCGGGCCTAGGTTAATTTTCGTGTCAGATCAAACTCAGCGCTCCGTTCTAAGTAATACCAGCACGATTCCATAGCACCCAAATGACCGAAACTCACTCAAATCAACAACTATGCCACGAACCCTACAAATAGCGTGTTGACAGCATCTAAACGATTATCCAGACAACCGACAAAAGCTTTACCATCAGATCAGGGGGGTGTTAGATCGATTCAACAAATCTAGGTCAGGCCACCGGTAGATCTAAACCAGATCTTCGCAGAAGGAGATCCAGCGATGGGCGTGGCCCTGGCTGTAGAGATGTAGAGTGGATACGGAGAAAGTAGGGATGGATCGTACCGGCCGGCAAGTAAGCCGGCGGAGAAGCGAGCGGCCAGGGATGGCCGGCGGCCGGCGGCCGGCGGATCGACCATCTTCCCAGCGGCGGTTGGTCTCCCCCCGCCTATGGCCCAATGCTCGTCGTGGGCCGTGCGCGGCCCGCCAAAATCCCCTGAAAAATTCCAACTCGAATCGCCTCCTCCCTTTGGCCAAAACACGGGTTTCCCGCTTGCATTTCGCTTCCCAAACTCCAGCTTACCGCCTAACCCCACCCACGGAGCCGCCACATCACGGATCCCCACGCCGGGGCGCGTCAAGATCCAGCCGTACAACGAATCCAACGGCCGCGAGCCCCACCACCTCATCGATCCGCGCCACCACCCAACCCACCAATCACGTCCCTCCCCACACTCCTATATATCCCCACCCCACCCGCCCCATCCTAATTCCCCACACGGCGAAAGCAAATCAAATCCAATCCACCTCTCGCCTCCAAATCCCAAATCCTCTACTCGTCGTCGTCGCGGTTCATCTCCAGCGAATTCCCGATGGCGCCCAAGGCGGAGAAGAAGCCCGCGGAGAAGAAGCCGGTGGAGGAGAAGGCGGAGAAGAAGCCCAAGGCCGAGAAGCGGGTGCCGGGCGCCAAGGAGGGCGGCGGCGAGAAGAAGGGGAAGAAGAAGGCCAAGAAGAGCGTCGAAACTTATAAGATCTACATTTTCAAGGTCCTCAAGCAGGTGCATCCCGATATCGGGATATCGTCCAAGGCCATGTCGATCATGAACTCGTTCATCAACGATATCTTCGAGAAGCTCGCCCAGGAGGCCGCCCGTCTCGCCCGCTACAACAAGAAGCCGACCATCACCTCCCGCGAGATCCAGACCTCGGTGCGCCTCGTCCTCCCCGGCGAGCTCGCCAAGCACGCCGTCTCTGAGGGCACCAAGGCCGTCACCAAGTTCACGTCGTCTTAAGACGCGTGATCTGTTCATGTTCGTTGGATGTTTATCTGTTCTGATGTTTATTTAGAGCGCTCTTAGATTTCCCACATGGAACAATGTAGTATCGGTGAAATTCGCTATAAATGAATCGCTGATCTTATCACAACTTTCAATGTGTTTCTCTTGGTGCTTGAATTCCTGTGAATTTGTGGTTTGTGCTTTGAACGGGCTGCAGGAAATGTCAAATGAGTGACCGCAGAGGCTACCTACGGAGGATTTTGTAATTTGTATCAGTGGAAAAAGTTTGTGATGTATCAGAGTGAATAATACCGAATTTATGGGATTTAGATTACAGAATAATATAGAATGTTTTGAACACATGTTAAGTACTCTACAGGCCTTTAGAAGTGTATCCTTGGTCTCATCTCATGTCATGGTTTTGCAAGTGTTGATGTGGCCAGATCAGTTTCCTTTCACTGATGTTTTCAGCGCTAACGTTTGATTTGCGATTTAAACAAGTTTATTTCTTTCCAAAAATGAGAGAATTTCGCCCGAAAAAATTAAATCAAAAGACACCAGTATTATGGTGATTTTGTACACACTACACAATCTATCCTTTGTGTAGTGTCTACTATTAAACCATTTGAGGCTGGAGCTTGATGGTCCTAGACTCCTAGTCTGCAATTCTGCACTCGGTATGATTGAATATGTTTTCTCATCCAAAGGAATTTCAATTTGAACAGGAAAAAAAAAAGCACACTCACGTGCTGGTTCCATTCAAAAAAAAATTTGAACAGGAAAGTTCTATCGCTAACAATTCAATTTTGACAGTATTTGTAGCATATGATCAATTTTCCCTTTGTGCAAGAAGCCAATCATGTGAGGCAAAAAATAAAGAAAATGGTCAGCACCACAACAGATCCAGAGTTGAGAGTTGCATGTGGTCATTTCTGTTCATCTCCAGGTTACCAGGTACCATGCTTAAATCTTATGAGGTCTGTTTCAGACTTTCAGTATTTCTTGCTAATGCTGTTAGGGCTCATAGTTTAATCTTTAAGCAAATACTTGATATGCAAAGACAAGCTTGCTGTACATGTGCCCAGAACTTTATATTTATCTCAAGATCCGAAAAAGCTTTCATTGGAATGCCATTCCTCGAGCTGTCTTTTTTATGGTGTCTGATAATCATACAAGGCAGTCCTCATCTTCCTCGCTATTCAGACAAGATTCAAGCATCATGTAAATATCATCACTCTTTGGATGTCTGCGGTCTCCATTGAAGAAGACATGAACCTGGTTCTGGACCTCAATCCAACTGCAACCAGTGATCCTCTTCAGTCCCTTTTCTTTAATTTCCCTTCTGATCATTGACACATCCTGCCAGCTTCCTGCTGCAGAGTAAACATTAGATAGAAGGATGTATGAAGAAGTATCCTTAGGATCCAGTGCATGAATATGCTTCGCGACACTCTTAGCCAGCTCCCTATTCCAGTGAATCTGGCACCCTCCTATCAACGACTTCCAGAATCCAATGCCTGGCTCGAAGGGAAGGTTCTCAAGAAACCGCTTGGCATCATCAAATCGCTTAGCCCTGGAGAAGAGATCAACCACACAAGCATAGTGCTCAGGTCTCAATACACCCGGCTGCTCCATCTCGGCAGTCCTGAACAATGAGTAACCTTCATCAACCAGACCAGCATGGTTGCAACCAAACAGCAAGCCAAGAAGAGTAACACGATCCAGCTTCAAGCCTGTAGCTTTCATCCTCCTGAAGGCATCCAAAGCCTCCTCCCCCCTCCCATTTTGCGCATATCCGCAGATCAACGCGTTCCAGGACACCACGTTCTTGTTCTTGATCTTTTTGAACGCCAGGACGCTGTCATCCAAACTGCCACATCTAGCATAGAAGCTGACAAGAGAATTGCCCGCAAAAACATCAAGCTTACCCAAGAACTTGATAGCAGAAGCATGGATGCTTCTGCCAACGCCGAGCGCCCCTGCATTGGCAACGGATGTGAGCAAGCAGGGAAACGTGCTCTCGTTCGGCCTGACGCCTTCCCGACACATCTCCAGGAACAGATTGACTGCCTCCTCGTTGAGTCCTGCCTTGCTGGATCCGCCGATCATGGCGTTCCAAGAAATCACATTCCTCTCCGGCATGCACCGGAACAGCCGGGCTGCATCCCCAGACATCCCATTCTTCAGAAACCCCGCAATGAGCGCGGTGTAAGAGACGACGTTCGGCTCGCGGGTGTCCTGCAGCGCGCCCTGGGCTTCCCTCACGGAGCCCATCTTGGCGTAGTGGTCGACGAGAGCGCTGCCGACGAAGACGTTGGAACAGAGGCCAAGCTTGGCGACGCAGGCGTGGAGCTGCGCACCGACGCGAAGGTCGCGCAGCGCGCTCGCCGACTGCAGGATGGTGCCGAAGGTGAACTCGTTGGGCACGATGCCGTCCCCAAGAATGCCGGAGAAGAGGGCGACCGCGTCCCGGTGCCGGCCGCTGCGGGTGAGCGCGCCAATGGCCGCCGTGGCCGAGACGACGTCCCGGTGCGGCATTTCGTCGAGCAGATTGTGGGCGGATCCAGGGAACCGTGTGAACGGCACCACCAGCTGTGCCGTGGGCTAGGTCAGGGTCCTCAGGGAACCCCCAAGGTGCTGCATCTGATCGCAGGAAAGTCGGGCCTTTTGGAGCGGACGAGCTTTGCCGCTTTGGATGTGGTGGATGAGGATTTCTGTATCTTGTTGGTCAGTCTGATGCAATCGCCGAATCGGCCGAAGAGAACGTTGGTGCTGCAGACTACTAGCAGGTTACAGGGTTTGCTCCTATCTTGAAGAATTTTGTATTTATTCAAAACATAATAAATATTACCACGTCACAAAATATAATAACTAAGAATTAGATGAGACACATCATAATCCTTTATGGAAGATGCACTAAATCTGATCCAGAGTCGCTATATTTTGGAATTCTTGCTTGAGAATGATCTCCCCACTGCTGCTAGCATCTACTCCGTACATACTTTTGCGTTTTTTGGTTGTGTTGCTTGTGACTTCCGAAAATGACAACATCTCCTGAACATTGAACCGGATCCTCTAACGTAATCTATTCTATGTCAGAGGGACGTTCGACTATAGATCGTCGTTGCTTGCGTATCCGACGGCAACAACCGTTTCAGTCCCGTCTCTTGTCTCAGGCCCCGCAAGCGCGATGTCCCTGCCTGCTCTCTGGCCCATTCGTTAATAGGGGCAGCGGCACCGCGCCAGCCGCCGGGGAGCTCAGGCCGCCGCGCGCTGAAGCCGGCGGGGAGGTTGGACTGGAACGCGGCGCTACCGCTGTCCGCCGGCGAGGTCGAGGGCGATGGCTCCGCCCAGCGGCTGCTGTTGTCGGAACCGTCGTCGGAGAGCTATACGGGGAACAAATAGAACAGAAAAGTTACTCATCTTCTCTTCATTTCATGCCATGAGATTTCTTTACTTGGTTAACATCTGCACTCGATTGATCTCTTCTTCAAGGAAAAAAACCATCTTCTTTGGTATTTTCTTATTGCAATTGTAGACTTGCTATGTCGCATTCTACTGTGAATCTGTTGGCAAAGTTTTGGTTTCTTTTCTTCTGGTTAGCTCTGAATTTTATTCTTCAGGTTACTTGTAGTTTCTTAGTTTCTGGGACAAGTTAATGACAGCACGAATGCCTTAGCAAGATTTTCAACCAGCTGCCTCTTCCATGAGAAAAGGCAACTTGATGATGGAAGTTCGATCGGCTACAGATCGATTCCAATCCAACTTCGCCGGCGACGGTTCCGAGAACAGCAGTCTCTGTGCGATGGGACAAACAGCAAACACCAAGGCGGGCGTAGCCGTCGCCCTCGACCTCGCCGACGGACGGCGCTAGCACCGCGTCCTAGTCCGACCTCCCCGCTGGCGGCAGTGTGCGGCGGCCTGAGCTCTCCGGCGGCCGGCGCGGCACCGCTGTCCCTATCAATGAATGGGCCGGAGAGCAGGCAGAGACATTGCGCTGTGGGGCCTGAGACAAGTGACGAGACTAAAACGGTTGTTGCCGTCGGATGCGCAAGGAACGGCGATCCATGGTCGAACGTCCCTCTGACGTAGAATAAAGTACGTCAGAGGATCCGGACATGTAGGAAGTCAGTAGCTACAGTCTACAGAAAAGAAACATGTATACAGTGTACACACAATAGCCAGAACGAATAGCATCTAACCCAATCACGAATTGGCAAGGGGGACTCATATACATCAGCTATAGGAAATCCAGTACTCCACCGATATTCTTCCGGGAATAATACAGGTATGGATAATTCTGCATTTCATATCTCAATGAATGATTTGCAGTCATACATGATACACATCTCATGAGGGCATCAGGCTTTGTTAAAAGTAAGCAGCCAAGTTCAAATTATTCTATTGACAATATATCTCGTGACAAAACTCCTCCAAAATGACAAGCTGGTGCCTCATAGCCTAGTACAGAAAATTGAATACAGTCTCAAGGAACTCAACACATGAATATTATTTTCATAAGCCTTCTTTTCTAGAGCCCTCGCTGATTTTAGGTCCCGCCCACTGTTGGCTAGCACGAGACTTGGCCCAGGGATCAAGAGGAGACCGTTGAGGTGGCTGTGGTGTTGCAGGTTTGGCTTCTCGAAGTTCATTTTCCCTATCAACGAACCTGCAGATGAAGACAGCGAGTGACTTGGGCTGCAAAACAGCAAGTTATGATTTCTGGGAATTTGATATGATGATATATTTCTGGCACAGCCAGCTAAAACTCAGCATTTTAGAAAAAAAAAACTTTGCATGGTTTGAAGATGCTTTTAGCACGCTAGCTTCTTTCATTTAAAAAACACTGCATGATGCTGAATTTTATACTCAACCAGTTGATTGTTCCACGTGAAGCAGGGGCAAAAACAAGTCGGTGGCATGGTAGTAATTTTTTAATAGCAAACACAAAGTAAAAGTAAGCGAATAACAAAACTGACTAATTCCCCGCAAAAAAAAAACTGACTAATAACCCAATGGAAAGGTCACTGATCAATTTTCCATTTTAAAAATCATAAGAGAAGCTTACTCAATGTATGCCATCGGTGCAGCATCACCAACTCGTATCCTAGTTCGCAATAGTCTGGTGTACCCACCAGCTCGGTTCCTAAATTCAAAAGGGACAAAAGAATCATTAGGATCGACCTAAAAATATTATGACCCTATGCTACCAGTACATAGCGTTCTAGTATTACAATTTTGTGATGCATAAAATCCTACACCTTTTAGATGCATTGTACAAAGACCATGGTAGGCATTTTACTTTATTCCTTATGTGAGATGCTAACATGACATATTTTTAAACAGTGGTAGAAACAAATCAAATTGATACACAACACATGAAGGAGTTTTACTTGTAACGGTAGGCTAGCTCTGTAAATAGCTTATGAACAACATCATCTCCCCGAACAAAAGCAGAAGCACGTCTTGCTGCATCCAATGTGCCCTATAATTTATGCAAATAAAAGATAAGTTTCTGGACGAATACCTTTAAGAATAGACTTAAATAAATCAATGCAACATTCCAGCCAGATCAAAAGACGTTTAAGGTAACATGCAGAATGGCACAATCACAGGAAGGCTTATGTAGCATCGACTCCAAAACAAGAAGACATCATTCAGATGGATCGCCTAGTATGTAACAGAAACTTGAGACAATTTATCAGACAACCAATCATTGATTAGCTATATGACCTGAACATTTCAACCATCTCATAACGAAGAGAGAAAATAAAATACAAAAGTAGAAAACTCATTTGAATCTGATTAAAACCACGATGTAAAACATTACTCACACCGTCCCAAAATATAAGCATTTCTAATTTTGTTCTTGATCAAGTGTATAGAGAAGAATATTAACATCTACTACCATGTCTAATAGGTAAAGTATGAAAATATATTTCATAATGGATCTAATGATACTCATTTGATATCGTGGATATTGTTGCTTTCTTTCTATAAGGTCAAACTTAGGATAGTTTGAGTTAGGACAAAATCAGAAATGCTTATATTTCAAGATGGAGAGAGTAAATTGTTTCCATACTGCCATTCTTGTGAAGACACATCCCTACATCCCTCAATAGTCAATTCATCTCTTGTACGAAATTTAACAGTAAACAAAATGTCACGCTCATGGAACTAATCAAGTACTCATCCATGCTTACTAGTTACTCGTACTACAGAACTGTGTGCGCGGTTGTGCAAAAAAAAATGCGGCAATCCAAAGCTCTACATAGGTTCATGGATGGCACTAAACAGTAATTTTTTTCAGGTTATAGTTCTATGGCAACAGGAGAATGTTTCACAGGTAGCAGTTTTTACCTCTTTCCCGAGCTGCACCATCTGATCCGCCTTGCGCCGCACCTCCTTCGCCTGGAATCAACCACGACTCCCAGCACATAAATCCGAGGCGCCCCCACTCTACAAGGTGTTCGACCAGATCCTAGGCGGAAAGGAGAGAGTACGTACCTTGGCGACGGTGGTCTCGATTCGCTCGTGCTTCACGAGCTGCGACACCATCGTCCTGCCGAACAGACATGTCCATGACTCCGACACACACAGAGAGATGCGGATCTCGCGCTCGAGAGAGAAGGATCGAGGCCAAATGGTACCTGAGCATGGATACTCGGTGGGCGGCGTGGCGGCCGAGCTTGCGGAACTTCCCCATGGCTGCGGCGGAGCAGAGCGACGAGCGGCGGCGGCGGCGGCGGCGGCGAGGGTTGAGGGGTTTGGGAGGTGGAACTCGGTTCGGACCTGTCCACTCCGCTAGGTTTGTGCTCCCGCGCCGACGGCCTTTTCGGCCCAGTGGGCCTCACTAAATCCCCCCTCCTTCGTAGGCCCGTGAGCTTGTGGGCCAAGCGAAGCAAACACGAGAGATTCTAAAGGTCAAGCTATACAGGTCAGCGAAGCAGGCAGGACAAGCACAAAAAGGTCGTTTTGGTGAGCTCGACACGAGAAACACGCTAGTTCTACACCCGTATGTAGCACCGTACGTACTCCTATCGCCCGCGGCATTAGTATCTTTCTTGCGCTGGAACTATCATCCGTTATTACAGCTGTGCCTGACCAGCACAGGAGAAAGAATGATCTCTATGCTATGGACCAGCAGTGAAGCGTATGCGTATGCATGCTCAAATTCGTCGGCAAACTGCATGACGTGTTAAGGTGTTACGTTTGTTTGCTGTTCACGAATCGCTGATGATTTGTCGTGCTGGGGCGCCTCTTGGCCTCGTGACCTAGACGTCTCATGTTTTCAACGCGCGCACTGGTCCCGATTCAATCCGCAGTGCCGTGCAGGCAGCCACAAGCCCACAACCCGCACAAGCTTCCAGCCTCCGTTTCACCTACGCACTGAGCCACTGACCGACCCGACCTAATACGTTCGGGGACATGTGCGACGAACCGATACGGACAGACGTCGACCTACGCAAATATTAAAAGGAGAACCTGTGCGTACGGTGTCGCTCGCTGCGCGCGTCTCGCTTCCGAATTCCGACACACCTCGGCTGCGTGACCGGATCGATTGCATACCTGACAGTAGGCACGCATGGCCTCAGACGAATCAGTAGAATCCGTACTGAATTACTGGTCCGGTAATCAGGAGTACTAGACGAGTAGTAGACCCCAGTAATCAGCAGGCTTCAATTACCGGGGCGCGGTAAAGAACAAAGCGCGAAGGCTGCGGCCGGGATCGAGACGCAGGAGCGCGGCATGTGAGTGAAAAGAAAACCGGCAGCGCGAGCTGAGACGCCGGCCGGCGCGGATCTCGATGCTCGCGGCGAGGTGTGGCGCTGGCGGTGGCGGGCACCCACCGCACCGCACCGCCCCCATCTCCGTGAGGCAAACGCAGCCTCCTCTCTCCTCTCCGGTTTCGCGCGCGTACGCCGTGCTGTCTCGCTGTCCGCGCCATAGGCTACACACCCCCTCCATTTTGCCATCTCGTAGTCGGTGGAGCCTTCCCCCCTTGTCCTCCTCCGCTGCAAAACCCTGACGAAGCGAAACACCTCTCTCGCCTCTGCTTTCGCGTGCGATAGCGGCAGGCAGCCGTCTCGCCGACGCGTGGGGCCTCGCGGTGGTGGGTCACGCTGCTTAATGGCCCGTGTTAGGTTAACGCCGGGTGTTTGCCGCTGCTGTGTGTTAATCAGCAGGATGGTCCCTGTCACGTGGCTGGGATTAGTATCACTTGTCGCGTCGCTGATCTCTGTGCCATGGCAAAGCAAAGCACCAGGGCAGGGGAGGGGCAGGGAGTTTAATTGGGACTTGGAAGGAGGCCCAAATGGACAGGACAGGGATTGCAGCCTTCCCATGCACGCAAATGCTTCCAAATATTAATACTCGCAGCATCAGCGGGGAAACCCAACCCGTGCTCCAAGGCTTCACATGCACGGCTTATTTGTCTACGGACACATCAGGCATTAAGAGACAGCAATCAGATTAACAAACCATCCAGGACTTACAGTGCACTGGGAGTTGGACTCACAGAGCGTTAGCAAGAGTCTTAAGAGAGAGGGAGAAGTCCTCGATTGGCTCACTGACATACGGGCCCAGCGACTAGTCTTGGTCAGCGTCGCCGCGCCCCATACGTGTGGGCCTCGTTAGTCAAACGTTTTCGCTTAAAAGAACTGCTTTGGCAGCGCCGAACCAGCTGCCATTTCACCACCCTCTAGAGTCCCCCACAATAATTACCCACCCTTAATCCACTGGTCTCACCCCCACACTGCAAACACCTTAATTAGTACTACTACTAGTCAACATCACCGGTAATTAAGCTCTAGGTACCAGTACTTAACAATAGGACAGTCTACCATACATCAGTAGTGATACACAATGCAGCAGTGTGTTGACTTCAAGAACCTAAAGGAGAAAGCAACTAACCAGAGAGCTAGTGAAGCTTTTCTATTACTACAAATCCTCTGATATCGCTGCTCTCGCCTCCATCAACCCACACTCTGCCCCAGCTCTCTCACAGCTGAGCTGGTCCTGGCATCGTTTGAATGCCACTCATCACTGCCTCCGCTGCGCCCTCCTTTGCACCTTCCCCTGTGTCGCACTCGCGCCCTTTAAGCGCTAGCTGCTGAGCGGTGACGACGACGCCTGCAGCCTTGCATTGCAGCTCGCTGCATATAGCTCAGGGATTATTGCTGGGGGCAGCAGCAGCAGCCAGCAAGGGTAGGTTAGGTTGACGAGGATGGCAGTGGTGGTGGCTGGCAGCAGGGGGAAAGGGGAGCAGCAGCGGCTGCCGTGGCGAGAGGCGCAGCAGGAGGCGAGGTGCCCCGACATGGCGCCGTCGCGGCCGCCAAGGCCAAGGCCGGGGCCGGCGAGGGCCGCCGTCGTGTACTACCTCTCGAGGAACGGGCACCTCGAGCACCCGCATTTCATGGAGGTTGCCGTCGCCTCACCTGACGGGCTCTACCTCCGAGGTACGTGCGTGTGCTCAGCTTGATCGTCTCGTCGTCGCGCGTTTCGGTTTTTCTTTTGTTTTTGTTGCTGCATTCGCCGCCGTTCCGTGACGTCGTCGTCGTCGTTGCTGTGCGTAGATGTGATCGACCGGCTCGACGCGCTCAGAGGCAAGGGGATGGCGCGCATGTACTCGTGGGCGTCCAAAAGGTTAGTTTTTTTCACGAACTTGTTCTTGTTGTGGCTTGCTTGCCAGTGAGGTGCAAGCGAGCATTGGACATGGGATCGTCCTCAATGTTGTGGCAATATTGCAGGAGCTACCGGAACGGGTTCGTGTGGCACGACCTGGCGGACGACGACTACATCTACCCGGTGGCTGGGCGAGAGTACGTGCTCAAGGGCACGGAGCGGCTGCACCCGATCCAGCTCCCGCTGCTCGACGCGGCCGCCGCGTCGTCCTGCTCCTCGGGCTCGCAGGAGACGGCCACGTCCTCGCCGCCCGGGTGGGAGAACGGCACCGGCGAGGCGCGCCAAAAGAAGGGCGCGGGAATAAACACGTCGGAGCTTTGTGAGTACAGGGTGTACAAGGCCGAGGACCCCGCCGCGGCGGCCGCGGACGCCGCGACGCAGACCGAGGACGGTTACCGCAGCAGCCGCGGTAGACACGCCCAGCGCGCCGCGGCCGCGGCGGCGCAGGAGGAGCTGAGCAGAGAGGAGACGTCGCCGCCGACGGCGTCGACGAGCCCCGAGACGCTCGAGGCGCTGATCAAGGCGGACGGACGCGTCATGGCGGCCGTCACCGGCGGCGGGAGGACCAGGGCGTCGTCCGTGCTCATGCAGCTCATCTCGTGCGGGTCCGTCTCCGTCAAGAGCACGCTCGCCTCGCCGGTGATGGCTCGCACCGCCGCGCACTACCGTCCACGGCCACCGCGCCCACCTACACTCGCGTCGACCACCACCGAGATCCCGAACTACCGCCAAAAGATCGTCGAGGACAAGGAGTACTTCAGCGGTAGCCTCGTCGAGACGAAGCGCTCGTCGCCGGCCGACACGTCCCAAGACATTGCCGTTCTCCGGCGGTCATCCTCTTACAACGCCGACAGGTACACCAATCCATCCATAGCTGGTTAATTAGTCGCAAAACATCAATGCAAATCAATGTTCAACGCCAGTATCCAAATCGGTACGACCAGTTAGTTACCATGCCGTAGCAGTTTAGAACTCCATTTGGTTGGTTGAATGGTTGCCTCTAAATCTCTCGTAGAGTCGTAGTTGTAAGGAATAACACATGAACTGGTACTGTTGCATTGAACCATACTGCCGTGGCGGCAGTTAAGAATTGCTAGTGCGGCACTGAACTCCTCTGCAAATGCCATTGCTGTACATGCAAGATATGAGGAGTAGTGTACCTGATTAGTGGTTGCGTTCATAAATGGAAGTAGGTCTCGCGGAGCTGTCTCGCACAGAGCCGACGGGATGAATGGGGAATGTCAGGGACGGGGCTTGAATTCTCGTCCCGCCCTAATTAATCCATGCGAGCCTTCATCGAAAAGCCTTGATTAGCTCGTTGAGAGCCATATCGCGTCAATGATAAGCCGCACTCAATCACGTGTGTGACGAGGTGAGGGATCGGAGTAACTAATGAATATGACGCGAGCTCCTAGCAGCAGTAGCACCAGCCTTTGTCAGCAATTTGAAGTCATTGAACTCTGCTTTAAGCGTGGTCCAGAGCCCTAACCCAGAACCTGATAACGTAGTTATCATCATATCTGCTGCTGCACGGCGCTCGCCGTTGCTTAAAAAGAACCCAATACTACTAGCCAGGCTAGCCTGCCTCTGTGTGGCGTCATGGAGTACGATGAGAATATGATGATGATGAGTTGGTGATATGATGGTATGCTATCTCTGCCTCGCGGCATGGCAGGGTGCAGAAGGTGGAGCCGTCGACGGAGGCCGTGGACATGCACGACAGATGCATCCCGCGGAGGCCCAGGGGCAAGAAGGACGGCGGCGCCTACCTCATCTCCGGCGGGAACGGGCAGTACGGGAGCAAAAGGCACGGGGGATGAGGAGTTTGGGCTTGGGTTCAGGCTTGCGCCGGTGTGGTGATCTCATACTACCTATTGTACGGGATGATAATTCCGAAATTGATACTCCTATATGTTAGCCATTAATTATGTTCTGTATATGCCTCTAGTGACTAGCCTCTGACCACTGTCTGGTGTCTTGGGTTATATCATTTTCTGGAGAATGAATGCATCATTTATGTACTAAAGAACTATTTCTGGAGAGTGTGCAAGTAATCTATTAGGAATACAAGCACTGATCAAAATCTTGGACTTCTAGTGTATTGGGCTCGCGTCAGTGTTACATAGTCTAGCCCAAGTGACAAAATATGAGTTGGTGACTTGGGCTCACAGCCCACACGGTTTGTAATAGATCGGTTCACAGCCCAGACTAATACGATTGGACTTCTAGGAGGTCCAGATACGCCTGGAAATGTTGACCTCCTCCATGGAATGGAACCATGGATTAGCGTTTTCGCACTTTTTCCTCTCTGATCGACCGTTTCTTACTTTCTTGCGGGTTGGGAAAGAACACTTCCTATTACGATCATGGAAACAAGGATTTTTCAAGGATGCAAAACAATTGAAACAATAAGCTGTCAGTATATTTATACTAGTAAATTGGTATTTTACAAAGAATCAACCACAACCGACCAACTAATTAATCAACCTATTTGTAATTTTGTACAGAAGAGAACAAATGAATAGAATTCCTATCTTACAGTTAACAATCATTTGTTACAACTTACATGCTATGATCATCACGCTCCAAAATTTAGTTCTTTTTTTCGATCAAATTTGGTAAAGAATCCATCCACCATATCTATGTACAGACGCCAATTCAATTCACATGTATATCTATCGATGCAACTTATACAAGAAGGTTAAGTAACTCAGGCTCCGAGCCGTCGCCGGCGTCCTCCAGCGGCGGGTAGTTCAGGTCCGGCATGGGCTCCGGCGGCTGCGGCACGGTGGCGCCGCCCGAGTCGTCGGCGTCCGCGAGCACGACGGTCGTCGTGCCCGTCTCGCCCCTGTGCCGGCGCATGTGGCCGCCGAGCGCCTGCCCCATGGAGAACTCGACCCCGCACACGGCGCACTCGTGGACGCGTGCCCTGTCCCTCTCGGCCGCCGCCGCCGCCGCCGCGGCGGGGTCGCTCAGCAGCTTCGCCTGCAGCCGCGTGTGGCTCGTCCGGTGCCCGCCCAGCGCCTGGAACGACGGGAACCGCTTGCTGCACGTCTTGCACTCGAACACCCCCTCCGTCGTCGACGACGACGACGTCGGCTGCGACGCCGACGCTGCAGGCGACGACAGCGAGAGCAGCGCGCTGGCGTGCACCCGTAGGCTCTCCATCTCCTTGCTCTCCGCTTCTTCTCTCGTGATTGTCATTACAACAAACCAAAGAATTCCAAGTAACTTTCTTTCGCTCTTAATGACGAGCTAAAAATTCCCTTCACGTTGGCGGACGTACTCGTTTTATATATAGAGAGTACGCGGTTAATATGCGCTAATGAGGTGTGATAGAGTCGTTCACGTCAAGGTTGGTGCGCGCGGGCGCCAAACTACTAACTAGAGCCAAGCAAGCAAGCCGCATGAGCGAGCGAGGTAGCGGTAGGAGGTAGCTAGCGCGCCAGGCTTGGCCACGAAGAAACGTGACGCGGTCGCGCTGCTCGCGTACGTGTGCATCACGTATGTGCACCCGTGGCGTGCCCCGACTCGGGTCGGAACGCAACGAAGCGCTCGGTCGCGCACACATGGTTTATCGGTTGGGCTAAAAGTTTGCTTGCTTTTGCGCGCTTTCCAGAAGCCGATCATTCACAAGCCTCGTCAACTTCAGGAACTCGCTTCTGCAGCCGCCGTTTCAATTTTTTTTTAAAAAAAATCTTCTCCTGGAGCTTCCGTTTTCGACTGGCTCCAACAGAGTGCAGGAGAATATATCAGCAAGTGGGAAACGGAAACGTTTGCCGCGACGTCACCTGGCAGTTGTGTGCGAGCGAAAAAGGAACACTACACTACTCTCCGTGTGCTCACGGGCAGGATACGGATATTCGTCACGAGTTGATGAGTATCCGTCCAGTCATCCCACTTGGCTGTCCATCTCGCTTAATCGTGTGCGTACATTGACCATCTATCTGGTAACTGTACGTACATATCTTGACGAATCGAAAGTGCACGCACTGGCCATTCCGTCACGTCAGTGGACGGTGCAACAAGTCGTCATGGACACCCGATCGAGCTAAGCTAGTGTATCGTGTACTGATAAATATTCGCGCGTTTGATCGTGGGAATAAATCTACTGGAAGAAAGGATAGTGTAGCGCGCGGCGGCCGTGTAGACCACGTCGGCGAGAGGAGCATGCGAACCGGCGAACCCGCGCGGCGGCGGACGTGACGCGTGCGGCGCCACGCACGGGGCGTGAGGCGTGTGGGACAACGACCACTTCGCCTGTACGTGTGGCGAGGCATATAAAATTCCGGAACGAATTGAAATTTAATTGTTCCTCCTGTTGTTTCAGTTGATTTTCTTTTTCCGCATACGTGTATTTCTTGTGCCGAAAGGCGAAAGCAGAATACTGCCAGTACATCCGGAAGCTATTTGATGGAGTGCGCTTCTCGCGTACCGGACGCGTGCTACTGCAAGTCGGCAAGGTAGTTACGGGTAGAGTGGGAGTATATACAATCCACTGGTAGAAGTCAACTTGGAGCTTTATCCAGAAACTGATGTGGATGTCAGTCATGCTGATGTGAGATACTACTACTAATGTCATCCCCAACCTAGATGGTTTCCGTGCCCAACGTTTAACCGTCCGTCTTATTTAAAAAAATTATGAAAAAAAATTAAAAAGACAAGTCATGCATAAAATATTAATCATGTTTTATCATCTAACAACAATGAAAATACGAATTATAAAAAAAATTTCATATAAGACATACAGTCAAAGTTGGACATGGAAACTCAGGGTTTACCTTTTTTTTTGGGACGGAGGGAGTAGTGCTTTAGGCTGTGTTTAGATCCAAACTTCCAATTTTTTCCATCACCTCAACCTGTCTTACACGGACACAGGTCGTCTGCAGTACTGCACATGCAGTACTGCATGTGCAGTACTGCAAGCTGACATGTGGGCCCCACAGCCCTCGGGCCCACATGTCAGCCTGCAGTACTGCTGCAGTACTGCAGGGGATCTCAATTGGTCATACACACACAATTTTTCAGTCACATCGTACCAATTTCAATCCAAACTTCCAACTTTGGAAGGAACTAAACACAGCCTTAGTTTCCAACTTTTTCTTCAAATTTTAAACTTTTCCATCACATCAAAACTTTCCTACACACATAAACTTCTAACTTTTTTCTTCAAACTTTCAATTTAGTCAAACTTTCAATTTTGGCGTGGAACTAAACGCACCCCTAGGGCAAGTAGTTTTCATACTTGCCATATCATATAAGCACTATCGCCGTGTTTAGTTCCAAAATAATTCTTCAAACTTCCAACCTTTCTATCACATCAAAACTTTCTTATACACAAACTTCCAACTTTTCCATCACATTGTTCCAATTTCAAACAAACTTGGAATTTTGGTGTGAACTAAACACAACTTATGCATAGAAACTATATATCCAATGAATGATGTCTTCAGATTAAATTATTATCTAATTATCTCTCTTCTCTCTCCTTTTATCCACCGGCCTCATCTTTTCGCTTATGATTATGCTTATCAGCCAAAATTTGAATTTTCAACCTTAAATTTGGAGTTGATTTTGGAGTTTTTCCATCATAGTTTATTTTTCAGCCTTTGCTTTTAAATCGCTTAGAACATGTATATAAAAGTTTTATTCACAGATTATTTTTTATTTGTAAATATGATGTTTGGCTTATTCCACCAAATAGCCAAACGATGGGGCTGCACATATCCTCTTGTTTTCATTCTTGGTTACTGTGTAGAGATAGTTTCTTGTATAAGAAATAGTTTCTTTATTTTTTTATCTCTCTCCTTATTAATTCTTTTGCCACATGGACAGTAGATGATAGGGAGATGATAGGGAGGGTTTGGGATCGCCTAATACTCGTATTCTGAATTTCTGGATGCTTAGCAACTGTGGTAGTGTGGTTGATAGGGCAGTTGGTACCAACTCTGCAGTAAGTACAGTCAAATCCAAAGAAGTAGGTAGGTACTGTACGAGAGAAGAGGGGAAACGATCAAAAGAAGGGAATGCTAACAAATATACTCCCATATGCTCTTTTTTTTTTATTGGATGCCTATAGTGAAATCTGAATGCTTGACTTGCGAATGGATTTGGCCTTAAGCAATTCCAACAAGAACGGTGGATTTGATTTGTACCTTTTGTAGACCGGCCGTGGTTGAAAAAACAGACAGACTAGAGAGAAGACTGGACACTGGAAGATGCAGTGGAGACTGGAGGCAGACAGACGGCGGCGCGTATATGCAACAGCAAATCTTACTTACTCCAGCCATGATTTGTTTTTCATTGAAATCCAGCGATAGTTTGCCTGGCTTGAAAACAACATCATGTTACTTTTCATTTGTTCAAGTCTACATCCAGAACTCGAAATCCCTGTTTTTTTTATGTGAGCTTTGAGATAAGGGCAGAAGCCAATTCTCGACAGTACTGCGGTCAACCTTCGCGCGGCTCACACGTGCAGCTTGAACAACCGCGTGAACGTATGTTGACATGGAATTCAAAACCCTCGCAAGAGGAACGTGGAAATTGAGCGATGAACATGACATGCTCTACTCAGTTTTTTTTAAAAAGAGACATGCTCTACTCCAATAGAGAATAAAAAAGAGAAAAAAGAAGAAACGAGACGAAAAATTCATCAAGGTCGGTGGATTGATGGGCTGACGAGAAGGGACGAGGTTGGATTGGAAGCGTCAGGCCTAGTGGAAGAACGCACATCGGCAATGCTATAATGGGCTGTACTATATCTCTCTCTCTCTCTCTCTTCGGGCCACACGTCATTTCTTGGAATAAGTTCACTTTGGGTCTCTCTATTTGTCGCCCAGTCCGATTTTCGTCGCTTGACCGCAAAACCAGGTACGACCCGTCCCCTAACTTACGAAAATCAGGCAAACGAGATCCCTCGGCGGTTTTGAAGGCGGTTTTGGCTGACGTGGTGCCTACATGGCTTGTTTGACTAGGTATCCGTCTCACGTGGTATTGACGTGGCGCTTACGTGGTAATTATATCTCAGAAAAATAATAAAAAGCTTGGCCCCACATATCAACTGCACACAAAAAAAATTAAATGGGCCCCACATGTCAGCCTCACTCCTCACTTCTTCCCTCTCCCTTCTCTCTTCTTCTTCTTCTCCTTCCCCTCTCTATCGCAACGGACGACGCGGGTAAGCGGCGGAGCAGGCGAGCTCCGGCAGCGGCGGCGGGCATGGTCGGCGCTGCCCCCCGACCGGAGCGCCGCGGACAGCGCGGCGTAGGCGGTGGGTGACCGGAGAAGCGCGCGCGCCGGGCGGTCGGAGTCGGCGAGCACAACAACGTCGGAATCGGCCGGCGGCGGAATCCTCGAGCTCTCCGACCCACGCACACCCAGCCCCAATGGTGGTGGTGGTAGCAGTAGCACTGCGACTGCGCGCGTCCCCTTCCACCTCCCGATACAGCCACCGCCGGCCGGATACATCGATATATCCTAAGAAGCAATATAAACTAGCTAGCTTCGAGAGATCGATATTCAACAATGGCGTCAGCTCTGACCGCCTCTTCTGCAGTGCTCGTCGTCGTGGCCTTGGTGGCGACCCTCGCCGCCGGCGGCGCCAACGCGGCAACCTTCACCATCACCAACCGGTGCTCGTTCACGGTGTGGCCGGCGGCACGCAGCTGAGCCCGGGCCAGACGTGGACCTTCAGCTGTCGGCCGATTCCGACGTCGCGGCGCTCGCCGACTCCGACCGCCCGGCCGGCGCGCTCGCTTCTCCGTCACTCGCCACGCTCCAACTCCAACTCTGCTCGCCTGCTCCGCCGCCCACCCGCGCCGTCCATGCCCAGTAAGGGGAGAGAGAGAGAGGGGAAAGGGAAGAAGAGAGAGAAGGGAGAGGGAAGAAGAGAGGGGTGAGGCTAACATGTAGGGCCCATATGGGCCCCACCATTTTAAAATTATTTTTTGTGTGCAGCTGACATGTGGGGCCACACTTTTTATTATTTTCCGAGTTATAGTTGCCACATAAAGCGCCACGTCAATACCACGTGGGATAGAGACCTAGTCAAACAAGCCACGTAGGCGCCACGTCAGCCAAAACCGACCTGGGGCGAAAATCGGACTGGGTGGCAAATAGAGGGACCCAAAGTGAACTTATTCCTCATTCTCTTTGTTCAGCCCACAACGTTAAATGGGCTGAATTTATTCGGAGATGGCATATGGCAAAGGAATAAGTTCACTTTGGGTCCCTCTATTTGTCGCCCAATCTGATTTTCGTCCCTTGACCACAAAACCAGCTACGACCCGTCCCACAACTTATGAAAACCGGACAAACGAGGTCCCTCGGTGGTTTTGAAGGCGGTTTTGGCTGACGTGGCACCTACGTGGCTTGTTTGACTAGGTCTCCGTCCCACGTGGCATTGACGTGACGCTTACGTGGCAATTCAACCCGAAAAATAAATAAACCTTGTGGGACCCACATGTCAGTTTCACACAGAAATTATAAAAAAGGTGGGGCCCACATGGGCCCCACTTGTCAGTTTCACATAAGATTTATAAAAAAGATGGGGCCCACGTGGGCCCCACCTGTCATTCTCTCCCCTTTTCCTCCATCGCCCTTCGCCGCCCGCGCCCGCCAGCGGTTACCGACGACGCGACTCCATCCGCCGCCGCAGCCCAGCGACCGGCAGCGTCGCCTGCCTTCCTGACCCGCCGCGGCCACGAGTTAGTGCAAGCGCACCCGCCGTCCCGCCGCTCCCGCCGGTAAGGAGGTTCCCCTATTTCCATGCTGTATCGAAGAGATGCTTCCTCCCTGCTCCCCGTGCCGGCCATGGCAACAGTCTCCTCTTCTTCCCTCTCGCTGCCTCCTCTCTCCTGGTCCTTATTCTTCACGATCTCCGTGTCCTTCATGGCATTCGTGATCTCTGCAGCTGGCGTCTCCACCCGCTGTACATCCTCCACGCGGACCACGCCGCATTCTTGGCCACCTGATACGTCGGCGCGTTTCGCCGGAGTCGCTGCCTCTCCTTTGCCATCAACGGGAGCCTTGTCGCCATGCACGGTAACGGTGTTGCCATCGCCACTGCCGCCGTCGTCCGCCGTGACAACCTCCAAGTTCTCGAGTTCCTTCCGAGCCCATAGGAGTAGCTCATAGCCTCATACGCATATACGCCGGGTACAGACGGCCGCATGCATATGTGTCTTCGTACGAGCATATATATGCATGCATGGAGATGACCAGCTATAGCCTCTAGCTAGCTTCTTGTTGGTTTGCCGCCAACAACATGCAGACATATATATTAGCCAAACATGTGTCTATGGCTGAGCACACTCAAATGTATATATGCCATTACGTGCATGACTCATGCATGAGTCATATTTAATTCATTAGCTTGCTTAGCACATTAACGTTGTTAGCTACCTAATTTACCTGCTTCCTGCAACCAGCCACTAACAAAAAATATGCAAGCGCGGCGGAGGAGCGGCGGCGGGTGAGTGCAGCAGTGGGCAAAGCAGCGGAGGGCGAGCGCGGCGGCGGAGGGGCGGCGAGCGAGCACGGCCGCGGGCAGAGCAGCGGAGGGCGAGCTAGGCCGAAGCGGAAGACAGTGGATGGGATGGGGAGCTCCCCCGTGCTCGGCCGCCACCACCGCCGTGCCCCAGCGGGTGCCCCACGGCGCCTGCGGCGAAGGCCTCGAGGCCGTCGATCGCGCCGTGAGCTTGGCGGGCAAAGACTCGACGAGGAGGACGAGGTCGTCGTCCCTGCCGAGGACGCACTCGGTGGCCGGGAAGAGCACCGCCGCGATGTCCTGGACGACGAGGAGCTGCCTGTCCGTGAAGGCCAACGTGGGGCCCACCAGATGTCCCTAAAGACGGTGTGAAACTGACATGTGGGGCCCACGTGGGCCCTACCTTTTTTATAATTTCTGTGTGAAACTGACATGTGGGTCCCATAAGGTTTATTTATTTTTCAGGTTGAATTGCCACGTTAGCGCCACGTTGGACAGAGACCTAGTCAAACTAAGCCACGTAGGCGTTACATCAGCCAAAACCGCATTCAAAACCGCCAAGGGACTTGAGCTGCCTGTCCGTGAAGGCCAGCATGGGGCCCACTAGATGTCCCTAAAGACGGTGTGAAACTGACATGTGGGGCCCACGTGGGCCCCACCTTTTTTTTATAATTTCTGTGTGAAACTGACATGTGGGTCCCACAAGGTTTATTTATTTTTTGGGTTAAATTGCCACGTAAGCGTCACGTCATTGCCACGTCGGATAGAGACCTAGTCAAACTAAGCCACATAGGCGCCACATCAGCCAAAACCGCCTTTAAAACCGCCAAGAGACTTTGTTTGCCCGGTTTTCGTAAGTTGGGGGACGGGTCGTACCCGGTTTTACGGTAAGGGACGAAAATCGGACTGAACGAGAAATAGAGGGACCCAATGTGAACTTATTCCTATGGCAAATGCCCTTTTTGACGGCCCGGGAACGGCAAGCTGACCTGTCACCATCCGATCTTTCTGAGCCGTTTGATCCGGCTTCCTCCATTCCGTGGCTCGCTCTTGTCATTGTCAATGCTCAGCAGGGTTACTACTGCTCTCTTGTGGCTATTCCGGGTCATTAATTTCCAAATTGAGCTACTGCTGATTGTGTACCTATCTACCCCATCGTACAGCAAAGATGGGGTTTGGGATTGTTGGTATATGCCCTTAAGAAGATGTACCAATATGTACTCTTTTGGTGGGGGTACAGGCTATTGGTACCTTTCTTTGGTTGTAGCACCAACACCAAGATGATGTATAAAGTTTTACATGTATAAATGTAACTGGGTATATACCAAATACTTTTTTTCTTTTGAACCCAAATTCTTTATCATTGCCACTTCACCCATACATCAATTCGCCTCTATCCTCCGATTGACGAGGTTTCTCTAACATACATCAGAGGGACATGTGTCTCTAACGTGTAGTTTTCTTATGTCAGTGATCCATATCCCTTTGACTTTATGTCACAAGAAAGACTTCTATTTTTTATTTATACCTTTTGTTGCTAGCGCATCGTAGAACCCACCAAGAAATAAAAGAAACCTTCACGTGCGAGACAAGAGATAAAATGCTCTTTTTGGGCAATAATGCCTATTGCAACAACCCATCCATTTATTCAATTTTGTAGCCATGTGTGGAAGTGGAAATTGTTCGCTAATTTGTATACTTTCACGTGGTAGTATTGTTTTAGTGAATTGATATGTATTAATACTTCACGCCATTAATATATCAATTAAAAAAATAGATAAATTGTACACTTCTCATTTATGGGAGCGTATCCTATGCACACAAGCCCTCGCGTGTACACATCGTGTACACCAACTAAAAATTATCACAAAAAATTCTAGGAAAATTCATACATGTACTTTCAATAGTATTACATCTACGTGTAAAGTCGTATCTTCAAATTCATTCTACATAGAGAATAACAAAAAAGATAAAATTCTGACAAAATTGCAACTTTAAAACTGTCAGATTTTTTGTTTTTTTGTTACGGCTAAAATATAATGAATTTGATGTTAAGATTTTAACCCTAGGTGTAATACAATTAAAAGTATGTGTATGATTTTTTCTAGATTTTTTGGTGACATTTTTTAGTTGGTGTGCACGTGTGTACACGTGAGGGCCTATGTGCATAGTATATGTTGCCCTCATTTATAAAGATAACTGTGCCGCCGCGTCAAAGATACACAAAGCTGCATCCTTCCTGTTTGATAGTGTGACGGGGAAACTCACTAAGCACTCGGTGCAATGCAATAGACATGAAAAAAAAAACTGACCACATATATTAATTGTAAAGGCATTTTATTTGTAAGGCAAACAAAGCCACGATACAATTAAAAATATTTTAGAGGCATATGTACCATATCAACATAATCAAATATCATAGTTATTCAATGTTGCATAATCGGAATTGCTAAAAACTGTCGCAAGCTTTTTTCAAAAAACTTTCTAATATAACTCAATGTAACCATAATGTAATTACACTATACTTACACTGAGTTACATCGAACTCAGTGTAAGTATAGTGTAATTACATTGTAATATCTATATAACTTAGTACAAACTACAAAGTTACATATATTTTTTAATACTTATACTTTTATATATATATATATATATATTGTAGTTATGTAAAACTATATTATAACTATACTGTAGTCAGATTTGAAAGATCACTTTAAAAATTTACGGCAGTTTTTAATAGTCCTCTGCATAATTATATAAGTTGGACAATACTTTCTGCCACTAACTCTCATCACGTAGACATACGTATCCACAGCTAATGTTTTGGGATTTTTTTTTGGAATTGCTAAAACTCTGTCGACAGAAAATCTTATCTCAAATTTTGCAAATTTTAGATCACTGGATATGCTTTACGATTCGTGCTCTTCTTCTCTAACTCCGGCGGCCACCTCTTCTTCTCTGGCGCCGGCGAACCCAAACTCCAGTAGAGGGCCAACGAATTAGGGTCCTGGGGTGGGGTGGGGGTGGGGGAGGGGGAGGGGGAAGAGGGGGGAGTTCGCCGGCTTTAGAGGGATGGCCGTGGGAGGTGGCGGATCAGGCGGGCGGCGAGGCGGCGGTGGCGCTGCCGAAGCCGCGGGGCTGAGGACGGCGGCGGGGGCAAAGTGGAAAGAGTGGTAGGACGAGGCGGCCGTCGTAGCGTCCCGCCGCCGGCGACGGGGAAGACAACGGACAGCTCGCCGCCGCCGACTTGAGGCAAAGGAGAGGAGAGGGGGCCGGCCGGGGGGGGGGGAGCGCTGAGGAGCGGCGGCGCGTGAGGAATCGGGAGAGGAGAGAGGATTTTTAGGGTTTGATTGCCTGCACGAATCTTAAAGCAATCGGGTGGTCTAAAATTTGCAAGATTTTTGAGGGGTTTTCTATCAAATGATCCATAGACAGTCATATTTTTTTTTCTATCGCCAATCAGCTTGCTTAGCACCTATTCCTTCTTTTTTTTTTGCCGGGCCAGTTTAGCGCCTAATCGTCGACGGACGACGGGAATATCAGAGAACCGTATATCATTCCGTAACAAATCATCGTGGGGGCCGGGAATACCCAAAGATTCCGTGGTACGACCACCGCACGGACCGGCGACCAACCAGTAGCGTTTGTCCCGTCGACGAGGGCATGCGATGCGAGCGCCGCGGCGAGCCAGACTCGGCGATCGGACCCCGCCCCGTTTTGCCGAGTGATCGGCGGGCGAAGTCTAGATTGGCCGTCCAGTTTGGTGGCGGCCACCGACGGTGTCCCAACACCGTGGCGGTTCGCCACCTAGCCGATCGAGCCCCATAGCGACGGCGTGGGCCTCGTGGCCGGTGGCCGGTGGGCAAGCCGCACTACGAGGCACAGCGTCAACTGGGCAGACTGGCAGCTGTGGATCTGAATGTTTTTTCTCTGGAACTTTGCTGCAACGTAGAATTGTAGAACTTCGACTTGAAAAATCGTTGAAACCCCTGTGAAGCTTATTGTGAACTTGTTGTCTTGTTGATACCTTGCCAAACTTTCTGAAACCTGCTACTTTTTTCATTTGAGAACATTGAAACCTGCTACTTGTTCCAATGTTATCCTGCTGGCTAAGTGGCTAGCTCGTTGATCCCGATTCTCATCTGTCAATCAAAATTGGCACGTACTGACCGAAGTGGTAATATAGGTAGTCTTACAAGCAGAACAAGATTGACACGGGACGAAATGGAAAAACGTGAATGTTAATTAGGGAATGATCTAATATTCAATAATTAGAAGGATTGAGGCTTCGAATCCAGATCGTCTAGCCCACCACTTTGTAGAACTAGCAGGAAGACCCATAGACGTTTCTCTCACGGGACATAATAGATAAGTTTCGATCAGTTGAGCTATAGCTGATAAGAACGTATAGAAATAAACAAGACAATTAAAGATATTTTATGGATTGTACTATTAGCGGTCTAAAACATGGCTAATGATAGGCCGGCCATGATAGGCCAACCAAATTTACTTAAGACTGAGAAATATGTACAAATATATAAAGTTTTGACTTCAATACGAAGCTGTCGAAGTAAATGAAAGTTGTCACATGAGCAACCTCCAAAAAAAAAAAAAATACACCGAGAAATTACTCTCTTATATATTTCTGAAAACCCCAACCTCCTTCCAAATCGCCACTTCTTTTTTAATTGAACCAAACATGAAACTTGTCGAGTGCCGCTGGTTCTGAAACACACGCACATTTCTTTCCTTCCAAACCATCCAATGTCTAAAAAAAACATGGCTAAAGCTAAGTTTCAGTTAAAATTTTGTGATTGATAACAAGCTGACAATTAAAGCTCGAAGTGTGAATCTATTCATAAATAATATTGGTATCTGTAGTCTTTTCAAAAAAAATATTGTCGCCTGGGCATACGGTGAGGCTGGAGATACGGGAACCATGCCCAGACACGATGTGCTGCATCTGAATCTAGTCATAAATGACATAAGAGAGAACCGAAATAAGTTTCAAACACACACGACATCAAGAGACTGTAGCATAGGTGTTAACCAGGCTTGAGTCGCTTGACCCTGATTAAAACAATTAGAAGTGAATATACTGTGCATAAGAAATTATGAACAATTGTTTTTCGTAGTGATTCATTATTTTGATTTACAAATTGATACTAGAAGAAATGAAGAATCGCACATGATTCATTTTTTTATATAACTGAAATGGTTCTCTGTTGTTGGGCACACAGCTAATAAATATTTATGACTAAAATGTCTTATACTCCGATCTTCCTGAGGAATTGGAAGATAAAGGTCAAAGGTGCATAAACAATGCCATGATGTCAACAACGTTGATTAACATACGGTCTACTGAACATTTAACATTATCCGTATCACTGTATATGTTGTCTATATAATCAAATCATTAATTAGTTAAATCTATTTAAAATAGCTCAGCAGACCACACATGTGAGTGATTTCTTCTGTTAGAGTATGTGTTGAATGTGTACAAAGTCAATTGTGTTTTAAAATTTGGAGTTATAATAAATGTAAGATATAATTAGGGTCGAACTCTCTCGTATAGTTTCTCTTAAATAGAGAGGCACCATCGGTTGTAATCGTATAACGATAATAACATAGACGAGGGATGATTGGTCGGCGTCCTATCCGATCGATGGTCGTGGATAACATGATACGTTGTAATTATGCTAGATCAGATAGGAGTCTTGTAATTAATGCAATTGGGATGATAGATTCCTAATGTAACCTTATTTATACTAGTATTATATACTATCAATGTATTGTACTGTACACGTCCTTTTTCAAATAAACCTTATAAGAAAATACTGTGTCTTGGTATCGTTATTATGTTTAGATTATTTATGGTCTTTTTAAAATGTTTGGTTACTTATGTTGATTTTGGAGCCGGTTTTAAGATATGTATGGCACTTAAATATGACGTGTAAAGATCATATATATTGCAATCTGTGCTATTAGTTAGGCACAATCAAGATTAGCAGAGGGTTCATGCCTAGCAAAAAAGTTAAGCATGAGACATTTCCGGTGGATTTGGATATGTTCATTAGTGGGGCCTAAGAAAGGGACCAGAAAACGTTTTCGAGGTGATGTACTATTCCCGGGACCGTTTCTACAAGGTTTTGTTTCCTTTTTTACCCTTGAATTTTTCTCCAGAAGTTGGGTGTGAATCCATTAACCAAATAATTAGAACAAACCAAATGGCATATTTCATTGCAAAATTACCCCAAAAAAAAGGGTTCTTATGTAAACGTGGCAGATAGCTACACCAGCCGATCTACACGTGACCAAATCAAGGTTGTTGGTTCATTTTCGTAGTTCATAAGACATCAGGTACGTCGGTGTTTAATATTTGCATACTTGCATTACACCATGGCGTGAATTAATTAAGTACAACATATACTATAAATATGCTTCAGTACATTTTCACATCACTTGTGTTTGTACATCTAGTGAAACCAATGCAAGCTAAACCAAAACATCTGTTGATCAATCAAAATGCTGATGTTCTTATTCAGGGGGTAAAAAAAAATCCAATTTACCATCCCCTCCTTAAGGTGTGTTTAGTTCCACGTCAAAATTAGAAGTTTGACTAAAATTGAAAGTTTGAAGAAAAAAGTTAAAAGTTTATGTGTGTAGGAAAGTTTTGATGGGATGAAAAAGTTGAAAGTTTGAAGAAAAAATTGGGAACTAAACCCGGCCTAAATTAAACTGACCGAGCGTGAAAACAACGAGAAAGGAAGAGAAATGTGTAAAGAAACCCATATATAGCAGTATAGAGCTACCTTGTAAGCATTGTCCAAGCCCTGCAGATCACATGAAACAGCAGAGCATCATCAGTTCTATCACCAGGAACAGCAACAGAGATCCCCAAAAAACATCAGTCAGTTATACAAATCCCTTGGGCAGGTTACCCAAACACTCCTCAATAAAGGTATTTTTTACCTTGAATTTTTCTCAACTAATTTGCAAGCTTATCAAACAAAAGAATCTCCTCTCTTTCTTTTTTTTTCTTTACACTACAGCCCTGAGGAGACCACCTAATAACACATAGGTAGATAACAAAGAGCATTCCATTTGACCTAACCCATCCATCCTGCCCAAGTCTTTCCAATTCTCCAAGCCCTGTGTTGCATCTGCATGCCATCTCATCTCATCTCACATTCCTCACACACAAAAAAAAAAACCAGAGGCTAGGCTGTGTGCAGATTGCACAAGCACATGAGTTCACATTTTGTAAAAAAAAAAAAAAAACTTGTTGGATTCTTGCATGCCTCTGGGCCTGAAAAATAACGGAAGCAGAATAGTCTGGGCAACAGCTGCTGCTGCGGCTGCTTTTGTTTAGGCACTAAAACAACTGGGTCTTTTCAAGTCTAAGCCATTGGGGGTGAGTTTTGCTTTGGTTGGTTTGCTCGTTTTTTTTTTCTTTTCTTGATCTCTTCTCCTCCTTCCGGGGTTCGCGTTCGCGTCGCTCTCGTCTCGTCTCGTCATGGCACCACTGAGGGGAGCCAAGCGGCGGAAGCGGCAGCCGGAGAAGGCGTTGCCGGCGGCGGGGCAGGCGATGCCGGCGCCGGCGCCCGGCGGGGATTGGTGGGACGGCTTCGCCCGCAGGCTTGCAGCAGGTATACGTCTTGCCGTTCGTTCGTTCGTCTCTTCCCTGTTTGCGAGCACTGTGCTCCTCGTCCTTAACCATGTCCATGCCCGTTCCCTGGTTCCTTGGCTCGCTGTAAACCTCGCGCCCGCGCACCGTAACCCTCGTCGGCGGCGAGTAATGCGTGCTTAACCCCCTCGCGCGCTTGGGATTGTTCGCGGGCGGATTCCGCGGGGTTAGATCAGGGAGACCCGCCGTTGAATTTGCACTGTTCGTGCCTGCGCGGTATCTGTTCGATGCGGTCGCTTAATCCGCCCGTGCAGTGCTCCTTAATCAGGGTGGTTACTGTTGCAAATCCGCTGTTTCGGTGGGCTTTGTTTTGGAGGTGGTGGGATTGTACGGTGCTCCGAGGCAGCGAACCATCTCGGGCGGGGGGGATGTTCTGGATTGGAGACCACCATGGATGTCGATTGCTCCGAGGGTATGAGCAAGGAAAAGCTTGTGAATGCCGTTGCTCTGATGGGTATCGATCGAGTAGACCGTGTTTGGGAGAAGAATTGGTTGTGCCATCTGTGGTTTTGTTGTTTCCTTCTCCAATCCAGATCTATGAAGCCTTTGGTGCAATGGTATTTTGGGGCTAGAAATTTACGGGTGCTGTTGGCTTTTGCCCATTGTGTCAATCTAATTCAGAATAGGTTGGTTGACTGTTCATGCCTTGACATTGCAAGAACTAACTTCTTTTCTCTTTGCAACTTATGAAGTAACTTCATTTTGCTAAGGGGAAAACAACATCTCCCGGAGAACAATTAGTCTGTACTTGCCATCGAATTGCTTTGCCTGTTCAGTCCAGAATTGTAAAGTGTAGCATATGCGTTTTTTTTAAGTAATTAGCTCATCTGTTCACAGGTAGTTTCCCCAATTTCATCATCCGATTGGCTGTTAATATTTTTTTTTAAAGGAAACACGTGAGGGGATTGGGTTCCAATAGATTGACTGGCAAATCCAGAAAATGATTAGTGTGGCTCAAAGGTAGGTCGGTTGAATGATGTGTTCCGAGAAATGGATTCCCACGATAAGTTTCTTGAATCTTATAGTACCTGGTACCACAGCAAATACTGTTTTATAATTCAATGTGATAGATCATCCAGGAGTATAGATTCATTAGGCCTCTCTGTATGGTGTTCAAGTGAGTCTTTCAGAGATCATTGGGTGAAGCAGCCCATACAAGTACAATTTAGCTTGAACAAATAAAGTAGATTTGTATAGCTATTTGTCTGGCTGCTGTATTCTTATTTTGATCATACATGTTCTTACAAAAACATAGACAATATATTTTTGAATTCTTGAAGTCGTTAGTGATATTTATTCTGAGCTTCCCTGATTGCTGAAATGATCTGAAACACTGGAAAACATTGGTTTTGAATGCCTACCTATCCTTTATGACAAGTGACATTGTTAGAATTTTCAAATTTTGACAAGAGTGACATTTTGAACAATTAGTACAAACCTGAGCATCAAGTGTGAGTGATTTAAGAAGGTAGATACAGGAATGATAGCATTCTAGTCATCTATTTAACAAGGGCAGTGTCCCTTCTACTGATGATTCTTCTAAATTTTGAATCGATATTCACTGTATTGCCAAAACAGCTAAACCTTTTCTCATATAATATGCTCAGTTCATTCATGATATTGCTAGTATTGTTCATTTTCTGTTCTCGACACTTGTGGACCATGTTCTATTAGATTTGAATCTCTTCTGTTAAATTTGCTATCATAAGGTTTACCCCGTTTCTTCCTCTGCCCTTCTAATTTCAATATGAGGAGAACGAATCGAATTCTTTGAATTTCAATATATCTGAATTTTCCCTTTTATGCTTTCAAGTTCCCTGCCAAATAATTTATGATATGCTCGACTAACGCCACTGCGATCTTTGACTATGTCTTATGTCCACAGGACAATTTTCCAAAGACTGCCAAAACTTTGAGTCCGTCTTCAAGATGTCGAGGAAGACCTTTGACTACCTTTGCTCTCTGATTAGTGGGGACTTCACAAGAAAGACACAAAGTTTCAGAAATTTCAGGTTTGGAGACAAGGCAATTCTAGGCGTGGAAGATCAAGTAGGTGTTGCTCTGTTAAGATTGACCACCGGTGAGTCGCTTTTGAGCATAGGGAACCGCTTCGGGATGAACCACTCAGCTATCTCAAACATCACTTGGAAGTTTATTGAGGCCTTGGAGGAGCGCGCTGCCAATCATCTTAAGTGGCCTACTCCTGAGGAGATGGCAACCGTCAAATCTAAGTTTGAAAAGATTCAGGGCCTCCCCAACTGCTGCGGCGCCATAGACACAACGCACATCCTCATGTGCTCTTCAGCTCAGCCTAACAGCAATGTCTGGCTCGACGGCGAGAACAGGAACAGCATGGTCCTGCAGGCCATCGTCGATGCCGACATGCGGTTCAGAGACGTTGTCAGTGGCTGGCCTGGCAGCTTGAATGACTCGTGCATCCTGCGCACCTCAGGATTCTACAGGCTCTGCGAGAAAGGCGCGAGGCTGGACGGACAAACGGAGCTTCCAGGAGAGCCAGCTGGGTCAGTGGTCAGAGACTACATTCTTGGGGATGCAAGCTACCCTCTCCTTCCCTGGCTGATGACTCCATACCGTGAGAAGGATCTATCTCCGGCGAAAGCCGACTTCAACAAGCGGCACGCCGCGACGATCATGGTGGTGCAGGGTGCTCTGGCCAAGCTGAAGGAGAGGTGGCAGGTTCTCAAGGGAGAGCTGTGGAGGCCGGACAAGCACCGGCTGCCGAGGATCATCTACGTCTGCTGCCTGCTCACCAACATCATGATCGACCTCGAGGACGCGGCGAGGGGCGGCATGCCGCCGTCGCACAACCACGACGACGGCTACCGGCAGCAGTTCAGCGATGTCGCCGACGTCGGCGCGGCCGCGCTGAGGGACCAGCTGTGCCAGTATGTGAGCAGGATTGGCAGCAGTTTGCCGGCGTGATTCTGGTCGCTTTGCTTGATTACTTTTGTCTCTTTTTGTTTACCTTGACATGAGATGAAACATACCAACAGGTGATAGAATTGTAATGCGAATTTTGGTTACTTTCGATGATTGGTCGGTTTTGATAGCAAGTATTCTGAAATTAGTCAAACATTATTAAGCAACTTAGCTATAAAGAATACCATTCAAATTCCAAACCAGGCCGAAGTAAATGTATGTAGTACTACGTCAAAACATGGCGGCTGTATACTGAAGACAATTTGGAAACTGGCTCGTCTTTGAGCAGAAACATGTTGCTACATGGTTACTGTGCTCGATTACAGCCAAGATCGACATGAAACCACAAGAGTAACAAGTGTGCCGACCACAACCTTCTTAGGATGACAATGATCGCCAGTTAAGCTGCACCTACCACTAACCCGTGGCAAATGTTCAAAGGACATTGCAAACTGGGAGTACTGATCTGCTAACAGAGACACTATCTGAGGCTTGCTCATCGTCAACCTGAAGGATGACACGCCATCAGCTGAAAATAGATCTCGCAAAGTGTTCTCTTGCCGTTGCTAGGGCACTGCTTAACTTCTGCATGTACAAAAAAGAATTAATTCACTTGGGAATTTTCTCATGTTGGTTTGGTGGCAATTACGACACCATGATTGCATCTCATTGTGCAATTGCACTTAAGGTGATGCGACGGCTTGCCATACCTGCTCAGTGAGAGACCCGGATCCTTCCAATCCATGACCTGATACCTTTTCAAGAATCGCCTTTGCATCTGTTTCCAGAACAATCCTGCAAAACCCGATTGTGAAGAAACAATTAGTAGCGTCAATCAATAACTACAGGTTGTCAAATGTTTAATATGCCTGATTGTAGATGTTCTACATTAGCATAGCATTTGTGCAAATGTTTATCTGAAAATTGGTTGGCTGTGAACTGAGCATACCCAACAATGAACTATAAAAATATTATAGATAACTGATAGCTGTCAATGCTGATTTTGTGTAAAATTCTGGCTCAATTCTCATCACCTAAACAAGGCCAGAGTGTAGTTTCTTTACATTAACCAACTAGTGCCTAACCTCACATTTCAGCAATACAAGCCCAAGACCTTGTCTGTTGCCTTTGATATGAACGTAAAAATGTGATAGTTATCAAAACTGGGCTTGTTCAATTGATGGAAAGCAAAGGTTAGCATATTGCAATGCAAACATAGTAATTACCCTCCATCAACAACTTCGTCAAGGCATAAGAAGATAAGATCCAAGTTTTCAAGCGCAGCCCTTCTGTGCACTTTGTTTCTGAAAACAAGAAAGAGAGTTGTTAAAATAGTATACAGTACTGACAAGCATTTATAATGGATGTTAAAAAAGATAGGAGTGTACGGCACAGGAAATGTCCACACCTGAGAAGGTAATCAATAGCTTCAGAGAAGCCCTGAAGAACAGATGCTAAAATGAGCTCATTCTCTTCATCACCTCCAGTTACAAAAAAGTGTAGATCTTGGATGAACTTGTATACAACGAAGTAACTGTCAAACATTACTATCTCAGCTGCAAATTGGGAAAGAAAAGAAAGAAATCACTGGATGAATATAGTTGGATGACTTGAACTAAACAACCTACCATGCAAATTTTACACTCATGTGCAATGCAATTATTCTAAAATCCCCCAAAATGAATGATCAACCAAAAATAAGGCATTTCAGATGACACAGGCATCGAGATCATTTCATTTGTTGGAACAAAAATTCATTTTTCCGAAACTTGAATCTTTCAGTCAATTTTAAGAAATGCAACGGAATTCATGAGCAGTAAAAAACAGATAACCTGTTATTCTATAATATAAGGTTAGTATTCCACAGCAAAATCTGGTGATAACTCTGCCAAAATTCAGAAATCGACCAATTAACATCTCATAACAAGCAAACCACAGGTTTACAGAAGATGAGCCAAACAATGGAATGATGCTCGAACTGGAAGATATGTGTATGCCTCTAGAATATTCCACAGGAGTCTTACAATAATCAACAATGCCATATTGTGAGATGCTAAATTGCTAATTGATGTTCTCAGGGATAAGGCAGTTGTTCTCTACACAAGTAGCACAGAGCACCTTTTTTTTTTGAAAAAAAAGAAACAAACATTGTTTTGATTCTTCCAGAACAGAACTAGAATAAAAGTATATTTTAATCACCTTCTGTTCTAGCGCTCGTTTTCTGGGTTTTAGCAAAGACCGACTTCTCGAAAGCTTGCTTCGAGGACAAAGAGGGCCAGTCATCGCTGTAGTACTTCACCGCCACGCGCTTCCCTTCGGAATCCAGCACAAGAATGTTCTTCACCGAAGGACAGGATTCCTGCACGAGCAAACGATCAAAGCCAACCCTTTCAAGAAATTATTTCCAGACAGCAAAATTTGGGAAACAAAAACATAAAAAAAAGGTCTTATTACGCATAAAAGATATGGAATGGCACGCCGAGTGACCAAGAACTCCGGATTTTTCACCATCTGCTCTTGGTCATAAACCCTAAACGACATAACTAGACCGAAGAAACAGAGATGCGCGCAATTAAACATCGTGAGAGGAGAGACTGGCGGAAGGAAATTACCATCTCGGGGAAGCGGATTTGCAGTATAGGGGAAGGGATGGGCGCGATGCCGCGATTGGCTGGTGGATTTGTCGCGGATTGCTGCGCGAGCGAGGCGATGGCGGAGGGGAGGAGGGAGCGAGTCCGCGAGACCAGGACGAGGACGGAGGAGGAGAAAGGAGGCGAGTGAAGCGGATTTTTCCTTTTCGGGTACAAATCCGATAACTGCAATATCATGATCCGGCCCAAAGCCCAAACAACGGCCCATAATTATTGGGCTGGTTACAGACTTACGGTTAAGAAAAAGATAAGAATATCAATAAATAAATCCTTCGGCCAGGGGCGTTAGAGCCCATTCAAAAAAGGCATTGTTTTGAATAAGCGAAACGGCATATTTGTAAACGTAAATTAATTTGTAAATAAAATTTTTATATACGTGTTTTTAGGCTAAAAAATAAACTTTGATTAAAAAGACCTTAAAATCAGCTTAAATTTAAATTTTGGCCGATAAGTATAAGTATAAGTATAAGCGAAAAGATGAGACCTAAATTTTTACTTGATTATCTACTTGATTATAGGAATAATACAATATTTTAAGATAAACTTAACAAATGACTTAGAATAAGTGCTGGTTTTTTTTCTTGAGAAGTAGCATAGAGCAAATAATTCACAGCAATAATTTGATGAAGTAGCAGGGCTTAGGCTGTGTTCGTTGTGCTAGTTGAAAACCTTCTATTCTCTTCCAGCACGGAAAACGGAGTACAATAGCACATGATTAATTAAGTATTAACTAAAACTAACTTAAAAAATAGATTAATATAATTTTTTAAAGCAACTTTCCTATAATTTTTTTTTAAAAAAACATACCGTTAAGCAGTTTAAAAAACGTGTGCATGAAAAACGAGAGGGGAGTAGGGAACCCTACAAAAGAACGCAGCCTTAATGGGCCTACTTGATTCTCTTCCATTTTTAGTATTGCTAACATTTTTACAATGGCAACCATTGGCAAGATTTGGCTATTGCAAATTATTTTTTTGGCAAAGATGATTGCTTGGATTGCTGGCAAGATTAGTTAGACTAGTAACGGAAAAAAAAAGGTATCGCCAAATTTGTGGTAGCAAACCAAACAAGTGGCAAATGTTCTGGCAGAGCCAACCTTTTTGGTAGGGTTGAATTTGGCAAATAACCAAACAGCCCCAACATTTTCTCTTAGCATATCCTTGGTCCTTTCTCTATCTAAAATTAATAAATAGATCAGATACAAAAATATTAGGGCATGTGCTATACTTGCAAAATGTCCTGCCAAGTTTCAAATGGTCCATAGATCCTTGCCTCATTGGGTTCTTTTTCTGGAAACTCAGCTTGGTTGAAGAGAGCTGTCAACCTTACACACTTAATCAGCACTCTTAGCTAACCTGAAACAAGACTTCAATCTCAGAAGCAACTTGTTATCTCATCTTCTCTCTTTCATCAGGTAAGGCTTTTCAGCGACAACTTGAGAAGTACTGCACAAGCTAGCTTCCTAAAGTCGTCTACTCCGGCAAGTAAACCGAATAACTCTGAAAAAAAGAAGCTGCAAATTGGATCAGTGGCGAGGTCACTACTACTAGTCCTTCCCGTGTGTTGACTTCCTTCCCACTGGATAGCTAAGTCAGTACGTAGTCGACTGCTAATCAAGTCAGAACTCAGTAAATCACCTTCAAAAGCAGCACGGTATCTTCTGATCTTGATGTCTTGATTGCATTCAGAGTTGCAGACACAGCAACAGCTGGGTAGTTAAGTTTTTTCTCTTGACCTGGGCACATCCTGGTCTGAAACAAAAGGGGTTCAAGGGTATTTTCTACTGAAAAGTAGTAGAAGGAAACGGGCTAGTTCAGGTTCGACTTGTGCACATGTTAATCGGTTAAGAATAGTAGTATAACGAAAATTAAGTGTGAAATTTATTTCGTCTCGAATTGCTCTTTGAAAACCTGAAAATACTGGGAAGTTGGCTGGCTTGAGGATGAGTTCAAGGAAAAGTAAGACAAGGACGATGGTGTTCTGCTTCCACAGCCTGTACTTTGGGTTGGAATCGAGTAGTTGCAGCAAACAAGCTTCTCTCTGAAAATTCAGGCAAATGGTTTTTCTCACGAAAGATATAAACAAGTAGGCGCAGAGAAGTTCCGGTGTTTCATATCCACACAAGATTAGCAAGGAGAAAAAGTATATGGCTCACAATTCAAGAAACACTAATATAAATGAAGCATCTTTGACATAACTGAAACTGCAGCTGTAACTGGTTTCATGTCATCCACGACGCATTGCCAAAACCTGGTGAACCTTCAGTTTCTGCAAATTTGGTTTCCTGCATTTATATAGCAAGATAGAAAACAATAATCGTTTACTAGATACAACCATGCCTAGAATAGATATGTTCGTCGCTAACCATTAACATATCATCAACGTGATGATGCAAGGTGCAATGTACTAAGTAAGAAATCATGAATTGGCATGGTGTGCGCCTAGATATGACAAGGCATAAAAATAAACTCTGACCTTGGTACTGCTATGTCATCTATGATGCAATCGCATTCGCACAAATCCTCATTTGATTTCTTCTGGATGAACCTTCAGTTGATACCAATTAATTACAGATCCTGACAGAGACACATTCTTTCATTGACTCAGTGAAACAGCAAAGCAAATGCAGATTAAACATCAAAACATGGAAGAGAGACATGCATACCTGCAATTATGCATATGTAGTTCAAGTAGTTACTATTATATTTTTTTGACTTGCCGGATTTAGGAGTCGTCATCCTGATACAATGAACCATGCGTCCATTGCTGGTGATTAGCCATCATCTGCATGCATATTCTGATATCCCGTTGGTAATTAACCGAGTTGAGTGCTTGTTGGATCCAAGTTGCATCGGATGAATTCCATACCAATTCCAAAGTCCACATCATATGGCGCGTACATTCCATCTGCATTTGTTGACTTCCCATGTTCTGAGATTGAAGTATTGTTTCACGTTAGAGTGGATCACCGTGTGGAGCCAGTATTATTGCCATTTGCAACAGGTGTTCGTACGCATTGGAACGCAGTGTACTGTGTACATCGATGTTCAGGGCCACGCGTGTCTAGAAAGCAGAGGGTATGTCGCAGAGAACCTTTTTGCGAAGAGAGCGAAAGTCCCGCCTAATTAATTCATTCGAGTACAGCAGATACGGATTTATAAATGCCTGCACGCCACCAAGATTACAAAGAATTCTAGTTATACACGAAAAAACAGGTATTTTACTGTTGTTGAGAAGACTACCGGAATGTATGTGCGTTGCTACGGGCTAAAAGAAAACAATCATATGACATAAAAGTCAAAAGTGCAATAATTATATTATGCATCCGGTGAAAAAAATAATTATATTATGCGGTGTGTTTTGGACCGCGAAATTAAGTGCCTGGAATATATAGATACAATATTTCAAATGTTAGAATTTCGATGAAAATTCTAAAATGGGAAACACATTTTTAGCCATTTCAGTTGTTTTAAGAAATAGAGGATATAATATATTGGTAGAATTCCTAACGAAAAGTTGCAAACACATGCAGCTATAAACTACCATCGTTTATTCTTCAGCTTATCAACCACAACTAAAATGTGAATTTAAAGTTAATTTTGATGTTCTTTTATCATAATTTATTTTTCAACATTTGCTTGATCGATGAAAATTCTAAAATGGGAAACACATTTTTAGCCATTTCAGTTGTTTTAAGAAATAGAGGATATAATATATTGGTAGAATTCCTAACGAAAAGTTGCAAGCACATGCTACTATAAAGTATAAACTACCATCGTTTATTCGTCAGCTTATCAGCCACAACTAAAATGTGAATTTAAAGTTAATTTTAATGTTCTTTTATCATAATTTATTTTTCAACCTTTGCTTGAGTCACTAAAAACACATGTATAAAAGTTGAGGGAAACTACAGAACGATATACATGTTCTAACAGAATGCTAATGTGTGCTAACATCAACATGATATTGTAGGTACCGAATATATTACCTCCGGTATCAAATATGATATCTCGTATGTACTAGATCTGATAACTAGGTATCATGATAGTATCAGTATGATATCATAGATATCGGATCTAGTACCTCCGGTATTAGATATATATGATATCTCGTATGTACCAGATCCGATATCTAGGTATCATATTGACGGCATCATGACGTCATCTATTTCGTTGGAACGGTATACCATTTTGTAATATTTCTGATAAATTTTTATTCATAATTTTTTAGCGCTAATAAATGTTTCAACTTATATATTTTACACTATAAGTCTTTACTGGCATTAATATAGATGAGCTAAACCTGAAAAAATCTGATCGACATTTTTTTGAACACCAATGTTTTTCTTGTGCTTATAATAAATGCTGTCGTAGGCTCTCCGGACCTTCATTATATTTGAGAGATATTTGAGAGATGAAGTGAATAATTCAAGTCATCAAACAAGCATAATGAAACATCCGACGCCTCGAGAGAGAAATATTGGAGACATTGCTGAGCCCTTAGCCTGCCAGTCAACTTCAGCCTGATATGTGCCCGTCAAACCACTCGAAGGCGGCGACCAGATGTGTTACACATTCAGAAGACTTGACAAAAATGACTAAAGATCTACAACCTCTCAAATATTCCTAACTCATACTCATGTAAATCTAGTTCCCAGGATGATGTGCACTAGATTAACACTTTCATCTTAAGCATGATTATACATAGCAAACACAACTAAGATGAAAGAAACTTAAGACATACAACAACTTAATAATTAGATAGGCCGACCGGCCAAATAGACTTATTAGAGAACAGCGGAAGCTTGACTACCCAATCACAAGCACACCGACTAAGGGTTTACCCCATTAAGTTCTCATCCTAGAAGAAGCAATCGAAACCCGCATCACTCAAAGACTAAGTCTAAACCTGCAAACAAAAGGTTATATCAACAGCAAGAGTCAGTACATTAAACAAGTTAATGTACTAGCAAGCACAAGTCAATCCTACCATACTACATGTAAGGCATATATTCAAAGGAAGGAAATATGTAGTTCAATTTCAGCATAAAGCAAGTTTTGTTTCGCAATTCTTTTGTAAAGGAGTTGATGCTTCAATTAACAAAGACAAGTTTTAAGTTTCATTATTAACTTCTTCATAATTCCATCATAATCAATCTCTTATTGCCATACTTAACAATAAGTCATAATGTATCACCACACACACAACTCAACACATTTATCAATTTCAAACCAATGTCACATGATCACATTTTTAAAACATAGTCTATACTCATGACACATCACCAAAGCGCTCATGACCGTGAGCATGGCTAATCAATTAGTTTAAAGAACTCTGCAGAGTTTGTACAGCTTTACCCACATGATATGAACTCTCTAGTTTGTTTTGAGTTTGCAAGACTCCACCACACTCTTCATGTTGAATGTGATCTAGAGGCCATAACGAAGCCTTTACACTACTTAGAGCCTAGCCTTGCACCAGCACGATACGTGTTCCTCCATCCTAGGCATACTTGGAATATACCTAGAACCGTTAAGTGGCGGGCCCACACCTTAAACTTAACGCCGTGGTGGCGGACACGACGGGAACCCACCACGTGGCACAATACCGTTATATTGGACACGCTTAGTCACCTAAACTACCACGTCGGGGTAAATAGGAAGCTCCTCTGAATTATACGAACTCATACACACCGGCCTACCAGAATGCAAGGCTATTCCTAAATAGATTAATCAGCTTAGGCCATCCCATACTAGCACATGTGGATGTACGAATAACTTTAAATGGGTAACACAAGTTCTGTCCTTATGGACTTGGGCAAACACTCCCCCTATCGGTATGCAACTAACACCATATGCACACCACTTGCCGCCCAAGTATAAAATCACATTTTACATATTTTAGTTCGCAAATACCCATCATATTCATTTTATTCCAGCAAAGGTTCACATATGAAAATCACATTTTAATTATAGATGGAATGAGCATTTGCATATTTCTAAGCATGGCTAAGCAAGTAGTTGCACATAGAGCATATATAAACCAATTTGAGCACAAAGAGTGTACTGTAACCATTTCTAGGGGTTCAAGCTGCAAGAGGCTCAATTATTCAAGGTAGGGAATGCAGCAAATAGGTCATAACTACCTTAACCCAATTTTAAATACCAATATAGTTTAAGTTCACATGCAACTTTGCAAACAAATATTTTCATTCCTCAAATCATGGGATTCAATGCGTTCAAAGGATGGGAGGAGAAAACTTGCCTTGATCAGATAAATGTTAGCACCTAATCCACTTCTTCACCGATTATGCAATTATCTAGATAAAGGACACGATATGCAATTAAATACCGAAAGAGCTGAAAATCCAAAATGCTCTAAAATGCATGATTTATGCACAGTGGGTTGGTACTGATCTAAAATGACTTTAGGTGAAATAATTCCTATTTTATTTTATTCCATTTGGGAGTTATGAATTTTAGAAGTTTTATCGGTTTATAGTAGTATAGTCTTAGGTAGTGTTATAAAATACTTTTGTAAAGTGATTTTTATTATATTAGACTTCACAGGGGTGTGGAGATGTGTTTTCTAAGACTAACACATTTGGTTTCACAATTTTTGGAGTTATAATGATTTTCTTATAGATTTTACAAGTTACAACGTGTTTTAGGCATATAGTGTTTTATATGTTCATGACTTTTGAGTTATAGGTTCAGAACATGCTACTTCCTGTTTAAGTTGAATAAAAGGAATAATTTGGTTAACTAAAACATTTTTATTTCACATGTTTATGGTCTTTACTACTATGGTTCATATTTTATAAACTAGAGATGCTCTAATCTAAACTAGCAATATATTATATTAACCTAGAAATTGTCATATGAGCTAAGTTCTTCTAAGTTTTAGTGGATGAGGATGGAACTATGGCTTCACTGGTCAATCAAGTTTTTATTTAGGTTTAATTAGACCTAAAGTGTATATATACTTATACATGTTTATGTATTACTTAAACAACACTATGTGTTTAAATTCTTATTTCACTAAGTTAAGGTTTTGATCTATGTTCTCTACAAAAGGTGCCAAATTTTATTTTACTATGTTGAAGATAACTATTTGCTGGTTCTATGGAAACTTTGTTCATTTCATTTGGACTAAAAATGAATTTTCTACAAGTTTTACAAATTAAAGGCTGCTCTATGTTAGTAAATCCTTATATGAATATTTAGAGACTTTTACTACACAGTAAGTATATAATCTTATTTCATAACATGGAAATACATGTTTTGGTGATCCTACAGAACTTAAGTTTATTCAAATTGAAGCTAAATTGGGTTCTACATGAATTTCTAAAGTTTAGCTTATCTAAAACTAATCATTTTAGATATAATAGTTTTAGAGGAATTTGATGCAAAGTAAGTAATTACTTTTATTTCACCTAATCAGAGAGTGCATGCATGATGATGAATCTGCAGTTTTTGAGTTTGTTTCAAAATGAGTTGAGATGAATTTTCTATGTATTTTATAAGTTTGTACATGTTTTATGTATGACCTATCTTAGATAAATTTTAGAGACATTATTTGTACAGTGAGTGTCAAGTTTTATATTCCTGGAATAAAGTTCATAACTTCAAGAATCTACAGCAACTGTAATCACTTTAAAATGAGCTATATTTGATTTTATATAGATTTTACAACTTTGTGCATTTTTCTGCTAAACATATATTTGTTTGGGCATTTTCTTAATTATTCTTCAGATTTTAAAGGATGGGGTCCACATGGCTGTGAGGGACCAATATGCACAAAGGCCCTTGAGGTTTCTAGGAATCAACCCGCAGTCCTAGGCCCATATGTCAGTGTGTTTCTACAATTGTAAACGGATCCCTGCACTTAATCTAATTCACGGAAGTCATCCCTCTGCTCTAGACAGAGCAGAGCTAGCCATGGCTGAGCTCGATCTCGAGCTCGCCGGCGGCAAACGGTGGCTCGTTTGAGGTTGAGGTCAAGAGATAAAATGAAGAGCAAGCTCTCGCGATTCCATTCCTCTAGTTTTCTTGGTTAGAGGACATCGGAGTAGCGCCGATGGCGAGTGTGAGCGGCGGTGGTTCTTGGGGTGAAAGTGCATGTGTGCATGGAAGTCGATTCCGAACGAAAAGGATGCATGCATGTGGTCTTCTAGACTTCAGGATGCTCACCGTGGGTCGAGCTAGGGTTGTCGAGGTCTTGGCGGCAGCGGTGACTTGTGGAACGGCTCGGCGACGGCGCTCCTCCTCGGGTGAACGACGACGGCTCGAACGGGACAATGAGCTGCTTCAAGCAAGCATGCACGAGGGTTGTGAGGTCAAGGAGATGGTGTATGCGCAAGGAATCGAACAATGGCTCACCGAGGCAGCGGTAATCGATGATGACGGCGGAGGCAATTCTAGATCGGCGCCGGTGAAGAAAAGATGTGTTCTCCAAGTCCTTCACATCTCCGGCTGGGGTTCTTGAGGCGTATTGAAGAGGAGGATGAGGCGATGACGATGGCGCAGTGGCTTGCTCTGAGGTGGTCGAGAATGGCCGGACGACGACGATGGTTGAAGTGGCGGCGCTCCGGTGCGTGCTCCAGGGCGTTGTCAGCGTGGCTTGCGTTCCCAGCGATGCACTGCACGAGAGGGGTTTAGGTCAAAAGAGGAAATGCTCGGCATTGTGTGGAGAGATGGGAACGCGAAAGAGATGGAGGTGACCTTGACTCAAACGGAGATGGCGAAGGTCGTCGTCACTATGACCGGCGGCGAGGTTGAGGATGACGGAGAGGCTGAGGACCTCTCCCTCGACTTCTTCAGCTCCAGAGTGATGTGTGGAGTTGGGCGACTCGGTCTGGAGGAGATGGAGGCATGACTCAGTGACTTGAAGGCGTCGACACGTCGTCACCACGCGTCGACGCGTCCAGGACTCGGTCGGCTCTCGATCTCTTGCTCTCTGTGTTTCTTGGTCGGCTAAGGATGACGGACAGAAGAAGGGCGAGCTGGAGAGGCTGCCAGGTGGGGCCAAGTCGATGGAAGCTAGGCTAGGAAGAGAGGTATGGGTAGGAGTTTGGGTAGACTTAGTTTTTGGATAATTTTCGGAATTATTTCTTCCCCCTAAGTTTGCAACTCAATATCTTAATATGTGGACCAGAAGAATTAGTGTAGATTTTACTGGTGGTAGATGTTTATATCTAGATTCCATTTTCTTTGATTGCACTTAAAAATAATGGGTAGACTGCTCATAGAAATTAAACAAAGACGGGCTATTAGAAAGCTAGATTGAATTTTTAGGAGGCTTAAATAGAGGAGGAAAATTCTAGAAAAGTTATATTTAGGCATGATAAATAATCTAGTATTTGAATAAATTATTTTCCATGTTCACTTATGAGCAGTTAAATGTACTTTTGGATGAAGTATGGCTTTAGCCGATTAAAATTTAATTTGATTCCTTTTAGTTTTATGCTTTGACTGATTAATTTGTGGTATTAAACTTAGTTATTAACTTGTACCAATATTATAGTGAATTGCTTGTGCTAAACATTGTCTATCTAATTTTTTTCCATGGTTTTTAACTTGCACATAATATTTTAGAGAATTAGGATTACTTTACTTTGTATATGTGTTCCCACTTCATAATTGCACCTAATATTGTTACAGGGATTACATTAAACTTCTTTTGGGCTGAGAAGATGATATTTGAGTTTAATATTAAGTCCACATGTTATCACCCAAGATTAACTATAGGTTTGTTTAGTAATTTTAACCCTTTTAGTTTATGCTCATGAGACCTATTATGAAAAGCGAGACCAAAATCCAAATGCACAAGGTACTCGAGCCTAGGCATGCATTATGCACGTGTATGCTCAAAAGCTTGATGACATTTCTAGTCTAATGTTGGAAATGAAAAGGTTTTATTTTGTTCTCAAATTTTAATCATGCAATAGTTTAAGTTGGTCATCACCTAAATTAAAACGGAAATTTTTTTGCTCTCAAAAATTGGAGAAGTTAACCTCTAACTATTACAAATGCAGTCCGCGCTCTTCATCAGCACAGTGAAAAAACATATGTACAGACTAGAAAACGCTGTACGGTATAGTTAAACGGTACGCTAGTAATAAGTAATAACCCACAAAAAATAGTCTTAGCTTTTCATATTTTGTCATTACTATTAAGGGCAGTCCTAACCCTCCACCTAGGATGGTGTGTATGACATTAATTATATTGCTATGTAGGACTTTTAACTTATATGACACTATATTAATTAAGAGAAAGAGTGAAGAGAGGAAGAAACTGGGTCTCATGCATGACATAGCTTCAACGCTATCAAGTTTTGCATTGGGAGAGAATAGTGTCTTCATAATAGATGAAGAATAAATATTATTGGTAGAGAAGAGAGATGATGTATTTATTAATGGCCCACTTTAAGAAATCATGGGTTGTAAAGTGTAGTTTATGTTGTGATGTCTTATTGAAATGGTATCATAGACACTGCTTATGGATATCATGGGTTGGGACCGCCCTAAAGGACAAGCCATGGCTAGGAACTTAAAAAGAAAAACATTAATGTTGGGGTCACCCACTAATTAATTCCAAATGACGTCGGAACTACCCTATATGATTTGAATCGTGCAAAATCGATTTCTCTATTTTTCGCATCGTACGTTCCAATCGGGTATACTAGATGAGAAAATGCATATTAATTAAGTTCGGCGTTTCTTTTTCCACAATGATGATTAGCCGCGAGCGTAACCATCATGCTGAGTTGCTCATAGAGAATTACCATGCAGTCAGTCCAGTCGTATACTTCTAGAGCAAAATCTGTACAACATTGTGACCTAATTTTCTTAGACATTTTTGCAAATTCCATCAGCTAGAAGCAACCAGACCTTGGAAAGACAACCATTCCAGACACCTGAGCCACTATCACAGAAGTCGTCCGATATTAAATATGCCGAGTTGACCTTTGGCACTCAGATGATCGTGCAGCTATATAAATATAGTAATAATATTATTAAATATGAATAATAGTGTGACACAGAGATTGTTGTTTATTTTGTTATGATTTACTCCCTCCATCCCATAATAAGTGCACTTTTGTATTGTTTATGTCCAATATTGACCGTTCAACTTATTTGAAAACTTTTTATAATTAGTTATTTTATTGTTAGTAGATGATAAAATATGAATAGTACTTTATGTGTCACTATTTTTAAAAAAATCATAAAATTTTTAAATAAGATGAACGGTCAAACGTTGGACACGAATACCCACAACTGCACTTATTTGCACGGAGGTAGTATTTTATTACTACCTCTATCCCAGAAAGACTGTAATTTTGTACTGTTTATGTCCAACGTTTAACTGTCCATATTATTTGAAAAAAATATTATTAGTATTTTTATTGTTATTAGATGATAAAACATGAATAGTACTTCATGTGAGACTATTTTTTAAATTTTTTTCATAAATTTTTAAAATAAGAAAGACGATCAAACGTTGGACACAAAAACCCACAGTTATACATAAATTGGGATGGGCGTAGTATTAAATGTACTTTAAATAAGTGTGACTTATATTTTGACATATTTACCTTTTTTTTTAAAAGACGAATGATGAAACATGGAAGACGTTATATTTTTTATATTATAAAAACGGAATACAACTTATGCAAGCATGACCTAGCAAGTACGTTAACACTTATCTCTTCGGCACTTGCCTAATTAGAGTTGTTTAAAAGAAGCTAATTTATTAGTGCTCTATGTACAACTGCTGCAAGAAAATTCAAAGAACACGTTTCGTGAAATCGTGCCGCACATTGATGTGTGTGTTGCTGTGGTGACTGGTGAGTCAGTCAGTCGGAGTCCAAGATTTGGTTCTTGGTTAGAACATGGTACTCACTACTCGTGATGTTTGTGTTGACAAAATATGCAGGATTCAGGAACAAATGGTAGGTGTAACTAGAACTCTTTGCACGCATGAGTCATGCATGATAGTGGTCGTTCTATATCTATATGTGCTGCAAAAATTAGCTTTTGAGGTTCAGCTCAATACCTTCTCTCTTTTTTTTTTTTGAGAGAGAGAACGCCCCAGGCTACCAGCCTAAGACATGCGTGTGTGTTGACCATTTGACCGATCTTGGGAGTTCATCTAGTTCAGCTGATCCCTTCTACTACTATTTATCAAGTTTAGGCACTATGATTTCTTATAATTTTGGAAATCTTTTAGTCAAACTATCAAAACTTAATTTGACTATTGGCAATTAGTAGTTTGTGACGGGGGAGTAGTTGCATTGAAGACATGTTCTCGTAGTGGCATCTGCTGTTCTCACCTATGAACAGGCGGTGCAACAATTAAAAGCGTAGAATGCGTTAAGTAGTGTGCAGAGAAAGGCATTAACTGAATCATTGGAATATTGGATGGGCCCAGTCAGCCAAACAAAATGCACACACCTAGCCATTTCGCCCCACTGATAACCGGTCAAATCGTTTAATTTGCCGCCAAGACCTGGACTGCATCACCAAACTCATCTTTCTCTCTTCTTTCTCAATTCTGAATTCTGTTACAAGCGTAATTGCGGAGTTGCATCTGAAGTTAGGTGTGCCCACCACAATAATAATCTTCGCAAGTTCCAAAAGTTTAAACATGTAAGTTTGAATTCCTCGGTAAAGCTCAGAACGTGAGCTAATTAACACGGATTGGCATTTGACTCAGCTACTGCAAAGCTGTCAAGCTGATTATTCATACAAGGTTAATCCAGATGAAGTGCTCATCAGAAAGTAAAAATAAAGACCATGCATTCCACTATTCCAGTCAAGAAATTTGTGGGTGAATGAAGGCATGAACATTGCCGTGTCAAACAGCTATAACTAGCTAACCACGAGTACCTTATGCAGTCCCAACGGAACACACTAGTACAGTACTGCACTAGTTTTTTAAAGCTCTCTCTGAATTCAGCTCGTGTTCGATCACATTTTGTCCGTACAGAACATCTTGGTTAAACGTTTTAATACAATTAGCATGGTGGCCCGCGCAGATTGCGCGGCTAGCATCATTATATTTTCTCTCATATAATAGCATATATGCTTTCTCATTATATTATTCAAATATATTAAAATAACATCATAATTTTAAATTTTGCAATAACTTTACGAAACTACAAATGTGTAATATTCATATTGTATTTTATATACGTGTTAGTTATTAATTATTTTTAATATCAAATTTTAGTTATTTGTAAATTATATTCCGAATTTTCTGTAAATTGTATTTCTATATAGACTCTAGGCTCTTCTTCCAATATTATTTATTTTTATTTCTGAATTTTTATTATTTCAAATTGTATTTTTATGTGGACTCTAAACTCATCTTTCAATATTCTTTAATTTTTAATTTCGAATTTCAGTTACTTCTAAATTGTATTCCTATGTTGACTTTAAACTCTTCTTCCCGTGTTTTTCTTAATTTCGAATTTTAGTTATTTGTAAATTATATTTTTATACAGACTCAAAACTCTACCTTTAATTTTATTATGTTTATTCCGAATTTTAGTTAGTTTTAAATTCCTATATGGACTCTATACTCTACTTCTAATATTCCTTATTTTTTTAATTCCGAATTTCTATTTTTTTCTTAATTGTATTTCTATATGGACTCTATACTCTACTTCTAATATTCCTTATTTTTAATTCTGAATTTCTATTATTTTCTAATTGTATTTCTATATGGACTCTATACTCTACTTCTAATATTCCTTATTTTTAATTCCGAATTTCAGTTATTTCCTAATTGTATTTCTATATGGACTCTAATATCCTCTTCTAATATTCCTTATTTTTTAATTCCGAATTTTAACTATTTCTAAATTGTATTTCTATATGGACTCTAGTCTCCTCTTCTAATATTTCTTATTTTTTAATTCTGAATTTTAACTATTTCTAAATTGTATTTCTATATGGACTCTAGTCTTCTATTCTAATATTTCTTATTTTTTAATTTCGAATTTCAGCTATATCTAAATTGTATTTCTATATAGACTCTGCATTTTCTTTTTCTTCGATTAATGTAAGAATTTCTAGACCATGAGAACGAATGTGTAGACTCCTTTTCCTATTCATTTAATAATATAATAGATTCTGCCAGCCGGTCCAATGAATGGAACGGCCGTAGCATGTAGTATATGCGTCGTCGTCAGCAGCTTGAGGTACGTGTGTGAAACCCGTGCTCTGCAGCTTCAGTGTGCAGGCTTGGGATTGAACGACCGGCCGGCGAGCAGGCCACGCCCGCACGCGACGTCGCGCGCTGAGGCAAGAAAACATGGCGAATTGCCCGAGCCAGAACGCCACCCCGGCCGCGCGCCGCGCACGTCACTCGCAACCGCCTCCGGCGCCGCGAGCTCGCTCTCTCGCTATCCATCCGAGTGGTTGGAGGCAACTTGGCGCTGCTGCTGCAGCCACTCTAGAAGACAACAAGACATAGCCCGTCACCACCACAGATATGCAGTGCACACACATGTTGACTAAAGCTAGCTAGCTACTTGTACTAAAACAAGGTGTTCGTCCCATGTACTACTACTACGGGAGGAACTAATTAATCTGATCATGCTCTCTCGTGGTCAAATGGTTAGAAAAGTACACACACATCCACATCTAGAAGCAAGCCGGGCCGTTGTTCGTCGTGCTAGCTCGATCCATTTCCTACGTGTGCACCAAACCACAAGTTTCAGCTTTGCTGCCATTTGGTCTTTCTAACTCTCTCTATATATATAGTCATACGCGCAGCATATGTGCAAGTATTGTTGCACAGTGCAGCGGATATACAGATTTCGATCGGCGACGTTAGTGATCAGCTGGGTTAATTAATTACGTGGCTAATTAAGCTAGCTATAGCCATGAGCAAGAGGAGCAGGAGCATGTGGGACATGCAGGAGTTCGTCGGCAGCGTGGACACGGCCCGCGTGCTGATGCTCCTCGCGCAGCAGAGCCAGCACGGCCTGCTGGGCGGCGGCGGCTTCGCCGCCGGCGCGCAGCCGGTGGTGGTGCGCGGCGGCGCGCACGACCGCGTGTTCGAGTGCAAGACGTGCAACCGGCAGTTCCCGACGTTCCAGGCGCTCGGGGGCCACCGCGCCAGCCACAAGCGGCCGAGGCAGCAGCAGCAGCACGCGCTCGGCGGCGGCGCCGGCGCCGACGACGCGGGGCTATGCCTCGGGAGGCAGCCGACGCCGCCGCGGCCGCAGCCGGCGAAGCCGAGGGTGCACGAGTGCCCCGTCTGCGGGCTCGAGTTCCCCATCGGGCAGGCGCTCGGCGGGCACATGCGTCGGCACCGCGCGGAGGCCGAGGCGGCGGCGACAACGACGACGACGACGACGAAGAACGGCGACGTAGGCAAGGCGGCGGCCGTGAAGGCCTGCGACGGCGGCGGTGTCTGCCTGGACTTGAACCTGACGCCGTCGGAGAACCGCGCAAAGTGCCGGAACGTGGTGGGTCTCGGCGCCGGCGGGCAGGGCGTACACAAGGCGCTCGCCATGTTGGATTGTTTCCTTTGAGCCGTTCAAACTGCACATATTATTGCATGATAGCTGTTGCCGATTATTCCTTTGTTTCTTGATAAAATATACACCGCTGATTTTTCCTTTTGATCTTTACCTTTCTTTATTTACTTTTTAACATTTCGTAGAATTGATGTAATTTTGGGGGGTTTTATAATATGCCAGGGTAGTTGAGAATGAACTCAGAGATGAACTCTTGTATTTTTGTTGTAAATAACAATAAATTCATGAAAGTTAGTGGTATGGTTTTTTCTTGTCATTCCTCCGTTGCATATTTCTGACGTCAGTTGTAACACGACAACCTCGATTCAACTCTGACAATGTGTAATTGAGTTGCCCGTGAGTTGTAGATCGAACATTGTTTTATTACTTTTAGAGGCGATTACCTTTGTGAGATCATAACATGCATGTTTAACTAGACATATTGTGACAATGTGTCGCATATGGTACTATTGATTTTTTAGGGGTAGAGAGAGTATCTGTCAATTTATACCATTTGTTTCTTGACTTATTAGCTATACAACCAAAATTTAAATTTTAAAATTTAATTTAGAAGTTGATTTTGGGGTTCTTGTCATACTCATATATTTTTCAGCGTTGGCTACATATATAAAGATCTACCCCTAAATTATTTTTTTAATCATTGATATTTCTACGTACTGCTAATATCGAGCTATCAAACCCTTTCACTCCTTTGAAATTCAACACACTAATCCGATATTTTTCTAGACAGAAAAAGGGTATATATGCTCATTCATCATTCATCAACTTTTGTGGGATCAAACTTTCACGGTTAATTAATCCACAATAAAAAGAATTGTCCAAGTAAGTTTAAAATATGTGATAACTGATATTCCAAATAAAATTGAAAGCATATCAAAAATTATATTTGTATAAAAACTCATCTCTATTTAAAAAAATAACGAAATTCGAAACTGAAAGTAGAAATGAGCAATCAATTTGTACAATAACTCAATTCCAAGTAAACTAAAATAAATTAATTTTATAGTTAGAAATTAGAATGGTAAAGTGTGAGTGAATTGTTCGTTCTTAGTCGCCATTTTTAATTAAGTAAATTTCACAAAACTACACATACTTTTACCAAACTATCACAAAAACTACATATATTAAGGTCTTGTATCACAAAATTATATATTTAGCGCAAAATTTCTCATAAAACTACATATTTAGGATGAAGTATCATAAAAATAAAAATTAATTAGGAAAAAAATTACAAAAATGACAGGTTTAGTACATATCCCAGATCTACAACATTTATAGATCCAATATAACGTTAGTAATAGGTATTTAAATCCTAGAATATGTATTTTGCGATAACTTCAATATTAAATTTGTAGTTTTGTGATCCTTAACCTTAATATGTAATTTTGTGATATCTATACTAATATAAAAATGAGTTGCCCCCTCTAATCCTACATGCCAAATCAAATGTTTACATCCCTACCGTCCATTCGTAAATCAGATGTAATCTGTACCGTCCAGCCTTCTCCACCGCACGATTCCCACTCTCCAGGCGCGAAGGCCGGGCGAAGATTACGCCTCATCACCCTCTCAATGCGCGGCTCGCTCCTCGCATCGTCGTCCCCTTCCGCCGCCACTGCGCACTCTACCGCCGCCGCTTCCGCGCACTGAACCGGAGGCGAGGTCTTCCCCAGCCACCGCCGGAGCTTCCCCATCCGCTGCGGCCGGAGCCGACGTCGTCCCCATCCGCCGCCGCCGGAGACAAGGTCTTCCCCATCCGCCGTCGTCGCCGCAGTCCACCGCTGCCCACGAGGTCGTCCCCTTCTGCTGCCGCCGCCACCGCGCACTGAACCGGAGGCGAGGTCTTCCCCAACCCCCCACGGAGCCGAGATCTTCCCCATCCGCCGTCGCCGCCGCACTCATCCCCCGTCTTCATCGTGCGCATCCCTGTCGTGCGCCATGTTTAGTTGTCTTCACCCTCGACGCCCCGGAGTCGAACGCCCGCTGCCCACCTCCACGCCACCGGACAACTTCCATCCCTATCATCCTCCTCTCCATCGTGTCCTTGCCTTCTTCGTTATCTACATCTACACGCCCGAGGAGGGATGACTCCAACCGCGGAGGTAGGAGCTGATAGCCTGATTGGGGATTTTTTTTTTTTTTTTGTGTGTGTGGGAGGGTGGGTGGGTGGGAATCGCAAAGGCGATAATGGTGGGGAAGGTGGGGCAGGAGCCGATACAGAAGCGGCTGCGGAGAGGGAGAACGGTCGTACTGTTCTCGCTCGGCAGTCGGCACCGGCGGCATCCGCAACAACCGCCGCCCGCTGGACTGCGAGGAGCCGCACCAGTACGCTGAACGCTGCTCCGTGCAGTGGCACCGCGTCTGCATCTACCCGGACCGGCTCGGCAGGCCGGCAGCCTCGCGCTCAAGCACGTCAAGACTTGGTGAGCCCTCTGTTGCCTCTGCAGACGAGCTATCGCGTAAACGTAGTAAAGGGTCATTTCCTGATGTTTGAGCGTGACAACCTCAGACTTTGTATGTTGGATTAGATTCTTAGTTACAATGGTTCAACTTCATAGCTCTGTTGCAATTGATTTGTTGGTGAGTAAAGCGTCTGTTATAATTATACTTGATATGCTTGTTACTGGTTTCCTTGGGGTAGAGTTTGGTATATTCCTTTAGCTCTACATGAGTGGGGATTGGCAGATGCCTTTTTCTCTTGTGTCAATCTATCGACTTGAATTTACTCTACCTCTCATTTGTGATTATATCACTGTTCTACTGTATTACCCTTGTAGTTAGAAGCTAAATATATTGGTCTATCTTTCGCAGTTGTCAATTTGTATATAAGTGACATGGCAATAATGTTTTAAGGTTTTAGCTTTGTGCAGTTCCTTTTTAAAATTCTTTGGTTGATTGACTCCCCAAACACAAGTAAATTGTACCATTGCAACATTTCAGTTCTATTCTTTATCTGGAAGGAAATCTTGAGACGAAAGTGTTTTCTCTATAACTAGACTGGTTCGGCGCATAAGAGAAATAGCTGTGCGCTCAAATGGTATGTTTATTGCACCATTGATTTTGACTTGTGGCAAATTTGCTTGATTGATACATGTTAGAATGCAATTCCAATAGATATCAAAAATTAAAAATTTGATAAAATGTTTGATTATGCTTTGGAAATTATACAAAATGAAAAGATCAATCTATATGTAAATCATTGATATCCTGGGTACTTAATCAACAACAAAAGTCATTGCCCCAGATCCCAAATTTCATAATTTTATCAGTTGGCCATTTTTGTTTTTGATCCTTGCACACAATGACAGTACCTCTGAGGTATTGTTTCACTTTCACCCTGAATTTACATGATAAATCCTAAATGAAATTATAAATGCAGCTGTCAATTTGTTTTACCTATATAAATGATGCAAGATTCAAGTGCAGGAGCTGAAAATTTATCTTTCAGGGACCAATAAGAATACAAACTTAACAGCTAGGTATAATCATAAGATTATATATCGTGTTTCATTTTGTTATCATTAAACTAATCCACATGGTGTTCAAGTGATTACACAAGTGCATAGATTGTTTTAAAAGTTGGGTTCGATAGATATGTAGAATTCCATGTCACCATCGCTGAAGCCACGCAGGAAAGCCTCATGTTTGCACCTAGGCCTTCAGCGGCTGTAGCGACTGCATGTTGCGGATGGTATCCTTCCATTACGATGAGGATGTCTTCCAGATCAGCTATCATGGTGGTTCCTTGTTGTGCCCATGGGCAGCACACCAACTGTTTGATGAAATGCATGGTCGAGGTGCACTCATGTTACTCTTTGAATCCTTATTATTATCTCATATTTACTCTATTTTGCACTATATGTTGTGATTTAAAGCTCTGCTTGTGTAAACTAAAGCTGAATTGTTCTTTGGTCTCGAATACTTCATATGGTGCAGGCAAATACTTCATTTCTTCATATTGTTCAACTGCAACTGATTTGGAAGTCCACAGATAACGAGATGTGACAGATGGGCCATTAAGAACTCTCTAAGTCCGTTCTATCAAATGTAAAGTAAGATGATATACCCTTCCCAGTATTACCTTATTATATTTACCTGTCTTCTTTTATTGACAAAAAAGTCATGTGAATCATGGAGTGGAATATTAAACAGCCACTGCATATAGCATTGCATTATCTGGATGAGTTATCATCAAGCATCATCCTGCTATTTCTAATCAGCGTTGCACATGTATTTCATCAAGCTCCTCTGTTACTTTCTGGCTACATGAAGTGGAGTTACTAATATATTGCTATATGAAGTGAAAGTTTCTTCCTGCTCAAAAAACTACTACTATAATAAAATGGCTAAATATGCCAATTTTCTACCACTACCGAATCTGAAGTTCAACTGATGTGCTTTATTTCCATGTTAGCCTTGATATGGTCAGCCCACCAGTATTAAGATTAACAAATTGCATGTCATATTTGTGAGAACTGAAACCGCTTCTTTTGAAATGGGCTCTAATTGTTGAAATATGTTTTTTTTCATGTCTGTGCATGATTGGAGTATCTATTTTTTTTCGGCTGTACTGAAATTTGGTTTGCGATTTAACCTGTGAAAAATATTTCTTTGCACTGCTCTATATCTTTTATTTTGAAAGCAACATCCCGAGGATGAAGGCTCTTGTACTAAAGAAAATCTTTAGTTCCTCTCCTTGCAATTTTTTCGGTTCTTCTTTTTGTTTCGATTAATGAAACCAAAAATTCTTGAATTGAAGGAAAACAGGTAGCTCTACTATGTTTATGGTCTTTCCTATTGAAGTAGGAATTCATAGGTGTGTAGCAGTGCTCAGCGATTGCACGAGGTTGGTTCTCCACTTCTCTGCATCAGATTGGATATATTTCAATTGCTTGGATTTTGATCTATACTGACTTCCTTTTAGCTAAAACTTGATTACTGATAACAAGTTCTACACAGTGAAGGGGATGCAAAAGATGGTGTCTCCACCTCTGACTCCATTCATGTAATCATGTTCATGGTCTGCTCCATTGAGTTTATTTTTACTGGATGCACATCCTTCCATTAGTAGTTCTTGCATGAAACTGCAATAAGTAGCATTCATATAGCATTCTGTTGCCAGTATCTTCAGTAAAGCATGTATTGTCATTTGCTTACCTCTTTTGTGTTTTCTTCTTTTGATGTGTAGGAGACCAAAAAACAAGCGTGTACAAACGATGGAAAGAGAATAAACTATGTCAAACGATCAAGATTGCATCGCTCATCTTTTGCCACAAACACTGCAAGAGAGATTGATTTACATATAGTGAATGAATCAATTCTATAGTCTCAAAGATTTATCTCTTGGTTTTCTTTAGATGGGATGCGTCTCAGATTAAGTTTTATGTAAATTTTAAGTTGCCAAAATAAACAACTAAAATAAATCTTTATGCTGCCACGCCAAAGGATTCACCTGGATGCTACAGTCAACATGCTATGACAAGCGGAACAACGTTTATTCTTCTCTTTTTTATATAGTAATATGTCCTTGCTATATAAAAATAAAAGCAGAACTACAATGTCTTAAAGAAAAAAAAACATGTTTCTTGGGTTTATGTAGCCTTGGTCTATTGCCAATCGTTTGAATGTGATATGCTTATCAAAATGGTTCATATTCATATAATATTTGTTAATATGTGCATTGCACGTGCACGATTACTAGTAATGTCTTAAATCCATAGTTTTGTGATCGTTTAGTCAAAGTATATTTAGTTTTGTGAAATTTACTCTTTTTAATTTTGGGTTAATTAGCGGTGCCTGCAACGTAATATAGTATCTGAGTTAGATGGGGAAATTAGCCTTATTATCAATTAATTTAGTAATTGATCCGCTTTGCATCAAATTGATTGTGACCAACCTAGTAACTTCAATGTGAATTTTTGAAACGAAGATTTTTTTTTAAGAACCACCACCATGTGCCTGCCATTAGTTGACAGAGGTTCACACGCCTTAATTTAGGGCTGTCAACGAGCCGAGCTCAAGCAAGCCAGAGCGTAAGGCTGCCTTATGCTAGAGGTTGAGCCAAGCTTATTCCACCTTTATGCTTTCAGGCGGGCTTGGCTTAAGTACGTGATAACATATATTTGATGATAATTTCGTAGTAAAAAAACAATTTAGAATGTACCAGCCCATATAACCAGACTCATTAGATGCTTTCAGCTCAGCTCAACAAATTTTGCGAGCTTGGGGTTGGGCTCGAGCTCGGTTCGTTAAGAGCTCGAGCAACTCGCAAGCCTTGAGCTTTATTATTATTGTTGTTATTTTACAGCCTTAGGCCAATCCTCCGTATGCACCAAATGAGCGTGCAAAGATGCAAAAGCATAGCGAGATTTTTCTCATGAAATGTATTGGGCAATATCTGTCCCTTGCAACTTATAAGTTATAACCACAAGTCCACAACTCCGTAAGTATACATTGGAACATGAACATCAGTGTCCTGTTAAAGGACTTATTTTGGGCCCTCCCTCTGTTTATTGGCATGAAGACCAAAGCAGGCATAAGGCCCACCTGGCCTAGTCCAGTCTGATAACATCATACACAAGGCTCAGGCCAGATCATATGCCAGTGTCTCGCACCAATTACATTGTCAAACAGCAGGGCACCACAAGCAATAAAGTTCTACTAAGATCTCACCCTCTTTAGAAGGAAAATAATTTGTTCTGCAATCTACATATGGTTCTTGTATTTCATTTGGTTTCATGTATAAACGACAACAATGCATCAAGTACAGCACTAATCTGACAGGCACAATGCAAGACCAGCCAAACTGCACCTGCTAAGTAGGTCCATGACGCAAGATCTGCTCCGGGTGATCACCACCAAAACCAACTTTCCAGCCCATGCTTCGTCAAGGTACTCCAATACATCTAGAGTGTATTCATCATCTAAATTATTGTTCATAAACCTATAGGCCCCAAAAAGCACACAAAAGCATGGAATATACTTTGAAAAACTCCAAAGCAAATCAAAAGCATAGAACAGAAAAAGAAGTTTCCACATGCTAAGGAATATGCTAAGGAAGATACCTCATTTCGGTCTGCGAAAAGGCACTCCACCACCTAAGCTTCCACTTTGTGAAAGAAACCTCGTGTACTCTCTATAAATGAAACCAAGCACAGCATCTTCCATGGAGGACCCTTCTTCTGGATTCCTCTCTACCCCCAACAATGGCCTGACACCGCTGCCCTGCATGCAACCCATGCAGTGTTCTCACTACTTCTCAGCTTCGCCGGTGGTGTTGAAGATGATGCCTCAACGGCCGATGCAGCGAAGGTATCCACTAGGCAGGTGCTAGGCCATGTAGGGCAACTAAACAACTTTGGCAGGTCTTCCTTCTCCATCTCGACAAGAAGATGGTAATGGAGTGTCTATATCCCCGGAGCTCTCTTGATAGAATTCATCATCATGTATCAGTTGTTCTATTACAATAGTAATAATCAGAACTAGTGCTCTTGTTGTGGAGACTACTGTATCTTTTGTGGTGAACTAGTATTTGTCATGGCATCTTTTCTTGATTTCTTTAGTTGGAAAGCTCAAGTGAGTGTTTGATTACTGTTATCTGGGAAATGCAAAGCAAAGCCCCAGGCAGTAGAGGATATACTTGCAGAGGATATAATAATACTATACTTGCACAATATGTTAAATTAGCTAGGTTTTATACTAAGATATTTAATGCATCATATTAGTAGAAAGGTTATCTTACATACAGTTACAAAGTTTCAATAGATTGATTATATTTTTTTTGAACGAATTCAATAGATTGATGATAAACACAAAATTGACTTCATGATCCTAGTTACAGTGCTACTTTGTCCCCCAAATAATGTCCTAGGGTCTGCAGAAACTGCAGTTTGGTGATATGAAACACAAAAGTGTGTTATTGGGTCACTGAAACAAAATGGTATCAATAACTCCAGCAGTGCTGCCATGGAACAGCACATATAGTTTAGCAACGCTCCTAATTCAAAGGTGCAGATTCCAGAACAACTTAGGGGGTGTTTAGATGGGGCTAAAATTTTTTAGTCCATGTCACATCGGATGTTTGGACGCTAATTTAGAGTATTAAACATAGACTAATAAAAAAACTAATTTCATAAATGAGAGCTAATCCGCGAGACTAATTTTTTAAGCCTAATTAATTCATAATTATCAAAAGTTTACTGTAGCATCACATTGTCAAAATTATGGCGTAATTAGACTCAAAAGATTCGTCTCGCAAATTAGTCCAATGTTATGAAATGGGTTTTGTAATTAGTGTATGTTTAATACTCTAAATTAGTGTCCAAACATCCGATGTGACAGGGATTTGGAATAAGTCCCTGGAAACCAAACAGCCCCTTAGCAAATGGATATTGTCTGCCAAAGTTGTATCCATATATTTTAAGCTTGATCCTCATTTGCTTACGTGTTATTTCGAAATTAGAATGCATGAATTGGTTTTGGGTTCATGTTTCTTTCATTGACATGTTAGGAGAGGTTCAATCCTAGTATCCTACTTAACTATCATCCGAGTTTAATTTAGACCTTCCTATTGGCACCCGTCGAGGTGGCCATTTGTCTATGTACATAAACTTTGTATTTATTTTTCTCCTGCTTATAATATAATGCCAGCGCTCTTGCTGGATCTTTCAAAAAAAAAAGTTTAATTGAAACCTTTAATTTGAACAGCAATTGGAAAATGGCTACGATCATGATCCACAATGTTTCTTTCAATGACATGCTTCATGATTTTCATTTTGTCTGGATGCATTATCAGTGATGTCTTGATAATTTGCCAATCAATTACAGGAATTACCTTCTTCGGCACAGTCTGGAAGCATCAGCTAGGTGCTGACCTAAAATAGTTATCCATAGATCCATAAGTCAATGAGCATGCCACAGCTCTGAAGCATAAAACATATAGACCTACACAAATACTTGTCAGAATTTATGAGTTATGACAATATGCTACTATGAACATGGAAACGACTATGATTCTCCATTTCACCATTTGGTTTTGATTCCAGGAGTTAGCATGACGACATTATATCGACTTCTTGTTCCCTATCAATGCATCAAAAAAATGGTTTGCATTTCCATGTATGAACTCGAAACACGGAGAAATTAAGAACCTAATAAAATTGCCATTATCAGAAAATCTAGTAGCTCGACGCCTCCACGCTTTCTTAGGGATGACCAATGTGGTGTGGTCGGATCTCTGAACCTCCCCGCGAGCCTCTGCTGGAAGCTGTTCATGTCCTCCCCTTCGTATAGATCTCTAACGAGATGCACGCCGGGCTACTTGAGCAGCATCTGGTACGGCGGCCCTCGCGGACACGACGCCGTACGGTTTAGAGGATTCCCCCGACCCGAGCACCCGAGCGAGGGCCCGCGGGCCGCGGCAGGATGAACTCGGCGACTCCGGCGTGCGAGGACGAGGCCAATCTCCGCCGCTGCTGCCACACCATACCACTACCAACGGCGATCGGCGGTGGGCGGCGGCGCCGTCCGGGGCGGCCGACCCCCCGACGGCCCCTGTGGATGCTGGGGATGGTGAGATGATGCGCGTTAGTGGCCGTCGGATCTGCGGTGCCTAGTTGGGCTTGGGCAACGGCCCACTGATAAATCACTATATGTTGTACGGCCCATTCAATGGGCTCCTGCAATCCGGTCCCTGTTTAGGAGTGCTATTTTGGTTCGCTATTATGGTACGGGTATATAACATTTTCGATTTTTTTTCATTTTTAAATTTTTATTTTTTAAATATTTACAGAAATATTGTACCGGCGAAAATATTTACAGAAGTAGGCCTGATAAAAAAAATTAGAAAAATACATTTTTGGCAAGGCGAAATTTGCATTTGCCCCCTTGCAGCCCTTGCAGAGGGTGGCAAGGGACCTTAGTACAAAATGCGCACACCTTGCCGCCCTCCACTTGGACGGCAGTGGCCATTCCTGTAAATATTTTGGATGATATAATATTTCTGTAAATATTAAAAAATAAAAATTTTAAAATAAAAAAAATTCTAACATCTTCATTCCGGTCCTTTTTTCAGGGCCTAATCTTTTCACTTATGCTTATGCTTATCAGTCAAAATTTAAATTTTTAACTTTAAATTTGAAGTTGATTTTGAGGTTTTTTTTATCGAATTTATTTTTCAGCATTTATTTGTAGATCGCTAAGAATATATATATATATATATATATATATATATATATATATATATATATATATATATATATATATATATATATATATATATATATAATTTGTATTTACAAGTTACTTTTCGTTTGCAAATATACCGTTTCGCTTATTTTGCGAATAAGCAAAATGATGGCTCCGTTAGTGTTTTTGAGACCGGTACCATTTTCATATCGGTTCGATTTTACGTTTGGTTCCACCGAGGATAAATAAATTGCACTAATGCAAACGCGGTCTTTCCGTTGCCGACCACTTTGTAGTACTCCTTCTGTTTCATATTTTGACTCGTTTTGATTTTTTTTCTTAGTTAAACATTTTAAAATTTAACTAAATTTATAAAAAAAATAATATCTACAGCATGAAATTAATTTTGCTAAAACTTACATCTGACATGTTTTGATAATATGCTTGCTTTGTGTCAAAAAATATTGTTAATTTCTTCTATAAATTTGATTAAACATAAAAGAAGTTTAATTAGAAAAAAAATCATAACAACTCATTAAAAGGATGAAACGGGTGGAGTAACGGACTCGCAGATCGATCGCACATGTGGCCTCAACCCAGAGGATGGCGTGTCGTGGGCGCTCTCCGTTCAGATCGGACGAGGGAGATGCTCATTGAAGAGTCACGACCGCTCGAGGAGAAAGAAATCCCACGTCGACGCCGCCGGCGTGCGGGAGTGGGCGACGCGGTTGACAGTTCCACCACCGGCCGCCGGCCGGGAGCCGGAATGAGAGTTCAGTATGTACTAGATCAAGGTGTCGGAGACAGCAAAGACCAGGACCGTACACGATGCACGGCCGTACGCCTACTTCCGCGACCGCCACAACGCGACATTCTACGGCGGCGGCGTTGAGCCCAACGGCGTCCACGAACCACGATACCTACTCTGCCCACGGCGTTGAGCACGTCGCAGAATGAGGAAGGAGGCAACTAGCCGGCATGGCTGCAGTTCCCAATCTGCACAAGGAACTGAACTGACAATATATTCCCTTTTCAGCTCAAGCATCGAACGCTTCCTCCAGTCTTGGCAGAAGAGGAACTCCTTATCAATACCAAACTGAACACCAGTTTACAGCACTAGATCAGCCTGCCAAACCACAGTTTTGATCATCGACGTACTCAAACCAAACAACGTATCCTATGAACAATTCAGTTCCCACTTCCCAGACCCGCATTACAAATCAATCCTTTTAATTGGTGGAATGAGAAGAGCATATACACGCCCTGTGCTGCTGCCTTGCACATTTCCCTGTCTCATAAGTTTGGCGACTTGCAGCAAATTTGTTGGAGATGCACACGAGCGAACGCCCCGGGCCCCAATAATATTTGCATTACATGCGTGGGGGATCAACCCACGTGTACCGCCCATGTGAGGCTGGATTTGAGCTAGGAATTTGGAATCTTCTAACATGCATGGTGCTTTCTTTGACAGTTAACAACTTCCCTTTCCTTTTCTTTTTTTCTTTCCGCACGCATGAACACATCCAGCTTGATCAGGTTGTAGCACCTACATAAACAGAGTGGTGTGCTCCTTAAAAGGAAAACGAAAAGATTCCATTGCGATAAGCACGAACCATCGGAAAAATTATTGAAACAGCTAACTGATACTAATTTCTTAGCAATTGTTTGTGGGTAGTAACAGCACTATCTGTACACAACTAGAGCCATAGTATTGTGCAGGGACAAAGGATTACGAGGAAATTTCTTGCAAGTGTTATTAGAAAAACTTCATGATTAGTCAGGGCATCCGTACTTGCATGTTTCAGTTTTTTTGCGATTGATCTGGTTAGTAGTATTATGTGATTGATTCTGCTGGTGGATTCTCTCTTCGGTTTGCACGTGGTTCTCTGCTGATAATGTCAGAATGATTCATGAGCGGAGCACTACCCCAATAAAAATGGCGAGCTCGGTCCTGAGATTCCTGTACATACGCCTCACGAATACCATATTTTTACTCTCGAGGAAGCTTCATAGCGACATCGTACACGCACAGAAATGGATAAAAACACTGCACTCACCAACCAGGTCAACTACCACAGTTAACAGTACGTGCCAAGTTGGCTTCAGTTTAGAGGCCTGATCAGGCAGAATCGATCACATCACACGGCATACGCGCTAGCCAAGTAGGAGTATAGATCCTAGCTTAGCAAGGTGCCAGACGATCGAGCACCAAATCAGCAAGAGCGCCGTGACATTTCAGCAATCAGGTCGCCTTGTTTAATCGCCAAATTATCCTAATCAATCCAAGGGAGAGAGTACGTCTTCACATGGATGCAATGCGTACAAGTCAATGCACTTGGGGGAGCCAGGAACTGACACAAAATTCATTTACAAGTTACAATTGTACCAGTAGATCAGCAGTAGTAATGAGCATAATCAATGGAATAATAAAATAAATGTAGTGTCCGTGCATGCGTTAGCCTATATATAACGGCTTCTTCTTCTTCCAATTTGCTAAGGCGCCGAGCGAACCAAGTCGCGCAGCTTAAGAGCTTCTTCGTTGTTGCTGCTGCCGTGTGTTGCTAAGCTTCAAGATGTCGCAGAGAGCCGGGAGGCACCAGAGGAGGGCGTCGCAGAGCGTGTTCGTGCTGCCGGAGAACTTCGCCAGCCTCGAGGACGTGGCGGCGGACGTCATCGGCGGCGGCGGCGCCGAGCAGCGGAAGCCCGCGGCGGCGGCGGACGCGTCGTCGGAGCAGCAGCCGGCGAGGATGCAGGCGGGGCGGCACCGGCGGGCAATGTCGATGGCCGTGGCGGCCAGGGACCTGGAGATGATCACGGAGGACATCGCCAGCTACAAGTACGGTGCTTAGGCTACGACCTCACGGCTCACGCATGTGTTGGTACGTGTTCCAACAGCGGCGGCGGTGTACTCCTGGGCTAGGTGCAGAAAAAGGGTTGGGGTGGTGGTTCTTCGATCGAGACTGATCTCGTGTCCTGTTTAGCATGCCGTTTGATTGTTTTTCTCGTGATGTATTTCCTCCTCCTCCTCGTGATGCGTAATTTCTATCTCGATCACAAGTAAAGAGAAGAAAACAAAAAAAAAATCTTCAGGTTGCAACCATGTTCAGGCTACAAAAGGCATCTTTTTTTTCTTTCACTTCCCCAAGCAAAGTGGCGATCCTTTGGTTTTTAGATGCGGCCGAGGTTCCAAAGTTCCAACAGGTTTGTTAGTTACCCTTGACCGGCCATTTCACCGTGGGAGTAGCTATATTTATAGCGCCATATTTTTCACTAAAAAATAGTCGGTATGTTTTTACATTGTAAGTCCTTAAATTACATATGTAATTTTAGTGTATTTACAATGTAAGTCTCAAAATTACATATGTAAGTTCTAAAATTACGTATGTAAATCCCAAAATTACATACTAATTACATATCTAAGTGGTGTGTAACTACCGTGTAAATTTGTATAAAATATGAAAAGTGACATATTCGTTGCAAGAAAACTGTCGATTAAGATATAGCAATTCCGTATATAAAACCAACCGGAAGATCGGGTGGATACGGTTGCCGCAGCGTTTGCATGCGAACGAATCCAATGGACATGAAAACCGACTGAGATTAGTGAAAAATCTGTCGCCATCTTTATAGCAATTCCGTTTCACGATCTACCCTATAATTCACCAACTCACTCTTACACCTACATTACTCATTCATCAAATCTGATGGTCCAGAATCATCCAATCCAATGCCACATATTGTTCCACGTACCCCCTCAACCTCCGCGCGCACGAAAATCACGCCGCTATCGCTCCTCCTCCCACCTCAACCGAAAATCCCCAACGCGCTCTCCTTCCCCCAACCGTCTCCCAACCTACAGCGCTCCGTCGCCTCCCCTCTGCCACCACAAGCGCCGCCGCACTCCCCCTGGCGAACCCTAATCGTCGCCACCACCTCCTCCTCTCTCCCATGCTGCCGTTGATTCCGACGCCCCGCCATCGCGTGCGACGCCGCCCACGCTCTGCCATCGAGCCGCCGTCGACTCCCGCCTTCAGATTGACGCCATCGATGCCCCATCACGCCTTCACATCGACGCCACCGGCGCCCCCTCGCGTCGCTGTCGATTCCCGTCTCTCCACCTCGACCCTCACTCCGATCATCGTCGAATCCCGCCTCCAGATCGATGTCGCCGACGCCCCAACCAGCGCGTCGATTCCCGCCTCCAGATGACACCGCCAGCGTCCCTCACGAGGATCGTCGTCGATTCCCGCCTCCAGATTTACGCCACCAATGCCCCCACACAATGTAGATCGTTGTCACGGGCCGTCGATCCCCGGCCCCTCGCGCCGCCACCGGGACTGCTCACCCACGCACCCCCTTCTATACTGCGACGCCGCCGTCGACTCCCTCGTGCCATCTGCTCTCCGTTGCGCCGCCACCTTAGCCCTCTCCACCGTGACGCGAACAAGGTAATCGTCGCTCGATCCCGTTCCTTCATTATTACAGTGTCATGGCTATTATGTGTGTACGTGCATAAACCTGTGAGAAAATAAATTATTATGCGAATGTGTGGGCAGTGTGGCAAAGAAAGTTATTATCTTAATATGTTTCTCTGATTTAGATTGCAGGCCTAATCTTTTGTCAAGCTAGATAGCGTAATATGGAATTGTGGAAGTACATGTCAAAAAAATAAACTGAGAGGATATTGATTCTTTTGTTTGTTGAGCTTGCAAATTAGTTGAGACCTTGCGGCCATAAGAAACTGATGTTTGATGACCAAGTCGTGCTTCACTGTCCAGTTCTGCTCTATCATTTAGGATTTTCGTTGCCCAGCCAAATGAAAATGCCATTAGTCTCCGGCCCAGCGAAAAAAAAAATGCCATTAGTCTACACATGTTTCCTGTTTTCTTCAAACTGATATTGATGATAGAGGAGACTATGTGAATGCTGTTGGGATTATACAGAACTTTGGGTGGCTGTTGGATAGGATAGGATAAGGTTAATTTGGTTTATGTTTAGCGATAGGACGTACCGGTTCATTTGGGTGCCTGTTGAATGCCTCGTTCGGTCAAAAAAAATTCCTTTATTGTGTGCATGGATTTAAAATTCAAATGCCAGTAGCAATATTTATTCTGTTTTTTTCCTGACCTTTCCTAGACAGACGCATTTCTTTCACTGGGAAATTTGCAGGGTATATTTTCATCCCACAGGGTCATGCATGGTCAATTTGTGTTCATTTGTAGGGTCATGCATGGTGGATGTAAGTATGGATTCAGATCATGGTGGATGTATACATCAAATTTAGGTTTTGGTAACTTGTGTTTTTTCTTGTTGAGATTCAGTTCTGTAGTGATCTAGAAAATAATTTTGGAGAAGCAATAAATAGGAAATGAGTACAAGAAGTATTTGCTAGCTCTAAATGCACAGTTTGACCAGTTGTGTGGTAAATCACCTATTAACACTACTAGAGGTTGGGGCGCACCCTTGGCGTGCCGCCTGTACGCACGTGTGCCGCCCAATAAGCTGATAGCCAGGGAAGAACGGTTAAAAAGTGTTGGTGGGGGAAAAGTAATGAAAGCAGACGGCAATAGATAAGTAGATTGCAGCGCTAACAACATACATATGTCTGATATTTGTAAGGTGCTGCAGTACCTATGATAATAATCTTAAGGTGCAACACTAATTAACATAGCAGTGGCAGTAGAGCTGGTAAGTGGTCCTGAATACATTGACTATTCACGTGTGGTCTACAGAACATCGATGGTCATTTGCATGTCATTTGCATCTGGCTTGCCCTGTAGAAGTGGAAAATGCAGATCGATCCAACGCGTATGCTATTTTTGGCTGCAAATTTTGCCCACCCTTTCTTTAGGACAGAAAGGATGGCACAAAATCCTACTTATCACATTAGCTGGGTAGGATGGAAATGCTACAAATTTCAAATTCCTGCACAGGCACATAGCACATGAAACATAAGCTTTTAATGACGATAGTGTATCACAAGTGCTAGATATATCCAAAGCAGCTGCAAGGCATGTAATATGAACAGAACAACAGCAGATAGAACGCTAGTGCATTAATATGATCCATAACAGAAGGGGGTTTGCTGAACGAGTTCATAGGACTGACAGAGCACCATATGGACATTGACAGTCATGGTTACAATAAATAACATACAAGCAAAAGATGGGGTGATGTGCAGTCGTATGGCAGCGTTTCATAGGAAGTCTCTGCTACGGTATGGAAAGCACACTGACACTAAAGGGCGAAAGAGCAGCAGGTAGAGGACCAAACATGCACATGCATGGACACAGTGGTGCCAGCAATCATGTAAACAAAAGATTGTCTGATACGATGTGCCATGTCAAGCTGCATCGCCAACAGTAAGATTAAGGAAATATGTAGACATAGGGTGGGATCGCTGATGTAGGGTATTGTTCCCCTGAAAAATAATTTAAAGTGATCAGCAATCTAGGTGAAACTAATGCCATGCCCATAGATATATAACAGAACAGGATACTCACATCAGCACAAAAGCTAAGGTGAGCAATTTAGTTCCCTTTCGGTACAGGAGGCTTAGTCTTGCGTGTGCCTGTAGAGCCTGGATCAACACTAAAGCAAAGAGGAACACCTGGTTAATCTAGAAGAACCAAAAACGGGAGAGCAGCGAAAGCGAAATGGTGCAGTCTATTTAACAATGAATGTGACATGCTTCCACCGCTAGTACAAAAATAGGGATTTTCTTATTCGTTCTCAGCTTGAATATGTAGTTTTATACCTTTTCTTTTTGGCTTCAGTTGGTAGGATATCTTTGACCTATAGAACGGGAATAATTAGGTTGCCAGTGTCACTAAAAAAATTCGACCACTAAATTAGCTGGAAAGTGGTGTATTTATGCTTAACCTGAGTATTTGGTTTAGCAGAGGCAGCTGCAATCTAAGAAACATCAACCTCATGAGGCACAACATGTTGCTTATCAGCAGCTTGGTCATCAGTGCGAGAAGAACTGAGCAATATAGCAGATAGCCATCATGGTTAGTAATATTACATGATATGCCTATGCAAAGCAAAAGATATAACTGGTAGGCTGCGTGCAATGGTCAGTGGTAGCAAAACATGGTAGGCCATATGCAGATCATTTTGGAGCGCATTACATCCCATATAAAAGATAATAAATAAGCAACTAATCTGCCTGTAGTAAATAATGTTCTGTAGTTGTCTATGAGCATGTTTCTTTTGATTAGCTAGCAGGCCATGTCATAGTAATGTAAAGTGGTTCTATTTAGCATACAGGCAATTTATACGGCGGAACAAAGTACAGAGTAGACCAGAGGTACGGAATGGCATATGGAAGCAAGAGAAATAGCAAAGACTTATTTAGGTCTATTAGGCCTAGGTAGGATGATTAGGAATATAGATTAACAAGGAACCTACATTAATATGTTCATAATGCATGGTTTCTCACTAAATAGAATGGGTTGGATGCTTATATCTGATTGAAGTGGAGGGACTGACCGTGCTCTGCTATGTAGCAGAGGCAAACCACATTTACTGTTGGCCATAAAAATTAGAAAGCAGATGTAACATAGAGAAAGTTTCAACATATAAGAAGAACAAGAAGTGTGGAAAAACACTTGTACCTAGTAGGAGGGTCAACCGGGCTGGTGTTTTCTTTGCTGGATGGAGCTGTTTCAAAGGTCAATTTTTTCTGTGCTGCTAGAGGCTGGAATAGCAATCAGACATATAAAAAGAAGGGCCATAAAAAAAGCAAAAGGTAATGTATGGGATATGAATGGAAGGGCGTACATGACGGACAATGGATTTCCGCTTCTTGCTGTCACCAGGAAGTTCATCGACTGGATCAGCAGTCGAAGTAGATGAATCGACCGGGGTTGACTCATGAGATTGAGAGGCGTCATCCTTATCCATACCAGAAGCAGCAAGAGCCAAAGGAGTAGAAGGGCCTGCAGATGGACCCTATTCCCTAGGCTGCGGAATAGAACCCTGTCTTCCAAAGAAAGTCTCGATTCCATTAACTTGAAAAGATATATTCCTGTGCATAAGGCTCCGCTCAGTGACAGAGACAGCAAAGGTAAATTTCTGTGAAACAACAGCAGCAATTTCTTTAGGAATATTGTCTGATCTGCCCTGAAATTTGATAAGATTCATAACAGGACGGCCAACAACTTGCTGCGCAACACGTCCAAATAGCACAAACTCTGCTGAATTAGTTCCATCGGTTCCTATCAGGCAAAGACGGTACCTAACATATAAAAATGAAATTTCTGTCATAGAGGCCAAGCAGACATATAAAAAAGGAGCTGAACATGTATGCTGTAGAACATTACTTTGGAATGGCAGTAACTGATGAGCAACCGCTGGAGCATTTATAGCTAGATCCATATGCAGTTGCGGCTCTATGACAACGGGAACAGGATGAAAACCACCATGACTGAGATGGGCTCAACTTAGCTATGGTCACAGTACATGAGAAGCCAGCACCCTGCATAGGAAGTGTTTAGCAATAACCTTGTAGATGAACTAAATGAAAAATACATATGCGAAAGCATATAATATGCTTTTTACAGTGATTACCGCAGCTTCCCATGGATCAATCTTTTTAAGGTCAGCAACAGATTTATGCTCCAACCGTGCTGGGCGTTGTGACGAACCAAAGGACTCTGCTCCGGTTGATATCCACTGGATCTTTGGAGCACTATCACCCAGGCTAATCAAGGCATGGAAAACGACATGTTAGAGAAAGGGGGTAGAACTCTAAAAAATTATTAACTCTGTTGTGAGGGGCTTTTACTAACCTATCAAAGAACTGGTTTATCTCTGGTATGTCCTCATTTAAATACCATTTGCAGGCTGATCCTCCACTAAGAGTTTCTTCATCTACATAATACATAGGAGAAATGATTGTGGAGACAACAAAAAAAAAACAAGTGTACATTGAAGATACAACACCGGCATCAGAAAATAAAGAGAGAACTAAACATGCAGAGAAGGAGAAAAGCTTACTATTATATGCTTTCATAAGAGTATCAACAAAGATACCAACGACAGCATTATCTTGGCCAACACTATGAACAGCATCAGCATCAAAGTCGGGAGCATGCTCTCCCCATAGGACAAGTTTAACCTCACAGTTCCTATTCGGAAGAATGAACGGTTATCAAAATAATTGGCCATGCATTGGAGGTCAGGGTCATAAACAACAAGCTGGTAAAGACTAGAACAACAAGTAAATCACGGAGGCTACGTACGCAAGATCCCTTAGAGCAATGACCCTCTTAGGTGTGTCTGACGTTTTAGACGCCATTCGGACATAGGCTAGCTTTGATACCCCAATGATCATACCGATCACATCTAAAAAGAATTAAGAACAGTGGTTGGTAAATTGATAAATGCTATAAATAGCATAAATAATGGAAAGTAATGGTAAAGGAAAGAACAAACCAGTGAAGTACTCTTGCATCCCAACGCGCAGGCTTAGATATGAGAATTGAACCAAATTAAACACATGGGATGGGAAATCAGCAGGAACTTCATTGACCTGTTCCACGTTTGTCCATGGAGTAAGCTTGATCATATACTTGTTAGGGAAGGGCTTGTATGCAGGTTTGCTAGGCAAAATAAGGAACTTGCTAAAAGTGTAGACTTTCGATTCCTGAAGAAGTGGTCTGAACTTATCAGCCTCAACGCCTGGAATTTCAGCATACATTGCATTTCCCTACATAAGCATTTAAATCGTAAGCAAATCAAATTGGACAGGGAATATAAAGGTGCCCTGCATTCGGACTAATGAGATATACCTTCTCATCAATAAGCACCAGATCAACATGTATAGGAGGCAGATCGTCAGCTGTACCAGTGTAGTCCCACATTCTTGCTATCTTTGCACGGATCTTCCAGCCTCTGCTTGCTGGGGATATGTCACACAGCAAATCGAAAGCCATCTATAGGAAAGCAAAAAACAAGGTCATGCAAAAGGGCAAAAAAAGCATAAAATAAGCAGATAAATATGTGGTGCATCACCTATGGCAAAGAGTATAGTAGGACAGCAAACAAAAGCGCAGCATAACCAGGTAATATACAGGATCCATAGAACAGCATAGCAAACTTTTAGATATAAACAAAACAAGTATATATGTACACCGCAGGAATAAAATAAACAAAACGACAGCAACCACCAACTATCTAAGAGCAGCGAATATTTCGCGATAAACGATGTTTCGAGTACGAGAGGTGCAATTCCCGTTGTCATCTTCGATAAGTACTTTCAAGCCTGCACGGGAAGTGACACGAGAAAGAGCAACGTATAGCTGACCATGGGAAAATACTGGGCTTTTCAAGTAAATGCCAACTGAACGTAGACTCTGTCCTTGACTTTTATTTATAGTCATAGCATAGCACACACGAACAGGAAACTGACGGCGCTGTAATGTAAAAGGCCATTTCTTATTGTTTGCAGATAGAGTTATTCTTGGGATATAAATAGTCTGACCAATATTGGAACCAGTTATGATACGCGCCTCTATTACTCGGTCACCTAGATTTGTAACAATCATTCTCGTTCCATTGCAAAGGCCAGCACTCTGATCTAGATTTCTCAAAAGCATTATGGGCACACCTTTTTTTAAGCACAATTGATGATCAGGATAATTGTTAACTTTAATTGAGTTCAAAAATTCGATTGGATACAAAACATCTAAATCATCACATTTCTCATTTGTTTTTGCAAGGGAATCAAAGCTTAGGTATTCTTTCATCTCGTCAGGGACAAGCTCTAGTACACGAGAATTAATAGTGCCACATATATCATTTGTAGGTGAAACAATAGCACGATCTTGTAGATATATAGGATCACTATAATGTTCAGCAAAATCAGTATAGACTGCGGATATAATAGCTCCAATTTTATCATCATTATCCATGACTAAGAGATCGTGTGGGATATCAACCCAAGTTGGTTCAGTGTCAGTATCACGAGCACTTGCAGCTGTTGTACCATCGCCGATAGAAAGAATCCAATCACTAAAGTCAGCGATTTCATGTTGTACCTCAGGGCTTAGAGAGCTAGAACGCAAACGCATATTGATCGATAGCTCTAAAATAGACACATGTGACCAGAGAGGGGACCTTGATATTGCAGCATCAATTGTTTTTGATCTAACACCCCCTTCCACAACAGGTAAAATCTGACGAAAGTCCCCACCAAGCACAACAACCATACCACCAAAGGGTAATGATGCAGCAGAAGGATCATCCTCAGCAAAGATATCACGCAATGTCCTATCTAAGGCCTCAAAACATCGACGGTGAGTCATCAGAGCTTCATCCCATATAATAAGTGAAGTGGACTTAATAAGATCAGCTAGCATTGTACCTCGCTTTATATGGCAAATAGTTGATTCATCAACCTCTATTGGAATTTTAAACCGGGAATGAGCAGTTCTACCGCCGAGCAAAAGTAATGAAGCAACTCCCGATGATGCAACAGCAAGAACAATTTTTTTTGAGATCTAAGGTAGGTAACAATACAATTCCACAGAAACGTTTTCCCAGTGCCGCCATAGCCAGAAACAAAGTAAAAAGCAGGTGATTCCGTCATGACGCTTTGCACAATACGATCATATGCATTTCGTTGATCAACATTAAGCTGGTCATATAGCAATGGAGCATTCACATATAAATCATCTATATCATAAGACATTTCATCGTCAATCAATCTATTTGCTGATTGAAAGGAGCTATCACAATTGATGCTTGGCAAATTAAAAGAAGACATAGAAACACCGTTGCGAACAAACAATGTATGCAATTCTTGTAGAACCATATTTCTAAGTTGAGTATCAGGAACAGAGTACGAAGAGTTATTTAAGGCTTGCTGCAGATTAAACAGAATATCATCAACCATCGCATGCCAATGCTTCTCAAAAAACGCACTCTCATCAGCAATACCACAATGAACAATCATCAACACAAAAAGCGATCTAAGCTGGCCGCCGGATGCCCAACTATCAGCCTCATCAAATGCATACGACCATTCTCTATCATCACCAAGCAACCCTCTAGCAGCACAAGCCTCCTTAAACGTATCATAAACAACGCCGTCATATGTTCTAATATCCTCATAACTTCTAGCGCCTTTTACGTACATGAGCAACATCCTCATAAAATATCCTTCGCCTGCAGAAGGATGGATGTAATACATCCTACCAATCTTATAGTCGTGCTGCCTTTTTTTCCAACTTTTTAAATCATCTTCCCAAGTAAACATCGTAGGATATTCGCAATATGTTAGGTGACGGCCTTGCGGGAATAGATCATTAGCGACAAACCACTCAGTCAATGTTGTTTTTTGTAAAAATGTATTTGAAACCATAGATGCTAAATTTGTGTCTGATCTAAAAGAGACCACGTTCATGTTCGGTAATGGCATGCTAAACGTTCAACAGAAGGGTTTCTAAAATGAATATCATATGCATATAATCTCCACATAGATTGCTTATCACATAAATATCGACACGCAATAAACTCAGCCATCTCATCCCTTGGCGGCTTAACAGTGAAATCAGCACCACGCATCTTTTTGCTAGAGCTTGGTGTACCACTATCGTCAACTGCAACACGCCCTAACTTCCTTTTTCTCACTTTGGTAAACTTTATGTTGGCATGATCAGACCCTTTTGTGACATATTTAAAAAGATATTTGATCATTTTAGATTTGTTGCACCACTCAACATTTATATGAGCCTCAAACTTACGCAGCAGCGCTATATTGTACGGAACAACTGAACGATTATCAAGTTTCACATTGTTTTTATATGCAAATCTACCATTGTCACGCCGTCTATAAACAATGAAACCCTTATCATCTACAGTTGTCTCGGAAGCAAAATCTTTTGGATATTTTTTAGAACAAACCCCATTTTTCATGCAAGCACACTTTCTATTGGCATCACCACAAGGACCATGCATCATAAATTCTTCAACAAGTAAGTAATCAAGCTCATTTTCATTAGGATCAGGAAGTTCAGCGCTGATGTATGTATCCACAACAGATGGTGTGGCGTCTGTGCTTGGTGCATCACGCCACCAGTATATGCACGTGGGGAAGGCCCCTCTTCTGAAATTCCACGCTATAAAGTACTACAAACATATCATAGGCAAAACAACCAAATAAAAATCAATAAAACAATAGACCATAAAGAGCACAGCTAAGTTAAGGGCAAAAAAAAGAGCACTAACCAGCACGCACACGACCAAATGGAACACCAGCCATAATATCAGAAACCATCTCATCAAGTTTCATTTTAAAAACTCTACAAACAATGTCAGAACGATCTGTCGAACGCTGCCCTGGCTCAAAGCGCAATGCTTCTTCAATCTCAGGCCATTTCGGATTACAAGTAAAAGTGGTAAACACATCAGGGGCGCCATACACACGACAAATAGCAACCGCATCCTGATAATTTTGGTACATATATCTTCTCCCGCCAGTGAAGCTTGCAGGGAGAATTCGTCGCTTACCAACACTATTACCGTCTAAACAACCTTTGGCGACTGCATCTGCAATGCCTTGAACGTGTTCGCATCTAAAATCGCCCTGGTGTTCATCTATAAATGTCAATCTACCCTCGTCAACACACGCAAAACCATCAACTTGACTTTGGGAGGACAAACGACCGCAACATAAATATGGGTTGAACTGGTCTCGACGATAGTGGCAACAGTAACAATAATGTTCTTGCATGGAAGCCTTAGTACGTATATCAGTGCGATTTAAATCAACCCCCCTCAAATTTATACCAAGCTGAAAACCACGTTCACCATATGGGAATAACAGTGGGTATTGTAAGGCCATGTAAGCAGGATGCAAGCTAGATACATGATGGAGTGGACCAGGAATGCTCTGCACAATTATATCACGTTTTGCATTTTCCAATGAAAAATCACCTACAATTAACCCAGCTAGTTCATCGGCTGTTGGTAATTCATACTGAACAGGCCCTTCCTCCTACAATCTTAATTGCTAATTGTTCATCACCGTGTTCAGCCAGCCGATCTCTCGCGAGCCTAAACTGCTTAACCAAAGGATTACAATTGTCTAGCATGTCTAGCAATTCAGCAGCTATCTCAGGATCTAGATCACAGCTACCATTCTCTTCACCAAGAACAGCAAGCATTCTGTTTTGGACCTCATTTTGAGTATCATAAATATACAGCTGAGCAAATTTTGGTGGATTATCTTCATTAGGCAAGAGCGAACCTATACGGTGATAGACCTGGCCATTTATTTTAAAGACATAAGGACCACCACCCTGGTTTAAACTATCGTCAATATCTGCACCCATCGAAGTGAAAGTAAACAGCGAATTGTACTGACGTATATGCTGCAAAAAATGTTTACTTCGAGCATCTCCATCAAATTTAAGAAGTGAATTCAAAGGTTCTGGTGGCTGCGCAAATGGAGGGACAAAAATTTTCCCACCTTTGCAACAAAGGTTGTAACAGACACGGCGCTTGGTAATAGCAGAATCTTTCTTGCACCGTTCCTGGTACCAGAACTGAGCAGCGCACAAACGGCAGCGATACTCAGGAGGGCCATAATCACACCTATCCTTTGAAGTCTCTGTGCAAGCATTCAAAAAAAGAAATTTATGTTTAAACCCAGCATGCTGGCATTGCAAACAAGGGAATGGAAACGAATCAGAGATGAAAGCAACCTCTCAAAAACTTGGCATAATCACTGTCAAACTTGTTGCAAGAGACAGGAGCAATACGGCAAGGTTTTTTGCCTATAGGGAAGGAGACATAACGTCCATGTAAGCCATGTCAGCAAGAACATATGCAGAAAACCAAAGATCCAATGGAAAAACCTGCAGCCACCAATCGTTTCATGGCCAATTTTTTTGAACGCATTTGCCGTCTTTTTGAAGAATACCATGCAGGGTAGATAGGGAAAAATCCATCGTCTACCAAAGCGAGAAAAATATATGAGCAACGACTACATAAATATAAACAAGCCACAACAACAGTCGCACACAGATCAGTAAATCACATACCCTGACGGGGTGGAGCAACAGTCTCCCAAACATATTCGCTGGCAGCTGAATTAGAGGAAGATGCTAAACAAGCAACAGACGATTTAATCTTTCCACCCAGGAAAAGATATAAAATCTAAAGCGTCTAAAAAAACAAACCGCAACAAACCATACATCTAAGAGAAGCGCTGCTACGCTCTAGCAATCGGCGATCCCGTCGACGAGCAGGCCTAACCACACAACCCCCTTCCATATAGGAACTAAACGCACAGAAAAACAGAAATGTCGTGCACACATATAGAACATATAACCCACAAGGAAAAGCGCAGCTCGAATAATGTATAGATAGCTGAAGCAACAGAGGCCAATTGTTATACCTTAGCCGACATGTACGGGCACAGAAGATGTGGTCCGCAACCTGCAGGGAATAAGAATGTAATTTAAGCTGGATATCAGATAAAAGAAAGAACATACACCAAACCACAAGGCACAAATAAACTACAAAACAAAAAGGATGTCAGCCCCAAAGAAATAGCAAAGAAACAAAGCTCACCTGAACAGGAGCTGATGGTAAAGGGAACAGCAGCACAACAGTAACGAACGTATCGCACGGACCTGACCGCGACAATAAGCACCTGCGCCAAAAAAAAATCGATATGAAGGGAAAAAAAACATGTAAACGTACAGAGATGCACTTAAGGAAAGACTCAAAAATACAAATGAACCACATGGTTCTGCACGAAAAGAAAACACCACGGGACACACTCTGAATGGCGAAACATGATCCAATAATGAATCAGAACCAGGAAAAAAAAGCAATGATATTTGTCATTAACTAACGACCGTGTGCTTCATCTATGTAATAGCCACCATCTATTTACTGAAAGAAGTATATACTGAAAGAAGAACAACAAAGATAAGCAATGATCCACTGTCAAAAGGGAAACATGAACACGGGGAAAATCGCCTAAAACCTAAAAACTCTGTGACAGTAAATCCCGTGCAACAAACAGGCCAGTACATGGCTACCTGAGATGCACCAAGCCTAATCACAGGATAAAAAGGAAACACACGGCACAGACAGAAAGGAAGGCAGCTAGGCCAGATACAGAAAACCCACCAGCACACGCGTTCACCCCCCAGGGTCCATGATCAAACGAAGAAAGCACAACAGCGGAGAATGGGCTAGAACAGACGACAAGAAGAACAGCGAACGGGCACCAAAAGGCAATGCAAAGGAAATGGTGAAAAAGCAGAAGGGAAAGAGAAGATTGGCAGGCAATGAGCTACTTATACTGGTAAACAAAACAAAAAAATATGTAACATAAAAAACAACATACTCAGAGGCTGTCAATAGGACCCCACAGATGACAGGGCCATCGGTCAACCACAGCATACGACGTAACACATCAGTGCTCTGACGGAGGCCATCCTCGAGCTCTCCGTGTTCGCCTCGAACGCCGAGCAGTAACACTGCGCCGGACAAAGGGCACATCGGCGGAGCCTACTACAGCGGCCAACTGCAATTGGCATGGACCACGACTACGTGGGGCCCGAACAGCAGCGGAGCATGATTGGCTATAGCCGTGGGACCGACCACTCGCCGGAACACGCACAGACACCACCAACCACCTCGCAGCCCCGACGACCGGCTGCCATTGACCAGGCATGCTCGAGCTCTCCGTCCCGCCCTCGAACGACGAGTGGTGGTGAGTGCACCTGACACTGGCCGCACTGGCGGGATCCTCCCGCAGCGACGAGACTCGACTGGCATACACCACAATGGCCCAATCAGAGCATCTTGAGTGGTGTGAGCGGGCACCCTGAACGATTTGTACCATGCTCTGATATGCAGCGACAAGTGAGGAAGAACAACAAGCAAACATCCAACACCAATTAACTGGCCATCCATTACCAGGGAGAAAATGTATAAGGAGGAAGAAATCACACCAGGCATGCAGATTCGGCACTGAGATAAAAAGAGCATCGACTCAATACCAAATCAGGGGGGCAAAACAATGGAGCCGCTGATATCGGAGCAAAAATCGCACGGAATGGCGCGGCCAACGACGAAGAGGAAATGCGAGTGCATCCAGAAAATGCCACGTCGTCCCCTTCCTTCTTTACCACGGATGAACCGCCCAAGCTGCCACGGACACACTCAAAGACACGTGCCTTCACATGCACCAATAAACGCAGCCCGTACACATGAAACGCGACCACCGTTTCTGAACAGCGCGAACAAACTAAATTTGCCGCAGCCAGCGTGGACCCCCACCTCTGTGGGGAGGAAATGACCCCATCGACCGTCGTCGTCGTCGCCACCGCCGCCGCCGCCGCATCATGGGGGAGGTAGGCGGGGTAAGCAGGGGGACCGGAGGCAGGCGGGGTGAGAAAGGGATAGCAAGGAGCGGCAGCGGTGGCGCTCGGCGACGGCGATGGCGGTGGCGGAGGTGGAGACGGCTGCACTCGGTGACGGCGGCAGCGGCGGCGGCGGCGGGAGAAGAAGAGGGAGAGGGTGAGATGGCAGGCACTCGGTGGCGGCGCGGGACAAGGAGAGCGGCGGCGGCGCTCTGCGGCGGCAGCAGGAGTGGAGGCGGCGGCGCGAGGGGGCGGAGGCGGCGCTCGGCGACGTGGACGGGGCGAGGGGGAGGGGGAGGCGGAGGCGGCGGCGCGAGGGTAGGCGCAGGCGGCGGGAGTGGAGGCGGCGGCGGCGCTCGGCGACGTGGACGGGGCGAGGGGGAGGGGGAGGCGGAGGCGGCGGCGGCGCGAGGGTAGGCGCAGGCGGCGGCGGCGCGGGAGGGGGGCGGGAGAGGGAGAGGCGGCAGCTAGGGCTTTGGGGGGTATGCGTTAGTGGATGCTGTTTTGCGGAAAAGCCCCTCTTCTTCCACATATCACAAAAAAGCCCCTTTCCGCGATTATTCCTCTTCAAACACAGGACGCTAGGGACCTATACATTATTACGAAAAATCGGAGGGCTTTTTCACATAATTTCCACCCCGCGCGTACTGTAGCTACTGTAGCAAAATCCGACGTGGACGCAGCGAGCGAGCGCCCATCCCGCCGTCCTTAATATTCTCCAATTACTTTGTCATAAAGAATATATTTTTCATTTAAAAAAACTAATCTCATACTGACATATATTAGCGTGCATGGTCCCCTTAAAAGTTAGGTTTAATCAAAAAATGCGTTAAGGTGGCTGCAAGGTCTCTGCTGCCCTAACCGAATGGCTAGGAGTAAAATTTGGATCTACGATTCACCTCAGCTAAGTTAGGCCCTCTTTGTTTAGGCTTAGACTTTTAAGTCAGCTTATTGGCTTATATGATTTATAAGCCGGTAGATTTAATGTCCTAAGTTTAGTGGTGGAGTCATACATCAACCTCACATAAGCCAAAAAAGCTTCTCCAATCTAGCTTTTGGCTTAATAGTGTTAGAGTGGCTTATGGCTTTAAAAAAAGCCAAACAAATAAGTTGCTTGTTTGTTTAGGCTTAGACTTTTCGGCTTATAAGTTGGCTTATAAGCCTGAACAAATAGGGCCTTACTATATTTTACAAGACTACAATTACAGTTTCTGGTGCATTTGCCAAGCACTATTCAGGAGGATATTAGTTTTTTTGTGGTCCTGGTATATGTACATATGGGATAAATGCATGGTGGATGCACCGAACAGAAACACACCAACATGCCCACGTCAATAACCCAACCATTGATATTTTGGTGCTTATTTAGGATGTTTGCATGAATTAGTAGTACTAGATTGCAACCAGGTCAACGCTCTTACTGAAAACAGCCATTTGAATGGACAGAAGTCTAACAGTAGTGGTAGTCAAATCGATCATCAACCTTTTGAGGTTATATATTTTTCATCTGCTTCTGCATAAAATACATCAAATGCTAGACTTCCGAGTGAACTTGATCGAAATGCTTGCAGAACATATGTGTGTGCAGAAATTGGATTAAAACAATTATTTTTTTCTCCACGAGCTTCACATTCATGTGTCCTACAGAAACATACTACTAACTGAAGCATCTGTTCAGTTTGTCACGTTAATGACAAAAAATCGAAATCACCTACTGAGAATTAATTTGTTTATGCAGGCATTTATTACAGTCCATGATGCCCACACGCAGGACTTGTCTTCAGCACTGTCCAGGCATTAATTTTGAACATGACCAGGTAACGTCCCCTCTGGCTTTCGTACATGAACCAAAGGTAACAACAGTTAGTTATATACTTTTCAGGAAATAATTTTGAACATGAGCAGATAGACGTAAAATTATATACCCTAAGAGCATATGATGACAATGTAGCTAACTACTAAATTTGGACCATGCTGAATATTATAAGATGGAACATCTTGGTAGTTAGTAATATTATGCTGAATAGTTCGTATATATCCGGTTGGATGTAGAGGCCGGGTAAAAAAATACCCTTCTCTAAAAAAATAAAAAAAATATGCTGAATAGTTAGTGGCTTTGATTAATCTCTCTGTCTTCTTGCATGGAGTAGCACAATTATATAACCAGCTGGGTACTTGGTACCTTGTTGCCACCCTAAAAAAATGATGGCACCATACATAAATTTGCTTGTGTTAAAATGTATTGCCATCATAGCGTTGTAACTTATACCTTGCCTTCATGGAAGATAGTAGTTTATTTTAAATGGAAGACAGTAATATGCTTTGTTCAAATTGATCTTCCAGATGCATAGGTTTATGAAATGCTATGATCTAGATGAATAGGTTTCCTGACTATTGTTATTCATTTAAAATAGAACCAAATATGCTGAAACTATTCATCACTGAAAAAAGTCAAATAGAATTATACTGTCACACCGCACTTTCATAAGTTTCTATTGATACTGGATTTTATTCTCTTTATGTTCCTTCAGTATTTTATCTTATATATCAGAATTAAATAGTTTACAAGAATATGAGTGAGAATTATATTATTATTGATCCGTTTCTGTTGTTTGCCACTGTACCACCTATGCATGCTTGCCTATTCTCTTGAACCACATCGTATCGTTCTTAATTTTCCTGAAATGTTGCATGCATTCTTTGTTTTTTTCGGACTGCTTTCTGTGGTGCCTAGTTGTTGGTAGTGTGCAATATTGATGATTTACGCGTCCTGTGTATTCGTAGGGTATAATGAAATTTGATCTGAACATATGAAATTTGACACATGCATTTCCATGATCCGAAAAGTTTATCTGCAGATTTAACAAAATATTCATGTTCATTTTACCTTTTTCAACTCATTTACATGAACAAAATTGGAGCCATGTAAAAGCCTATATATTTACTTTGATACATATTTTTGCTTTAATAGAATCCGGGATATTTTGCCAAATATTTTGGGAGTTAAATTACTACTGCTAAGTGATGAATATGTCTTTATAAGCGTGTGCCTCGTGGTAGGCAAACACACTGTCTTCAATATGGTGCTTCTACTGATATGCGTTCGATAGAGAAGTTCATGTGGCTTCTTGAGGTGCTCTATAAGGAGGAAGGTGACCAGTGAGGAGTAGAAGCTGCAGAATGTTTCCAGGCGATGCATGTATTGAAAAAATAGCACCTGTAGAACTTGCAGGTGATATTTGTATCTATATTTTACTTCTAAACATTGTGTTTTGAAATGTTAAAATATTGTAGAACTCTATTCATGGTCAACTTTGGGAAGTTATTAACAGTATAATAATATTCATGAGAACAATACAAATATCTCTATCGTTATTTTATTCCTGAATCTTAAATATTACCTTTTGGTTTTTGCATTATCAATTATCACCATTGCGTTAGCACGGGCATATTACTAGTGTTCGTTAATTCTCCCGTGATCGGGAGACTTTGGAAGCGCTCCATGGCGTTTGGAAAGGAACCTCCAGCGCTCTCACCGCCGTGCAGAATCGCCGAATTTTGTTCATTTTTAATTTTTTTAATATTTACAGAAATACTATACCGGTGAAAATATTTACAGAAATAGACCCTGCAACCCTTCCTGAGGGTGGCAGGATGATGCGTGTGAGCAGGCGCTAGAGGCCGCTGAGCGGGCATGCGAATTTTGCATGCGGCAAAAAATGCATTTCACCCCCTTGCCGCCCTTACAGAAGGCGGCAAGGGACCTCAGCGCAAAACGTGCACACAACGCCGTGTGCCACGTCACCTTGCGACTCTCCACTTGGGCGACAGGTTTATTTTTTAAATATTTTTGCCGGTATAATATTTTTTAAATATTTTAAAAAATAAAATCTACTACTACTTAAAAAATAAGAGGTGCTTCCATCGTCCGTCAAAAAAACCGGGTGAAAAAAAACCGGGCAGAAAAAACCAAGTTTGTCCGATCAAAAAAACCGGACGAAAAAAAAAGTCCGATCCAAAAAAAAAGTGAAAAAAAAACCGGGCGAAAAAAACACCCGTCCCTGGCAAAAAAACACCCGATCCCTTAAAAAGGGAAAAAAAAGTCCGAGAGACAAACCGTTTAATGAATAAAAAAAGCGAAAAAAAAAGAGTCCGATTCCCTGGAGAAAAAAAATCTGATTTCCCTGGAAGAGATCCGATCTGTATTGGATTGGAGAAAAGAAAAAAAACACTTCTCTAGGTGCTTCTGTCGTCCGTCAAAAAACGGGAGAAAAAAACCGAGCGAAAAAAAAAGAAAAGTCCGATAAAAAAACCTGGCGAAAAAAAACCGGGCGGAAAAAAAACAAATATGTCCGACAAAAAAAAGGAAAAAAAAGGAAAAAATACCGAAACGAATCCGACTACATCGACGCGGTAAAAAGAGTTTAAAAAAATAAAAAGAAAACTGTCCTATTCCAAAGAAAAATGAATTATATGTATCGTGGAGCAAAAAAAAAAAAAAAAGAAAAGTCCGATAAAAAAACCTGGGCGGAAAAAAACCGGGTGGAAAAAAAACAAATCTGTCCGACAAAAAAGAAAGCAAAAAAAGGAAAAAAATCGAAACGAATCCGACTACATCGACGCGGTAAAAAGAGTTTAAAAAAAATAAAAAGAAAACTGTCCTATTCCAAAGAAAAAGGAATTATATATATCGTGGTAAAAAAATCGACCGGGCGAAAAAAGAAAAAAATAGTCCGATCCGAAAAAAACAGGAGAAAAAAAATGGGCAAAAAAAAAATTTGTCCGATAAAAGAAAAGGAAAAAGCTGAAAAGAATCTGACTCCATCGACGCGGTAAAAAAAGGCGAAAAAAAACTTTCCGATAAAAAAAAGGAATTATATGTGACGCGGTAAAAAAAATAAAAAAACCAGGCGAAAAAAAAGATAAAAGTCCGATAAAAAAACGGGGCGAAAAAAAAACAAATATGTCCTATCCAAAAAAAGCCAAAAAGGGGAAAAATCAAAACGAATCCGACTCCGTCGACGTGGTGAAAACAGGGCGAAAAAATTCCAAAGTAAAGGGAGAAAAAAAATCAAAACGAATCCGACTCCGTCGACGCGGTAAAAAAAGGGCGAAAAAAATCCAAAGTAAAAGGAATTATATGTGACGCGGTAAAAAAAATCGATCGGGCGAAATAAACCGGACAAAAAAATATCTGTCCGATCCAAAAAAAAGGGGAAAAAATCAAAACGATTCCGACTCCGTTGACGCGATAAAAAAGGGCGAAAAAATTGTCTGTTTCTAAAGAAAAAGGAATTATACGTGATGCGGTAAAAAAAATCGAATCCTATTATATCTAGAAAGGTTTGACACTATGTGAAAGTGGTGAAAAAAACCCTTCGTAAAAGAAATGCACGAGAAAAAAAATTAAAAGGACGGAAAAAAGCGCGGAGGAAAAAAGTCAAATTTATATTCGTCGTTTTTTAGTCCATTTATATATCTTCTTTATCTCTAATGTAATCTAATCTAACTATAAAAAGAGAAGTTTCTACAGAATATTAAAAAAGGAAAAAATGCGCGAGAAAATAAAAACGGTTTAAAAAAACACGTGAGGGAAAAATGTCAGAAAAAAGCACAAAAGAAAACGCGCTAGAAAATAAAATTTCGTAGTTCTAATTTTCTGATTGTTATCGACATGGTTATGCATGAAAAACGTATATTATCATTACGTTTTTTCACCCGTTGCAACGCACGGGCATATTTGCTAGTGAAAAAAAAATCCAGAATCGCCTCTCGTGCAATGCTCGAGTGGGCCGGCCTTCTGCCGTGACGGCCCGTTTTGTTCGGACGCCCACACGGCCCACCGCCGTTCGGGCCCAAAACTCCCAGCTTCCCAAGTCGACGGCTACGCGCAGTAGCGCTGTCGCAGTTTCCGAACGGCTGTACGCGTCGGAATTCTCTGTAGCCCTACAGCACCGTGGAAGTCTGGGGTCCTCAATTTCGGCACACGTTAGTGTTTAGATCTTTTGGATCTAAACTTCTAACCTTTTTTATCACATCAATCTGTCATACACACATAATTTCAGTCATATCGTATCAATTTCAACCTAAATTTTTAACTTTAAAAGAAACTAAACACAGCCCTTTGTTTGTTGGGACTTGGGAGAGTCGGCACCGGCCTGATCCGGTCCGGGGCTTTCTTTCGGGGAAAGGAGGAAAAGCTGATCATGGAAGAATGTGTTGATGACTGGAGCGTGATTAGTCAGGTCAAAATAGGTCGTAGATGTTGCCAGATGCCAACCGCATCACCGTTGCTACTTGTTGCATTTTGTTCGGCGATGATCCCCTGACACATAGTATTTTGTAGCATAACATGATTACCGTTCCATGATACTCCCTCTGTTTTAGATTATAATTTGTTTTAAGTTTGGTTAAAGTTAAACTACTTTAATAAGTTTATAGATAAATATAGTAATACTTACAATACCAACTTAGCTTCATTAAACCAATATTGAATATGTTTTCATAATAAAATTATTTTAGGTTGAATATGTTATAACTTTTTTTCTACAAACTTGATTAAACTGAAAGCAAATTGACTTTAATCAAAATTGAAACGACTTATAATATAAAATGGAGGGAGCATCGACCCTATTGTTTCGCTGAATATTTGCAAACGAAAACTAATTTGTGAAGAAAACTTTTATATACATGTTCTTAACGATCTAAAAAGCAAAGGCTGAAAAATGAACTTTGATAAAAAAAATTGAAAATTCAAAATTTGGCTGGTAAGTATAAACATGAGCAAAAAGATAGGGCTGCATATGTCAGTTATCTTAAACTTTTATGAAAGGATGTTGTTAGTTCTTTTGGCTGGGTGGTGGCCATTAGGGCAAGGATGTGTCATGGTTTCGGAGTGGAGGATTTTTTTAAGTAACTTTTAGGAGTTTAATAAGTTCGTGTGAAAATTTTGTAAATTCTTTCGATCCAAAGTAGCCTATGAGAGATAAGTGTTCCAACACTAATTCTCAGCTTGCATTTTATGTTTATTACCGGCTTCCCTTTTGCCTTTAACTTGTCCCCCATCGTCCTGATTTCTCCTCGTCTGAAACAACTGGGATGTATCTATACGGTGGTTCTCTTTTATGCTATATCATGATAAAATCCACATATTGAAGTGTGCGACAAAGTTTAAAGGTGCACTTGCGTAGTTGCTAAACAATACGTTTCATGTTGCTAAATAATACATTTCACGCAAAAAATTTCTATATATAAGTTACTTTAAAATATTAAATAAATATATTTTTAAAATTTAAAATAATTAAAACCAATTAATCATGTGCTAATAATTTTTTCGTTTCATGTGCCCACACATAATTAGGGCTGTCAACGAGCCGAGCTCGAGCAAGCTCATATGCTTAGGCTCGAGCTTGACACAGACTCGAGCCGGCTCGAGTCAAGCCTGTTCTAACATTCGAGTTTCATGGTAGGCTTGAGTTCGGCTCGACCGAGCCTCGAGCTTGCCTGTTGTTAGCTTCGCAAGTCACGGGGAAGAAAAATGAAGGACATAAGCTTTCGTTGGGAGGGATGAGTGATGGAGAAAGATGAAGGCATTTAGTGTGCCATGCAGCATTTTGCTGTTTGATGTGAGAGGAGCGGCCGCTAGCTATTCTCCTGTGGGAAAGCTTGGAGGAAAATTTGGATGAGACAACTAAGGGCCTGTTTAGTTCTTTAGTCAGTGAAATAAAAATTTTTGGGTGTCACATCAGATGTTTGATCAAATATCGGAAAGGGTTTTTGGACACGAATGAAAAAACTAATTTCATAACTTGCCTGGAAACTGCGAGACAAAACTTTTGAGTCTAATTAAGCCGTCATTAGCACATGTGGGTTACTGTAGTACTTATGGCTAATCATTGACTAATCAGGCTCAAAAGATTCGTCTCGCAATTTACATACAAACTGTGCAATTAGTTTTTCTTTTTATCTATATTTAATGCTCCATATATGTGTCCGAAAATTTGATGTGATGTTTTCACGAAAAGTTTTTGGGAACTAAACAAGCCCTAACAGATTAGCATAAGGGATGGCAAATTGTACGTAAGCCCAGCAGCAAAAGCTCGTCGAGCTATTTGAGCTCGGCTCGAGAAGCTTGCGAGCTTCGTGATAGGCTCGAGCTCAGTTTAATAATAAAACGAGCCGAGCTTGAATCAAGCCTAAAGCGAGCCGAACTCGAGTAGCTTGCGAGTCTCGAGCTTTTTTGACAGCTCTACACACAATTTTTATCTACCGCTATCTCAAACCCAGCTTGCCAATTGTTTTGACTGGTTACTTCATAAAATCATATATTCATGAAAAGCTTAAGCCAGCATGGAACCTCCACATAGAAAGCATGGTAAACAGCTAATAGGCATGATATATTTAGCTTTCCTTCAAAATTAAATAACCTTTACCTAAAAAGATGCTAGCATGGAACAATCATAAATATTTTTTTCTGAGAGGGAACAATACTATTTCTGAAGTCAACAAAAGCAACAATAGGAGTATCAGAATTTCAGCATCATGGGTTTTATTTAGTTAACAAAACAAGAGTTTCTTGTGAGGACAAAATGGGAAAGATAACAACACTACATAGCCCAACAGTGACAAAATGGGATGGACAACAGTGGCACAGTTGGAAGTTCAAACCGTTTCCCACCAACTGCGGTTAGGAAAAAGGGTGTGTTTAGTTGATTGGCTAATTTTTTTTTAAGTATATGAACACATATTAAACGTAGATTAATAATAAAATAAATTATAGATTCCGCCTGTAAACTGCGGGACGAATTTATTAAATCTAATTAATTTGTCATTAGCAAATGTTTATTGTAGCATCACATTGTTAAATCATGGTGTAATTAGGTTCAAAAGGTTCGTCTCGCAATTTACATATAAACTGTGCAATTAATTTTTCGTTCACATTTAATGTTCCATACATGTGTCCAAATATTCGATGTGATGTTTTTGGAAAAAAAAAATCTAAACACGGCAAGGGTCCGACGGAAATTTGCACGAGTATTTTTCAAAACAACCCAACACAGCCGAAATATTCACACATAATTCGAAGACGTGTTTAACTAGCAAAGGGAACTGGACTGTAAACAATTACTCATTAATTCGAGGGACTTGTACGCAAAAAAGCTAAAAAATTGAACTAACCATAGTTAGCTAACCTCGCCTTCCACAGAACAAACCAGGGTTGCGCGGACGCGAACACCACCAGACCAGACCACCTCCTCCTCGAGCTTCCCCTCCTCCCCCTCTTTCCAAATTTCCCCAATCTCGCGTCGCTTCTTCCCCGAATTCCCCAACCTCGCATCCCGATTCCTCCCGCGGATCGTGCGGCGACCTCGCCCAAAATCCCCCGCCGGATTGGCCTCGCCGATGGCTTAATTGGCGATTTCGACTCTGCAATGGAGGCGCAGTGGCTCGCCGAGTACCCGCACCAGGGCGCCGACAAGCGGCCGCGGAAGCGGCCCCGCCTCGCCTGGGATGTCGCGCCCCCGCTGTTCCAGCCCCCCAAGGTATAATCCATGCGCTATGTGCTGCGTCGATCCGGTCTCTCTCGGGCGTGTGGGTTGCGGTGGTAGTTTTTGGCTAGATCTAGTCGTGGTTTCGCTAGATTTAGAGCGGGGCGGTTCGATCTGGGTGTGCATATTTGGGAATTGGGGATATGCTGCGCTGTTGCAGAGGATCATCGATGTGATATTGTGAATTTGTGGGATAGGATCGGAGCCAGTTGCTGATCGAAAGAACAATATGGAGAAAAGGGGCAATCTCACGACCTCCATGTGCCTAAGTGCTGCCAAATTTATGGAACTTGCTAATAAAGTTTGATATTCTGTCATTATTTTTGCTAATCGATATTGTTCTCTTTTGGTGGGACACAACCGTTACTTGAGGTATTTGTCCATTCAGTGCTGTCAAACATATGGGTTACCCGGTGTACTTCTCTATTTAGGACTATCAAACAAAACAGATAGATAACTTTAATGGTGCTAAGTGGGGTGTAAATATCATTGAACTTTGAAAACACAGGAGATCAGTATGCAGTTGTTTCTATTCATTTAGAATTTATATGCTTGTTACCAATTTTGATGTATATGGTTAATAGTAATTTACGTGGCTAATTATTTTTGTAGGCAATTCCTATGCTATATTGCGGGCAGGAACTAATCAATGGAAATTTTGCGACCGCTTTTCTGCCACCGCCACCAATCTATTATACAGGACCACCACGCAATCTTTCGCCTCCCTGGAGGCCAGATGACAAGGATGGACACTATGTTTTCGCAGTTGGGGAGAACCTTACACCAAGATGTATTTTTCCACAACTCAGTATTATTTATTGCATAGGGTTATTGTTTTTGTTTGCATTTCTGATCGCTTGCTTGGTTAGACTGTTAAACTGTTTTTCTTCTGGAGTAAGTTTATCTTGCCACAATTGTTGAAATACTGGACACAGAACTTTCATTTTGTTTGATATTTGGGACTTATGTAGCTGTTTAATGATTGTCAGTTACTGGTTAAATGCAACACCGTGTTTCAACCACCTAATTATGGGTTGAATGGCATTTCAAGCCTCATTAAATAACCATTCATTATTTACAGTCAATTAAATCAGGGTAAAATGTTTGCATACCTTTGTTCGTTGCCCAAATAACTTCTGACATTGTGTAATGGTCGTGCATTCTTGATATCTATTGCCGTTGTGTTGTCAACTGCCCTGCATCTCTACCAGCTGTACTGAACTTATGTTTTGTTGGCGATGCTTCTTTTGGTTGAGATAATTCTGAGGTTTAACCTTTGTTCTTGTCTATGGCTTTGCAGATAGAATACTTAGCAAGATGGGTGAAGGTCAGTGTGCTCCTCCTTTTCTAAATTTCAACATTTCATTTTATAAGGAATAGTTCAGGATAAATGCTTATGCTGCAAAAGTTTTGCCCTTTGTACATGTTACCAACAACTACCTTTCTTAATTTGTGTTGCAGGGACTTTTGGACAAGTCTTAGAGTGCTGGGACTTGGAACACCAAGAGACAGTGGCTATCAAAATTGTGCGCTCCCTTCAGAAATATCGAGAGGCTGCTATGATTGAAATTGATGTGCTTCAGAGGCTTGGGAAGCATGATTTTACTGGTAGCCGGTAAGCAAACTACTTTCGTCATTGCTAAGTCTTGACTCTTTATTGAGTTGATGGATTTGCATGAATGGTTCTATGCCTGCAGCTGTGTGCAAATACGGAATTGGTTTGACTATCGTAATCATATATGTATAGTAAGTACATGTGCATCAAGAAGGCTTCCTTTCATGTTTTGGATGGTCAGAATTTAATATTGAATTACTAACTTTGTCAGGTATTTGAGAGGCTCGGACCAAGCTTATATGACTTCCTCCGAAAGAATAGTTATCGTGCATTTCCGATCGACCTTGTTCGGGAATTTGCCAGACAAATATTAGAGTCTGTTGCATGTGGGTATTCAGTTAATTTCTGCTGTTTGTTGGTTATGCAAATTAACGTTTTGTTTTATCTTGCCCCTAACAGTATTATTCTAATGTTTATTTTATTGTAATATTTGCAGTTATGCATGACCTGCGACTTATTCACACAGATCTGAAACCTGAGAACATTCTCCTTGTTTCATCAGAATCTATCCGGGTGCCTGATTATAAGGTGGCTTCAATACTAAATTTTGTCATTCGAACTATAATCTTTTGCAATTTTATCCGTTAACACTTGTGGTTGCCATTACATTATGTCAATTAGTACGAGCATACATTTATTTTTTACTGATTTTTATATTGTTTTCCATAAAGGTTACAATACGGCCCCCAAAGGATGGTTCCTTTTTTAAGAATCTTCCAAAATCTAGTGCTATCAAGCTGATTGATTTTGGAAGTACAACATTCGAACACCAAGACCACAATTATGTGGTATCAACAAGGCATTATCGTGCCCCTGAAGTTATCCTTGGTATTAACATCATATCCTTTTCCATTTCCCCCCTATAAAGTGGAACACATAATTATATTACTGTGTTTTGTTTATGGTACCTTTGTTTAGTTATTTCCTTTCTCTGTTTTCATTTGCAGGTCTTGGGTGGAATTATTCATGTGATTTGTGGAGTGTGGGATGCATTTTAGTTGAACTCTGCTCGGTTAGTTCACACTATCTATACCTGAGTAGTTCCTTGATTTTCTCTATAGCCCAGTGCCGGCTCCGCGAATTTGCAGTGCTTCCTATTGATATGTTGCCTCTTTGATTTTCTCTACTAGGGTGAAGCTCTCTTTCAAACACATGAAAATTTGGAGCATTTGGCTATGATGGAGAGAGTTCTAGGTCCCCTTCCAAAACATATGATTGTCAGAGCTGAGTATGTATACAAGGTCTTCGTTATAGTTTCATGATTTATTATAATCTAAGATAAGATGGTTTACATCTAGGCTTAGGTTGCTGCTGAGTTTCATCTGAAGTTCTTTCAAATTATCAATCACTTGCATGTACTTGTTACTTCTTTTTTACAGTCGCCGTGCTGAAAAGTATTTCAGACGTGGATTAAGGTTGGACTGGCCAGAGGGGGCTGCCTCACGGGAAAGCCTGAAGGCAGTCTGGAAATTGCCTCGTCTGCAGGTACTTTGTTATCTGATGTAGTCAGTATGTTCCTCTTAGCATTTTCCCCTCTTTGCCAAGTGTCGCTCATAGGTGGTATCCTCTTGACACTCGAATTGTGCTAACTCATGCAGAATCTGGTAATGCAACATGTTGATCATTCTGCTGGAGATCTTATAGATCTTCTTCAAGGCCTTCTTCGGTATGATCCTGATGCGCGCCTAAAGGCACGTGAAGCTCTTCAACACCCGTTCTTTACAAGATGCCACAGAAGATGTGGTTACTGAGACTATACTGAGATTAAAATGCTCAATGCTGTATTTCTTCATTTTGATGTGTAAGAACCACCCAAAAAAAAAGTGAAGATGTTCCACAAAAATGAAATGTGCTAACTCGCATTCTGTTCGATGATGTGCAAGGTAACTGTTGTATATAGACAGAGTTCTACGACTGCCGATTTATTTTAACTGGGAGATATTTTTCAATTCTTACAAGTTCCTGTCTTTAAACCTCACATTTTACTTCATACTAATTTTTGCAAGACTGCCCAGTACTAGCAGGTAGCATGCAGAAATCTCAACTTGGTGGAGTCAATTGAGGATAGAGGGAATGCCAGTGGCTCTCATGAAAGATTGGTACACTGTATTTGATGGTGAGCTGGTGATATAAGGTGAGCATTGCATTCTGACCATGTCCTGTTTGGTGTGGAGATAGGCTTATCAATATAATTTTATGTGCATTTAGGATCTCAGTATTTCTCGTGAAAATTGGTGATGGCCTGTTCACTTGACCTTCATGTCCATTCTATTTTACCTTGAAATGCATGATTAGCCCTGGAAACTAACCGGACGTTAAAGTTACACCCTGGTGAGTTTTGCTTGTGACTGGTCATATTTCTTAAAACAAGTCTCGGGTGTTGGATAAAAGTTTGGTAATTAACTGAGCTTTTGAGTCTGACACTTGGCTTGGAAAGGTTTGCGACAACTTTGAAATTGTGGACAGTAGTCTAAATCTCAAGATGTGCTCAACTTTGAAATATTGTCAACTGTGACTAAAGTCCAGAATCCTTGATAGCAGCTGATATATATCTAATTTACCTGAATATACCGTAAAGTACTGGCTTTAAAATCTTACTGGTTCCCATATTACTAGCAGCCACCAAGCTCTTGGATTGGAGATGTTTGTTAGATAAATCCTTGTGGGTTTTGAGCTTAAAACTATACTCAACCTGTGTCTATCGTTTGCGCCAGGTGAGCTTGTTCTTAATATCTTACAAAAGTCATTTCCTTTATCAAACTTTAGTGATGTGATGATTGTATTCATCTATTGCTTGTTTCTTCTTTCTATAAAGGCTCATTACTCAAAAGTTATCTTCTGGCAAAAAAAAAGACTGTTATTTGGTCTGATAACATCTTATTGGCTGCTACAATATCTTCTTTGACAAACTGAGTATTTGAAATCTGCTGGAAAATGTTTTACAACTATATTTAAGCAAGGACGAGTATTTTTTTTAATTTATCGTTTTCATTTTTGCAATTGAGTGAAACTACCGTTGAAGGTAATTTATCAACATCGAGTGTCAACACTAGTGAAACAAAATTAGTCCGGCTTGTTTTGTTGATTAAAGATGAAATCATTCTATAGGCAAGATAGACTAACCCCAGAATGCTGGTAGTTTAGGCTCGTTTTGGACATGCGAAAGATTTTACTCATCGAAGGTGGATTTGGAGAGCTGCTGCTTCCTACTGTGAATGGATGAGCAGCTGGTAAATGTTTTACTCATTGGGCTACGTGACGTCAGCCCAAAGATCGCCTCCAAAGCTGTAGCAGCGGGTCAATTGTACAAGAGCCTGTAACTCTGTAAGGTATGATATACTAACCCTTCGGAACGGGCGCCAACGCTTCCATCGTCATGTTACATGAGATCGCGTTCGAAGACGGCGAGCAGCAGGTTTGATCACAGGTTTCGAACCTGGCATTCTCGTATAGTCGTATTTGCTTCGATCATCATATGTTACAGAGATCGCGTTTGTTTGAAGACGGCGAGCAGCGGTTTTGATCACAGGTTTCGAACCAACAACCCTGTACTAATATATACTACTGCATGTGTTCTTTCAGCGAGGTAGGTTCTTTTTTCTCTTGTTGACCGATTTATTGACGTGACTCCCATTCTCCCACCAAACCCGAGACCCTCAATTTTTTGTTTCTTATGATCTTCAATTATTTGGTTGCCTCCGTGTCCCTGATGAGTCCCTTTCTCCCTGAGCTCCCCCGTCAATATGTGGAATATACTAAATCGTGATGAACGTTATTCGCCAGGTTCCTGCCTTTCCATTCGGAGGGTTCACGTCTCCCGCGACGAATGAGCCAGGATCATTACACCGGCAAACGTGCACATTCCGACGAAGAGACGTTTATCCATCGGTAGCAAGGCGCTGCTCCGGCTGCCTGGTTGCTGCTGCTTGTAGACGGTCGTGGGCCAAGCAGGGACAACGACTCCTCCTGTGGATTACAGGATTGTGGTAGCTCATGCACCCCGGTGGCGATAAGACCGTGCTCGCGCGGTGAAAAAAACGGCCTGATCGGCACGGCCAGGACGACTCCGGCTGCTCCCGCCCACTTATCCCAGCGGCGAGGCGAGGCAGCGTCATGCGATGATGCGATCTGCTTTCCCGTCCCAACCGTGTGGCTCTCTGTTGCATCATTCGCTCTGCCACTGCCTCCCCATGCGTACGTGGCTCTCTGGTGCCAGGTGCGTGCGTCGTTTGTGTGGAAGAAACACGAGGACGATATGGTCCACTTCGCTTCCAGTTTCGACATCTTTTTGTTGGAAGTACACGCACCTAGCCGCTATCCCCGGGAGACGAAAGCTACGGCGATCTCGACGCGGGAGGTGACTCCGACCACACCGCGCGCTTGTTTCACGTTTGCAAGTGGGCGCACGCGCCGCCCCGATCAGTCATAACTAGCGACTCTCTTCTTGACCCCAAATGCACTTGAGCTCTATAGTTGTTTTTCTCGAAAGTTCATCTTAACCGAGTAATCATGTTCTCCTACATAGGCTCGCACCAGCCGTGTCATCAGCTATCAAGCCAGGAGCCCCGTCCACGTTTACAACTGTTCGTCGCTTCATCAGTGCAACTTGGCAAGACAGCAAAATCAGTGAGAGGGGTTGCTGTGACTGTGAGAGGGATTAAATGGATCTGGTAAAGGATGGCAAATAAGTAGTTAAAATCCCCCGCAATCAGCATCGGCCATTTTCCTGATATGTGTACGGGGGACAGAGAGAGGCAATCAGGCGAATGCGTTTTTAAACCGGAGAAGGGGGCCACATTTCCTACTGCGCTGAACCGGATCCTCTCGGTATCACCTCGCGCCACGCAACCGCGGGGATCCGTATCCTCTCAAATTGTGCACCCTCCACCTGTCCGTCCTCCTCCGTAGGCCAAGTGCACCGCCGTCCTTGTCAAACCAAAGACCGCGGCGATCGACTATGTACGTGGAAAACAATTTTAATCACTTATATGTATATTGTATGTCATAAATAGTTATAAAAGAATTTATTTAAAAAATCAAAATAAATTGACATATAATATGTCACTCCACCGATATACAAGTTTAAACTCGACTCTATAAGTTATGAAAGCATAAAAAATTAAGCTCTAATTAATTAATCTTTTGTAGAAGTTAAATTTTACAAGTTTAAACTCGACTCTATAAGTTATGAAAAGTTATGAAAGCATAAAGAATTAAGCTTTAATTAATAAATTTTTATAGATGTTAAATTTAAACTCGTATGTATATCGAATGATATATTTCATATCAATTGATTTTTATTTTAAAAAAATGTATATAATAATTTAATTGACATGTGTAATAAACGGGCTCGACAGCCACCGAGACATGGAGTGATTATAATCAATCTCCCGCGGTGTATGGGCTCGGCGCACGCGGCCTAACCCTCCCCTTCCTTTCATTCCCTCCCCCCGCCGCCCTCTTGACCCTCCTCTTTAATCACGAGACCCGCACTCTTTTTTTGCGTCGCTCGAGCGCCCGCGTTCCCCGCTTCGCCGAAACTACCAACCGCCTCGCCGTTCTCCTCTCCCCGTGGCGCCGCCGCGCCGCACGGCGGGAGGGCAACTGACCGAGGGAGACTGCCCACCAGCGTGCCGCGCGCCGTCGCCTCCGGCTCCCTGGTTCGTGGAATAATGGCGGCGGCGGTCGCGGGCGGTGGGGAGGAGGGGGAGGAGCTGCTCCTGCTCTCCGCCGTCGAGGCCGGTTCCTTCGGCGGCGGTGGCGACGGTGGCGGCGCGGGCGCAGCGGCGGAGAAGTCGTGGCGCCTCAACTTCGACGGCTTCCGACCGCCGGAGGTGCAGCAGGAGAGGCGGCCGCCCCGCGGGCTCCACCACCACTGCCTCGGCGTCCTATGTACGATCTCTCTCCAACTCGCCGTCGCGCGCTTGCTACCCTTGTACCGTGTGATGTTTATGGTCTTATGGATATATTGTTGTGTTCGTATGCTTGGTTGCTTGATCTAGGCTTTCATTCGTTTGCCTTTTCTCGTGTGTTGGCAACATGGTTCATTTGTTTCGGTAGTTGCCTTTTGCAATAGATATCTACTAAAGTAACTTATTTTTATCTGCTTTCTATAAAAGCAGTTCCGTTTAGGCCTTTATAATATAAAAAGGCAGTAACTCCTTTTATTTTTCGTTTCAGCAACTAGCAAGAGCTCAGCTGTGCTAGTATAGATGGGGATTGGATTAGGATGTTGACGGTAGTGGTAGGCTAGATTCTTCGTGTGCAACCTTTGGCAGATAAGAATAGGAATGGGGAATGTTATATTGGTGGAATGAGGAATTTGTTGTTTCTAGCTTTCTGATATTGCCTAGTTGCCTATACTATCGTGCTCATCTGGGGCAGGGCAGGACGGTCCTCACGTGAGCTGCTCTGTTCTTGGAGTGCACGTGAACAGAGTTCTAAGAAAACTTTTTTTTTTATCAGCGGGGGTGGTTAGCACTGAGCCGAGTTGTAAAGACTGGGGCACTGGGTGTGGGTGACTGACAGCGTGAGAAGGGCACCAGGTGTCTTAGCGTTCATGTATTGTCACAATTATTTTACCCTTTTATGCAATTTTAGAGGTTTTGTTCTGGTTAACAAAGTTGCATTGGGCACAAAAAGTTGAATTAATAACCCAATCATGTCATTTGGCCGCACTCAACATTTGGGGTTTGGATATCTAGTAGTCGTTTCTCTCCCGTATTGTCAATCACTGCTTTCCCATGGCTATAGAAGTAGGGAGTCCTTGTGGGCTTAAAGTCGTGGTCTATTGGTGGTTGAATTCAAGGCCCCACAATCCTAGTACTAGTAGTACTATTTAAATCAGAATTGACATTTTTATCCTGTACATTTCAATAGCTGTAGCATTTTATTCAGTGGTTCTACATGTGATATAATCAATAGATGAAATATAATTAATTAGATATCAGAGTTATCAGGTTCACTGAGAAGTGGTATAATTCAGTAGAACATGTGAAGCATACATGCCTGCTTGCTCCACTAATGTCACTATCTTTCTTCATGCTGGACATAATTTTCTGTGATTGATGTACGATTCTATCTTCAGCTCAAGGTCCTGAGGACGTAGTTGCTGAATACTACCAACAGCAAGTGGAAATGCTAGAGGGCTTTAATGAAATGGATACACTTACTGATCGTGGTTTTCTTCCAGGAATGTCCAAGGTATGTTTGATAAGCTTTTCTGTTGTAACAGTAGGGAAGACAAATTGTTTAACAACTGCATTGCAACACTGAACATAAATTTATTTGCCTGTAGGAAGAGCGTGAGAAGGTTGCTAGGAGTGAGACTTTAGCCATCCGGCTATCGAACATAGCAAACATGGTTCTTTTTGCTGCGAAAGTGTATGCTTCTGTGAGAAGTGGTTCACTTGCTATTATTGCTTCGACTTTGGATTCTCTTCTTGACTTGTTGTCAGGATTTATCTTGTGGTTTACTGCCTTCTCTATGCAAACACCAAATCCCTACAGATACCCTATTGGTAAAAAGCGTATGCAGCCACTGGTGAGTCCTATCACAAGATTACCTTCATGTTTGCCATGCTTATTCTTCTTACTGTAATTTATGCAATTGATTCCAAGGGACTCAACTCTCGGCTATTCATGATGCATAGCCAGTTACTCCCTGTGATGTTCTTTTTTCCGCAAAATGAAAAGAAAAAGTGGAAATGCTCCAGGAATGAAAAGAAACTAAACTATTGCAAACATTCCTGGCAGATGGACCATAGTAACATGCGGAATTTTGTGTTTTGAGGATTTTCATAGTTACTAGAAATCACGTTCCCAATTTCCCCCAGATATCTCTTGCTCTTAGGTCAATGCTACTGTATCAATATCTTTGCTACTCCGGCAGCAGACAATTTATGCATGGAAATATTTATGATAAGTCCTTCAGTCTAATTTCACTAAATGATCGAGTTTATCGCTTCTCTTTTCACTTAGTATTATCAGTCATACACTTTTAAGTTCCAAATTTCAATATGTTGACTGTTCCATCACAATATCTTCTTCAGGGAATACTTGTCTTTGCCTCTGTTATGGCGACACTTGGCCTTCAGATCATCCTAGAATCAGTACGCTCGTTGTTGTCTGATGTAAGTCTGCTGATGTTTTGTTGGCCTTGAACTCCTACTCTCATTTTGCTTTTGACCAGAAACTTTGCCTGAGGATTTCTTTTCTAGAACGATAAGTGTCTTTGATGTTTGTTGGCTTTGAAATTCTGTTGTAGCTTGCCATATACCTTTCTGATTGCTGAACTTATTGTCTTGTTCTCCAGGGGGATGAGTTCAGCTTGACAAAAGAGCAAGAAAAGTGGGTTGTGGACATCATGCTTGCAGTGACATTAGTGAAACTTGCCCTTGTTTTATATTGCCGGACATTCACAAATGAAATAGTGAAGGCTTATGCACAGGATCATTTTTTTGATGTCATCACAAATATGATTGGTCTTGTTGCTGCACTACTAGCGACTTATATCGAAGGTTGGATCGACCCAGTTGGTGCAATCATCGTAAGTACCAAAAAGTTTTCTCCTGTTCCATTGCAGTAGTGTAAAACTAGAGTTCAAGTAAATGCTATATTTGATCTAATCGTTAATTTGGAGCTAGGCACATCATCCTGATTGGGAATTGACTGGGAAAAGTAACTAGTTTCTGCCAATTTTCCATGTATCATGATATATTCTTTCAAAAAAGGAAAACATACCATGATGAAAAGATCAGCTATGACTTTATTGTAACCAGAGATGCAAATCCTGGCAGTACCAGTTACTGCCATTTATCCACGAGCTGGTTTGTTCGTACTGGCCAGAACAACTTAAATTTTAATTTGGAATACACATTTTGTACAACCATGCATAGTCATATTCATATGTTTTATGAACAACTACACATTAGCTATATCAAAAGTTTGAATCCAAAGTTTTGAACTAAAAAACCGGCTCGATTTGTTATGGATGTTACAGGTTTTTGAATTAGTGTTTGATTTTGCTCTTTTGTCCGGTAAAAACCAGTAACTGGCAGTTACCGGTTTCTTAAAGGGACCAATATTTTTTTTTCCTTCAAAACTGGTGTCCATAACCTTGACAGTGACTTGGTTTAAAAGAGAGAATATTTCTAGTCTGCCTGACTAAATTCCTCTACTGAAAGTCTGATGAAATAGCTTCCAGTGGTTTCCATCGTCCTGGGTGTGTAGTCCTTTGCAACGTCCAAACGTTTCAAACATGAGAATTACTCAAGAATCTTGTATTCCAAACGTTTCCTTAGGTTTTTGTTAAGAAAAACACGCTGTATTTCAGAGACTACTTTCTGTTTTCTCGTTTGCAGCTAGCAATCTACACGATCAGAACATGGTCGATGACGGTGCTCGAGAACGTCCACTCCCTGGTCGGGCAGTCAGCCTCGCCGGAATACCTTCAGAAGCTGACCTACCTATGCTGGAACCACCACAAGGCCGTGAGGCACATAGACACGGTGCGGGCGTACACGTTTGGCTCCCATTACTTCGTCGAGGTGGACATCGTGCTGCCGTCAAGCATGCCGCTGCAAGAGGCGCACGACATCGGCGAGGCCCTGCAGGAGAAACTGGAACGCCTGCCTGAGATCGAGCGAGCGTTCGTGCACCTCGACTACGAGTTCACCCATCGGCCCGAGCACGCTCTGTCCCATGAAAAATAGCCAGACGCAGGTTGCAAGTTCGCAACCACTGGTATTAAGTTTAGCAGCAGCAATTAGTTTCAGAATTTCTGGTGCTCGTCAGGAAACCTGCGGGTGTATGAGATTTTAATTCTGTATACTGGATTGGCGGGTGTGACAGTGCCAAAGCCGTAGATTGTGATTTGTAACTACTTGTTGTAGACTATAGGATTCTTGACTGTTAAATCCGTCATCTCGATCATCTCGTGTAGTACAATTTATACTCAAAGTCTAGAGAGACATATGCCTGGTAATTACAGGCTCACAGCCACTTTACATTAATATACGGTCTTCTGCTCCTTCGGCTACGAATCATGAGATCTGTTTACTCGGTCTATATATATGCTACTCTACTGTAGAATCCATTAATCTGCACGCATGTGTGCTTGTGCGAGTGTGGTGTTTGTTTGTTTGTTTGTTCTACTGCTTAGCAATCGGTTGATTATTTCAGTTTCCATGCATGGATGCAAGTTAGGCGGGAGTAACATGCATATGCATAAATACATTTATCACACGTATCATACTTGCTAGTACTCTAGAAGAATGAGCAGTTCATTACTCCACTCCCGAACTATGCAAGCAGATCATAACACCAGCATTAATGATGCTACTCTGTTCTGCTTATAAATGGAACGAGAGGGGAATTACTTGATCTCATATTGTTGATTTTGTTGGATTCGATCGAGATGGCAGGGTGCCGTGGCCACGGATTCGGACGAGGCCTTGCAGTGGCCGTGGCGGCAACAGTGCTGCTGCTGCTGCCGCTGCCAAGCATCTCCTCCCTGCAGCTGCAGGCCGTAGCTTCGTCTTCTGCTGCTCCGGCAACGACGGCCACGGCCACGGCGACGGACAAGAGTAAGCTGCCGTTCATGCCCGTCCCGACGGAACCATTCCCACCTTCGCCGCCTCACGGCCACCGCCTCCCGGTTGTGCCGCCGCCTAAGCCCAAGTCGGCGAACAGGGAGGCAGCAGCAGCAGCCGCCGCCTTGACATCTACTCCTTGATCTACTCCGATATCGCCCTTATATATGTTCATATATATCATCGATTGTCTCTTTCTCCTTGTACCAATAAATCAATAATATCGCGTTTACTGTAATAAATCTCTCTAATCCGTAGTGGACTTATTCTTGATCATTAACGCACTTATCTTGCAGCAAATATCGTTGAAGACACGCATTTCCGCAAGAACAGTAGGAAAAACGTAAGCACGTACGCTGGGCCGGAATGAATAGATGGCCAGTTTCTTACATCAGATGGCCTGGCCTTAGGCCCTTAGCCCAGTACTCCTACCTAAGTGTTGCATTAAAAAGCCTGTATAGTCCTACTACTTTTTTTAATTGAAAAGAGGGGGGGGGGGGGGGGGCAATCTATCATTAATCGGATTGTTCACTTTCAGGGTCGAATGCATCTGTGCATGGTTCCGCCACAGATCTTTAAACCGTGCATGGTTGAAGAGCGCCGTAAAGATAAACGGATTTGTTATAAAACTATCGCCAGAATTTTTTTTACAGAAACTTTCGGGGTGGGTCATCAGATGAGTGTTAAGATTTGTGCTAGGGCATGGATAAAAGAATTTCACACCACATGCGTGAAGTGGGAATAGACCTAGGGATCTCATGGAGATGGAAGCCTACTAGTCACCTACCTTTTCATGTTTGTTTCATAACGAGTTACATATAATTACATTGCAGTTACACCTCCCTTCAACTGACGCATTATGTCGAGGGGAGGCATAGTTAAACCTGAGATAATACAGTGTGGTAAGAAATAATAACGGTGTGATAAATGGCATGAGTGCATGACAATAGCTACAGAGCATACGATGATGCATGTCTAGCCCCAAAACGATTAATTATGCTTTTTTTTAGGACACGGTTAATTATGCTTGGGCGGTATATAAGTTGCCTAGGGCACACTGGGCAAAAGGTTGATCACGATTGCTATACACAAGAACACATAGAAGCTTAAGTAGCTCCAGACTTATTTGCACAAGCACTTGACCACTTGTAAACTATGATATGGATTGGAATCCTAACAACCAGGTTAAAACACTCACATCATTAGTCCGTACGCTGATGGGCTGATAGATCAGTCCTAGTGGAAATAAGGTCTATTTGGAAGCCTAACATTATGACAGGAAGCAGCTGATGAGAATTTTGAAAAACTATGATTTCCGATTTGTATTTGGGTTCACTTTCATGATTCTACAACTACAAATTTTTAGAATCTAGATTAAAATCTGGATATTTTTTCTTGGAGAGCTGTAGATTTTAGGAGAAGCCTGCTAAGCTCCCAAACAGGGTCTTAATCAAGCAGAAAATGTTGCAAATGTACGGAGTACTCCTACCTTAGGTCCTTTTTAGTACTACATCGATCCATCTCAAAATATAGCTATTTCTAGCACAATATCTTGTCCCAAAATAAAGCTATTTTTTCGTCTACCTCCTCCTCTCAACCAATCACAATCATTATCTTTCATTTACTTTATTTCTCCAACCATACCCATCCACTTTCTTTATACTCGTGTCAACCTAAAAAATACTTACTCCCTTCGTCCCCTAATATAAGGGATTTTGATATTTTGCTTGCACTGTTTGACCATTCGTCTTATTTAAAAATTTTTGGAATTATTATTTTTTTGGCTTACTTTATTATCCAATGTATTTTAAGCATAACTTTTCGTTTTCTATATTTGTAGAGCATAACTTTTCGTTTTCTATATTTATACAATTTTTTTAATAAAACGAGTGGTCAAATAGTACAAACAAAATATCAAAATCTCTTATATTATGGGACAGAGGGAGTACATTTTAAAACAGAGGAAATACGTATAAGCATGTGAAGCACGCACGTCAAAACGTCGCGCGCGGCCGACAGATCGACCAATCGACCTACCTTCCTACCGATACGCGGTAGGGCCTGACAAAACAAACACCACAGCGCGTACGTACGCATACGCGTACGTGTGGTGCACCGCAGCCGACGGCACTAGCACGCAACAGTACGTACGTAGACTTGCACGTCTACACCAAACCGGCGGCCACCAATCGATCACCGCGCGCGCGCACGTACGTCCACACACGCGCGCTATACACGACCTAGCTACTGCTAGCTTGCGCTGCTTCGCCACTCTCTCGACGCACGTGTGTCCTCGACCCCATGGCGACTCCACGCGCGGTCCAGTAGCTATAGTAGTACTACTAGCTACTCCTTCTATCTCCTAAAATAAAGAATTTTAATATTTTACTTGTACTGTTTTATCATTCATTTTATTTTAAAATTTTTAGAATTATTATTTATTTTATTTGTGACTTACTTTATTATCCAAAGTACTTTAAGACGAGTAATCAAACAGTGCTAGCAAAATGACAAAATCTCTTATATTATGAGACGGAGGGAGTAGTATTAAGAGCAAATTTAATAGTATACCCATCTACTGACTTTAAATCATCTATAGTCAATTCATACAATAGTTACTTATAAAAATATGCTACATAATTAATACATGATCCTACCTGTCATACACACATATATTTTGAAGTCCGTACTATAGTAATTCTGTAGCCCGCTGTTTTTCTCTATACTATTTTATCTTTGTCGAAATATGTTTATAGTTGTTTTATAGTCTGCTACTAATGTACCTGCGTATACCTGTGTTGTGTGGCCAACGCGGCACGCGTCTCGCTCTCGCTCTCGCTCCCCCTCGGTACAACTCCCAAGTGGCTGACGACGATCGCTCGCCCGTGCGTGTCGCGCTCGCGGTCGATCGAGTACGTACGCCAATAATAATGCGCGCGGTGTGTACGATCCGGAGGAGAGAAAAAAAACCCAGCCAGATCGCCTGTACTCTGACGACGCGCACAATTTCACCTTACGTTTGCATCAAGGCCTTTGGGAGAAGCACAACTCCTCGTCCAGGAAATTATACATACATGGACTGCATCTTTTACCTACAATATATATAAACCATGCCAAAATTTATTATAAAAATATATTTAATTATTAATTTAATAAAACTAATTTGGTATTATATTTGTCTATAAACTTAGTCAAACTTGAAGCAGTTTAACTTTAACCAAAATCAAAAACATATTATAACCTGAAACGGAGGGAGTAGTACCAAATTGATCTTTGTGTACCTTGATAACTCCCTTAATTTTTGAACACACGTTTAACTATTTCTTTTATTTAGAAAATTTTGATAATTATTACTTACTTTATTGTAATTTATTTTATCATTTAAAAATACTTAAGCATGATATATCCTACGTATATGTATAAATATTTTGAATAAGATGAATGTGAAATAAATAACGGCGTCATTTACTTAAAAAATCGACCGAGAGAGATCCATCGATCTTTTTACTGACAGCAACAAGGTAGCTAGGCACTCGAATGTGAATATATGTGTACACACGTACGTCATCTTCCGGATGCATGCAACACCACCGGCTGAACTAGACGATGGCTAGCTGCGAATCCGAATCTTAATTATTTTCGGGGCAAAACGTACATAATAACGGCTACATTACTACTATACGCTATGTACTATGAACAGCTAGATGTAAGACAGTACGAGGTACTACGACTTGATGGATATCCTACTGTACAAGTAGCCCCCTCTCTCGTGGGTGCCATGCATGCACCTAGTCGTCGTCTCCGCCTGATCTCTTGGAACCAGCAGCTTCCTGTGAAGAACTACTGCTCTTGCTCTCCGCTGGTTCCTCTCCTTGGCCCTTCTTGTACGTGGCGAAGAACTCGCTGTTCTCCTTCTCAAGCTCCTTCCACACTGCTCACAGACAGCATAATCAAGAAAAAATATTGAAAAATTCTCGACGAATGAGCAGATATCGTCATATAGAATACGGAGTATTCATCTTATATTCGTATTTCAAGGGGAAAAAAAGAGACATGGGAGTTTTTCTCCGATGGCCAAACAAATTAACTAAACGCATGCAGCGTGCACAATGTAATGCATTAATTGATGAAAGCCACAGCTTCTGCATGTGCATATGCACCGCACAGTTGCAATGCAAGTAATAAACTCCTAGGTAAATAGTACTTAAAAAGAAAGGTACTAAACATGTTTAGCCATTTATGCAAATGTGGCGTGAAGCTATAAATAGCGAATTACCGGTGGAGGTGATGACGGGCTTGATGTTGGCGTGCTTCTCCAGCGTCTCCATGCATTCCTCCTTGTTCATGTTGTAGCAGATGCACTTCTCGATCAGATGCTGCACCTGCGTGCAAATTAATCAGCATACATCTATACATTCATCAGAATGAGGCATACATGCATCTCGCAGGCCACAATCCAGATCAAGCTAGCAGACCACGTACGCCGTACTAATAGAGACGCCACAATAGACGTACCAATCTGATGTACGAAGCCGGCGACGAGTCGCCGCCGCCGCCGCCGCCGCCGTCGTCCATGGCCGCACACCACGCACCACTCACCGGTCGATCGATCAGCTCGATCAACGACCAAACTCTCGGATCGATTGAGGCTTGCCTACTCGGAAGATTTATAAGCGAGAGAGCCTTGCAGCTCGCTAATGGCGGATCGACCGGTCGACGACGGCGAGTAGCTAGCGATCGATCGATGGATCGATGGAGTGATCGACCAACGAGAGCGTGACAAGCAGCGGGGTGGAGGAGGTAGAAATAGGGGGGGATCGACGATCGAGTGGGGACATGTCAGCATGTGGGGCTTGCTCACGTGGGTGCCGCCTCCCCATTCGCGGAGAGGCGGTGGCGGGGGATTTTGCCGGGCCCACCCGCCGCACTCACCTTACCCAGTCCCCTGCTTTTCTATGTGGCCTGATTTTGATCTCGCTCCCTGACGGTCAGTTCGCGAGGTAATTAATTATGCACGCTCGTTAATTTCAGGCCGTCCGATGCATGTGGATGGTGACTTGCTAGCCAGAAGTACATTGGAATTGGAATTCACCGTGATCAATAGGCATACGTACATAGACATGCATGACTATCACCGATGTATCTTCCGGTTCAAACAGTGGATGTAGCTAACGTGTACACTGCAGGATGAGATAGTACCAAAATAGTAGTGACCTAGTAGCATCAAATTAACAAGCTGCATATACTAATAATCAAGAAGCGACTCCGGTTCGGACGCCCGATGGGACTGGGAGGGGGTTAAAATTGGGCCATGACGTCAGCGTCACGCATGCGTACAAAACTATTTTAAATTTATTTTTCTCTTAAATTATTTATCCAAATCATGACCCGATTGCACCATTAAATTTGTTGCAATTAAATCTTCAAAACAAGACCATGTGTATTCTGATGAAAAAAATTTAGCTTATTATTGAATTATTTTTAAATGTTGCACGATGTTCCACCAGGTATATCGGAATTGTTTCACTAAGTAGATCGAAAATATTTCACTTGTTTAAATCGGATGTTGTTTCACCTTATATAAAAACAATATTTCAGCAAATAGTAAAAGTATGTTTCAGTTCACTGCAACATTAGATCTATACATAGTGAAACATTATGAGTGCACTAGGTAAAACATTTTTTGTGGAACAAATTATAAAACAAATTCTCTTAATAGAGGGTTCCCAAAATATGTGGGTGATTTGTTGCAATGGAGTATTTTAGTTCACTGCAACATTAGATCTATACATAGTGAAACATTGTGAGTGCACTATATGAAACATTTTTGGTGGAACAAAAAATAAACCAAATTCCCTTAATAGAGGGTTTCCAAAATATGTGGATGATTTGTTGCAATGGAATATATGGTGGAGATACATGGTGGGGCCAGGAGGAGACATTGCGCGTGAGGAGGGGGAAGCGCCCGATCCGGCTCCCCCCGCGCCGGTCGCCCGGCGTTGAGCATTTACGCAATAACCATATAATATCTTTGTTTTTAATATATGACACCGTGACTTTTTTGACAAACGTTTGACCATTTGTCTTATTCAAACTTTTTTGTGCAAATATAAAATAATTTAAGTTAGGCTTTAGAATATTTAACGATAAATCAAATCATAAAAAATAAATGATAATTTTATATTTTTTAATAAAATAAATGGTCAAACGTATCTTAAAAAGTTAACGACATCATGTATTAAAAAATTGAGGAAACATATAGCTTCTTCATTGCTACTAATCCGTACGTGACCAAGCCCGGTACAACTCCTGCTGATAGTCTCCATTTCAAGAGAGAAAACGTAGATGAACAGCTTTGGGGACAGCTATGTCGTACCAACTTACAGGTAGGAGTATACTGTCTACGTACTAAAATTCTTCATCGTTTACCCACTAAAGAGGAATAGAATAAGCACAATTTGGTTGCGCTTCGCTGAATTTCCTAACAAAACCGGAATTACGGTAAGTATTGCAATCATTCACCTGTCGAAGATGGCAATACCGTAACATTCAGTAAATCTATATAAAAATCACAAATACTCATCACATCATACACTGTACTACTGTAGCGTATGCCACTATGCATCGATATCTATAATAGTAATATGTAGTATATATGAGGTGCAAATCGAGCACACACATATAAACACTGTAGCACGCACTGTTGATAATTAATTGTCCACGATTTGATTATACAACTCTCCGGAAAATTTGGGCCAAATGTGGCCGAGATTTAAGGTTAAGCTGCTCCCGGAATATGGGAGTGCGCCAGGTCAGCCGTGCGTGCTAGTCTTCATCTAGCTTGTCAGTGAGATCGTGAGCCACGTGTCCTCCATCCATTGGCTGCCCAAATTGCATCGTAGTACGAATTGATCGGCCGGCCATCCGGCGGCCCACGCCCATACCGATACAGTGTACCGGCACGGTGCGATCAAATTGGTACCCGTTTTGTCTGTCTTGATTCAGCCATAATTTTCCGAGCCCAATTTTGATCGTCCGTCTTATTCGAAACTTTTTTTAAAAAATTAAAAATATAAGTCACGAGAAAAGTACTATTTATGTTTTATCATCTCATAATAATAAAAATATTAATTATAAAAAATTAAACAAAATGAACAATAAAAGTTGGGTGCAAAAACTGATGGTTGCACTTAAAATGAGACGGAGGGAGTATCAAACGGACCAATAGCGAAATATTTCCTCTGTTCCATAGTAAAATTAACTCCTTTCGTTTATTTCAAAATAAATTTATTTTTAAAGTAATCATTGCATCGGAGTTTGTGAAAGTAGAAAATAATTGTATTGTGAATAAATAAAGTGAAGAATAATTGTATTGAGATTTGATAAAGTAGAGGTATTGTAATATTTTGGTTTTATATTGGTTATATGAAACAGGTAAAAAATGAATTTGGATAGTACCTCTCTCTTCGATTCCCCATCGATCAGAAAAACTAAAGACAAAAGAGACCAACCTCCCTAGCTTCCTCGATCACCGGGCGCAGATGCAATAATCATCGAATCCGTGACACGAAAAGCTACAAATGGCCAAATCATGCAAAGCATGGCCCATCTACTATGCTCGACGGAACGCCACATAAAATGTGTCGCCGCGGCGAGAAAAATATATATCGACGGCGACTAAAGAGCAAAGAGGACTTGTCACCTACTGTGTGAGATATTTCGAGCTCCCCCTATCCACAACGGAAGATGGCGAGCATCACAGCTCGCAAAAACCGATCAAATGTGGATCACAGGTTCTCGATGGATTCACCAGCTAAGACGCGCGCCTCGCGGTCTCGAGTGCAATGCTGCGACTGCCAGCGAGGTGCAGTGCACCTGGAACGTCGCAGGTACGTTTCTGCCGGAATTTTGGCGTTGATGAGCAACCACTTGACCTGATGACCACAAAAGTTAATTTTGGCAGGGCCGTGCGCGAGCAACAAGGCGTACGTGTGCAGCCTGTGTGATGCCGATCGGGCAGGGTGTCGCGTTGCAGGGTGAATTGGTGTCATGGCGTGCGTCATTTCCCTCTTGGGGCTTCGACGACGTTGTTTTCGCCGTGATCTGACTGAACCACGGCAATACGTGAGGCTAAGCCTCCAGTAGCCGAGTGCTGCCTAGTAATCTCTAGCGGTATAGTGATGGTCAGAAATTAGCAAAATATATCTATATCGTCTATTGACAAATTTCAGGGCATTTCGCTCTACGATTCAATGAATGTAGGAATGATCAAGAATCGACATGGAAATGTCATTATTATACGGAAGAAAAAGCAGGGGCCAGCAAACAGCGACGCTGGAACGGACGCACCGATGTGCCCCTCTGCATAAAACACGTCCTCAAAACCTCAACGCAGATGAGGCGCAAAGATGCCTTCGCATCGCCGCGGAAAAATTTTGGATAAACCCAATCAAATAGGGAGTATAATACCAACCACATTTCAAAGAATAAGATGATAAGCAGCTGGTTAATGAAAAAAATCGACAGATGACAAACGGAATCTGGAACTAATTAGCATGGGAAACCAAAATACACGATAATTCATATGCAATCTACTCAGCAAGGAGTAATGTGAACAAGCAATATGCCGAAATCAAGTTTTCCTCTAGAGGTTGGCGGGAGTACAGAGTTCGGATTCTACATTTCCGCATAAATCAATCCAGTGCCCTAAAGAAGTCTTCGCACTTTAGTACCAAGTTATCAGAGATCCAGCGGAATGACTAAGGACAAATACATCGTCGTACAGCAAGAGATCTTAGGTGATGTATCTTTCCTGCTGCTCCTGAAGGAGACGCGCCGACGATTTAGCATCCAAGTACAGACCACTGACTTCCTCAAGATCGGCCTGGTAAAGGTCATGAGTTCACCGTGTGTAAGATAGTAAGAATAATATCACAATATAAGTGCAGGTAGCAGCTCTAGGAGCGAAGAGGCGAAGAGGATGTTACAATATATCCTGATGAAATGTCAATACATACCTTGCTGATCTTTTCTCTCCCATTAGCCTTTGCAACTACGCTGGCAGGTGATAGCAGCTGAATAGCATGCCTGCAAGAGATTCAAGATATACAGTCGTTCATCAGTAGCAATCTCAATTAAAAATGCTTATAGTAGAACACTGAAACTGGAAGGTAAGACCGGTCCACTCAACATATTCCCTTTACTCAACGTTTCAGCTTAACTATCTTTTGCAAATTTGTGGGCATAGCCAGGAGGAACAATAACAACCAAAAAGCAGCAGTGTGGTGAGCACAAAGCGACCTATTCTTTTACCTTTTACAATAACAACTAAGGGTGTGTTCGGGAGTGAGGGGTGGGAACCCTCACCCCCTAGCACCCAAAACGAAGCAGCGTTTGGTGCATGATCAATTAAGTTTTAGCTAAAATAAATTTGAAAAATGGATTAACATGATTTTTTTAAAGTAACTTTCACATAGAAAATTTTTGCAAAAGACATACCGTTTAGCAGTTTGAAAAGCGTGCGCGTGGAAAACGAGGGAAGTGAGTTGGGAAAGTGGAGATAATAACTCAGCCTAAGAATCATACCTCAAAGATGTCTGTTGTCCGATCTCTCCTAAAAATGCAAGACTTTCTTCATCGATCTCAATCTCTTCTACCTGTGCTCTAATAGCAAGAATCTGCAAACGGCGATGAGCAAGAATCACACACATTTCTAGACAGAAAAAGCCTAACTGATATAAGACCCAAAATCAAACCTGGATCATCTCAGTGGGACCGTATGTTTCTGTTCGAATAATCACCAATCGATCTAGAAGATCAACTGGTATACCATGCGGACTTGTCATATCAGTTCCTCTGGACACATTCACACAAGTATATAAAAGACTTGTTAACTTTAAGGAGCATAGTAATAGACAAACTGATAGACGCAGTATTACTCTGGTACTGCAATGTGACAGAGTGCTTCGAGCGGTAAATCAAACCGTTTACCTTACATTACATATTCCTCTATTTGTCGCAAGTATCACAATTGGTGATAATGGGCTCTCCAGAGCACGATTAAGATAAGAGAAGCATTCAATATCTAGCATGTGGACCTGCAATTAAAGTTCCTAACAATAATAAGTAATTAAATCAAACAACATTAAGACATATTTCTACCATATAGTAGAACAATAGTAATAAATAAGTTATACAGCATGGCACTGCTTCACAAGGACAAGACACTGTATGCTTCACAACATATAAACACACCATCATTCATATTTGTACTTTCTGACTCCAAAATTAGCCCACTGAGAGCAGTAAACTTTCAATCATACGGATAAAATAAGAAGATACCTCATCAATGAACAGAACACCAGGTACAAGCTCTGCAATTCCTTCATCAATATATCTGTTGACCACCTACTAAAATGCAATATAAAGATTAAAGATCATACATCGATCCTGGAATGTTCATTAAATTTAATCCAGTTTCAAAGAATGGGTGCCGCTCAATCAGAAACTGAAAAACCTTATTGATTTCTTGCCGAAGCTTGTCAGTGATTTCAGTCTTTCGTGGCTTCATCATTTGCCCCATAAGGGACAAAATATCTTGGCCTCCTTGTGGTTGAGCATTTGCAGCGTCAAGGTCATGAAGTGTAACATCCTGTACATAAATGACAGGAGAAGTTTTCCTATATTCATTAACTTCCATATAACTTAAGAGCCATAAGCAGAAAGATTGAATGCACTAACACTGCATATGAGAACAAATTTTCTTATACAGCAGTAAAAGAATATAATGTTTGAGAGATAATAGATAAAAAGGCAAATCATACAGCTTGACCTTTGTCAGATGTAACAATAATTAATCAAACCTAATGACTCCAAGGATTATAATACGTCTTAGTAAGACATCAAGTCATGGATTTGATAAAATCTTAGTGTTTGTTTGTTAACCTAATGACTCCAAGGATTATAATACGTCTTAGTAAGACATCAAGTCATGGATTTGATAAAATCTTAGTGTTTGTTTGTTAACCTTATGAAATTATTTACCAATGGAGGTACAATTACAAATGTAGACAGTTAGGTGAATAAGACAAAATCTTATTTATTTTTGTTTAGCAGGGATGTAAGTTCAATTCTCCATAAAGGTGTCAGACTTGGTCGTAATCCCCTCTATTCAGACAAGGTGTGATGGCCACAAAATGCACCATAGCTCTACTTTCAATCTTCTAAACGTCGACATTTGACACTGTACTTCAAATTTATTAAACACGAATACACGATACATTTATTTCTTCGATTATCAACAACATTAATTAATGGATAGCACAATGCAAAGAAGAGTTGACTGTGCAAAATGTATGGGCAAAAATCCTTAAGACAAAGATTCATCAAATTACCTGCACTATTTCCTTTTTCTTATGGACCTCTCCTTTGGGAATCGGAACATACTCCTCAGCTTCAAGATCGTATTCTGTAGCAAAAGAATCACATCTACCAACTCTTTTCACTGCACCACTATTAGCTTCAATGTATATAACATCACCCACTGCCACCTGCATCCCACAGATAGCTGATGATAAATATGAAACATCTTGTGCAGAAAATGGAAGTAACAGAAATGAATCTCAGTACCGAGGGATCTAATCAGCTCCAGTCCAAAGTGATAAGTTATGAGTTCTTACACAGTAGAGTATCTGAAGTCAATCATGCAAATTTCTACAAGTAACATTCTCCAAAGTTTGTACGATATATTAAATATTCAACAGAAGGCATTCTTTTGAATAAGAAACAAACAAACTCAAATTTCAAAACATGAAAGAAATGTATTTTTAAAGTCTAGCACACGACATAAGGATGAGGATCAGGAAGTAAACCTTTTCCTTTATTAAAGCATCGTAAATTGTAGGATCTAACTTCAGCTGCTTAGTCCCTTTTACAGTCTTCAGACCTATGATTACATGGCTAATGCTTTTTCCATATCCACTTGTTGTACTCTCAGCTTCTTCTGGCGAAAGTTCAGTAACCTAAAAGGCAATGAAGCACAGTTTTATATTATTTTAGAAACAGACAATGGGAATACCGTATCAGTTATGAATGAGTGTGAAAACGTAATTCAAGAACACTATCCTTGCACAAACTTAAAAAACTAGCTAAAACTATGTGCTTACCTCTCCTTCATAAACCTCTTTATTTTCTTTTATACGCAAGCCTATAGCTCGACGGAAATTTTCCATCAGCACCTCAGTTTTCTTGACCTCTGAGGAATACACTTCTGATCCCACCATAGGACAGAAGGGGACCTGTGTTATGAAATAACAAGACAACATATCAACCATTAGATACATTGGAACTTTTACCAAAACTGAAGTAGATGTAGGGCATCAAACAAAAAACTCATAACTATTACAGACAAAATTTATCATATAGTTCTTAGGAATAAAACAAACAAAATGTACAGGTATCCAATAAGTTGACATCTTATGCCAGTGATCCACAATAATTTAGCCTCAGAAATCTTAGCACAAATATTTTCAAGGAATAAGGAACTTTTCACCAACAGGCGAAAAGGCACTATAACATATTGAACCAGCTAGCAACAAACATCCAAATCTCAAAAAATGCTGAAAGGCAAAAACATAGACCATAACACAAGTTTAATTAGGTGAATCTAAAATCTAATTGAATCATCCTATCAAAGTTCAATTTAGAAAATGACAAGGCATGGATCTCAAATACCTGAAGCTCAATATAAACACCTTTGTGGAGCTAGATGAGCCCTTGTGAATGCAGAATTACTTATTTACACTAGCTAATTGAAGAATGAAAAAAATCAAACATTTCAAGAAGGCTTATTATCAAGTGTCCACCAGTAATCCTCATTGAACTTGATAAATGGGATTCATCTGAGCAGCTAGATGATTTAACTCATTCTTCAGTGAAGAGAACTAGGAAACTGAATAAGACCTCTTAAACTAAGCATGTCGTATCAGAGGTAGGAAATTTATCCCCCGTCACACATCATAATTGTAAGTGAAATTCGGACCCAGTTTGGTTGGTTTGCAACCTTTCGAACCTACCATTTTACCCCAGGAGGATCCTCAATCTCTTCACTAGCAGACAAGCGAAATTGCAAACTTCTGCCTTGGAATAAGCTTGCAGTAAGCATCCGTTGTAAATAACAGTGTGTGTTCACTATGGAGCCTAAATCTAACATCCTAGTTTGTAGCGTCGAGTACAAATCTAGCGCAGTCCTCAACGGTACGAAATACAGCGGAGAAAGTGTAGCATTGTGCATTTCAGAAGCAAACATTTATCTCCATCAATCCAAATACCCCAACAATAATACAGTTTGTCCGAGGAGAATAAGTTGAAGCACCAACCTTACTACCTAGCTCCTGAGAGATGCCGAGAGCGAGGGCCGTCTTGCCGGTGGCGGGCGGGCCGGCGAGGAGCAGCGCGCGGCCGGCCATCTTCTTCTGGCGGATCATGTCGACCACCAGGCCGGCCGCCTCCCGCGCCGCCGCCTGCCCCACGAACCCCGAAGCCAGCCCTATCGCCGCCCCATTGGCCTGCTCGATGAAACCAAACCAACAAGCCAAACCGTCAGAAAAAAGAACAAAAAAAACACGGAGATCTACGCGAATCACCCCGAGGCTAAAACCCTAGGAGAAAACCCCCCCGCGTTGCACGGAGAAGCGCGGAAGATGAGCACGCACGTCGAGGCCGAGGCCCTTGATGTGGGTGTGGGTGGCGATGCGCTGCTTCTTCGCCGCCGACTGCACCTCCTCGATCCTCATCGCCGCCGCCGAGCACGCGCCGCCGCCGCCGCTGCTTGTCTCTCCGACCCTCTCCCGCCGCAACAAATTTGGGAACGGCGGGGAGCGCTGCGGGGCAGAGCGCAGCTGAAGAGGTTTTATCCCGATTTTTTTATTTGTGATAATTAGTTATGCCTAAATTAAATATTTAGTAATTATGGGATGGGATTTACTATATAGGAAGGACGCTCTTGACTCTAGCGTCCAGGATTGGACGCTGTAGCTATGTGCGTCCAGGTCGGGATGTTGCTTGTAAAAACGTCCATAACCTGGTTCGCATGCGTCATGTGTCCAGCCAAAATGGATCGCGTATTTGGGGTCTCTGGGTGCCGAAGTCTACGCTGTTGGCTACTAGAAGTCAGTGAGTTTCCTCTCCATTCACCTATCACTGAAAAAAAGATCGGCGATTGACGTTTTGTGTCCTTAATTATTTTCTGCGCCCCTGTATTTAGCTATTGAAGTGCAAATAGCTTTGCCTTCATCCCTTTCTCTAACAGACTGTATACGTTATCAATTTTGTCAATGTGATGCAATCATTTGCTCTAGCTTGTTACTCCTATTAGCGTCTAGAAGGCTGCACAGAAGAATACATATATGCTACGGGTTCAGCAATTGTGTTGGCTCAGACGATTCAAAAAAATATTCAAATGATATCACCACATATCAGAATACAATAAGTTCTGACCACATAAAAAATGAAGCGATATCCTTTCAATCCAATCAAATGTTACAGCAGTATTTTTTAGCAGATTGTGACAATTAACTAGATAGTGGTATGAATGGAATTCACTAATATTTGAAAGTAGAGCACTGTAAGTACAGACCTTGAGCACACAAATAATTTTACAAAATAAATAGCAATGTCTAGTTTTCGGATAGTTTTGATATATTGAATGACCAAGGCATCCATAACACATCATTAGCGGCCGGTTTTTCCAACCTGCAAACAAATTTATCAAGATCGATCACCAATCCAAACATTGGGCCCGAGGAGAGGGAAGCCGGTGATGGCGTTTCTTCGCGTGCCGTGGCAAATGGTTGTGGAGAGCACCGAAGAGCATCCGAACCGAGCAGGATGAGGTGCACCAGGTTGGACGCCGCCCAGAACAGCGTCCACCTTTGGACGCTCTTCGAAAGTGTGTCCAAGTCTAGACGCTATAGGGAACCGCGTCCATCCTATTTTCACAAATTTAATCTGAGATTTATTTATTTAATTTAAGGATCATTAATTACTATGAATAAAAAATTCGGGGTTTTATCACTAGTCGCTGCACAGTGGGGCCAGAATAAAATTTAGTCTGAATTGTACGCAAACCATCACTGAATGCGTATTATTTAGTTTACGTAAATTGTCTACAGAAGCGGAGATTATGTGATAAAGAACTAATGATCGACATTGCCCCGGACAGGAGAGCAAACACCCGCACGCTTTTGCACAGCAGATCATTTCATGCTTCTACTACGTGCTACTACTACAGACTGGTCGTGTTATTGTGTTGACTGTTGAGTGGGAGTCGTTGAGATCCAAAGTGGAGCAGTTTAGCATAAGACCAACTCCATGTCGCCTCTTGATTACCTAAACCTTAATTTTGACAGCTTAAACAAGCACACCTCACAAAAAAACCACACCTCCAAACTCCCAAGCCTCGTCTACGAGTCAAAACTGCGCGCCGAGATGCAAGCACAAACTCGTCGTCGCATCCTCGCCCAATCCTGCGTTGCACTCGCGCTCCTGCTGACCACGGTACACACGGCAGCCGGCCGCCGGCCGGCGAGCAACAAACCCACGCTCCCCTCCCATGGCTCCGACCAGACCATGACGCTCTACACCACCGTAGCCACGCCGGCAGAAGCTGCCGGCGTTCCTTCGTCGCAACACCCCGTCTTCGCCGGCCACGGCCCAATCGGCCACCACTCCGGCGGCTGGCTGCGCGTCTTGACGCGGCCGGGAGCGCTCCAGCCCGGCGCGGCGGCCGTCGTCGACGAGAGGTTCCACGGCAAGAAAGAGTTCGGGATGCCACTGGCTGGGAAGCTTCAGGGAGTTCTCGTCACCGGCCTGGAGGATGACGACGATAGCCGTATTGTGGCAGTGACGGCCTTGTTTTCCGGCGACGGCGAGGAGGATAGCATCAGGTTCTTCGGGGTCCATCGCGACGACCAGGAAGAGTCTCACATCGCGGTGGTCGGAGGGACAGGACGGTACGACGGCGCCACCGGTTTCGCCGTTGTCAGAGCAGCTGACGCACATAAAGCTGGCAGAAATGTCAGCTCGAACTCAGTTCTTAGTTTCAGAGTGCATTTGAAGTAGAGTAGAAGAGGAGAGCTTGCAGAGATGCATACCATATGATGTAAATTAAGATGAGAATGCTCACAGGTGTCAAGACTAAAGTACTGTACTATGTTAAGCTTGCTGTACTACAATAGATTGGCAGTTGAACATTAGTGAACTAAGGAACATGATTGAACTGAAGAGCAAAAAAGCGAACTCGTCTGAATATATTTCACTTGAATCAAATATTCGTATTACAATTAGGAGCTAGATGAAAATTTGAAACCAATAACAGCTCCTGATATACAAACCTATACTTCTCACAAGACTTACTAAGATTCACAATGTGGACAAATAATTAACTAATTCTGTTCTGTCTCACCAAGATACAAAAAAATCAAGTAATTCTACAACATTTATCGTGTATGCAGTAAATAACGTTGTACTGCGTGATCCAGCAGGTGAAGTGCTACTGACTATATTTGCAGCATCATATAGAATCCAGATGAGTAAACACACATTGTTTTGATTACTCATCCAAAATTCTTTGACGGAAGTCCTTCACCATTAAGGGAAGACCTTCCCTGAGAGAGACCTTTGGCTCCCAACGTAGCAGGTGCTTGGCCTTGGTAATATCTGGCTTTCTCATGTGAGGATCATCAGCTGTGTTGGGTTTGAATTCAATTGTTGCCATTGGGTCAATTGTTTCCTTCACAACCTGGAGAAGGCAAAATGTTTGTTTATGCACCAATTCAAGAAAAAAAATCTGTAAAACAAATTGTGTACAAACCTGTGCAAGTTCCAACATGGTGAATTCTCCTGGGTTTCCCAGGTTGAAAGGGCCAATGTGATCACCCTCCATCAGAGCCATCAGTCCAGCAACCTAAAAAATACCACAAAAGATTTTGGAACTTTAAGACTTTGCAATAGGAACATAATATCCTGCAGTCATCGTTCACCATTTATCTGCTGGAGATAGGAGGAGCTGAACATATGATTGAAAGCACAACAGAATTGTCGCACAGAGGGAAAAAGAGTGCAAATACTATAAGCTGGTGATTTCCTGAGGCTCAAGAATATGTCCTAATTTTTCAAGTTTTTCCAATGAAGTCCGGACTGAATGCCTTTTGGTTAAAATAAGCTATAACAGAATTCTGTGCATAAAACACTTCATTTCATTTAGGATCACAGTATGCAAGTAATCTGCAAAAGAATGCTGCCTGGAGAACATACTTGAAAAGAGTGGACAACATCTGTAACTAATGAGTAAACACACACACAGAAAGCACAATAAGAATACTGTTTATTGCTTACCAGATCAGAAACATACTGAAAACTTCTAGTTTGTTTTCCATCACCATAAACTGTCATAGGCTGTCTACGCAATGCCTACAATGATAATCATGTATAAACTCAGAATTTCATATTGACAGCGCAAATGTGTAACCAAAAGTTAATAAAATAGCGGTACGTGTTAAACGAACCTGGGCAACAAAATTGCTAACCACACGGCCATCATCTAGACACATTCGAGGGCCATATGTATTGAAAATGCGAGCAATGCGCACCTGCATAATAAGTCAGTTAGCAAAAGATCGTAGAATAGCTATAGTTACTAAGATGTTGAAGTCACATAATGCTACAATACGAACTACAGTATTGCAGCAATTCTACTCTATTTCATCCTAAGAGTTAGTGAACAAGATTATATGTTGGACACGTTAATGTAATTGTTACTTTAACCATTTTTTCAGTTTCATGAATAATATAGACTGAATAAAAAGTAATGAACTAACTAAAAAATGACAACTAATAAAGATCATCATCGCCCCCTCCCCCCCAACACACACACCCACCCTGCAATAGACTGTCCAAAACAAAAGAAAAAAAATATCTTTCAGGACTAAATGGTAAAATGAAACAGATCTGTCATAATACCTAAATCCATGTAAATGAAAATATTAGAACCCCAAAAGTCCGCATACAATCGTCATCTCAATATGTTGTAAACCCAGCATGGAATATAAGTGGGACATATTTAGATTATTACCTCAACACCACCACCTCTGTGATAGTCCATGGTTAAAGTCTCTGCTGTTCTTTTCCCCTCGTCATAACAGCTCCTAACACCTGAACAAGGGAGAGAAGTCAGGGCTTAGTTAATTGGAGGTCCAAATGCAAAGGACTGACCAGAACCAAAAGATTATATAATGTGGTACCAATAGGATTAACATGCCCCCAGTAAGTCTCCTTCTGTGGATGTTCAAGTGGATCTCCATAAACTTCACTTGTGCTAGTTAGCAAGAACCTTGCACCAATTCGCTTTGCCAGACCCAACATATTCAAGGTTCCCATGACATTGGTCTTGTAATAATTGTTAAGAAACCCAGATTTGATAATATACAGATGCAACACATGATTATATTGTAAATAGTGAAAATAACATAATAAGTTGCAAAAAAACATGATTGGTCAAATATCCAGGTAAAAGACATAACGGTTTTATATTTAACTATAAAACTTCAACTATATATTGAGTTACGATAGAGCACATAAAAAGCCTTTTTAAGAAAAAAAATAAATGTACCTTATAAAAATTCAGGTGATCTCTTTTCCTAATTCTCGTACAACAGAAGCTGGTTTGTGCTATATCTATATGGCATTTCAATGAACAAACTAATCGAATCCTGCCAAGGATTGTTCATGGAAGTATGTTTAGAAAATGGGTTAGAACCCGGCCTCTACATCCAAAACGGATGTACACAGCCATTGTTCATGGACGTATGGAACAACTACTACTCTCTGTTAAAATCCTGTAGATAAATGGCACTACAGTAGAACCGGCTACCCCACATTTACCACCTGTGCATCACAACTAACAAATCTATCGCGTCTTCCTAAGATCTCAACAGAACAACCACTTGATATTGAAAAAAGGAGGCAAATTTAGGATCCAGGGTTCACTTGAATCCAAACCAACCACCAAAAGTTTCAGCATACGAGCTTGATCTGGACCACTTATGTGCTAGTTTGCTTCAAGCATATCTCCCACCCACCAACCCAATAAAAAAAAATAAAGGAGAAGATCAAATCAAGTCGACATGAATGTAAGCAAATCAAAGGTATGTGCAGATCCGGGACGAGAAGGATATGATCGTCTTGATGGGGTTGTACTTGTAGTGCACAGGGGACGCGGGGCACGCGAGGTGATAGATCCGGTCCACCTCGAGCAGGATGGGCTCGACGACATCGTGGCGGAGCAGCTCGAACCTGGGGTTCCGGAGGTGGTGCGCGACGTTGTCCTTCCTCCCGGTGAAGAAGTTGTCCACCACGATCACGCTGTCCCCTTGCTCCAGCAGCCTGTCGACGAGGTGGCTGCCAACGAACCCGGCCCCTCCGGTGACGACGACGCGGCGCGGCGGCGGGCGGAACCCGGGGGGCACGCCCGACGCCGACGAGGTGTGCGAGGCGAAGGAGAAGAGCGGGCGGCGGTCGGGGACGTGGGAGGACGGGGAGAGGGAGAAGAGGTAGGGGCGGAGGAGGAAGAAGGAGGAGGCGATCAGGGCGCCGAGGAGGACGAAGAGGAGGCGCTGCTCGCGGAGGAGGTAGCCGACCCAGGATCGGGGCCCGGGGCGGGACGCCTTGGACGCCTTGGACGCCGGGGCGTGCGCCGCCGCCGGCGCGTGGGTGGGGGACGACTTGTGGAGCTGCTTCATGGCGGGAGAGCGGCGCGGCGGAGGAGGTTGGTGGTGGTGGCGTGGGTTGGGGGAAGGGGGGTGGGGGGTAGGAGAAGAAACAAGCCGAGGTGTGCGAGGGTAATTTGGGGTTTTCGTTTTGCTCCGCGATTGTTGCGAATTGACCCTCCAACAGTTCGCCCTTTGTTAGAAAAGCACCGCATTTCATGCAGGAAGTGAGGAAGAAGACCCTCTTGTTTGATGGTTTTCATCCCCCCCCCCCTTTTACCGGTTATATTGTCAAATAATACTCTCTTGACTATGTTCGTCAGGGTGAGATTGAGTGAGAAAACGCATCGTTTTCCACGCGCACGTTTCCTAAACTATTAAATGGTATGTTTTTTTTAAAATTTTTTTATGTGAAAGTTGCTTTAAAAAATCATATTAATCCATTTTTGAAATTTAAAATTGTTAATACTTAATTAATCATGCGCTAATAGCTCATCTCGTTTTACGTATCTTCCCTATCTTCTCAATCCCCTTCTCCTTAAACTCGTCGCTTGTTCTCGATGCAATTGGCTGCTTAACCAACCATATCCTTAGTACATTGGTGATGAGGCATCGTGTCAAAAAAATCCAACGACAAAAGCGATATAGCTTCAACAGAGTTGTGGTTGTAGCAGCTTAGGTTATTTGTAAATGAGAGAAAGATCTGAACTTTCAACCAATACCGTTGAAGCTGGATATAGCTACCAAAGATGATAGCAAAAGAGGATGCGCCCTAGTGGCTTGCTGGCGTTGTACTTTGGTAAATTTCGGATCGTAGAAGTAGCTCCATAGGCTGTATACATATTACAAGAGATAACCCGTTTAAAACTGTCTTTTCTTTTTGTTACATGTAAACTACCTCTTAAAAGCTTAATGCGATGATATACTTCGTGTTTATTATCGAAAAAGGGATTGTGATTGGCTGCAAATATCTAAACTTGTTTTTTTTTGTCAATTAACCATGTGTATTAATATTTTTTTTATGGTCACCTTGACTCAAACCCTGTTGGATGGATCGCCACATCACTAATGCTTCCAGACAAGAATTTTCATATAAACCATGTTTGACCCAATATAAATAGTTGTATCATATATATAGTAGTACTACATATAACGAACTCTTCTCCATATAACTAAGTACTATTTTATCGTCATGTTATAATCAAAGAGGGCAATAACCATATCCGTGCACTAATGTTGCTATATTATTGTGCTCACCCAAATAGCCATGCTTCCATGAACATTGATGACGAGTGTTACGTGCGTTGATCATGTTTTTGCTTTTTCTTTTAAAAAAGTGCACGCTGCTTTCGAAATAACCTCTCTGAAAGATAATACAGTACAGGGTGCCAAACGCAAATAGACCCGCGCAACATGGAGGATTCGTTGGACGCTTGACTTGGAAGGGTTCAGAATCTCTCTCCCCATCCAGATCTGGCCCACGGACGGCCCGGGCAGTAGGTGCACTGTTAGATTCGTGCTTGCGTGCCTTTGAGATTCGGATCCGCGAGTCTGTTAAACCGAGGCTGTCGCGCGTCATCGAACGACGACGATCTGTTCTGAATTTCTGATCGGAGACGGCGCGTCCCTCTCCCTCGTGGCCGCCTCGTCTTTTCGTCAAATCGAAGCAATCACGCAAACTGCCGCTCCTTTTCCTGTCTCCTTTTCAAGACAAACAACAACCCTTTGGTGGTTAGCAAATGCACGTCAAACCTTCGGTTTAATTTAGCGACACCAACTCCAATCAACCAATCATCATCCAGTCTAAAGTTTAACCGATTACCAGTACAAAAATCTTCTGTCAGCAATGTGATCTGTTCCAAGCTCTCTGCATTCTGCATTTCTCTAGTGCGCAATTCCTGATCGGAACGAGTTATTTATTCAGAACAAGTTTCAGTATATCGTTTTCGGTAGGACAAATTTACAGCGGACAAGCACAGGGAAACTGCAATGGCACATGATTGACATCTCTCAGAAAGTTTCAGGAACACTGCCTGCACAATCCGACCTTTCGTCCAGCCAGGAGATGATGTCAGAATAGACACGCTCGACATCGTCAGGAAGCTCAGCCGTCAGAGCATGCCACATCCCAGGGTAAAGCTTGAAAGTTTTGTCCCTGCCTGATGCTTCTTCGAACAGCAGCTTGCTCACCGAAGGATCGGTCACGATGTCGTCTCCGCCGTGTAGGACCAAGAACGGCAGTGTCACCTGCCAACTGAAAATGTTAAGCAGAATAGCAGTGTCCAGGGAGTTACTGCACATTTGCATCAGTTGCATGTCGTGTGCAGCTCGAATCGAGAAAATAAACATGGCATATATTGAAATACGCTGTTCTAATGATGATACATGCTTTTTTTGCTTCCAATTAGGAATAGAGAGAAAATAAAACCATTTTCACCTCATGCAGGTTCTTCTCAATGTCTAGGCTGACCATCAGGAGTTCATGACAGGTCTTCAGTGGGAGCTTTCCCCTGTATATGTACGGATTTGAGCGAACCTAAACGCAGTTACCAACAAAGACAAGTTCAGTAAACTCTGCCTTTTTCTTCCGGCCATGCAACTAACACATGTTAGCTATACCTGCTTTCTCATCTCTGGATCTTTACAAACTTTGTCAATTATGTCCGGTGTGGGTATGATTCTCCAACTAGGAGCCACAGCGCACACCATTTTCAGAGCGCTGACCGCGATCGGGTGAGGCCGCATGTCATCAGGAATCTGACATCATAAGGTAGCAAACAATCATACGAAAATCGTTTAGAAAAAGGGAAATTTAGGAAGAAAATCATGAGGTGGTATAAGTAAAAATAAAGAACTCTACAGGTTTCAGAGGAAAGAGAGCTCGTTGTCGAGCCATTTCGCCATGAACGGACCTTGCACATAGGAGCAAGCAAGACGGCGCCATCCCAGTAGGTTGGCTCCTTCCTGTGGAGGAGAAGCGCCACGCCTCCACCCATGGAGATGCCGTACAGGAACCTCTTCTTCTCCCTGTTCTCCGGCTTCTCTGAAACCAGCAACCATAATTTCAGAGTTTTGCCATCCCCAAACTGCGTGTTCGATGCGTTTGATTTATACCGCAAATACTCGTGAAAAAGTTTGCGCAGTCTGAGACGATGTCACCGAAGTTTGGTATGTAGCATCTCTGACCAGATGATCTACCGTGGCCTTCATGATCAATCCCGTAAACGGCATATCCGGCTCGCACCAATCGAGCGGCGGTGTCTGAATATTTGTGCAGCTGTCAGTATTTCAGTCAGGCAAGAATAAATGAATAATCGAAGGATGGTGTTGATACCTCTCATCGATACGCCGCACTCTGCTGCGATTCCTGGAGAAGAATAATCAAGGTGAAAATGATCAGTTTGTCTAATCGCTTCTTTGAATCGATTTAACACAAAAGGGAAATCTTGTTAGTAGCAGTACCATGACAGATAAAGATCAGAGCTTTTGGTTCTTGTTTATGCGGTGTCCATCTGCAGGTGAACAGCTTGTTGTCACGGGAGTTCACAAAAAACTCCTGTGAAAATCGAGTTAGAAAAAGGGCTGGCGATCAGAAACTATGAAGGCTACCACGGTGGGATCGCTTATCAGGATTAACTAACCTCGTCATACTTGATATTCTCACTGTACTGATCCTGCCAAGAGAAAAAAAAAACAGGTTGAGGAACTCAGCCTGAATCATGATCCGTGATACGCAAATGAATATCTGAACTGGTGTAGGGTGTTACTGAACGTACCATGGCCATATGCGTCTATGTCTTCAGATGCTTTCGGAACTAGCAAACTTAACACGATTGGTGCCTACATCGACTATGCATATGTATATATACTGCTTCCCAAAAAAAAAAAAAAACGAGCACCGCAAAATCGTGAGACCTGGGAAGTTACAACCAAGCAACCATGGGAAATCTCTGCATTTTTCTTTCCTTAACATAGCCAATGACACGCAACAGTTTTATACATGTGTGTGTAAAAGAGTGGATTCCTTAACATCAGAAGATTAAAAATGCAACTCGTCTAAATGGAACTCCAGAGACCATAAAAACAACGCGCATGCAGATGAATGTCTGCGGACGCAGGTCAGAATCATGTGGCATTATCAGTTGATTCCTCATGTTGATCTTATACTACTAGTACAGTATATTCCATCTGGATTGCAGGACAGTGGCATCGGATCCACAAGTTTGATGAATATAATATACGGTAGCTTCAGAATTAAGAGTTTCAGACATCTGAAGTCCCATTTCGCAATATCCATCGTACTTTGAGAGTTTTTACAGTCCTTGAAGAAAGGAGGTACCAAATCCAAGTCGTCCATTACGCACCATCCAACGGTTGCAAAGGCTTGGTACCTCGCGGTACCGCGTCTCTAGGAAAGCAGGTACCGAGTAATTTTCAACGGTGGAAGGGCAGAGTAGTACTTTCGCATATGAATTGGAGGGGAACATCGCACTGCTTGCTATCGTCGCCACAAATCGAGCAACCCGATGCGGCAGTCGGCCTCCCGGCGGCGGTGACCACGGGGGAGGTGGTCCTATATGGGGATGCGGGCAGAGTACTACCCTATCTCCTCCCTCGTCCTCAGCGCTAGTACAGCGGAGGCGGCGGCCATGGGAGTGGACGACGGTGGCGGAGACCTCTCGGATGGTGGCCGTTGTTCCTCATTGTGCTAAGAGGCCGATGCAGACCGAGGCACCGAGCTGAGCTTCGCCGCCGCAGCAACTGTTGCAGTTGTGCATGGAAGAGGAGGTGGACGCTGCCCCTGCATCATGGTATGAAGCCAAGGCCACCAGCAGGCAGCAGCTACGCGTCCAGGGCAAGACGATGGAGCCATAGTTTTTTTTTTAAGACTGGTGATGGAGCCATGGGTGAAAACAACGTTCTGAATAATTGAAATTTCTAGTTGATAGATAAATTGGCTTATTGAACAGGAAACATGCATACATACTATATCTATATCAATATCAAGAACTTCAGATGTTGGGTTTCTCTCATCCAGATTTTTCAACAAGGATGAACACTTAGGCAGATTTGCCCAGGTTAAATTCATTGGTGAAGTTATTGTGGAAACAGAACATCACGGAGCTGCAAAGAAGGAGCTCCAAGCACCAGCCAGCTCGAGTGCACCGACGGACAGAGGTTGAAGAATCGGAGCGAGCTCGACGGGCCGGCGGACAAGCTTGATGATTTAGAGCGATCTCGAGGGCGGTGAATTGGAACGAGAACAGAGCGGGCGAGAGCTGGCGGCGAGGGCACAGGCATGAAGGTCACGAACCCTGCGGACATTCCCGGGGGTGGCCTCGATGCGACGGCGGCGGCGCGGCAGCCTAGATGTGCGACGGCGGCGCGGCGCAGATGGCCAGCACAAACGACGTGATGCGGCAGATGGAAGAGGGGAGAAGAGGGCGGCTCAGAGGATGTCGCTATTTTGTTAGCCCAATCATACCCCTGCTAAACCAACGGTTAGATTAGATTGGTACCTCATAATAACTCGTACCTCATAGTACCTCGTGGTAACTCTTCAAGGATGGGAAATATGCTCTCGTACTTATCAGAAATACTGTTACCGTAATTACTATAGTAATAAATTAGTAATTGACTAATTGTGGATACTTTATTTGATTTATTTACTTCAAGTGGACTGTGTGGTATTTTTACTACTATTTTCATTACAGTTGTTCATGTGTCAAGCAGTAGTGTCAGCAGGAGCAGAATCAGTTTCCTCTTCGAGGCAAGTGTCTTCCGGCAGCGGAACTGGCTGCCAGCCGGTGAAGCACTCCAGTAGCTCCTTGAGCGCCATTGACGCCGGCTGAACGGAACAAGACTGGTAGAAATCCAATTCCTGAATCTTGAAGTCCCACAGCTCATCTGCCGCAGCTTCTGAATCCTGAGCAGTGCACTCCTCTGCACCGTTCAGGAACAGGTCGCCTTCAGACCGGATGAACCCAGTTGAACTCTGGTCTCTGTCTGCCGCCTGTTGCAATCACCATTTCACCAATGCAAAGCATTTTTAGAAGTATCTAAGTTAAAACGTTTTATCCACCATTACGTGGCGTAACATAATTTAGGATAAGATACTGAACTAGTACAGGGTTCTGAAACGAGGAAAATGACCTGTTCTATCATGTACTTGAAGACTTTCTTCTTCTCCCCTGCCTCGTAAATGTTGCACTGGGATACAATCTGCAGCAGTAATCAACTTCAGGTTAAATTCGTACAATTCCCCGAAAAAAAAAATCTCGTACAATGAAGTTCCAGCTTGATCTGATTTTTTTTTCAGGTGTGCTCTCTCCGGCCAAAAAAACCAATCTAGTATTAGATGTGATACTTTCTAAAACAACAAATCAGACATACTTATGTATAAAAAACGTCTTATTTAATACTAGGTTGGGATTTTGGGATGGAGGGAGTAGTTACCTGTGACTCGACACTGGCGCAGACAGCGTAAATGCCCCAGCCCCTGGTGTAGTTGTTGTAGAGGTGCACCCTGCCGAAGCGGACGCGCGGGTGCCTCTGCCGCGTGCCGTCGAAGAGGCAGTGGTGGATGGTCACCCGGATGGCACGGTCCTCGACGTGGCCGGCGCTGCCGCCGATCAGCACGGCCTTGTCGTGCGCCGAGAAGCGGCACCTGGACACGGTCACGTCCGTGCTGCCCCGGGTGACGTCGAGGAGGCCGTCGCCGCAGCCGCGGAGGCCGCACCGGTCGATCCACACGTGCCGCGACCCGGGCTTCACCGCCACGGCGTCGGCGTCGTGGCCGCGGCACCCTTCCACCTCCAGGTTGCAGACGATCACATGCTCGCACTCCCGCAGCTGGAGCCCCTTGCCGGACAGTGTCACACGCTGCCCGCGGCCGTCGATGGTCTTGTACGACGACACGCGCAGTCCCGTCGAGAGGTGGATGGTGCCCGACACGTCGAAGACGATCCATAGCGGCTCGCGCCTCCGGCAACCCTCCCGGAGCGACCCGTCCCCGTCGTCTGGAGATCGAGACCCATTTGCTACGTTGTTAGATGCAGGGAGATGGAATATGAATAGGCTTGTGTGTGTTAGTGTACGTGCCCTCGAGGGTCGTGACGTGGTAGACGTCGCCGTGGAGGCCGCCGATGGCGTGGCGGCCGAAGCCCTCGGCCTGACCGGCCATGACGCGCAGCGAGGAGTCCGCGGTGGCGTACGGCATGAACACGACTCCCTCCACGGATGCCGGTGGCTCGCCCCCGCACTGGCCGTCGAGTTGAGGAGGCTCCATGGCTACCGACTACGAGGAGGTTTTCGCGTCGCTATTTGTTGAGTCGCGCGCGGGGAAACGCCTGCTGTAGTGCTGTTTACTGCTGGAATTTGTTGCGACCGGGCCGTTTGGCCCGTTTCCGCTTTTGCAGCGGCGCGCGCGTTTCGGGCCGGCCCAGACAAGCCGCCAACCGGAAGTCCGGAAGGGATTAACACAGGTCAAACAGAGCGTTTTAGGAGTTTGCAGGGTCGTTGCATTGCATCCAGCACGAGCTCGTTACTATCTGCATGACGTTACGAGCATTCGATTTCAAACTATCATTCAATCTCGATCGTGATGTTTTTACCTCCCATTGCCCGGAAACGTCAGTGCATTTAAGCTTGTCCCTAACATAAGTTTTCGCTGTTAGATCGTTTAATGTTCATAACATCACATGAGACTAATCTTGAATGAAAAATCAGTTGGGAAACTCTCCCCCTTTGATCAATCTTAGCTAAAAACATCACATCGGAATATCCTCTTTGCCTGAAAACCCTCTCTAATCTTCTAGGCCAAAAAGGCAAAAAATCGGTCATGGCCCTTCCCATTTTTGTACTGTTTGATGAAAGTTTTAAGTAATATCATCGTGCGAGACATCCGACAGTGCGAAGTTTGGTGTGTCGTTGTCACGTAACCTTCCCTCGTTTCCTCATATTCCTACCGCCGGTTGCGGGTCGTCTTTTTCTCGCCCGTTTCATGGGCTCCCTTTCATGTCAGCATCGGATTGCGTCCGAACAAAGTCCACTCAAACTCTCAAAGGAAGATCCTGAATGGTCTCCGATCGAAGCTGTATTGGCTATCTGCGAAGTGTCATTGCCGGCTCAGTGGATACACACACAGGACACGAATGTACAATCACTAACCACGCAGCAGGTACGCAATAACCAGCGTTAGTTTAAGCAAAAAAAGGGTCGTCGATTACGTATAATTTCCGCTCGATAGAGCCAAAACCGAACGTGCCCATAATCCCCCCGTGCGTGGATTTACGTGACGCGCGACAGCGCAATTCTCTCCCACTTCCGATCTCTTCTTCCGCTTGGACTCATCGCCGTGACGTCGACGTTCCACGAGGAAAAGGACGGCGTCGAAGCCACCGGGCAACTTCTCACTCCCGCTCGCGTCTCTGACAAGTGGGCCCCACGCCTCGCTTTCTTCCCCCCACCTCCCGCCCGGCTGATGGCCCAAACCCCAACAAAACCTCCTCCGCGAAAGCTACAATCCAAAGGGAGTCGTTACCGTCTCGCCATTGTCCTCCTCCTCCTCCGCCCCCACCTCTCTTTCCTCGTGCCTTCCTCTTTCGCCGCCGGCCGTGCGCCTCTTAAAGCCGCTCCCCGCCCGAAACCCTACCTCGGGAACCCTACCGCGCGGCTTTGACCCAGGGATAATCCCACTACTGGCTACTGCATTCGCTTATCTCGCTCGCGATGTCGCTCGAAATCCATGAAGGTGAGTGATGGGAATGTTTGGACAGGTTTGGTGGAGTGTGCGTGCTCGAGGCGCTGATTTGGTTTGTTTTTGGTTGTTTGGGCGCAGAGGAGGGAGGAGGTACGGCGGCGGCGGCGGCGGTGAAGGTGATGACGGTGTCGGGGAGCGGGAAGCGGGGGCGGTACGTGCGGCAGGTGACGGGGCGGCACAACGACACCGACCTGCACGTGGCGGCCCGCGGAGGGGACGCCGGGGCGCTGCGCCGCGCGCTGGACGAGGCGGCGGCGGCCGTGGCCACCGGGGAGGGGAGGGAGGCGCTGGAGGAGGTGCGGCGGGCCGTGGCGGCGGAGCCCAACGAGGCCGGGGAGACGCCGCTCGTCGCCGCGGCGGAGAGGGGGCACCTGGAGGTGGTAAGGGAGCTGCTCAGGCACCTCGACGCCGAGGGGGTCGCCGCGAAGAACAGGTCGGGGTACGACGCGCTGCACGTCGCGGCGAGAGAAGGCCGTCATGGTGAGATGACACATTTAGAGCAACTGTTGCCATATGTTTATCTGCTGGGCAAGATTTTGAGCATTGACGTATGCACGGAACTGGGACTCGATGCAAAAGTCTGATTGATCTGTAAATTCCAAAACTTCGAGATTTCTTATGATAAAAATTTATGGTATAACTTCCACTGCAATTAGCAAGTCCATAGAGAGAGGGAGGGATAAATTCCAATTAAAAACAGTAACAGTGTGTGTTTCGTAACACTAATTATTGCTAGGACCTGAGTTTGCTAGATACAATATTGTTTCTATAATCTTTAGACACAAACTCATGTCTAACTGACTACCACATATTAATCGGTGCTTCTTCTTGCTGATTTTTCCCCCATCTGTCCATGAATATTAGTTGTTCACTTTCCTCTGAGGTCAGTGTACTTATGTAAATTGTTGTGATTCAAAAAATATGTTAGCCTGTTATTTCATTGTTAGCATGGCAACTTGTAACCTTGAATTTCTGGATATTGGGTTTGTAGCAGAAAACTGTGCATAATTCCATAATCAAATTAAAAGTTTTGGTCTTTTATGTGTTCTACACATTCTGAATTTTGAACAAACCTATCACTTTCTCATTTATACATGTTAACAGCGAAGCCAATATATGCAGTCGTTCATTTTCTCTTCATACATAGGAACAACTAGGATAATGTAACTAATGTCTTTCTCCAGTTCAGTGTATCTTGATGTTATCCCTTATGTATATAGTATGCAAACCTCTGAGCAAACATTTTTTTCTTGCAGCTGTTGTGCAGGAAATGTTACTTCACAATAGGTTGCTTGCCAAGACCTTTGGGCCTGCGAATACTAGTCCACTTATTTCAGCAGCTACGAGGGGTCACACCGAAGTTGTCAAATTGTTACTAGAACTAGATGATTTTGGATTGGTGGAAATGGCTAAAGATAATGGGAAAAATTCCTTGCATTTTGCTGCTCGACAAGGGCACGTTGAAATTGTTAAAGCATTACTCGAGAAAGATCCTCAGCTAGCAAGAAGAAATGACAAGAAAGGTCAAACAGCCTTGCATATGGCTGTAAAAGGAACAAACTGTGATGTGCTTAGAGCACTTGTCGACGCTGATCCAGCAATTGTAATGCTGCCAGACAAAAATGGAAACACCGCCTTGCATGTAGCAACAAGGAAAAAGCGAGCAGAGGTAATTAATCATATTTCTCAATGTTTTCATTTTGAATAATTTTATGTCTTCCCTTGTGCACTGGCATTCTTTTTCAGTTCTGAAGGAACATCATACAGAAAACAATTACTAACACTATGGAATGTTTATCTTTCATATGATTACTTCATATCTAGAAAACTACAATGTAAAAAGAACATGGAACTCTACCTGATGGTTATATCTTGTTAATTGAATGATCAAATATCCATTAAGATTTACTCTTCTTCTGGAAACATTAATGTACAGTTTAAATGAAATCAAATAGGTGATGCCATGTGTTTTCACCTTCTAAGAAATACCTTGATTAGCTATGTTGTTACCCCTTTTAGTATGGGCATCATCCAATCAAATTTATTAAAACCAAGTTATTCTCCTAGCTAATCAAATTATCTTGTATGAACAAATGCTTTCTTAGGATGCGCTAAGTGATATTTGTGCATTTTTTGGTTCACCAGAATAGATAGTCATTAGTTCCTTTTGTATTAATAAATATAATCTAAAATAATCAAATAAGTCATTAATTTCTTTTTTCTTATCTTCTACAGATAGTTGCTGTTCTCTTGCGATTACCAGATACCCATGTCAATGCACTAACCAGAGACCACAAGACTGCGTATGATATAGCTGAAGCCTTGCCACTCTGTGAGGAGTCTTCTGAAATAAAGGATATTTTATCTCAGCATGGCGCACTCAGATCTAGGGAGCTGAATCAGCCTCGAGATGAGCTCCGAAAAACAGTGACAGAGATCAAGAAAGATGTCCACACACAGCTGGAACAGACAAGAAAAACGAACAAAAATGTGCATGGGATTGCTAAGGAACTCAGAAAGTTGCACAGAGAAGGCATCAATAATGCAACGAACTCTGTAACTGTTGTTGCAGTACTTTTTGCCACGGTAGCCTTTGCAGCCATATTCACTGTGCCTGGTGGAAATGCCAACAATGGAGTTGCGGTTGTTGTTCAGGCAGCCTCCTTTAGAATTTTCTTCATCTTCAATGCTATAGCTCTGTTTACATCATTGGCGGTGGTCGTAGTTCAGATAACGGTTGTCAGGGGAGAAACTAAGTCTGAGAGGAAGGTTGTTGAGGTGATCAACAAGCTTATGTGGCTGGCATCAGTTTGCACTACCATTTCTTTCATTGCCTCTTGCTATATTGTGCTAGGCCGCCATTTCCAATGGGCAGCACTACTAGTTAGTTTGATAGGTGGCATCACAATGGCTGGTGTTCTGGGTACAATGACATACTATGTGGTGAAATCAAAGCGCATGAGGAAGATAAGAAAAAAAGAGAAGATGTCAAGAAGAAGTGGATCTAGCTCCTGGTATGATAATACTGAGCTCTCAGAGACTGAGCTTAACCAAGTGTATGCCTTGTAAGAGAAAAGGTCTCCTAGATTCAGTCTCTGTCTCTGGGATTGATATGTACATGAAAATTCCAGATATACACATTAACAGATAACATAGCTCACAGTATTTCTTGATTTTTACAATTCCTTCCTGTATCAACCAAACCACTCAGAACTAAATGGAATACCAATTGTCCAATTGTGCAAGGCTCCTTCAGCTGCAGAATTTTATGGCACCAAACGAGCTCAACCTATTGTACAGTGAGTTGCATGTTTTTTTGTTTTTGATTTTCATTCTATTGCCAACTTTCATGAGAAAGGATTTTTTTTTCTTATTCTTTCTGTGCCTACTTATAGTTTGTGATGCGCTCTTCAGTTTTCATAATGTAACAACAGAACCTGACACGTTTTAGTTCCCTTTATGCTATTGGTCATCTTATTCTTACAATGTTGCCCTTTGATGTAATTTTTACAATACTGATTTTATGTTGTTTCATAAATAAAATTTTACTGTGGATCTAAATTATGTGGCTGTAAGTCTGTAACTTTGCCTTTCTATTTTCCCGGACCTTTTCAATCTTCTATTGAATCTATAACGTTTCTAGCAAAACTAGTAAGGGTATTCCTGGATCTTATCAGTAGGTTTCTAGCAAAATTACCTAGTGTAATGAATGAAGCAATACTCACCTCGCTACATCGTATATTTACTTGTGGCAATGATTCTTCTGTACTTTGGGGGGGGGGGGGGGTGCTTTTTTTTTTTTTTGGAAAAAATGACCCAGATACATAAGCCTAAAGGTATGATTGGTGCAGAGCAGAAATGGTCTCTGATATGCCTGTGCCCTGGTTACACTCCATTACAGGTGTCACTCACTGGGGAAAAGACTGATTTGGTTCACCACTCACCAGAATAACTTACGATTGTTTTGCTCACTAATTAGGAAATGGACAGTACAAGTCAGGGAAGCAATCCTAGAACACTTTAAATTCATGAAAAGCACAATTGTGCAGCTTATGTCATGCAAACTACACAGACCAATGTGCTCATAAACAATGGAAAACATTTGGCTAACTATGGGTTAGGGTTATATAGAAGCAGGGAGGCATAAAGTAGGCCCTGTTACATGCGTACTATCCTAACACAGCCCAACATCATCAATGTGGTCGGTAACTCTGCTTAACTTTGGCTTCAATGCTGCCCTGCCTTTTATCGACACACACTTTTAGTTTAAGGCTTATTTGTCTTCACTTGGTCATTTATTTACCAGATGTTCTGTTTTGAAGCCAAGAAACACAATATTCCCTTGAGTGGATTTTTTTTCTTTCAATTTATGATAGACTTTAGTAAGGAGTGTTATATATTATTACCCAACCTTCTGTATTTCTTAAAAAAGGAAAGATGATCTTCTGTAGTTTCATCACTTTATGCTTAAATGAAGAAACCAACCAGTTGGAAATTTAGTACTTCAGAAATGAAGCTGATCTTTTCCGTCATGCTGCAGTTCTCCTGATGCCAAATGGGAATGGCCAAATTGGACGATTGCCTTTGTTTTGTGCTTTAATTGGTGGCGTGGTATATTGGTATATGTCCTTGGCATGCTTTGTTGATTGAACCTCCTGTTCTTATTGCAATTGCTTGGTCAATGACATCTCTTGAAAACTTTTTTGAGCACTAAAGATGATGCTAATAACATCAATGGAACTATAGCACAATCAATCCCTGATATTTATTATGCAAATTCTGAGAAATTTTGTCACATCCAATGGCCTATATCTTAATCTGTCTTCGAATACAGATCAGGATACCCAGGCAGTCATCAAGTGTGAACATAAAGCTCTTGCCTCCATTGTTTTCACATTTTCCCTTCTTTTTCATTTAATTTTGTTGCCTTATCATATTCTTCCTTCCCTTGTGATTCACAGCTTTAGAGTTGGGCATTATGTGACTATAAGCAGATGTTTCTAATAAGCACTACAATGGATTTTTTTTATGTATATACAACTAGAAAGGGATTTTGTCCTTTTGGATTTCATGTTTTAAGTGTGTCGGCCACCAGTGCTGTGTATTTCCCAATCAAGGTACTTGCCATAGTACAGGTGTGTTCCTTGGTTAACTTAGAGCCATGATAGTTGCATTCAGAACCCCTGAAATAATAAATATTATAATACAGAAGTGCAAAGCTCAAGATGCAGATTAAATTATTAATACCAAGGTGCCAGAAAAGCTTTTTGTGCATAAGCTGGACTCCCTTGAGTTAATGTAGTGGCGCACTTTGCCCATTGTTACATACATAAGTAAGGCCCCTCCGCCCATGCCGATTGTTAATATTCAAGCTGCACAATAAGAACTTCATTGTCTTGCTTTATCTGGGCATGCATTTGAAAAAACAGCCTTCTGAGAGTAAATATGTGTCTTGTATAGTGAATATGAAAGGGCATGTAGCCTAGTGGTTATAGTGACCTGAGTAGTACCCCAAGGTCCTGAGTTCAAATCTCCTATGGAGCGAATTTCAGATTGGGTTGTTTGCGGGGCTAAGTTCCCTATTTTCAATGGCCGTATATATCCGGTTGGATGTAGAGGCCGGGTAAAAAATACCCTTCTCTAAAAATAAAATGTGTCTTGTATTGTGTTTAAGAAACAAGCAACTAAGATCTAATCAGGAATTGGTTGCATGTGGAGACAGTTACACACACAGAAACAGAATAAAGCGACAGGTCCACCCAAAAAGTAATTGGCCCTCTTTGGTTAATTATGCTCCATTTTCTCTTAATTGTGATGTTTGTTTATATTACTTCTTTTTTTTTCTTAGTAGCCTACTGCACATGCACCTGCAATAGGGATGGTTATGAGAGAAACTTTTACTTCAGTTTAGTTTGTTGATGGGAAATCTGCACTCTGGTATTAGACAGTCATTCCAAGTGCTTACACTATTTGGTGTTAAAGATTAGAATTAGAAATTTGAAACTATTTGTTCTTACACAAATTACACAAGCTACTTGAATTTTTCTGAAGGACATTATAAGATCATGTCTGCAGGTATCTGAAGATCAAAAGTGTACAGAATTAGCAAAAGTGTTTAAATTTGTACATAAACACTTCATCGTCCGCAAATCTCAATTATATCATCTGGATCTTCAGACTCTGCAGCTATCCTTGACGCTGATGATGACATGAAACGGAAACCTGCATCGCTTGCACTCTTTCTCACCGAGGCCAGTTGCTGTGACCTTTTGCAGTATGCTATTGCTCCCTGGATTGGATTGTCCATCTCTGAGCTTGCACTGCTGCTCCTCCTGAGCACTGGCCCCACACCAGAGTCAGTGGAGCTTAGTATGGAGGAGGATGAATTTGATGAAGAGCATGACGATGATGACGCTGAGGATGTCTTGTTTGATGATGAGTATCGAATAATGACGCTGGAGAAGGACCTCCTGTGGCCGCACTCATCTTCTTTAAGCCTCCCTCCAAGTGTGACACTGTTGCTGATAGGCGAGGCTATGTACCTGTTGCTTCTGATCTGGCCAAATGGGTTCTTCCTCCAAGACTTGAACTGCGCATTGGAGAGCTCATTTGCACTAGGTGTACCAGTCTTGCCATCTGGATTGCCTGCTTTAGTGGCAAATATTGTCTTGATATAAGCTTTTGATGCCTTGAGCTTGAGGCCAAGGTTGAGATGCCTGATGAACTTGAGCTTCTTGGACCATGGCTTCTTTTCGCAGGCGGCGGCCTCCTCAGCAGCACCAATACCAGCTGATGTGCACTCGTGGAAGTAATGCTCAGCATTGAGCTCTCCACTGACATAACATGAATTTGCCGGTGATGCATTGCACGACTGGTATGGCGTTGCTGGGGCAGTGCTCGCGGAGAGGAGGCCCTTCTCAGCTGCACTCTCGAGGAGCTTCTCGACCATCTGGATGCGTGGTGGAAGGTGGAGCGGCAGTAGCTTGCCCTTGTAGAAGAGCTCATCGGCTGGTGATGCCGCGGGCTCCCACTTGTCAACCGGAGCCGACATGTGGAACTCGAACTCCCTTGAGTTTTGTGGGGAGGCTGCCATGGCTGTGCTGTAGCAGAGCAAGCTTGCTCTGGCACTGGCAGTCACCGCCTCTGCCGCTGCAGGTGAGCTCAGGTCCATGTCTATGTAGTCCTCTTCTTGGAGTGGTTGGTCATGGCTTTGAGGGCCATGTCTCGCCATTGTTGTTGCTACCTTGTCTTGTGTGTTTGGTGTGTGTTTCTGGTTTGGTTTTGGCAGAGATAGTGGTTGTGTTTTAGGAAGGAAGTGGAAGGAGTTTCGGCATGCTTTAAAGCAGGATGCCTGTAGCTAAAGAGTCTTATTAATTGGCTTATACTAGTACTACTTATGAGGGACCTACCCTTAAACCCTATGATCTGCCTTTTGTTAGCATCCTAATCCTCTTTCTGTCACGGCAATATGCAATGCAGTACTACTATGGTACCAGTATGGTGCATATTTACTGTCGTGCTCTATTATTGCCCTATTTTTTGGCTGCAGTGCATTTGGTGATTAGGCTATTTTAGTTGTTTCGTCCTTCGCATGCTTCTCTTCTCATGACTTAAGCTATATGTTTGTTTAAACGTGTAGGTTTACAAGGTATCCATTAAGAGCTAGGCCAACGAGGTGCGCACTTTAACCAAAGATTTACAAACTGCTTGGTACCTTCTGATAATGTATGGTTGCAATGGGAAGCCTCATTTTCCTTCAAGCAAGATAGTGTAGACAGAGGTTTTGTGATGGTTGGATCGCTTGATGGTAGCCCTGAATTATTTGTTTGTGGAGGAGTGGAAGGTGCAGGATGGTTAAATCATCCCGGCAAAAACTACCTGACCTGGGAAGACCTTTGAACAATTGGAAGGTTTTTCTGGAGTGAACTTGCTTCCAAGGTAAACATCTTATTAGCTCTTGCTTGACCTTTCCTGTTCAAGTCTATCATTGTAAATTTTAAAGGACGAGCGCATGCCCTCAAAACATGGATCAACATGCTATTTGTTTATTTCATCTTCATGTCAACCTGAGGAAGTGTGAGAGTGACATCAGTGGAAGAGCTCAGGCCCCTTGTTTAAGTTCCCTGTCCAAACTGGGCGTGCGCAGCTAGACGTTGTTTCTTGGCATTTTCTCTCCCTAATCTTCTTATCTAGCAACCACTGTCCCTTCCTGGGCTGGCATCCAATGTCAACTTTGTCTCTTTGCTGTAATTATTGATCACTGGGCGTGCATTAGCTCTCATCGAGTCCTTTGTGCATGGTTAAGAGCTACTCCCGGCATTACAAGGCACTTTGGATTTATTCTAAGTCAGATATCTTTAAGTTTGACTAAATCTATAAAAGAATATTAATATCTACAATAAAATTAGTTTCATTGAATACATTTTGCTTGTATTTTTATTGTGTTAGAAACATTACTATATTTTTCTATAAACTTGATTAAACTTAAATGAGGTTTAACTTAGGACACGTACAAAGTGACTTATAATATAGGAAAAAGTCCAAATAACCCCCTAAACTTTGGGTGGAAGTCTATCTAGCACCCTAAACTTTGAAACCGGACATTCAACCCCTCTAAACTTTACCATACCGTTTATATAACCCCCTAAGTTAGTTTTGCATAGTGGTTTTTATCTAATTTGTATATAAGTTGAATGAGTTTGATCACATGTCATACACTTTGGACATATATATTAAAGTTTTGATTTAAATATTTCATTTTGCTCCTTATTAGCTCTCACTCATAAACAAGTCCCAACCTAATAATAGGATGGTCTCACTCACAAACAAATATATTATATTAATTATTCAACCTTATTCGTTTAAGCTTCCAAAATATGCAAAACCATCATCTAAAACCATCTTAGGAGATAACATGGATGGTATGGTAAAGTTTAGGGGGTTGGATGTCCGATTTTTAAAACTCAAGGTGCTAGACAAACTTCCATGTAAAGTTTAGGGAGGTATTTGGACTTTTTCCTATAATATAAATTGGAGGGAGTAGCAGATTTTTCCATACAATTCTGTGCGGTGATTTTAATAGTACAATTAGGTTTGGTATATGACCGTTCCTTTATTTTTTATAAATTCAATTGTATTTTGCATACAACTTTATCGACCAACTTAGCACCATTATAATTTAGACTCACTGATGAAACAGTGCGTTTCTTTTTTTCTTTTTTTTTTCTCCTCCACGTGATAATTTACGTTTTGAACACGATGGATTTTTTTTACCCTATCTTAATAAGCACTTATCCTAAGGTGGACATGGTTTAAGCTCATGTTATCTCGTTCTGATCTGAGCTGATATTTCTCTTTTGTTTGTAGAAGTTATTCACCCCCTTTTCTAATATACATATCTTTCTTGATTCTTAGAACATAAGGGTTAATTGCCCCTGAAGAAGTTCTGAGGTAAAAGAACCTTGGCAGCTCGTGGATTTCGGCAGAGGTATTTGTTCCCTATACATATCTATATACAAATTCGTTAGGTTGTCATTTGCTATCCGTTAAATTAAAGCCCTTGACTTTATGATATTCTTCTGAACCCTTCTTTATATCTGCTAGTACCCCAAGCACCAGCTTGAGCACTAAGCAACGTTCCACAAATGGCTTAAAGATCTAATTATAATAACACCAGGTCCCCAGCCCTAATCCATGACATAATTATATCTAAACTAACACCCATTGACAAACTGCAGGCCAGGCCTGCACCTTTTGCAGGTGATAGTGCTGATTAGAAAGTGGTCTCAATTAGGTTAGGTGTTGATCGAGTGCCTAACACCCTACTAAATTCCACATATTGGTTTATATCAAAATATCGTCGTAGAAAAGTCTGCAACTCTGAACAGTTAATCCCCTGAATTGCAGGTCTAAAGGTGAATGTTTTGCAGGCACTGTTACTTGGTTAGTGTTGGTTGGAACTTGAAAAAGATTCAAGTTTGCCCCCCTACAGATTCATAGGCACTCGGAAATATTATAGAAACGGTGAACAACCCATGCAAAACTTCATAACCACCTTTCTTACGGACATGGTGACATGATTGTACCTGAAAATGCATGGCGCCTGAGGTGACAGTATAAACCCTAAACGATTAAATTATGGTAGAGTTAGTTTTTTTTTCCTGTACAGTAATCTAACACGCTGCATAGTGTTTTAACTGTATGTCTGTTTTTTTAAACCCATGCGAGGGCAGCGAGGCCAGAGCTGCCGGACATTTCTTGGTGGGAGTCCAATATTTTTTGCCCTGTAAGAAGAGAGGAGGGCCCTCTGAAAGTTCTCAAAGCTCGAGGTGTTCTTTGCCGCTTCTCCAAACTTGGAACCAAGCAAAAGCTTCTGATCTTGCAGCAATTCTGGGGTATCTGATCATCTAAAGGCAGAAAGTTCATGAAGAATTTTGACTGCTTAAATCTCCAGGTACCGATCCTAATGATTACTCCGTATTACATATGGCACTAAGCAGTCATCTTCTCTGCTTTAATCTGCATAACTAGATTCGCACTGCCAAAAATGTTTGAAAAGAATCCCAGCCAATGAACAGTGATACTCGCAAGAAACACCAGGTTCCTTTCAACTGTACACATTTGCTGTGATGTGACTGAACTAGTTGTTTGGAAGATAACCTATTTTAGACGAATGGAACAAACATCCTTTATCAAGGAAAATTGCTTATCTTATGGAAAAGTTGCAGTTGTGACGACTTCTTTATCGGAATTTATGCTGTGTGTGTTGTACATGCACCTACAACCTGTTTCGCACTGAAGGCGCTAGTCCTGTTTCTGCAAATGCATTGCATGTAGTACAATAATACATACAGATGTTTCAGCTTATGCTATTTATTACTAGCTCCGTCTCAATATATAGCAATTTAAAATGAGATCAGATTCATCTTAAAACTACGAACCTCAGTGGCGGATCCACCGTGGGGTCTCTACCCCACTACCCGTATTGTAACTATGGGAGACCCCATGAAGACCCCACTAAAATGTTCTGTCATACATTTATTAGAAGAGGGGGCTATAATTTTATATAGTTTGTTCAGACCCTTCTGTTAATCTTTGTTGGATCCGCCCCTGACGAACCCTATATCCAGATTGGTAGTTTAGATCCAACCTAGATTACTACATTTTAGGATACATTTTAGGATGGAGAGTATTATTTTGCTCGTTTCTTTTGTAAAAGCCTAACACTGTTGTAGACGGGCTAGCTGTCAAGATGGGTGCAGGAGAATTGATACGTTGAACACTGACAAAAGCTCATGCAAATCCAAGAGGAAAGGCAACGTGGCTCAAGAAGGCCGAAATGGAAAAATGCGCTTGTAGATCACCCTCCGTGCAGAGTTCCAGGCCTTGAGCGCTTTAAGGCAAAGATAAGAACGATGTGATTGCTCAAGAACAGCGTGATAGGGTTGTCCATGATATGATGGTCAGTAAACATAATACGTTAATCGAAAGACATCTTGAACCTTGGCTCCCTGCGCCAAGGAGCAGAAGAAGAAATACCATGGGCTGAATACCTCATCAAGCAGTTGACCTGTGTGTTTTTCTTTCTGACCTCGATTTCTCGTGACACTTTCTTCAGAACTGTAACCTGCAAGAATCGTGGCCTGTCAGCCTGAGAGCGTTCGCTCTACCTGGCCAATTCCTATTTTCTGGAGGCCCAAACAAACTAAGGTCGCGACTTGCAAGTGCTATTGGCCCAGCCAGAAGTCCCTGTCTATCTTAACCGTAAGCCCAAACACATAATAGTTAATCTGCAGGCCCCGAGCCTCTCCAACCGGCCCACCGCACCGCTTTAGGTACCTCAAGACGGTATAATTTTTTATTTTTTAATTTTATTTATTACATTTTTAAAGTATTTTTTTCGTTTTAAAGTTTTACAAATCTACATCCTACTGCCCTTTGAGAGGACGCTTTTCTTCCGAAGAGCCTTTTTTATGACATAACACATGCCCGTTAGTGTGTAACGGTCATGCGGAGGGAGAATGGACAGGGACTGCATGTAAAATGTGATCTACGATATTTTGCAAGCGGTCACCTTGTAGTCCTCTAGGACTAGGGTGGCAAGGGGGCTGTCTGTAAATGACTAGCTCAGTTATTTTGCAGGTGCTTCTTGCAGCTTTCTGGGAGGGTGATAAGGAGGTTGCCTGAAAAATAGCCGATCGTGATTGTTAGCATACGTCAACCGATGTGTGCCATACCATAAAAACGCCCTTTGTAAGGGATTTTTTTTAAGAAACACCCTTCCGCAGAAAATTAAGGGTGTAGATTTGTAAAACTCTGAAACCAAAAAATATTTGAGTAAATTTCATAAAACTACAGATACTTTGCACAATCTATCACAAAACTACAGATTTTAGAACTAGTTTCACAAAACTACAGATTTAATGTCTTTGTTTATCACAAAATTACAGGTACTTTGAATAATATATCACAAAACTACAGATTTATGAACTTGTTTCACAAAAGTACAGGTTTAATATCTTCATTTATCACAAAACTACAAATCTAGTGTCCCATTGGGACACTAAATCTGTAGTTTTGTGATAAATGAAGACACTAAATGTGTAGCACTGTGATAAACGAATACACCAAATCTATATTTGTGTGAAACAAGTTCTTAAATCTGTAGTTTTGTGATAGATTGTACAAAGTACCTGTAGTTTTGTGATAAACGAAGACACTAAATCTGTAGTTTTGTAAAAACAAGCTCTTAAATCCGTAGTTTTGTGATAAATTGTGCAAAATATCTGTAGTTTTGTGAAATTTACTCAAAATATTTTATTAAATATTTCAATAAATAAAACTCATGCATGAGGGAGGAGGGAGAGGAAGCTAGAAAGATGGAGAGAGGGGAGGGAGGGGGGGGAAGAGTTGTCCTATGACATACGGGATCCATGTGAGTCTCACTCGTTACATTAGCCAAAACCAATCATTGTATTACCGAGGGATTAAGGTTGACACTGCACTGTGAGTTGGGATATAAGTTAGGGTCAATGACATGTGGGTCAGGATGGCATATCTCAAATTTTGCAAAATTATAATGGCATGGTTACAATTTTCCCTATAAGTTATATATATGATATTTCAATTTAGAGGGAGGGGGGGGGAGGGGAGGAGAAGAGTTAGCCTATGACATGCGGGATCCATATGAGTCTCACTTGTTACATCATCCAAAACTAATTATTATATTATCGAGGGACTAAAGTTGACACTGTGAGTTAGGATATAAGTTATATATAAGATATTTCGATTTAGAAACGAATTTTATACTCGTTGGCAAATTATTACTCTACCGATTAGTCACCCCGCCCACGGCGTTTCGGCGGTAGCAGCATCTCTCGCATTTCACGCCGCCCTGCCTTCTGCCTGGACGGCTGGACCGTCGGTTGCCGCAGCGGCCGCGGTGCACGGGCGGGCACCGACGCGACGCAGCCCCTTGTCGGTGGTGTGGTGCGCGGTGACACTGTACCTTCTCTCGCTCCCTCCACGTACGACAAAGGGGTCACGCTCCGCACCGGTTTTGCCGCCGGGCGCGTGGCTCACGCTTGGGATGTTTTTCTAGTAACTATCTCGGAGCTCCGGCCTTGTTAGCCAGCGCTGCGCGGCGCCGGCGACGCTCGCTAGCTACTACTCCTAACACGCGGCCGGCTGCCGATTCCTCCCGCCGCGACGCATGCCCTCACGTCAAACGCGTGATTAGTCCGGCCAAACCCACAAGAGAAAGGTGGTGTGCGTTCAAGTCTTCAAGGCATTGCACAAACCGGTGCAGCGGCAGGGGATAAAACACAGGCGTGTTTACCGCCTCAGCCTGTGCCTCTCCCAGACACACGGACGCTTGTTTGCAAGGCTCACAAAATCGATGGAATTTCACGAAAATCGGTTGGCTCTCGTGAAACTATTAGGTTTTGGTTTGTGATAACTGATCGGTATAGTTGGTTTTTATGGTGTTGATTGAAAATCGTTGGTATTTTACTCGTTTTCGATTGGACTTGGGTAAATCGGTGAGCAATGGTTTACGTCGAAATTGAAAAGTTAAACCTGGCTTGTTAGGCTCTGGGTGTGTTCTAAAGTCAGTTCCCGGGAGTGAATTATTAGCTACATATATGATTAACCGTGAAAAACTTATTTTTTTAAAAAACAACTCATCTATAAAAAGATTTTACAGAAAACACTCTGATTAATAGTTTAAAAACGTGCTAACGAAAATGGGGAAAATAGCCAAACTGAAAGTACTTTATGTCATATTGTCATGGGCTTACTAGTGTGTTACTACCAATTTCTCTAGACGTCAAAAACACCAGGGTGAAGAGTCTGTTCAGATTATAGCTAAAATAAACCTTATAAAATTTTAGCAATATTAAAATTTTGGCAAGTTGTTAATATTACTAAAATTTTGGTATGATTTCTCATGTATTTATCAAAGTTTGACAACAAACTAAATGTAGATATTATTTTTTATAATTTTATTAAAAAATGGTACGGTTAAAAATAGCACCAATCCGAACAGACCGAAATGGTATGTCATTGTCAATACGCGCTCTGCCTCCAGCAGTGCTTCACTGCTTCATATCCTAAAACACAAACACCCTTTCGTTCCTGCGGGTCAATTTGAGGCGCATAATCTCACGGCCGCGGCTGTACGAAGCACGGCGACTTTAGCCTTCTCGAACACGTCGAAGGAGATGACCGTGCTTGACCCGGCATGCCGTCGCCCTCTTTTCCATCGATCCCTTATCCTGTTTAAACCTTCTAGAATCTAGAATTATCTTCTTCGTCTTAAATTTCGCCGGAATTTTATTATTATGCTAGGCCGAGCCCAGTGAAAGCACGAACATTTTGCTACTGCGTCCAAAACATGCCTAAACTAACGTGGAAAAAAAATGCCTAAACTGATCGAGCCGCGACTAATCAGATCCACCGTCCAATCACAATCCAACGATCCAACCGACGCGAAACCGACGCGTTGCTTCCCTGCTAAGAGTACCCTCGGTCAAAGTCACCCACCCACCTGGCACCAATCTCGATGCAAATCCAACGGACGTGAGATCCACGCCTACCTCCATAAGCCTCCAGGAAAGTCACCGCCTCCGACCCGTCTGGCCAAATTCGCGCACCTCCTCCACCTCCTCCCCCATCTCCCCCAGATCTCGCCGCGATGGCCACCGCCGCGGCCGCCGCGCGCGCCCTCCTCCTCCTCATCGCCGTCGCCGGAGCGCTCCTCCGTCCCGCGGCGGCGGAGATCAAGCAGGAGTCCTTCAAGGACGACTCCCGCGCGTCCATCCTCTTCGAGAAGTTCGGGTTCTCCCGCCGTGGGTTCGTGTCCATCGCCATCACCGGCGCGAGGACCTCCTCGAAGCTCGCCAAGGCGGAGCCGGATCAGTTCGGGTTCTTCCTCCTCTCCGACGAGGCGCTCTTCGAGGCCATCTACGAGCAGCCGCCGCCCACGGATCTGAACCCCAACCCCGAGCCCAACCCGGGATGCGTCCTCTCCAGCCCCTACGTCAAGCCGCTCTTCAGCTTCGCCGACCTCGACGGCAACGGCAACTACAAAAAGACCTTCCCGGTCACCCAACCCGACGAGTACAGCCTCTTCTTCGCCAACTGCGCGCCGGAGACGGCCGTCACCATGGAGGTCCGCACCGACATGTACAACACCAACCTGGATGGCTCCAAGGACTACCTCTCCGTCGGCCAGGCCCCCGTCCCGGCGATCTACGCCTTCTTCACGGTCTGCTACCTCGTGTTCTTGGCCGTCTGGCTCTACGTCACCCTCTACCGCAACCGCCTCTCGGCGCACCGCATCCACCACCTCATGTCCGGCCTGCTCGCGGCGCGCATGCTCTACTGTATCTCCGCGGCCGAGGACCAGCACTACATCCGCATCGCAGGGACACCACACGGGTGGGATGTGATGTTCTACCTGTTCCAGCTGGTGAAGGGTGTGATCTTGTTTGCTGTGATTGCTCTGATTGGGACCGGTTGGTCATTCCTGAAGCCCTTCCTTCAGGACAAGGAGAAGAAGGTCCTCATGGTTGTGATCCCATTGCAGGTTGCAGCTAACATTGCTGCAGCTGTGGTCGGTGAGACTGGTCCATTCTTGCAGGGATGGGTAACATGGAACCAGATCTTCTTGTTTGTTGATGTCGCCTGCTGCTGTGCTGTGCTCTTCCCGGTTGTGTGGTCGATGCGGTCGCTGCGGGAGTCATCCAAGACAGACGGCAAGGCGGCCCGAACCCTTGCCAAGCTCACCCTTTTCCGCCAGTTCTATGTTGTTGTGATTGGATACCTATACTTCACTAGGATCATTGTGTATGCTCTGAAGACAATCACCAACTACAAGTACAGATGGGTGAGTGTTGCCGCAGAGGAGGTGGCCACTGTGGCATTCTACCTGTTCATGTTCTACATGTTCAGGCCAGCAGAGAGGAACCAATATTTCGCTCTTGATGAGGATGAGGAGGAAGCTGCAGAGCTGGCACTCCGGGAGGAGGAGTTTGAGCTCTAGAGTGTTGTGATCCAGTGAGAGGATACATGATGGGAAATACAGCCTGACCTGTTCAATTTCTCCTCCATTGATGTCGGTCATACTATACAGATGCAGGATTTAGCCTATATTTATCTATGTGTTATGGATATATTCACTCTTTTCACTTCTTTCTTCTAGCATCAAATGTTGTTGAGAAGTCCAAAGATAATTGGGCTGCTTGTGTTGCAAATTAGGGGCATTTATTCAATGTTGCCATTTTGCCAATACTCAGGTTTGCTTCTTCGTACTTATCAGCTGTTCTTTATCATTTACGAGCTGTAGAATTTTGTTGCTATCGGGATAACATTGGTAGATATGACTTCATACCTAGGTTCATGATTTTATAGGTGGGTTATTAGGAATGAGTGACAGAACTATAGAAGGGGACACCAACTATGCAATATATGCTTATTGGTGTATCAACATCTGGTTGCTTAGGTTCTTTATGCATGACTGGCAGACTGGGTAGCAAATAAACATAGTAGGTGAATCACTTGTAAGGCCCAGAGTAGCATCTAGTTGACATGCTTCATTAATCTTGATGGCTTGATGCATGAATGTAATGCATCTTGAACCAGCGAAACAGCAGATCATATGGGCTATCGTGCTATTCTGTATTGCTATAAGCTCACAGTTCATCTTGACTGTTCATATGCCAATGATATGATAATATCGTAGTCGTAGGATTGCCATCTTGTATCTGGTGAGCTATCTGAAATGAACTTCTGTATAAGACTAACATGGCCATAGAAACTACTCCCACTGCCCCATAAACAATAAGTTCATTTTTAGCCTATCCTATTTGTCCCAAAATACGTTAATTTTTTTAATGAACCGGCACAAAACTATGCCAATCTCATTGAATAGAGTAGGATAAAAAATGTACAGCGTATATGGAATATATATTTACAAAAAGGGGAAAACCGCAAACCCTAAGGGACTAGGTCTCGAAGGCCCTTTGCTCCTTTCAAGCTCCAAGTCTTTGCCTTCTATTTGATCTTGGCGACCAGGCTTGTTGCCGACAGCTCTTTATGTCTGAACACCTGCTGATTTCGTTCTTTCCATATTTCCTAATAAGTCAGGAGGATAAGGCTTCACAAGCAAATAAGTTCATTTTTGAGTAACCATTGCATCGGAGTTTGTTAAAGTAGGGTATAAATGTATTGGTAGTAGATAAAGAGGGGGGACTAATTGCATTGAGATTTGATAAAATGAGGGTATTATAGTTTTTTAGGTTTTGTATTAGGGTATGTGTGTAATATGTGAAAAATAAACTTATTTTGGGACGAATGGAGTACAAAGTATATGCCATTCTTAAAATGAGAACTGAAATGCACTTAGATATACAATACAACGAGGCAGGAGATTTTATTCAAGCAAGAAACTTAATTCTACACATCAGTTCCTGGAATGTAACTCGGTTATATTTTTTGCATAAACTAATTGATCGAACGCCTTAACTGGAAATTCAGGAGCACATACATTTTGCTGCTAATAGTACAAAGAGATTTGGAACTCGTACAGGAGCCCGTCAAGACCTTCAGCTAAATCAGGTTGAAGTAGGAAATTGTCTCAGACTTTCTGAGAGTGCTCTGATGCTTTTGATACTTCAACCTGAAGTCCCAAGCTAATGGCTCTGCGTTGAGATGTTAAGCATTCAGACAAGGAGATGCTCTGTTCTTGATTCAGAGTGCAAGACAGCTGTGAGAAATCACGCCGGCAGTAGAAAAAACGCGCCAAAATACAATGCCTGCCTGTCTGCCTCGTCCAATCCAACAAAACCATCCCGCCTTGTGCCTCCCGCCGGCCGGCCGTCGGGACTCGGGACGCATAAATCTGCTCCGTAAAACACCAGCATCGCCGAGAGTGAGCTTGACGTCTTACAGCCATTTTTCCTTTCTGCAACCCATGGCCGCCTCTACGGCGCATCTCCTTCCCCTCCTCATCGTTCCCCATCACCCGCGCCGGAGAGTACAGCCTCTACTTCGCCAACTGCGGGTCGGGGACGCGCGTCACCATGGACGTCCGTGTCGAGCTGTCCGACTCCAACCCGGACGGCGGCGAGGACCCCGTCGCGATGATCTACTCCTTCGCCGTGTGCTACGGCGTGTTCCTGATCGCGTGGCTGCACCGCACGCTCGCCCGCGGCTGCTCCACGGCGCGCCCCGTGCACGACGTCATGTCCGGCCTCCTCGCCGCGCTCATGCTGCACTGCCTCACGGCGGCGGCCCACGACGGGCGATACACCAGCGTCGTCGCCGGGACGGCGCGCGGGTGGAACGTGCCGTGCTTGGCGTTGCGTCTTGTCAAGAATGCCATGCTCTTCCCCGTGGTCGCGCTGATCGGCGCAGGGTGGTCGCTCCCGGAGCCGTTCGTGCAGGCCCGTGAGCTGAACGTGTTGACGGCGATGGTTCCGCTCCAGGTCTACATGGCGATCGCCACCACCTTGTCCGGCGACGGAGGCGTGGCCTGGACGTGGGGCCACGCCTTCGTCCTAGTCCAGCTCGCCTGCTGCGTCGCGGTGCTGATGCCGATGGGCAGGGCGATCCGGGCGCTACGGAAGGAGGCCGACACGGACGACAAGGCGGCGCGGAGGCTCGGCAAGCTCGCGCTGTTCCGCCAGCTCTACCTCGCGGTGGCGGTGTACCTGTACCACACGTGGATGGCCGTGTTCATCCTGAAGTTGCTCGTGGGCGCAAGTTCCGGTTACCGTTGGGCGAGCGTGGCGGTGGATGAGGCGGCCGCCCTCGCATTCTACCTGTTCATGTTCTGCATGTTCAGTCCGGCCGAGGAGGATATTCAGCTTGAAGAGTATACTGAAGAATTGATCCAAGGAGGAGTTTGAGCACCGGGACTGGGTTAATTTCCTTCTTTTTTTTTTGAAGGATGTGCTCCATCCGGACCATATGAATACTAAGAGCAGGTACAATAGAAGGCTAAGCCAGCTATAAACATATTTTAAAGAGATAAAGGAAGTGAGAGAAGATCAGCGGACTACATATCTATAGCCAGCTGTAGCACGGACTACAAGACACAATGTGTATATGACTGGTGATACCATGTATTAATAGTATAGTAATCAACTATTGTATCAATTGGCTATTCAATTGGCTATAGATGATTTGAAGCCAGTAGTTGGCTATACTATTAAACTTGCTCTAATAAGTACGTGTCAATGGGGAAATTCCGACTGGCAATTTCAAACCGGTTGTTTATAGACAACTAAAATTGTATTCACAGTGAAACTTTGATCGGGGTGGACTTAAATTGGGCCTGAAATATGAAATATGAATGGAAAAAGTTCAATATAACTCCCTTAATATAGGTTGAATTTGATCCGTATCCCTTGCTGTATAACTAGGTACAACGATTTCAGAACTATTAAAATGGGTGCAAAACAACTCTTACGATAGTATTTATGGTGGTTTTCGGTCATGCAGCTTCTATGTGACACGTTAACATGGTTTTCATTCTACGTGGTAGCTACATATCAAATCCCAAGCACCCAATCCCCCTCTCCATCGCCACGGTAGGCGCCACCCTGACCACCCTACCGTGGGCGTTGATGCCCACCACAGGCTAGCCACACGCTCAATCCTAAAACGACGGACGATGTGGCGTAGCGCTAGCGCATATATGAAGGAGCGAACAGAAGAGAGGAAAAAAGTAGGACACTAACTTGTGGGTCCCACGTGAATTAAATTGTACTTTTTGTGGGTTGCAGTGTCACGTAGGACGAAAACCAGATCAACGTGCTATGTAGATACCATGTCAAGGAAAACCACCATTAATATTATCTTGGGAGTCATTATTTACTACTTTTAAGTTTTAATAATTGGAGTCGTTATACCAGGTTTGGCGATTGAGTGATATAGAATAGATTCGACTTACCTATATTAAGGGAGTCAAATTGGACTTCTATAAATATGGCCAGACATTGGAGGAATAAGATCACTTTGACTCCCTTAACTAGTCACCGAATCTGATTCTTATCCTTCAATCGCAATGCCAGATATCTCGACAGCTCAACTATTAAAACTGGTGCAATTTGACTCCCTTGGTGGTTTTGGAGGGCGGTTTCGCTGACGTGATGTCTAAGTGGCAGTGTTGACTTGGTCTGTGGCGTTGACGTGGCGCTTAGGTGGCATTAGAGTTAAAAACATAATGTGGGACCCATTTGTCATCCACACACACAAAAAATTGTTGGTCCACTGACATGTGGGACCCACATGTCATCCTCTCCTCACTCCTTCCTCCTCCTCGCTCTCTCCCTTCTCTCTCTCTCTTTTCTCCCCTTACACCGCATCGCTGCCTGCCGCTGAGCGGCGCCGTGCTGCCGCCCGCCGATGCCCTCTCCTCCACCTCCCGCCGCATCGCCGCCTGCCACTGAGCGCCTCCCTACTGCCGCCTGCTAGAGAGGGGATGGATTGCGACGACAAGTCACGGCTCGAGCTCGGCAATGGTAATCGCCAGAGACCGGATTTGGGGGTTTCGTATGTGAAGAGGGCACTAGCAGGCAGCAAGCGGCGATCTTTGATTAAGACCAAAGGATGTTGGCTCCGTCGATGGCGCTGTATCCCGCGAGAGCAGCACAAGGAAGGATCCACCAGTGGTGGCGGCGGCGGCGATGGAGCGGCTGATGAGGACTCGGTGCAGCTGCACAAGCGATGGATACCCCTACCTACTGACGCGCCGAGGGGGAAGCTACATGAGGTGGTGTTGGGGGAGGAGGAGGAGAGCTCCACCGTCTCCATCGAGTCCCGCTTTGTCCCACCGACGAAGCTGGGTCCGAGCCTCGGCGTGCTCATCGCCTCCTTGAGATTCTCCGTCGGCGTGGGCGGCGCCGACTCCGACAATGGCGAGAACAGGAGCAGCAACATCCAGCAGGTCCTCCACCGCCATGAGCGCCCCGCGCCGCCACGACTCCTTACCCTTCGCCGTGCGCTTGGCGGCAGGCGGCGATGCAGCGGGAGGTGAAGGAGAGGGCACCGGCGGGCGGCAGCACGGCGCAGTTCGGCGGCAGGTGGCGATGCAGTCTAAGGGGAGAGAAAGAGACAGAGAGAGAAGGGAGAGAGCGAGGAGGAAGGAGTGAGGAGAGGATGACATGTGGGTCCCATATGTCAGTGGGTCCACAATTTTTCTGTGTGTGGATGACAAATGGGTCCCATATTATGTTTTTAACTCTAATGCCACCTAAGCGCCACGTCAACACCACATACTAAGTCAACACTGCCATGTAGACGCCACGTCAGTGAAATCATCCTCCAAAAATACCGAGGGAGTCAAATTGCACTGGTTCTAATAGTTGAGGGGTCGAGATATTTGATATTGCGATTGAAGGACACAAATCAAATTCGGTCACTAGTTAAGGAAGTTAAAGTGATCTTATTCCGACATTGGAAGCTATCATTCTAAGCCCAATAAGGCCGAACCAAGCGCAACTACCCGATGGCGACACGACTACCCCTTAAATTGCGTCAGGAAAGTGAAAGCACAAGATGAAGAGCCGCCTATTATGGTATCATGACTATCGTCGTAGAATTGCTACCCTATAAAGTCCAAAACCCTCTCGACTCTTGCTGATTTCCACAAGCAACAGAGACAGTCTTATGGTATCATGAAGTATCATCGTATAATTGCGAATTGAGATCGGGTGCACTTACACCTGTAACTGCAAGATAAAACTGCACACAATTTTAGCCATCCATTTTTACGATCAACGGTTCAGATCGAACGCTACAGTAGTAATGGCTACAGTATTTTGTGCTACAGTATTGTGCTACAGTACTATGTACTATACAGCATGCAATCTGGACCATCCAATGACATGCACTACTACTGCTTAAGTTGCAGACTGCAGCTGATCCGAATCCTATAATTGCTACCCTATAAAGTCCAAAACCCTCTTGACTCTTAGTGATTTCCACAAGCAAATGAGACAGTTTTATGGTATCAAGAAGTATCATCGTATAATTGCTACCCTATAAAGTCCAAAACCCTCTTGACACTCGGTGATTTCCACAAGCAATAGAGTCTTATGATATCATGATGACTATCATCGTAGAATTGCTACCCTACATGGCCTTGGCTAGTTCCAAACTTTTTCTTCAAACCTTCAATTTTTTCATCACATTAAAACTTTCCTACACACATAAACTTCTAACTTTTCCGTCACATCGTTTCAATTTCAACCAAACTTTCAATTTTAATGTGAACTGAACACACCCAAAGTCCTAAACCTCTCGACTCTTGGTGATCTCCACGAGCAATAGACAGTCAGTGGCTCGAAACTAGTACTACTACTCAAGCTGAACCGATGAATATTCTGAGCACTTGATTCCTCCCCCTTCCCCAACCCCAAGTCCCAAGCACCGTTGACTCACAATAAACGAGTTAACTATCATCATGCGGCAACCGTGCCGGCGCTGCTGACGCAGCCGTCACGCTGACAGGCGACGGTTTCCGGTGCTCGTTTGGCGAGCGATCGGCGACCTACAACGAGGACCCAGGCGCCCATCGTATGCACGAATACAATATAGTACAGCGTACCGCTGCATGCTGCGAACTCGGAGCATTTTCCAAACGCCAAGCCTGCGATTTTTCCAAAATACAGGTGTTGCCGTATCGGCATCTCTGTCTCTCTCCGAACACCGGGTTTGGTACGGTGCAGCTCATCATCATCTGACCTAAACGCCTCGGTTCAGATAGCCATCAGCTGCCAGTTGCAGCCTTGCAGGTGATGCCCGGAAATATGCTCTGGTGCTTGCTTAGCTTCCCTTGGAAATCCGCTTGCTTGCTTGCTTGCCCAACAACCGGCCCCCTCTCGCATATCGTGACGAGGATGATCCATTTTTTTCAACTCCATGGTCCAGGCTCCAGGACCACTTTGCTGTTTTCTTCTGTCCTAACCTGGAAGAGAAGCAGCAAGTACATGGTGCTATTACCAGTTGGAGATGGTAAGTGATAACCACTAACCAGTAACTCAATTACGGAGAGGCTGGCTGCCATGAGGAGCAGGGTAGTTTTGGTTTGCAGACAAGAAAGGCAGTGCAACAAGAACATACTAGTAATTTATACCCTGCATCAAATGTTTAAATTTGTATCCTAGAAAAACTTGTCAAGTTGAAAATTTCGTTGAGGTTTGCTGTAATATATATGTCACCGTTAAGAACTGTGAAAAAGACCCAATGAAATGTATGGACATCAGTGCATCCATCATCTATGATAAATTCTCGAATATAATAGTGTCGTCAAACTCCTCTAGAACTAGCAAGTTGATTACTTTACACAAGCAAAGCAGTGATTTTTAAAGGAGTAATAGTCATAAGAAGCAAATCAGAGCACACATGTAAGCTAGTATAGTTTTTTTAACTCATCATGTAGTCATTTATTAAGACCCGCCAATACCGGTATGACCTCTTTGGCTCTGGATGTGATGTACCTAACCTAACCATAACCAACCCCTTCACTGTTCTTATCTAACTTTATCTATGTCAATGTACCATATGACAGTTGACAGAAACATAAATATCTAAACACTCAGAAGTTTGATATGTACTGGTACGACGTACTAGTTTTTTCATACTTTCACCGAGACAATGAAAGTTGCTTGGAAGTCATGAGCTAAATTAAGAAGATCAGATCACAAAGGAACAAATGTAACAAGCTCAAGAACAGCATATTTTACTCCTTTATTTTTGGTTGATAAAGTTTTGACGAGGAATTTCTGCTTTATTCGTTTCAACGTCAACAAAAAGGGGAAGTTTCTCCCTTTTGCACCAAGACACAAGGAACAATTAACACGTACAGAGCATTACGGATGATGTGCCATGGAAGTAGAACCAATCAACAAGACTATATATAAAGCAAGAAATCATCAAAACACTTCATCATTTCATATATAAGTCTTTAACACAGCGACTACAAAGAGAAAAAGAAGAAAAAAAAGTGTAGTGGACTATAAGCCACTTATTTAGCTACAAATCACAGGAAACAAAAAGGGGTCCAAATTGAAATCACATCATATCCGCCTTAACAATTGCATAAATTAAACAGCTTCAAATTAACTAGGCCATCATTTTCTCTCTATTTCTCCCCAAGCGTTTAATGCCCCCGGACGTTCAAACGCGTGCGCAAATGCGCGCGCGCGCGTGCAACCTCGTCCGTACGGCTCGATCACCTCCTCTTGTTCTTGCTGCCGAGCACGAGGCTGAAGTAGAAGAGCAGCCGGAAGAAGAAGCCCCACGCCGCCGTGACGAGGAGGCACTCCCACTTGCCGAGCTGCGTCACCGCCGCCTCCCGGAGCACGTTGTGCCCGGTCATCACGCAGGTGTTGGGGCCGATCTTGACGCCGAGCGCCGTGCCGATGGACGCCAGCACCCTCGTCTTCACCGTGTCCGGCAGCACGGCCAGCGGCGAGTTGTCGAACATCTGCGTGCCACGGACGTAGCACTCGCCGCCGCGGCCGAACTCGTTCTGGAGCACGCCCTCGAACGGGTACTTGACGAGTGAGAGGTAGTGGAACCATATCCAGTAGTCCGGTATCCTGTCCCGGTTGATGAAGAAGCCGCTGAAGAGGAGGAAGTAGGCGAGGATGGCGACGACGACGGTGTAGCCGATCATGACGTGCGGTATGACGCCGGAGAGGAACGTGACGAACCCGCTGCCGGCCCAGAAGGAGGCGAGGATGGCGAGGGTGTAGAAGGCGAACCCGGACACGCCGCCGGCGAGGCCGACGGCGAAGAATGTGGTGAAGGCGAAGGCGAGGGAGAGCACGACGAGCGGCGGGAAGGAGACGATGGCGTTGGAGAGCACGTAGGAGGTGCGGCGGTACGCGCCGTAGGCGGTCTCCCGGAGGAAGATGTAGCGCTCGTGCAGGAACACCGGGAGCGCGTCGGCGCAGGTGTAGAACATGGTGGACATGGCGAAGGCGAAGAAGCCGAGCCGCTCCTGCGCGCCCTTGGGCGACTGGTCGAGCTTGTAGAACACGGTGGCGAGGATCGCGCCGGTGATCACCACGGCGCCGAGCCTGATGAGGAACAGCTCCGGCATGCGCCGCGTGTTGATCGCCGACCGCTTCGTCAGCACCTTCATCTCCACCCAGAACGGGTTCGCGTAGGTGTGCATCGACGCCGCCTCGCCGGCCACGTCCGAGCCGGACACCAGCTTCCCGCGCGAGATGCTCGCGCTGATGGCCTCCTTCAGCGACATGGTTGGCGCCCACGGATCATCGTTTGGGTTGTGCCTCGCCGCGTGCATGACCTGCCACGTCTTGTTGAAGCTGACGAGCTGTCCGGTTCCCGCCGGCAACGACTCGAACTCGCGGATCAGGTCGAGCGCGAACTCGGCGCGGTTCTCGTCGTCGGGCACCGGGTACCCGAACTCGGCGAAGTAGGCCGGGATGGCGGAGGGAGGTCCACTGAAGACGGTGCGTCCACCGGAGAGGAGGATGAGGCGGTCAAGAAGGCCGAGGATGCGCTGGCTCGGCTGGTGGATGGAAGTGATGACAATGCTGCCGCTCTCGGCGATGTTGCGGAGCACCTGCACGACCATGAACGCCGAGGTGGAGTCGAGCCCCGACGTGGGCTCGTCGAGGAACAGGAGGATGGGGTCATGGATGATGTCGGTGCCGATGGAGACCCTCCGGCGCTCGCCTCCCGAGACTCCACGGTGGCCCTCGTCGCCGATGATGGTGTCCGCCGCCGCGCGGAGGCCGAGCTGTTCTATGAGCTCCAGCACGCGCGTGCGCTTCTTGGCGGCGGGCAGCGCGCGCGGGAGGCGGAACTCGGCGGCGAAGGAGAGCGTCTCGGCGACGGTGAGCATGGGGAACAGCAGATCGTCCTGCATGACGTAGGCGGAGATGGACTTGATGACGTTGCCGGTGAGCGGCTCGCCGTTGAGCGTGACGGAGCCCTTGAGCGCGTCGCGGGAGATGCGGTTGGCGAGCGCGTCGATGAGCGTGGACTTGCCGGAGCCACTGGCCCCCATCACCGCCAGGATCTCGCCCTCCCTCGCCTCCCCGGTGATGCCGTCCAGCAGCACCCTCGCGCGGGACGAGTGCGCGTCGGGCGCCGCCGCGGTGACGCGGTCGCACCGGTTCTGCAGAGGCAGGCGAAACCCGCCGCCGCCATCGCCGCCGCCGGGCCTCGCCCGCCGCGCCGCGCGGACGCTGTAGGTGAGGCTGGTGAACGCCAGCCTGAACTGGATGGTCCGCCCGCCAGGCGGAGGAGGAGTAACACCACCGCGCGGCAGTGGCAACGACAGCGCGTTGGCCTCCTCATCCGCGGCGGCGGCGGCGGCGTCGGAGTCGACGGTGGCAGCGCCGACGAGGCGGAGCATCTCAGCGAGCGGCGGGTTCCTGCCCCTCGCCGGCGCCGGCGGGGGCGTGGCTAGGAACGGGAGGCGGTCGTGCACTGCGCGCGCCATGGCATGCACACCCACAGCTAGCGAAGCACTATCTAGGACGACGGACGATTCGGCGTGGCGTGGTTCAGATGGCGCAAAGGTAGGAGGAGGGAAAGTGGAGTTTAAGTAGGGCCACGCGACGGTAGCCGGTGTGGGTTTTGCGACCGATGGGATGCCGCGCCCGCGCGCTTCTCTCCCAGTCCTAGGTGTGGTTAGGACTTTGTGATGCTTCGAGCTCAAGTTTTAAAGACTACGAGCACGACGCGCGCGGGAGACGAGTGCGGCGGGTTGTGATGGCTGATGCGTGCGTACGTAGCTGCGTACGGGCGTGGCTGTGTCACGGGGCAATGGATATGAAAAAAACGCGGGGGTAGCGGGACGGGGGCGGTGAACGAGAACGACGAGGTGGAAGAGGCGTGGAGCCGTGGAGCCGTGGAGGTGAGTACCGTGTGACCGTGGGAGGGAAGGCGCGGGTCAACGAGAAGGGAGGAGGGGGAGGGTGGGTTAGCTGGCTGGCACGTCGAGCGGGTGCGTTTTAGGTTTGGGTGGGTGACGAGACGAGAAAACGAGGGGGAATTGGGCAAGTTGGGGGTTCTGAGGGGGTTCCGTGGGAGGCAATGTGCACGGTTCGCAATTCGCATTATACAACTCGGTCGTTCGGTTCCTCGTAGGAGTATCTAGATGCTCTGTTAGTCTGCTTTTTTTATAGTATATCCGTTTCGTGCATGGCAGACGTGACAAGTGACGGCATATGCAACAGCAATGTAATGGAAGAGTACTTTTTTTTTTTGAGGGGAGTAATGGAAGAGTACTGGGAGGTTGTAAAATGGAAGTTGGCAAAAGTTCAGTTTGATTAAGTTGATCTTTACCGTGAAGACAAGTCATCGTACTACTCCTATCTGTTTGGTTACCTTCTGAAAAAGGCAGAGTTTACCATTGTTCGTACTAGCTTATTAAGTCACCCATTCGCGTGATTATAACCTTCCTCTCTATTAGATTTAGATGTGTTTATGTGTTGTTTAATTAGCTTAAATAAGTATCCGTGAAACATGCATTTTTGCAGTAACTATAGCTATATCATAATATATTTATCTTAATTTGTGATTAATTATTATTGTAAAAATAAATAATCTACCAAACATTCGTAAATGTGTCATTTATAGTATTTTGAATACGCTTGTAATGTGAAATGTCATTTTCTATTCATCTTGACCATGGTTTTGCTTTCCCTATTTGCGCAACCATAACTATCCTCTTTGTTGTGGGATTAGGACATGTTCAATGGTAGAGACGGGTATGATCTCTTAAACAATGCAAAATTATTTAGAGACCATGTCTTTACAATAGTTGAGACGACAAAGGCTCTAATCATTAACTCAAAAAATATTCCTTTTGTTAATATTCTTTCCATATTTTTATCCTCATGCAACCATATTTCCATATTATAATGACTAAGAATCGTTGTTAAGCCGTTGTCATGCATAACAACGATGTTTTGTCTCTCCTCTTTCTCTTTCCTCCATGTCAACAAATATTCCTAATTAGCAACGCTAAGAGACCACTATTGACAACCATTGTACATGCCCTTAGGCCGTGTTTAGTTCACCTCCAACTACCCCCAACTTCCAACTTTCCATCACATCACATCACATCCAAAACTTTCCTACACACATAAACTTTCAATTTTTTTCCAAACTTTCAACTTTCCCTAAACTTTCAACTTTTATCAGGAACTAAACACAACCTTAGTTTGTAAGTTACAATTTACTTTAGGACTAGAATAAAAAAAGACAATAACATCCTAACTCGCAGAGCATATGCCTCATTATTTGTTAAAATATAAATTAATCATATAGACATACATTCCTCTTTGTTGCAGGATTAGTTTGTAAGATACAATTTACTTTAGGACTAAAATAAAAAAAGACAATCACATCCTAACTTGCACAGAGCATATGCCTCGTTATTTGGTAAAATATAAATTAATCATATAGACATACATTTTGTACCAATACAAAATTTCAGTACTTGCAGGATTAGTTTGTACTACTAAATTACAATTTACTTTAGGACTAAAATACAAAAAAGACAATCACATCCTAACTCTGTTTGTGTGCAATGATGTAGCAGTTCCTATTTTTGTTTTTGTCTGCTCTCCCCCAGACCGAAGGGAAGGGTATGGAATCATCTGGGAAGCCTATGGTTTGATGCTGGGTACTCCCTTCATCCTATAAAAAATCAACGACTATGAATCATACTCCCTCCGTCACATAATATAAGGGATTTTGACTTTTTGCTTACACTATTTGACCATTCGTCTTATTTAAAAAATTTGAAATTATTATTTATTTTATTTGTGACTTACTTTATTATCCAAAGTACTTTAAACACAACTTTTTATTTTTTATATTTGCACAAATTTTCTAAATAAGACGAGTGGTCAAAAAGTGTAAATAAAAAGTCAAAATCCCTTATATTATAGGACGGAGGGAGTATCGCATCCAATCCTAGATTCTTTTTCTGACATAGGAAGTTTTCTTTTTTACTGCTTCCTCTCTTTTTAATTGGATGGAACTGTTATGATTTGTTGTACTTCTCAATCCAATGGTGATGAATTAATGTATGACGTGACTCATCTTAGGGTATATGTGTAAAAGTAGTGTATAAGCAATACAATATTCTATTCAGCCATCTATTAAGATATCCATATGCATATAGACTACCCATATGAAATAAATTATATTATCTATCTCTACTCTTCTCTCTTCTTCTAATAATATATTGTGTGTGTTTGTCTATATATATATATATAGCAATCTCCACAATATATATATATATATATATATATATATATATATATTGTGGAGATTGCTATATGTAAAAAGTAAAATCTATTTATATGGGTCCCATCTATAGATCAATTTGTCATAGTATATTGGTGATGCCCTTAGGTGACATATCAAGATTAACTTTTCAGTGCAGATGGGGCCAAAATAAAAGACTGGCAACTCCCGTGCGCATAGTTGAAAATAAGCTAGACTACTTTAGAGAACAAAAGAAATGAACCTTGACCATTAAACTGTGTTGTACTGCGACTTCACTTTAGAGTCCTAAACTTAACATAGGTATTTAATTACTGCTAATTGTTTTCAATGTTGGGTGATGTATTCATCAAACAATGAGATATTCGTGGTGACTTCAACAACTTTAAAATATATTATCATGCTAGTTTTTTTTAGGTGCTAATAGGGATAAAGTGTGCATGTGTCCATTTATAAAGGTGAGTGTGAGTACATTGTAAGCGTATGTGTTAGTACCGTGATATCTTGTAAAAATAAATTTCACATGGTGGTAGAGCTGTGATCAATGTTTAAAAAATTGTGTGGTTACCGTGGCTATTAGATACGGTAACATTATCAGTTTTTAAAATTATATATACCTCACGATAACCGCACGGTTTTCACGGTAACCGTAAAACCGTGGGTTCAGTAAATCGTGGTTGTGGTTGATGGATAACAGTTCACTAGTGCTTCAATTCTCGTGCTCGTATTTGCATGCATACGGATTTGACCTCATGTAAGGGGTGGCACTCATAATTGCGGTCCATCTACAGTGCCATGTATATGTGATCATCCTATGTCTGGACTTTTATTTGCAACGATGCAATATTCTGATTATGTGCCTAACTTTATATACTCCCTCCATTTAAAATTACTTATCATTCTAAGTTTATTCTAGTTCAAATATAAGTATATTTGACCATTGAAGTTTTAAATCTGTATAGCTTAACAACATAAAAACTATATATTATGGAAATATTTCTTACGGTGAATCTAAAAATATAAATCTTACGATGTTAAACTATATAAAGTTTATTGAAAAGGATGATAAAAATTAAAATATTTGATTTGTAGTTCGAAATAAAAGGAGTACAAATATTATGAATATAGGTCATTTCAGTTTTCTCGACTAAGTCAATTTGGAGCTTGTAATCAATGTTTTATTCAACCTTTGTTCTTTTTTTTCTATTAACAAATAACCACTACTATAGACATGGTCGTCGCAGCTCCCCTCCTGGTAGCCACCGATCCAATATGAGTTAATATTTGGTCGACTATTTTTTTATTACATGGTATGACGCACACACGCTCACATCACTACACAACACAACATAAACGTTCATATCCTCGTGAATGAGCCTTTTTTTTTGGGAAAAGAGAATATATTACTCAATCACGGAGTTCTCGAAGACTAACCATGTAATGAAATTACAGCTATTGTTAGCCCAAATACCGGATAGGCCGGGCTCACACCGAGCTCTATCTGCTAAACAATGACTAACTCTGTTTTGACTACGCTTAGCCTTACAGAGTTTAAACTCCCTTCCAATCAGTAGATCTTTAACCTCCCTAACTAAGTACGACAAACCAGAGTGATCCTTTTCCTTGCGCCCTTTAACACGTGCTCTAGAGCTCTTTATACCCGGTGACCACAGATCCAATATGAAACATATTTGATCGAATTTAATATAGTTTGATTGCAGCCTTTTTAAAGCGGGCATGTTCATTTGTTTTGTTGGGCGAGTGTAGAATTAGGAGGCTCTCAAAACTATAAGTCCACCTCTTAGAATGCACTAAAATAGTAAAATACGACCCTCGCTACTCTGACTACTGTGACTCACCAAGGTAGTTCTGCCGTTCTGGCAAGTCCATAGGCCGCTGCACTTGCTATTTTACTGCTACCACCCATGCGTATCAACGTCGTATCCCTTCCTCTTTCTTTCTTAGAAACCCGAAAGGTGAAATCCACTCGTAACCGCAGCGATCGAAGGTGGAGTAGGGGTACGTGACGAACCAGCGGCAGCATAGTAGGCTGCTATCAGCGGTAATACTAGTATGCCAGAATGCCAATAGCTAGCCGAAACGGCAAAACCTCCGAAAACCCAGACCGGGGAGGAGGCCCATAAATGCGTGCTCACGACTCACGGCCAACGTCGCCTCGCGACGGCAACCGCAGCTCGATCGCGGCTGCAAATCTGCAAGTGGAGCCGGCGCCGGCCCGCCCGGTCGCAACGCAGGTTTAATTCCGTTGCCGCGGGCGCACGGTGGCGGTGATCTCATCCAGCTGCCAGCGCCGCGCCGCAGATCGGGCATCGCGCTGCGCCATTAATTGCGCCGCCTCCTCCTCGGTCGCGCGCTCCACAGCCGAGCCGAGGCCTCGGTCGCGAGCGACCACGCGCGCGCGCGCGGCTTACCGACAAAACCTTGCGGGCCAGGTGAAACGCTGCGCCGCGCCCGCGCTCCCAGGCTGAGCCCGTTGCCTGTGCCGTGCCGGGGGAGGAAAGGGGGGATGCCGGGGGGCGGTCGGTACGACGGTGCGTGCGCTCGTCTGCGGAATCCGTCGCCCACACCCGGCTACATCATTGCCGGCTCGTTTGCCGCACCCATGTAACGCATTAGCGCGCGGCGCGGGGCCGTACATGCTTTACACTCGCATCGCTTGTTCAGTTGTTCGTTGCCTTGAATTGCTGCTATGCTACTGCTCCATGCCACGATATTAACGGTGAGGAAGGGTAATAGGATTTGTGCGTTGACGGCCATTCCTTAGACGTAGGTCGATCAAATGCGAGCCTTGCCAGAATGATGAGATTTTCTTATGGGTGCAAAGGGATGTGATTCGGATCGATTGGCACTCCGCCGTCGCGATCGTTGGCTCGAGAGGCTTGTGCACTGCCGCTGCGGTCACAGAAACAATTATACTGGGTAACCGAGACTCAGTCTCAGGCACCGTTCATCTCAGAAATAAAAATTACTCCCTCCATCCCTCCTGTAATATAATGAATTTTGACTTTTTGCTTGTATTGTTTGACCACTCGTTTTATTCAAAAAAAAAGTTGTGCAAATATAAAAAACGAAAAATTGTGCTTAAAGTACTTTGAATAATAAAGTAAGTCACAAATGAAATAAATAATAATTCCAAATTCTTTTAATAAAACGAATGGTCAAACAGTATAAGAAAAAAATCAAAATCCCTTATATTATGGGAAGGAGGGAGTAAGACACTTGGTAAACTTGAATATATTCCCAACAAACTATAAAATTAATGTTTTGCTAAAGCATTGAAATATGAATATAGTGATATAACTTTTAGACGTTAAATGTATTTGTTACTTTGATTATTGATCAAAATACATAAAACTTGACTACTGAAAACAAGTACCGGAAATAATGTATACGTTCTACTCCCTCCGTCCCAAAAAGGCCAGTTTATTACTCAGGACGAATCTGCCATAATGCACAGTTTCTAACACGGCTAATCGTCTAGTTGCGACATTACTCAGGTTTGTTTTTTCATTTTACCTAACAAAAAGAGAATAAAACAGTAGTCGACCAACATGAGTACTTCCAAATTTGTATTAACTATTTGCAGTTGATCAATGAAATGAGTAACATCAGGGTCACCGATGTAAACAAAAATTGTACAATACACTGAAGCCTGAAGGTACGACTACATCTCAACATGTACACTTGTCGTCTGGCTGGGACGGTACAAAAGTAATGCCCGCCAATGTATACTTCGAGGAGGGTTTTTTTTTTTCGGTTAATGCTGCCTCCAGAATTTTGTTTGTCAAAATGGAACTGCTGCAGGGCTGTAGAGCTAGCAACATGCCAACGATCCCACAGCATCTGAGATTCAGAGGCCCAGAGCACGTTTTGAGTATAATAGAAAGCGACCTGCTCATGTGCATTCTGTTCTCTTCGACAAGGGACCGTGCTTCCCCCTTCAGCTGATCCATTTCAAGGTCCTACCCTGCATTTAACAGAACATTCCTCTACAGGCATTGCTACATGCAATCGAGAAATACCTTCGAAGTTCAGTGCCACATGAGTGATAAAAATGCTCAGCATGGCATCACCTATGATGTTCGTGCCAAAAAATCATCCACAGCAAGTGATGCATCACCATGTGAAACAGCATTATCAGGTTCCGGCATGTATAGGGAAGTAGAAGAAACCTGTCGAACAATAGAGGTAGTGCAGTGTTTCAAAAGCCAATACAACACAAACACATTGCAAAAACCTGCTGCGTGTTTTACCTTTGTGTCTATCTGCAATTCTCCGTTATTGTTATCTACTGAAAGAACAGCACCATGCGCTTTTAACCATTCTTCACATTCTTCCAATCCATCAGCTCTTTTAGCTTCACAAACTTCGTCAATTGCCATGAATCCCAAAACTTGTGCAGCATATTTTACAGGTAAAGTTGGGCGATATGATTTAGATATGCATTTTATAGCCTCAAAGCGCATCCGTTCAACATAGAGATCTACAGCACCAATCATGCAAGTTGCAAAGCAAAAACACCATCTCAATGAAATTAGATGAACACTTCAAATTACAGAGAGAGGGAGATCATATTTACCCATAAGACAAGAATTCAAGTCAGGTGCGGTCTTGTATAATTTGAAAAATAGAACATAGTTTCCAGATGAAACAGCGGAATGAACTGCAAGAGCATGTTTGACAGTTCTGTCTTGCTTGGCTTCCTTTGGCAAGCTATTAGATATGGATGTATATCAAATAAGGTTCATGTAACTATGAAATAACCAACTCATATGTGCTCATATTATGCAACCCTAATGGACTCATATTAACCAACTCATGTGAAATAACCAACCTTGCCATTGAAGAAAGCAAGTCTCTTTTGTTATTAGAGTGTAACATGACACACAACAAGTTGTAAGCAGAGAATTCGAAATGACAGCCTTTGATTCCTTCTGCATATAATCTCTTCAGTTGCGATTGGCACTGCAAAGAGTTGCAGCAGAAACAATAAAAAAATTAGGCTGTAGGTTTCTTTCTTCTGTGAGGCAACTAGACAAACAAAACTTAATAATTCAAGAATAGAGCATCCAGTTTTAGAAAAGACACAATTTGCAAAGTACCAACACTTTAACATGGCTAATTTACTGCATTTCTACGGCAGTTGCAATTGGTAGTAGTATAGACCATGTGCTACATATATGCTTCTGTTAAAAAAAAAGAGGGAGGGGGGGGGGTCAAGACTTTCAACTAGAAACTAATAAGGACATGGGGGGCTTTATTTCACCAGAGTATTATGTACGTTAACTTGGCTCAAACCGCTGAGAGCGGGTAATTTCTAACAAGGCTGTTAGTAGACGTGCGTAATGAAACTACAATAGCACATGACACTTGTTTATTATTCTTATGTCAGGAATAAGGACAGACATTCAGAACAAGATAAGCAAACCTGATTGAATTCAGGTAAATCTCCAGATTGAAGTGCTAAGCGCGCATGAGTTTCATAAACCTGAAAAAAAAAGAGAGAATAAAACAAGTAATATGGAAGCTACCAAAAAAAGCAGGCAAGATGAAACAAATGGCGGGAAGTTGGAACAGCGTTGACATGAAAAATCAAAGATAGATAATAGAGTAAAAAAGGATGGCATGCCAAAATAATATTAACTAAATAATTTCCTTCATGAATCAAAACATTAAAACAAACAGAATAATCGAGGCACGCCAAACTGTTAGAAACTACTCCGTCCTGTAATATCTGTCCTAGCCAACCATGCAAATAGGCCAATGAAGCAGCAGTTTAAGAAAAAAATTGATAAGAAATGATCATGTGCGTCCACATTGAATAGCACACAGCAACTATGTATTCACATGATCACATTACTAAATTTGGGAAAAGGAGTGCAAATAGCAACTACTCCATCCATCCCAAAATATAAGGCACAACCACTACTAACACAAAGACCAAGAAAAAATTTAATCACCTCCTTAATTGAATCATATCCATACATGCAAGCAATGTGATTGAGAGACTTAATGGTACATGAATTAAAATAAACCAAATTAAAAGAACCAGGAGAAGATAATTAATGTATGCATGCATGCACGCCTTATATTATGAGACAGAAAAAAATGGTTGTGCCTTATATTTTGGGATGGAGGGAGTATTATTTTTCTCGGATACATTGTGAAATGATATTTCCCGTGAAAATGGACTAACATAGTGAACAGGAGTATAATGCAGTATATAACACACAAAGTGGGCTAAGAAAGGCTACCATGACAGTCAGCTCGTTCTGAATCCTCTGAACAGTAAGATCTTGCCGAATTGATTTTAGTTGGTCACATTTATACAGATAATTCTTCTGAGATGTTTCAACCATATGAAGAGCTTTCTCTAAAACATCTTCTGGCCTTACCTGAAAAGGTATGATGAAACAAAACTAAAGCAAGGAGTAGCAAAAGGAAGAAAACAACATCTAGAGACAATTTCCTATCAACAATATGTTTTTCCAATCTAGGCAGTTTACAAGGTAATATTAGCAGAGCATTCTCACTGTGGCAGGATCAGGTGCTGATGTAAGACGAAGGTATCTTTTCTCAATTTCCTGACATGTTCCCTTGACAGTCAGTGCATCCCAATCCAAATCCTCCACAGCGAAGCTAACATCATCTCCATTACTTCTGCTAAGAAGCATTGGCATAGATCTCCTAGCATATGTATTGGATGTTCCATCCTTATCTGGAACAGAGCTCCTAGATTTTGAGGATGCAGCACCCTGACTACGTTCAAAACGCTTGGATCTATGCTCCCGGCGTTTCTTCTCCTCTGGTGAATTTGCTATTGTGATTGCATTAGCATAATATTTTGTCAGATCCTGCTCCTTATCACTGTCACTTGAAACATTTCCATTTTCAGTTAGACTTGAGTTACCACCAATCCGCTTCTTTTTACTAGGTCTCTGATTATATTGACTTAAAGGAGCCTGACGGGATTGGAGAAACTTCCCAATATCCCAACTTCTACCCTGCAAAGTATTTAGCTAAGTATTTCTCATAAATGAAAGGCATGCATGTTATATGAACCCATACTGAGATCTTACCGCTCTTTTAGTTGTTTCTGAACTATTGTAGGTATTGGTCTTTGCTGATTCTTTGGAAATCAATTCCACCTTATTTGCAACCTTTTCTTCTACAACAGGTTCCCACCTGCTTTTTGCACGTCTACTAGGGCTCCTCCTAGAAGTTGAGAAGGAGAAGGGGCTCAAATCCTTTGCAGAGCTGCCAAAGAAAAAAAGGATTGAGAAATTTAGCTCTATATCATTAAGATAATCATGAACTTGCAAATACGATAAAGTGTGGAAAGTACCATCATATGTGATATTACCTTTCTCCTAAATGGACATGAATAGCATGGATTTTGATGACTATGGCATTTATAACCCAAGCATATTTGCATGGCATTTTGCAACTTCACGATGCCTCAGTGCTACAATGGCAATGGTATATTGGTATTTTTCATAAATCCCAAGTTTATCTGATTATCTCAATGACCAAGATTAGTTGTTTGGTTATGGTGTTGTTTTGATGAACTCTGTAAGCTTAAAACCACCATATGGCATGAGCCTATATCCTCTATAAGACTCTAACGGGTAGATTTTGAGGTTTGTTAGAGAGGCTTAAGCCCCTATAGTACTGGCCAGCTGAAGTCCGTCCCCACCAGCTTATTCCAGAAAAGCATCTTCAGGAAGAAGCTAGGCCCTCCAACACAATATGCACTGGTGCTCCGAGGCATCCACTGAACTGACATGTCAATGTGCCTACTACCATGCATTCTTAGTAGACTCTACAATGTTTTTACCTGCCTAAGCAAGTAACCCACTTACCCTTATCATGTGTTGAACAACAAAACAAAGAACAGATGTTATTCCAATAATTTCTTGATCTTAATAGTTCTATGTGGGGAGGTGGGGGAGGAATTATGATTTGGTGATCCTGCCCATGATGCTTCTTAAGTGGCATATATTGCATCTAGCACAGTGCTGTTGTTCTCAGTTTTTACAGTACTTGTATGTTCAAGCATTAAGAGAAAAATGTGAGATTTTTTTCATAGTGAACAAAGCAAAGCATCTTTACATAGTTATAAATCAATGGCAACAAAATTTGCTTTCCAATATCCAAATAATTCAAATCAAGCTGCAGGAAATACTCCTAAAGAATACTACTAACCAAAAAGGTGCTATACAAGAATACAAGCATATGATTTGATGGTTACTGCCACATGAAAAGCTACATCATCACTAGTGGAAGGAGGAAATGGAGGGAAGAGCAGCACACCTTGTCAAATTTGTGCTTGTAATGTTTTCTGGCAAAGGAACCAGTGGCTCAATGTCCCAGTTCTTAGTATGAAGGATACCATCAGCAGTTGCCTTGGTGATTATCTGAATTATCGGAAGGGAAAAACTTGGGACTTAGGAGACTCTTTATGAAGTTTGTAAGAACATATATTTCATGGCAAGCTCCAATGGGCGCATAATGAAAATCAACTTAAGAGCTTAAATATGAAGTCACTTTTTGTGGAAAAATTAATGCATGCCTAAGTATAGAATATTCCTATGGCTACTTCTCCACGGTAAAACAAACGCAACGCGCATGCTTAAAATGAAGAATTCCAAAGTGGAGAGTGAAGCATGTATTCTTCGCAAATCAATTATATTGAAGATTATGATCATCTGTGTGTCTCCTGTGAATTCAGTCTAGCTTGCTGGGAGTTGATAGAGATCCATAGGAGCTCTCTACTTTTATGGTTAAACTCCACAAGGCGTGCATATACATCTTGTAAAGAAGTGTATAAAGAATTTTTTCCCTTCTGGTTGCTGGCATATATGGTTATAAAGAATAGATACATCTTTGACAAGATTCCTCCAAACAAGCATAGGTGGAAGACAATGCTTACAGCAGAAATGAACCTTCTCAGGTTAAGCTAACAAGAAGTTTCTGCCAAATCTAAAGAACAGATACATCTTTGACAAGATTCCTCCAAACAAGCATAGGTGGAAGAGAATGCTTACAGCAGAAATGAACCTTCTCAGGTAAAAACTAACAAGAAATTTCTGCCAAATCTCCAAGAGGCTTCAGGAATTCACCTACGTGATCTACTCTGTTTTCTATTTGCTTGTCTGGCCTCTGTGCCATTGTTTCTTTGTGGATCTTTGTTTATGTACCTTGTATATATCTACCTATCTATTTATTTATTGCTGTCGTTGATGTTAGTGTGTTAACTTCAGTATGGAACAACCCTAACTATTTTACCCATTCCCATAGTTACTAAAGGTCTCATGAACTGAAGGTTGCGTCTATAACTAGAATCCAGCCAGACAGAAACCAAGATATAGTGTTTAAAAAGAATTAAAAACAACAGATTACTGAACCTCTTTCAAGATGTTCTGCACGGCAGACCTCTGGGCATCATCCTTGCAACGGGAAACATTCCGCCCAACATAAGTACGAAGCGAAACAGGGATTGATCCCTAAACAGATCAGGAAATTGTGTAAACAAAACAGGTAGATGTAAAGCTGTGCATGTTATATTTGGCATGACCACATGAGAAATCGACAGGCATTAAGTACATTAGAGATTTGACAAATTTTGAATCTGGGCACTGCCACTTATTTGAGAGCCAGGAATGTACAAATATAATTTCAAAAATGGAAATGTTAAGGAGTAAGCATGTTTAAATTTCCACAAAGTTGGTTCCTTGTCCCTGAAGGATAATAATAGTATCGTTGATAATCACCAAAACAAAAACAAGTAAATAGAATCGTTACTCACCTGCGTTACAGCTTCGTGACCATCTTGAGCTGCTTTCACATCATTCTTTTGCACTGCGACACTAACATATGCAGGCTTTTTTGATGAATCAGCTTCTAAATTTCTCTTCTCTACTTTGGGCATTGCCATAGGAAGAGTTGGAGCTATTCGAGGATTTGTTGGGATCTGGATTTTGTTTACCCTGAGAGCATCTGATGTCGCAGAACCCTGAAAAGTTGGTTGAGAACTTTCAGAAACATGATTGACTGAAGAAACGTTTGAAATTGGACCCTGCCAACGTGAAGCCTTCTGTTGATCTGCTTGGTTACTTAGTGGTAACTGACTATAGTATGTAGTGCCCGGTTGATATGTTGGTGCTAGGTTAGCATACTGGTTCTGAAATCCTGGGACAGCTGGTGCCTGGTTAACATACTGGTTTTGGAATCCTGGGGTGCCTGGAGCCTGGTTGACATACTGGTTTTGATACCCTGGGGGACCTGCTGCCTGGTTGACATGCTGATTTTGAAACACTGGGGTTCCTGGTGCCTGTCAATTGCTAACTGTTAAATTTGGCAACGCAAAACTACTTGTGGGAAAAACCTGAATAAAAAAATATACAATGAATAGGACATAGGAAGTGCTCAGAGTCACAGGTTCCCAAGTACTAATGAAGAAATAATACCTGCGGGGGAGGGACAGCAGTTGCACCAGCATCACTTCTCCATGTAGTGCCTGGTGGAGGTGGTTGGGTGCTCGGATAAACATAACCAGAACTGACGCTGGCAGTGTTTGCATCAGAAACACTGCTGACAGCAACTGCAGGACCACCAGAACTTGGTGCGGACTGATCATAATAATAAGGCCATTGATTATACTGCTGATGATAATGGTAAGAATTGTTGGGTAGTGAACTAGAACTCTGGGCTGCATTAGTATCTGATGGAGTATAGCTCTGATATGATTGTACATGATTATCTCCAGAACTTCCGCCAGTCCAGGAATTGCTTTGATAATAATTGTTGCTGGTAGCATATCCCGGTGCAGTCTGATGAGCACCAGCATTATAATATGTGTTACTTGTAGGACCAACATAAGATCCTGAATTCTGAAATGAAGTAAGAGGCTGATAAGCAGCACCTGAACTTTGATCTACTCCTTGTTGAACAGAAGATTCATTTGTACTTTGTGGACAGTTATAGTAATAGTTTGGATACTGTGGAGCATTGTAACCGGGTTGAACAGAATTCGAGTAAGGAGCATAAGAATCAGTTGCACCAGTAATGCCCATAGCTGATTGGACCACATGAGTTGCACCACTTGTCACATTTTCAGTAGATCCTGGAACTGACACATCCCTTTGTGGGTCATAATAAACTGTGTTTTGGTTAGAGTTATTCATTGAATAGTTCCAGGGAGCACCAGTCGAAGAAGACCACAAATGATGATCAGAAGCTGAAGGTTGATATGGAGATGGACTTGGCTGCTCCATGCCTGTGCCCTATTATTTGTTTAGAACAAACAAAATTTCAGGTTGGAACAATGTATGATGTGAAAAAAAAAACTTACAACACAATATGACGCTTCTCTGGCAAAACAGGGAAAATCATGGAAAGAAATATCGATCCCCATGTAGCAAAGTGTAGAAACAGGCAGAAAAACATTAGGAGTACACTATTGTGCCACGTGACCCACAGAAAAAAAAACAGCATGAGATGCAAAAAGAATGCCAAGGTAATATTCACACAGTAATGACTTGTTTTATAAGACAGTCTTTATACAAAAAAAACCTTTATGTACAATTCCCCTTACTTGTTTTGTACAAAACCACCTTTATCTATACAAGGCAGAATTCCCCTTTCATGCTTTATCTCACAATATAGTACATAATGACATGTCAGATGTGGCAGAGAAAATCTAAAAGGATGACGTGGCAAACAAATGACAGCAGAAACTGTCTAATAAATGCAATATTAGAATATACACAAACTACAGCATCAACTGGCTTTAACCTGCCGTTCAAGCAAAGATGCACAACAAATTTAACACAAACCTACATAAGTACAGTTACATTTATGCCCATCTTTATAAATTTATGTCTTACAGAATAAGCAGATGGCATCACAGGTCCTCACACTTAGGGCATTACTTCACAAAACAGACTCCTAAAAAGCAGGTCCTCACGTGCTAAATGGTTTCACCAGTAGATCTTTGATCCTAGCTTTCCGAAACCTGTTTACTGCTATATCCGAAACATTAGGCATGCCGGTTTCAAAAAGGGAAAGAAAACGCCTTGTAAATAGGTGGGCACGCTCTAATTAATAACATTTAAAACTTTATTCGTGGCAGCTCCATATCAGCCATATCCACTGAACATTAAAGAGTACAGAATGAAGCATACAATTTATGTAGAGTGCAGACAAACAACGTTATCAATTTCAGAATGAAACAAGCTATTCAGTTACATCCAAAACGCTGGCAACGGACAACATTATAAGCGCCTCATGTATTAACCTCCGGGGGACTAAACGGCTAAACCACAGCAAATTGACCAACAACCATGACGGCTTGTCAACTAGGTACGTAGATAGGAAGAGTGCGCAGCCATTATGCTATAAGCAAAGCAACAGTAGTACTCCCTCCATTCTTTTCTGTTTGACGTTGGAACTAACCAACGTCAAACATTTGGGGAAGGAGGTAGTAGTAAACAACAACATTGTAATATATGGCATCAACCTACTTCGACTATTTCAGTCCTTGGTTTTCCTAAATTCGTGAACAAGTAAATTAGCAAAAAAAAAACATCCCTAAACATCTTCCACCGGCTACAACTAGATATCCAACCGTTGCACTAAACCTAAGTTTCTCAAGGCAACACGCCCAAGCAGAAAACACTGAAGTAATCAACTAGATTATGGATACCACCCACTGCATCCTAACCCAAAGCAGAGGCGAATCACACCGCGCAAGTGCAGGAAATAATCACAACTCCAAAAGGATGCGGCGGCAGAGGCCTCACAACTCACAAGCTAGGGACTGACGCCGAATCAGGAGCAGAGGAAGCATACCGCAGTGGGCTTGGCGTCGGATCCGGCAGCCGCCTCCCCGCCCTGGGCCGCCATATCCCGGCGCCCTACGGCTCCAGAGCTCGAGCTGAAACCCTAGCGGCCTCACAACAGGTGAGAGCCACCCCCCGAGTCCGCGGCTAGCACGGGCAAGCGGAGCCGGATCGAGCGGGAGGGAGCACGCGCGCAATCCCGGGAAAGAAAAGCTGGAGAAATCGGAGGCGCGGGTTGACACGGCGAAGATTTCGTTGGAGAAGAGGGGGACTATGGCGAGCCGGATGTGCGAGTGCGGCGGTTTGAGTTTTTTTTTCTTTTTCTTTTTTTTTTCCACCTCCGTCGGGCCGGGGACGAGAGAGGAGGGGTCGGCGGGTGCGGCGGAGGGGGACGAGTAGAGAAGAGAGACGTGTGTGTGGGCTTATAACCTTGTGGCTTGGTTTGTAAACGGGCCTGACTAGCCCAAAAACTGGTTATGCAGGCCCAACGTTAGGCCATTCACGATGCGGTGAGGTGGCGTGTGGTAATCTCTGTCCATGTCGGTCCAATGCGTGCATGGAGGAGAGAAGGAGATGGGGCCCACGTTTTCACCAGGTTCGCATGGCTAGTTTTGGCTCCGAGAACCTCAGCAAATTTTGTGAGAGAAACACAGTGAGTGAGTGAAAAAGCTCGCCGGAGAGGAAGAGTAGGGGCGCCGAATCCGAGCCAGATCCGTGCCGAGTTCGCCATCCCATCCGGCGGCGACGAGAGGAGCTCGCCCGCAGAGGTGGTGAAGCGACGGCGCCCTCGCCGGCCGACGTCGAGCTCCCCCGCCGCCGAGCTCCCCCGCCGCCGATTCCTCCGCCGCCCGCTTCCGCGTGCCGACCTCGCCGTTGTTTCATGGGAGGTGGGAGGAGGGAGAGGAGGGTGGTGCGCCGGCGAGCGCCAAGCCCCGCCGCCTCTCCCGTCGGTAGCGGAGGAGCTCGGCCCGGCTTGGGGCTATGGGGTGGGGAAAAAGGAGTGAAGAAAGGAGGGGATAAAGAAAAAGTTAGTAAAGTGATAAAGTTGGTACCTGTGAGACCACGTGCACTGTGAATGGGTTGCCACGTTCATAATGCAATGAGTTGGCATTCAGCCTGAGCAATCCACGTCGGCAAAGCGGGGAGAATCTACGCCACGTCCGTGTTTGGGCCCACAAACCTGAGGTCCTCGCGTCCAAAGAAGGTCACAAGTTCTCCGGTGATATCGAGGTCGCATGGGGCAGGGAGAGAGCGCCGCAACCGCGCTTGGAGCGAGTGGCTTCTCCATCGTTGCTCCGCGCGCGCGCTCGCCTCCGATCTCCTCGTCCCGCTCCATGTCCGGCGCCGGCCGCCTCGCTCCAAGTCCGGCGATGGCGCCACACTCCACGTCCGGCGCCGCCGCCTGCTCCACGTCCGACGCCGGCCACCCCGCTCCAAGTCCGGCGTCGGCGCTCCACTCCACGTCCGGCGCCCGCCTCCCCGTGCCTGGGCAGCGCCGGGAGAGAAGAGACGTCGGCCGGGGAGGAGAAGAGTGCTGGTCGGGGGAGGAGTGGCGCCGGCCGGGTCGCCCGGCCGCCCGGCACCGTCGCCGCTCGGGCCACCCCGCCCGCCGCCTTCGACGCCGCCCGGGGCGAGAGGAGAGAGATCCGCCGCTTGGGGCCGCCGCTGTCGTCCACAGCGCCGCTCGAGGCCGCCGCCGTCGTCCGTCGCGCCGCTCGACGCCGCCGGTCGACACCGCCGCCGCTCCGCTAGCTCGGCACTGCCGCCGCAGCTCCGCTCGCGCGGTGGGAAAGTAAAGAGAGAGAGAGATGAAATGGTAGAGGAGCAGCGCCTGCTTCTCTCGTGACGCAAAGTACCGGTGGGGAAACTAGAGAGAGAGATGAAAAGGTAAAAAAGTTGGCAAATTTGCTGTAGCACATCTTAAAAAACGTGTAATTAGTTGGAGCACACCGTAAAAATGTGTATTTGCGGCAAGGCATCGAAAAAAAATGGTAATTGTCTGCTGGACATCCGCAGCATTATTTTATTATTTTTGGAGGAAAACTAGGGAAACAATGATTAAAGACAAGTTTGCCCTTGGCTCAAATGACTCCCACGTGGGCCCCACATGAAAGTCCCCACTCCCTCTCCTTCTTCCCAGACAAGCCGGGTGGCGGAGCGGCAATCCGCGGCCACGGCGACGGTGCCGGCCACGTTCGCCGACGGGAGGGGGGTTTACATGCAGCCACGCGCGCCGGCGCTCATCTGCATGCTCGGCTTGGCGATGAGTGGCGCCGTCGCGCTCGTGGCGGAGCGCCGCGACATGAGTGGGACCACTCAGCCAGGACGTCGGTTGTGTCGGAGTAGGCGCTCAAGAGTGGCGGCTGCCCGGCGCTCGTCTCCCTCCCGGCGTCGTCGTTCTTCGCTGACAACCTCGTCGGAGGCTTTCTACTCACGACGCTCGCCGACACTCATCTGGGACGAAGGAAGATGCTCGTCCTGTCACTGGCGACCATGCCCGTGTCCGTCCTCTCGTGGCTCCTCATGGGCAGGTTCAACCGGCGCAGCTCGGTGGTCGAGCTCACCGCGGCGTCCGGGCTATGCAGCCTCGCGTGTGTCGTCATCCCGGCGGACCCGGAGGCCAGCACCGGTGGCTTGCGCCTCGCCGCCGAGCTATCCTCCTTCGCGTCATGTGAGACCACGCGCTCATCTGGGGCAAGGGTGGTGACCACGCCGACAACGGCAAGCCACCAGCTTCCGCCACGCCGTAGCGCCACGCCATCGTGGCCTTGGCCGCGCCGCCGCACACAGCTGGCCGCCGGCGCCTGCGCTGCTGCGCCCGGCCGTCGCCTCGCACCGCCCCACGTCAGCTGTCTCCTGCTCAGGCGTGCACTCGCGTGGTGAGAAAGGGGATCGAGAGAGAAGCAAGAAGAAAGAATAGAGAGAAGAGAGAGAATGAGAAAGAAAAGAATAAAGAAAAAGAAACAAATTCAAAGGGTATAACCGTATTTACACAGCTGTTTCTCTCTCCTTTTCCTCCAAAAATAATAAAATAGTGCTGCGGGTGTCCAACAGCCAATTACCAGTTTTTTGCGATGCACTATAGCAAATACACGTTTTTACAGTATCCTCTAGCTAATTACAAATTTTTTTTGATGTCCTATAGCAAATTTTACCAAAAAAGGTAATACTAGTGGGACCCACCACGAGTGGCCTGCACTATGAGACATGTAGCTTATATTGTTCCTCGCCTATGTGGCTAGTGAGGTCCGGCATTTTTCGGTGGCGCACTGCTAATGCCTTGAAGGTAGTTGCTTACGAAGTTTTTAGTCTATGTAGCAGTTTTGACTCCTCAAAATTTGGTGATGCATTGTGAGTGACCTTAGGGGATGCAAATGCAGAACTCGCATGAATATTTTTTCTGCACTTCTTCCATTTAGGTTCTGTTTAGTTCACATCAAACTTTCAACTTTACATCACATCACATCCAAAACTTTCCTACACACATAAAACTCCTAACTTTTTTTTCCAAACTACCAATTTTCACCAAACTTCTCTCCAATTTCAGGAACTAAACACAGCCTTAGCTATGAAATGAGTACTAGGATTAGTATCAGATAAATTACTATGGATGGAATATCTTGGTGACATTGTTGAATGCCCATGCATTTTATTTATATGTTATTTACCACCTCTGTTTTTTCTACTTATCATTCCAATACATATATGTTTCATGGCTATTTTTTGGGACTATATATTTATAAAAATTAGGAGAAGTATAATCATATGAAAGTGCTTTTCTAGACAAATCTTATTTACCAATTACCAATAACATTTTCTCATGTCAAATCCTAATATGGTATGTATCAATAAACCATTTGAAGTTTCAAGGTTTAACTGCATGCATTCTATATTTGGAATAGTATTGATATAGCCGCAAATTTAAGTGTTTGACAGTTGTTTTCTTTATATAATATCAAATCAGAACTACAAAAAATATTTAACCCTTCTCTAAAAGTATTTTGGGTGACAGATCTCTTCCTAATCACGTATTCATGCAATAGAAACAACGATTTCGATCCAGAAACGCGTGCGATGCAACAATAGCTCGATACTGCTGGAGTACATAGCTAAGCATTGCGTATACGAAGTCCAACTCCCAACAAAATTTGCAGTCCCAACTCCCAACCAAATCGGCAAATTGCTCAGTTGGCAACAATTCAGCAGAAGAGCACGCCGTCATGCCAATCATTGAACGAAAGGGAGCAGTGAGCACCTCTACCATAGAAAAGGGTGGAGTAGTGGAGATTGGAGAATTAAGAAGTGCAAAGCTAAGATAGGGATCAACCATATGAAAACAATCTGACCTTGAGGTTGACATTCCACCTAAATGCTGCAGGATTCTTAAGGATTCGCCAAAAACAAACAGCAATAAACAGTTGGAGCGAATAGAAATTCCTAATGTGAGATTTGCACAAGACAAAACTAGCAGTTTTATACTAGCTCATATGAACAACAATAACTAGAAGCATGAGGTTTGCAGCGAATGACCCAACTTTGTTAATAGCTAAAACACCATACGGATTTACACAGCACAAGTTCAGAACACGAAAGCAAACTTGCCCCAGGCACAAGAACGATGCCAACACAAACTACTGCTACTACTACTAACTGAGACCCAGATCAATTGGAGATATCCTCCCGGATTTCTTGACCGCGAGCCAAGACTTGTCCCCACGGCCAGGCGGATGCAGCGGCGGACCTCAGCCGCCGAAGCCGTAGAGGGTGCGGCCCTGGCGCTTGAGCGCGTAGACGACGTCCATGGCGGTGACGGTCTTGCGGCGGGCGTGCTCCGTGTAGGTGACGGCGTCGCGGATGACGTTCTCGAGGAAGATCTTGAGCACGCCGCGGGTCTCCTCGTAGATCAGCCCGGAGATGCGCTTCACGCCGCCCCTCCTCGCCAGCCTCCGGATCGCCGGCTTGGTGATGCCCTGGATGTTGTCGCGGAGCACCTTGCGATGCCTCTTCGCGCCGCCCTTGCCGAGCCCCTTGCCGCCCTTGCCGCGCCCCGACATGGCCGCCGCGCTCGCTCGCTGGAGGAGAAAGAGATGGGGGATTGGGGATTTTGGGGAAGGATTCGGTGGTTGTGAGCAGTGAGTGCGGTAGGCGAAAGGGCCAAAGGATATTTAAAGGGCAGGGCGGGGCGATGTGGAGTGGGTTTGGGCCGTTGGATGAGGGAGAAAATGGACGGGTGGGATCGGGGTGCGAGGGAGTTGCCACGGATTGGTGACGTGGACAAAAGCGCGGATCGATGAGATGGCGGGCGGGATCTGAAATTTCGTATTTTCGGCGCCCAAATCGAATGGGTTTGGGAAAAGATTAGCGGGACGGTGCCGTCTGCCGTGGTGGCTCTCTGACTGGTGGGGGCTTTGAATTATTGCGATGGTTTTAGCGGGACTGTGTTTTGTGTACTCCATATGTACTCCCTCCGTAAAAAAAAAAATCATGGGTTTCCGTGCCAACATTTGACTGTCCGTCTTATATAAAATTTTTTTATAATTAATATTTTCATTATTGTTAGATGATAAAACATGATTAATACTTTATGCGTGACTTATCTTTTTAATTTTTTTCATAGTTTTTTCAAATAATACGGACGGTCAAACGTTGGACACGGAAACCAGGGTTTGTCTTTTTTTTTAGACGGAGGGAGTATGCCAGTAAAATTTTCAGATGAAATGACATGAACATTCCTTCAATGATTGTACTGCTTTTTATGTTCTTTTTTCTAAGCTCAAATGAATACTAAATTTGAGCTAAATAGCACCGATAGTGCATTTATCAAAAGTTCAAAAAAAACGAAATATAAATGTTGGCAAAGCTGAAAAATGAACGTTTTGATAGTGCCTTTCTTTTCTACTAGTAGATTTTAGAGTTGTTTCTTTGACATTTACAAGAGTCAAAATCTGTATGTCCCGTTTGGAACAATTGAATCTATAGTGTTTTTGCAACAACTGAATTGATTTATGTATACATTGTATAAAATAATCCAATCCAAATGAATCTATATGCTTACACTCTTTCTCGAAGTGTACTCTATATTTGAACTCCGGTATTTCACACCATATACTCCAGGTGAATATATAAAACACAATAAACTAATATAAAAATGAACATTTTGATTTACAGCGGGAAGGAAAGATAGCGAGATGAATATAGAAAACACAAGATAAGATACCACAACAGAACAACAATTGACAGAGCGACCATACTCCCCTTCGAGGGACTTCAAGGAACCTGTATCTCAATTGACCCAATCCTCACCAAGCTATCAACCATGAAGAAGTTTTAGTTTCTAAGCTACCACCGAGACAAAACTTCGTTTCCAAGCGACCACCAAGATTCAAGCTTGGACGACGAGCTACTGCATCCAATGATGCTTGATTTACCAAGAGCACCATGATTAGTATCCACTCAAATACTTCTTTCGTTCCAGAGGTGATGATAAACCTTCACAAAACCTTCTAGGGCTATCATAACAATCGGGTACTCGCAGGTGACGCCTAGCTGGCTAGGAGGAGAACCTAAAAGAGTAAGAATCACAATGTCGAAGGTAGGTCATTGATTCATAGGTGTTCAATTCAATACTAGTTCACTATATTTTTAGATCCAATCCCCTGTCTCTCACACAATAAAATTGGCTCAACAACCTAGAAGAAGAAGGGGTGGAAACCCTAGGAGATTAGGTCTAAAGGATCTGACATCCACTTATTCAGAGCGTGTGAGGAAGGGGGGTGGGGAGCATGGAGGATAGTGAAATGCTCACACCCATCCAAAATTAGCCGTTACACACAAATTTAAACATCTGAGTCTCTAGTTTGTTGGATTACTTGGATTGCTCCAAGAAAGGAAGACTAGAGTCCCTGGTTGGCTCACTCTGTCAGCTAGAGAAAAAAGGTGCCAGAGTCTCCTCTATGGTTTTTTGTTGCACACAACTAATAAGTTTACATGAGTATCCGGTTTACACCTATCAGAGTCTCCGGTGATCACTTTGCTCCAAACCTCAGTCTCCAGTGATCATCACTTTGCTCCAAGCCTCGTTTTCCCTTGTGAGTATGGTCATATGGTGCCAAGTGACTCTCTCTCTCTCTCTCTCTCTCTCTCTCACACACACTCACTCAAAAGAAAAAATATAAAGCAAAAATATCTTCAAGCACTTTTGTCGCTTGCTTTTGTTTATGGAGGGGTATCCTTGCACCAGTAATACAACTCGGGGCTAATATCTCCATTTTTCCTCAATAAACATGTTAGTACCAAAATTCACTAGGAGTTTAGGTGCACTTTCAAGTTATATTAGCATGATCGAATTATATGATACAATAAAAGGTTTGTAAATACGAAAATAAATTATTCTCGGAGTATTTATAGATGCCATTATCTTTTTCTAAACTATACTATAACTATTTAAAATTTAGTTGGACAATGGTAACACGATTTTACAGTTAAGCAATACTAGTGTGGTGATGAAATCATCGGGATTAAATTATGGTGTCCATGAATATAATTGTGAGCATACTAGTTTTTTTTATAGTTGTGTGCATACTTAGTTTTTATTAACAGTATGCACACTTATAATGTGTTCTTTGGTTGGGGTTTGGAACTAAACCCCTCATGCAAAAAAAAAAACAAAGCGATAAATTGACGTATGATCAATTAAATATCATTATCTAAACACACTTAAAAAAATAATGTGCTTTTAAAGCAACTTTTTTATATTTCTTTTTTTCCAAAAACATGTAATCTGTCAGTTTAGGAAGCGTGTATGCAGGAAACTGAGTGAGTGGATGTTGGGACTTGGGAACCTCACTAGACAACTCGGCCTTAGAGCAAGCAGTAAAGTACTATAAGCTGACTGGGTAGGCTCCAATATATGTCACATCATTTAATTCATATGTGGAAGAGAGAGAACTAAGTGGGCGCTTATTTTACCGCCCGAGTCCAGTGTAGTTTTTCACGTGCTACTTGATAGCAGATTGCTTTTGGTGATAATATAACACGTTTTGTGGGGCCAACCCAATATCATCCAATCTCGTGAGGGATCGTGCTAGTAAAGTAAGATTGAAAAAATAAGAGTAAATTACACCCACGATACAAGAAATTGGTAGGTGCGTGCGATTTAGTGCAAGAACTTAAAAAATGAGTAGACTGGTACATAAACTTGATAATCATGTGCATTTTAGTCAAAAACATTTACACATATCTTTTATTAATCCTAGTATTATAAGCTTAACAGCTACTCCCTCCATTTTACGTTATAAGACGTTTTGACTTACTTCAAATTTAACTAACTTTATACATAAATATAGTAATATTTATAATACCAAATTAGTTTCATTAAATCAATAATTGAATATATTTTCATAATAATTTTGTGTTTAGTTGAAAATATTATTATCTTTTTCTACAAATTTGGTCAACTTGAATCAGTTTGACTTCAACCAAAGTCAAAACGTCTTATAACCTGAAACATAGGGAGTAGATCATTGGCTCATGGATTCAATTTTGTGTCTTTGCCATGTTCATAACCTGAGGTAATGGATATGTCGATTAATCGAATCGTTTAGAAATTATGTTATCTGCATACACTTACTTTTGATAATCATATATCTTTCAGTTTCAAAATGACTGATTATTTTATTATTATAACTAACAAATTAAAAAACAATGTAGATCCTTATCGAGATGACATGAGTGGCTGCTTTGTTTATATGGCATAAAAGTATTGTGTGGAATATTGATCTTTCAACCAAAATACACACGGTAGCCAAGTTTTTTTTTTTACTGAACGCACTAGCCAAGTTGTGCACCTATATGCTTATTTTTCACGTTTTTTACTAGATCGCACCCACCTATCAAGTTCATGTACTGTAGACGTATAAATTACTTTAAAAAAAAAAGAAAACCAGCACCGGAAGTTGTGTATGATTAGTGTGCAACATATTGCTGTAGGCTGACATGGTCCGTTTTACCGTCGGCACTTAACTGTATTACTGATCTTGCTCTTAGGTTGCGGCGAGATCAAAAGTTATACTTCCATTTTGTAAAGAAAGGATAATTGCCAAAAAAAAAGAAAAGGAAGATAATATCGGATGGTCACCTGGGCCGACGTATGTTCATCGGAGAGTCCGTCAGCCTTGTCAAAGGCCCGGCCCCACGCAGTTCCGAACTTCACTGATGGGTTGAACTTGAACCCTCAAGCCCACTAGTTTCGGCCGTGACTTTTCCTCTCAAAAAAGAGAAATTAAAAAAAAAAAGTTGTGCCGTGACTGCAGTCCACCGGCGTCCCCGCGCCTCGCGGGCGGCCGGCCGCAGCGCAGGGCGGTTCGGCCGCGCGCCGCGGGCAGCCACCCGCCGCAGCGCGACCGCTCGCGGACGGATCCCCTCCCCTCCCCTAATCTCGCCATGCCTTTCCCCACCACCACCGCCCCCCCGGGGCCTTCCCGGCCCCGCCCTCACCCTAGCCAGCGCCACGCCGCCAGTAGCGGTAGCATTAGCCGTAGAGGAAGGCTAGGACGCATAGGAAGAACAGGAGGAGGAGGAGGAGGAGGAGGAGGAGAGGTGGGGGGTAGGAGGACGGAGGAGGAGGAGGCAGGCTGCCCGCGATGCTGCGGCGCGCGGCGAGCAACGCCTACTCGTGGTGGTGGGCGAGCCACATCCGCACCACCCAGTCCAAATGGCTCGACAACAACGTCCAAGGTATCGCCATTGCTCTCCGAAGTCCGAACAACGCACGAGCACAGCAGAATTCGTAGCTACATTTTTCTATTGCCGTTCCAATCTATTGTGGATACGACGGATGAGGTGATAGCGGTGTCCTGTTGGTATTTACTACTACTTAGCATAATCTTCTTTAACATGAAATGATTCTGAAGGAATTATTGTAGATTTCTAGTAAGAGCGTTTGTTTTTGGGTTCTCATCAATGTTTCAAGAGGTTTGTATGGTTATCTCTGCAGAGATGGAGATAAGGGTGAAGGCCATGATCAAACTCATAGATATAGAGGCTGATACATTTGCAAGGAAGGCAGACCTATACTTCAAGAGCAGGCCCGATCTTATAAACCATGTAGAGGAGACATATAGATCTTACCAGGCGCTTGCTGATAGATATGACCGGGTATCAGGGGAGCTTCACAAGTCCAACCACACCATAGCAACTGCATTTCCGGAGCAAGTCCAGCTCTCTCTGCAAGATGACAATGGTGATGGTTTCCCAAAAGGTATCACAGGGATTAATATCAACAGAGGAACCAGCGCAGCTCCAAAGAGGACGCAAACACATAAAAAGATCAGCTCTAAGATGAGTAAAGACAAGGCACAAGAAGAGATTGAGAGGCTACAGAAGAAAATCCTTGTCTTGCAGACTGAAAAGGAATTCTTCAAGAGCTCATATGAATCTTCGCTGAACAAGTATTTGAGCATTGAAAGACAGGCGGCAGAGATGCAAGAGGAGGTATGGAGCTTGCAGGAGACTTTTAGCACCAGCGCAGTTATTGAAGACAATGAAGCTCGAGCTTTAATGGCTGCACAAGCCCTTATTTCTTGCGAGGATAAATTGGCTAGCTTGCATTGTGAGCAAAAGAGATCATATGAAGAGACAACCATGGAGATTCAAAGAGTCATAGATGCAAAGAAGAAGATAACGATTTTCAAGAGCGAGTGTGGGTATCCTGATGATCAGAAGGACCTACCTAATCACCAAGACATAGAGTTCAGCTCTATACCTTCATCTATAGAGGATAGTGATCTAATTATGAAAGACTGCAAGCTCGAGCTGCAGGAATTATCACAAAAGGTCAAACAAAAGTTTGAGTCGTCCTCAGAGGCGTCCGCGGTGCATCTAGCCGGACAGGTTGATGAAATTGTGGATAAGGTCATCAGCCTAGAAATTGCAGCTTCTTCACAAAATGCTCAAATCAATAGAATGAAAAATGAGGCAGACGAACTACAGAAGCGCCTGGATAGCTTAGAGGACGAGAAGGCAGCTTTGATTGAGGATTCTAGCAAGTTGTCTGAAAGATTGAAGCAAGTTGAGGAGGTTCTGCAGACAATTCAGCGGATTGGAAAGTCTGTGCACAGTGAGAATGGAAATATTCACCAGCAACTAACTGAAGTAGATGACAGTCTTAATGATTTTGTAAAGAAGTTGGATGCACATTCCACTGATGAAATAGTAAATTCATCACAAGATGATTCCGGAATTGCATGCAAATCAAAAGATGAAGGATTATTGGATGCATTAGATGACTCTAGCAAGGCACATAAGGAAGAGCCAGATGAAACTTTAGGGTGGCAACAACTAGATTTGAATGGGCTAGAGGATAAGGATAAAATTCTCTTAAAAGATTATGCATCCATCCTTCGTAACTACAAAGATACGCAGAAACAGCTTTTAGAAATTGAGAAGAGAAATCGAGAATATCATCTCGAGGCAATGTCAGAGATGAATGAGTTAAAGAGTTCCAGTGCAACAAAAGATGATGAGATTCGCTCTCTCAGACGAATGTTGAGCTCTTTACAAACCAAGCTCAACAATTCTCTACCTCAGCGTTTTGTGGAGTCTGAAGAATCATCTGAAGCAAATGCCTCTCCTAGTCTTGAAAACAAAAATATTGCTGAGACAGAAGAATACATGAAGATACGTGAACATGAAGAACCACATGACCCATCATTGGAAGATAAATTCAGAGCAGAAATTAGCAGAATACTGGAGGAAAACCTGGACTTCTGGTTGAGATTCAGTACATCATATCATTATATGCAGAAGTTCCAGAAATCATTTGATAAAGCAAAAGCTGAGATGGATAAACTTACAGATGCCAAAGCGCAGGAAGGCTCAGATGCTGTGCCTTCTTGTCAGTCAGCTAGAAAACAAGAGTCAGCTGTGCTTGAAAAGAAGTTGCGTGGCTTGAGCACTGATCTGCAGGTATGGTTGGAAAAGAATGTGCTGCTACAAGGGGAACTAGAGAGTAGATTCTCATTGCTGTGCAGCATAGAAGAGGAGATATCAAAGATCACAGCATTGGGCCAAACTGATGAAGCTCATTTCACTCCTTTCCAGGCTGCAAAGTTCCAAGGAGAGGTGAGCAGTATGAAGCAAGAGAACAGCAAGGTTACCAAAGAGCTACAAACTGGGATGGACCATGTGAGGAGCCTCCAAGTGGAGGTTGGGAGGGCTCTTTTGAAGCTGAGAGAGAATATTGAACTGTCTATAGGAAGAAGAAACCGAACACAACATAGCTTCAGATCTCTGTCAATGAAAGCTGGAGTACCTCTTCGAACTTTCCTATTTGGTAGTAAGCCAAAGAAAGCATCGCTCTTTTCGTGCATGGGTCCTGTGATGCCAAAGCCAGTTGCTGACATGAGGGCAGGGCCTTTTGGATGAGACTGGTTAGATCATTAGCTATGTTTTTTTTTCCTTTTTCTTAATGTTCTACACGAATGATCATACATGTTAATTTAAATCATATGTTGAGTCTTTTATAGGTTTTGAGAATGTAAAAAGGATCGTGTAATCTCTTAGCATTTTTTTGGAAAGGAAATCTTGTTGTTCCCTGACTTGATTTTGTCTTTTCATTGATGTTGACTTGTGAATTGATTTGTAATATGTATATCCTCATTCCAAGGTACTGAAAAAAAATATAATAATGAATAAGCGTATGGTGTTACAAAATCATTTGGTGCCTAAATTTGATTTATGGGGACTTTGCGCTGAACTTCCTGGTGCTGAAGTTCCATTTGACAAACCAAGAGTTATCTTGTATCATTGATTCGCTGTTTGCCTAACCACTAGAAAAGGTAGTGGTTCTACTGTTTTCCTAGTTGAATTATTATCTAGGAAAAGATGTAGACTCCTTAGTGCATTATACTGACTTTCTGATCAACTATTTCTATCACTGAAGTCTTTTCAGTTTTTCAGGTTCCATTAGTTCATTACCTACCATTTTGGATGAAATAGCCAAATTGGCACCTTCAGGCTTCAGTACTGTCATATATACAAACTATGTTGGCAGGCAAGAGTATATTCAATGTGGTGTTAGCAAAACTTCAAGTTAATCTTTCAGAACAACACTGAAAGATATTAGGATGCATCTACACAAGATATTTTGTATTTTCTGATCATGACATTTCATCGTTATGTAATTTCCTTTTCAGGCAGTGCGATCTTGGAGAAGCCTCATGTTATCAACAAGTCTTACTTTCAAATGAAAAACAAGTGACAATGACTTTCTGCATGCAGTCATGGAGGGCATCTGTAAAGTGGCATCGTTATAGATAAGCATGTGAAGACTTCATCATGTTTGGTTGATGCCCCTCTAAGTCAAACTGCATCTCTTTGGTCTTTTCTGTTGACATCAGTTAAAGAAGCTCATGTCTGCTCCTCGTTAGCGCATGCCTGAGCTAACAGAGGCTATGGATAAATTTTAAATCCTGGTGGGTGGTCATGCACTACACCACCCTAACAAGATATGGTTTATCGGTAAGTGTCAAGCTTTCTGAACAAATACGTTTGGCAGAGGCTTAAACACCATCAGGATTGTCATTATGCATTTCTTCTTCTGTTTGTAACATTGGGAGATCAATCTTTAGGCTGTCAATCTTTCTAATAGACCTGGTCAAAATTCTCCAAAAAGTTAACTCCTTTGAATTTTTCAGGAAGAGAAAAATGTCTTGTTAAATCATTAAAGAAAAACAAAAAGAAACTATTTATTCATCTAGTTCATGTCATCTGATGAAAATGGCTAACGTTTCTCCTTGATATGTTGTTAGATATTGCGAGCTAAAGAAATATGAAATGGACTGACTGGACATGCTAAGATGCCAGATTTGAATCTCATAAAGCTCATCCAAATGTTGTAGGTCTGAATCTACTTCCGATAAAACTTCGAGGTGAAATACATTGCTTTAAATCATTTTATCGTATGACTATTGAGTGGTCCTTAGCTCCTTATTGAAATGCTCCATAGTTGTTTTATCGTTCTATAATTGCATAGTACTTTAAGTACACGACTGCAACAGTACTACAAAATTGTTGCTCGATGAGCTAGTTTAGAAGTTGTATATATTGTTTATTTTAAACATAGTTCTGCAAGAACAGAGGCCTGAAATGAGTGTGCAAGATGATGGGCGTCCCAGAAACTCCAAGCCTAACAGGTCAACTTCTGAAGCTGCTTTCAAGTCCTGCCTATGTCTATCCAGTTGTTCAGTTTAGGAACCTTGTAGTATAGGACAATCACTCTGCATTTTTAGGTTATAGTCAACGTTGGTTACAGAACCTTATGAATTATGACTGTATTCTTAGATTTTTTACAGGAAAAATGGAAACAGAATTAAGGCATTATCTGCAACAGACTATGATTGTGTAGCTAAATGTAGTCTGCAACTATGCATGAATAAACTAAGTTGAATGTTCCAGGCCAAAATGATAGAAATTTGTAAACTTAAGGAAATATCTAAATGACTACCATGATCAACTGACAAATTTTTAGATTTAATTGTACAAGTTATTTGTTAAAGCATGGCTTTAAGACATAATTTTTAACATGTAGACAGTTCAAGTAGCAGTATACATTGAAAGATGGAAGCATTTGGAGTATAGCGTGAGGTTAGAAGGATCAATAATTAAGTTAAATCAATAAAAGAATACTAGTCCATGCAAGTACACTAACTGACTTACATCTCCTTTTGACAACTTAAAAAGAAAGATCACCTGTTCTAGTCACACCGTGCTTGTTGCAATTCCATGCACGCGTTTGTTTCATGAGTAAACAGTCTTAGCTAACCCATCATCTTAACCACCCTGTTCAGTACTTTTCTTCTGCCTTAAGAGGCGAGTGATGGGATTTCCTCTTCTTTTTTTTCCCTAGTCCTCTCATATAATGCAAATCGTGCAACAATGAACCCTATAAGATCTTTGAAAATGGCATATATACAACTATACAAGTATCTCTGTATCAAACTGTATTGGAATATTGGAGGGAAAGCATCTAGTTTTCTTTTAAAAAAGCATCTCTAGTTTATCTAATAGCAGCACTACATACATCTCATTCTCATGGGCTACGTACATGGACGTTGGTACAGCACAAAAGATAAGGAACACTAGGTGGAGCACTGGAGCTCTAGCCGATTCGATGTTAAAGTTTGGCATGTTGAGACAGGTGATCAGAGTCTGCTTCTGGCAAGCAGCATATCTTTGTCTAACTACAGTATGAATTCTATACTTTTCATTTCCCTCTCTAGATCTCTCACTCTCAGAGAGAGAATGGTCCAGTTTCAGTTAGTGTTGATTACTATTCTGTTTTTCTCAGTAAGTGGATTTAATTGGCAATATGTGACGTGAAGTCAAAGGTCAAAACATGGGGGTTCTAAAAGATTGGTGCTGTGTTTGACAGGTGCTGTCAAAGTTTGTCAACAAGTGTATTTGGGTAAGGCCTTATTTCTGTTTCTGTTTGTCGATTTGCTTAGAAGTTTTCAATTACCTAATTTCTCTCATTTTATGGTGTGCTTGCTTAAAATTGGAAACACGCATACGGCATACCCAGTGAATCATCTTGTTTATGTTTCCTGCCGTGAAAACAAAATTGCTCTGAACGTACTTGCCGACGTTCCATACACGCAAAAATATCTTTCAGTAAGCTGTACCTCCGTACCCTATTGATCTGATTTTATACAGAAAGGTCCCTGGCATCAACTTCGTTGTGTTTGTTAATCAATGTGTAATTAGTTGGAGCATATTCCCTAGCTGTGACACCTATACTCATTCCTCTAAATTGTTAACTTCAGCATGACTTTTATGAAAGGGGGCTAATGAGAATATTTCGCGGGCTTTTGTTTTCAAGGCAAAAGCATCTAGTTTCCAATAGCACCTTTCATTCATTCATTCATAAATAAAAGGGGTAAAACAACCTTTTTAAGGACTATTGCCTATGCCATACAATTCAGCAGTACAAATATTCCAGTAGATGCTCCAGTCTAGGCAATCTTCTAATGGCCAAACGGGTAATGATATGTGGATCTGTTGAGTGTAAAGAACTACTGTAAAGGGACAAGAGCATAAAATCTTGGCCGTCGGATTTTACATCAGCGGCTGATATCACCTAACCGTTGTAGTAGTAGTAGCAAGTAAATTTATCAACAGCATCAGGAAATCTGACTTTGTACAAGGAAGAAAAGTCAGATGCCCTGTACACGCATACTTTCAACCCTCCTACAGTCCTACCAGTTGCTCTACTTATAGCTTAGGTACAATAACTTACTATAAATCAGCTATAAATACATATCGGTAGTTGTTCTACTTATAGTGTAGGTATAATAACCGACTATAAATCAGCTATAAAGCTATAAATACATATCGATAAGATAAATAAAAAAAGAGAAAAGTAGTGGGCTACATATTTGTAGCTAGCCACAACACAGACTACAAGTATGACAGATGGGACAAAATATTACTTCTATATTATATATTTATATGTAATTATTATATGAATTGGCTATTAAATTAACTATAGATAATTTAAAGATAATAGTGCTATAATATTAAACTTGTTCTTACCTTGTAATATAGGAGTAGTGGAGATGTGACCACTCTCGGTCTTGCAGTGCATAATGTTTTTTGTTTTTTTTTCTTTTAGCAAGACACACCATCTAAATTCGATTTGACTTGTGAAATGAGTTCCGATATAGTATATATCGGTATAGTTCGCGTGGGACATGATAAGATTTTTTTGTACTGCATGGACGAGTGAGCGGTGACCCTACCACCTCTCACAGTGCATGGCACCATAAGCCAGCGCACATAACGCGCCATGCCCTTCCCCAGTTCCCCTTCTTATACCGTGCCCCCTCCACTTGAGCTTCCCCCCAAGCACACAATTCGCCCGAAGTCCCAAGGCTTTTTTTACGTCCAAATTAAAAAGAAGCCATGTTCCGCCATTCCTCCTCTGCCTCGTCGGCGGCCTCCTACGGCAGCGACGTCAGCTTCATGAACCACTCGCCGGCGGCCGCCTTGCCCGCCGTCCCGACGCAGATCCCTCGCGTCGCCGGCGGCTACCTCGACGGCAATGTTAGCGGCGGGTTACCTCACTTCGGAGGGGCGGTGTCGTCGTCGTCGTCGTCGCCGCCGTCCTACTCCTCGTCGCTCCCTTCGTCCTACTACAACAACATCCAGAGGAGCATCAGCTCGCACTCCCTCCCGCATCACCTCCAGCTCACCGACCACTTCGGCGGCGCATTCTTCTCGTCGTCGTCCTCCTCCTCCCACCAGCTGCCTCTGCCGCCGCCGCTCTCCTCCTCGCCGTCCTCCTCCTCTGGCGACCTCTTCGAGTTCACCTCGCCATGCCCCGTCCGCCGCGTCTTCAGCACCGGCGACCTCCAGGTAATATAAGCTGCATGCAACAGCTTGAACTGCACGGTGCACACTTCCAATCGAGCTGCGTTCATGGAAGCTCGACTGACGAATTGTGTCCTGACGAAAACAGGGGATGAACGGATCGTCGCCGCCGCGGCCGCTCCCGTCCGGCGAAAGCTGCGGGCAAGACGGCAGCGGGCCATTCTCACAGAAGGTCGGGCGGTACAGTGCCGAGGAGAGGAAGGAGAGGATCGAGAGGTATCGCGTGAAGCGGCATCAACGCAACTTCAACAAGAAGATCACTGTAACCATTCCCCTCCTCCACGCTCAAAAATTGCACTCTGATCGCCCATTATTCGTGCTGACGCTTTGGTTGTGTTTGGGGGCAGTACGCGTGCAGGAAGACGCTGGCGGATAGCCGGCCGAGGGTGAAAGGCCGGTTCGCGAGGAACGGCGAGGCCGACGCGGAGGGCGACGAGCGGGAGGCGTTCGACGCGAGCTACAGCTACGACTACTCCGCCGCGGGCTACAGCGACTACCGCAGCGGCAGCAACAGCAGCAGCGTCAACAGCTGCTACAATTACAACCGCAAGGACGGCGCCGCGACGGAAGCGTCTGTCGTCGGCGGCAGCGACAATGGCGAGTGGTGGTGGCGCGCGCCGGGCGCCACCACCGCCGAGGCGGAGCGGCAGCGGCAGGCCGGCTTCGACGTCGACGAGGAGATATGGGCCACCCTCGGCGACATGCTGTCCGTGAACCTCGCCTCGTAGTACGCTGTCGCCGCCGATCAGGGGAGCGAACGATCGAGCTGGAGATCTACCGGCGCGTAGGCCGGCGTCGTTGTTGGTGGTCGGTGGGGTCCGGTGTTCGAGCACGAGCACGCACTAGCTAGCTCAGGGTGGCGGGCGCGCGCGGGCGGGCGACCGGTGCGCAGCGTAGTGGTGCGCCAGCGCCAGTGTGCAGCGCGCGAGAGGAGGAGGTCAGGTCAGGTCAGAGTGGCGTCGTTGACCTTCCCTTGTGTGTAGTATTATTGTAACTTTCGCCAGAAACATCATGAAAGCTGGGAAACGAAAAAAAAGAAAAAAAGAGGGACAAAAAGAAACCTTCTCTCGTGACCGGACACTGAGAAAGATCGAACAACTTGTGCTGCTACCACTACTACTGCTCCGTGATTTCCCAGTTACTTCCACAAAGCCCTGAACGAGCCTGAATCCTCCTCCTCCTCCTCCTTGTTAGTGCTGCTCGCACCCTGCAGCGCAAGCTAGCGTCCGTGCTCGTCTCGTCTAAAAAAGGTTTATTACCAAACGATCAAGTGTGACGCGATGTGACATGCCATGCAGTTCCACTCGTATTTGATTCAGGCTTCGGTGGTGGGAGGGTGGGATTATTGGGTTGGTTCCCTTCATGTGGGAGATGGCGAGACGGCGAGGTCAAACGGGTGCGGATCGCTGTCGGCGAGGTCGCTGCCACAGGCGAGGCGTCCGTGACGCGCAACCATCTGCTGGACAGATCGATCGATTTTCCCTCGCCCATGGCGATGATGTCTGATCTCGGCTTTGTTTTGCATTGGGTGAGAGGGTTTAATGGCCGCCTTTCCCTCCCTCGTTGCGAGTTCCCATTGGCCCGGCTACCTGCACGCGTGCGGACACGTGATCCGCCCTACAGTTGGTTAGCTGTTCGGTCTCGCTCTTTCCCCCCACGAACTGCGTGGACTAGCGGTGGTGTACTGGTCGAGCAATTCCCAAGAATTCGGCCGGCGATTGCAAATTGTGTAAGAGTATTTTGTTATGAAATCTGATGAAATGGAACGAGAGTTGGAGCACGTATGCTTTTTTTTAAAAAAGAATTTTGCCGCTCAACAATGAAGGGTTCAAACACCATTACTAAATATACATGGATGTGTTTTAACTAGGAATTTAGTGAGACCAAAGATTTCCGGATGATTCTTGAGAGTATGTTCAAGGGGATGTACCCTCCATGCATATAAAATGAAATGATGAATTAGTGTATGATTATCTTAAAAATAATTATCTTGATTATTTAAAGTAATTTTTATATAGAAAACTTTTGTAAACACATGGCGTTTAGTAGTTTGGAAAACTTATGTGCGTAAAAAGGGGATAATAGAGTTAGAAAAGAAAAGAAAAGGACAAACAGTAGAAGTGTGTGTATTATACATTTTTCATGTAATCGGATCGAAAAAAATTCTCAACGTTGAGAAATAAACATCTGCATACTACTATAACATTTTTGGACCTTTTTGGCCATATATCCTACTTGTGCAGAGAACCCAACTTGTTGGATGAACCGGACAACCGGTGGAATAATGTTTCTACTTTCTCAACTCTTGTTTACTAGTACTAACTAGTTGCCACAAAATCATTATATTTATGTGAAATATTGTTTCTACTTGATTTTGTCTATTGTGGCTTAGAGGAGCTCAGTGGCTAGGTGAGGTCGTTAGGGTTGAGAAAAGAAAAACAGAAGTGGTGCTAAGTACTGCTCCATCTGTCACTAATATTAATATTTCTAGATTGTTTAGCTATTAAGGTTAAGAGAAAAATATTATGTTTCAGTTTAAATTCCTCACATTATTCCCCAAGTATCTGATTGGCTAAAAATTAAATACTTAAATTCATGTGTATTAATGTCCCAAAAAATATTTATATTACGTATAAATTTTCAATCTTGTGTATTAGAATCATTGTGCCACGAGAAATACTTATATTGCATACAAAATTTAATCCTACATATGTTTGTATCAGGGAACAGAGGGAGCGGGAATTGGGAGAACTATGACTGAGGTTATGGGCACGGTGGCATACTGGCATCACTCGTACATAGGAGGAAATAGGGATGTTGACTTCCTCCATTCTCTGATAGATATTTTTCTTGAACACTTATAATATTAACTCATAGGTATATGTAAGTATTAACATTTTGTTTATGAAAATAACATAGTTATTTTAAATATAGCTGTGAATATATGGTTAGAATAGGCCGTGATTAAATATGTGCACAAAAAATTGTATGCTGACCGTCTCTATTGATGTCCTTAACAACAAATAAAAAAACATTGGGAGTATGCTTTAATTAATTAAGTGGAGACATATTTCAGTCATTTGTGATGTTTGTAGAATAAGGAATTTCACCGTTCAACATGCTAGGGATCAATCGAACGGCTGCTAGAACTCGGTACTTAGTGCTAGAACAAGATGTGGAAGGTAAATTTGACTTTTCATGTTAAATTTTGTTTGGTCTATCTGATCTGAGGATGCGGCTAGCAAGGGAATATCTCCAGGCAAACAATATCCAAAGTCTCGTTCAGCCGCCGCCGCTGCTTTCCTCAGATGAACGATGTTGTCTTCCCTTGCCTTTCACACAATTCTGCCGTCGTAGCCACTACCGCTTCGCTGAGCCGCGACCTTCGACTTAGATGCATCCGTGAAGATGCAAAATAATCGCGCCTTGAGGACCGAGAGTCCGAGACCGATGCTCTACTCTCAATCGTACCTTAAAGAATCAACGGTTGGATATAATTTGGTACAGGGTGGTACCAGTAACGGGAGTACCAACTGTTGAACCATAACAATCCTCTGGTAGAATTGATCCAATGTCCTCTAATTGAACCGAAACCCCTCAAAATTTTAGCAAAAACAAAATATAGGAACACTGATATTTTTGGCATTTTTTTTTACCAAAAGACGGATTGCTTCCTTAGGAACGGCATTCCCGGATTCTTATCATTTTTAGCTTTGTGGATGTCATGTCTCTATAATACAAATGAGCATATATGGGGATAAAATTGCGGCTAAAATTTCTGGACGAAGATAAACCGAGTTATCACAAACAGAATACACCGAGGGGAAAAATTCGATTCGCAGTAGCTCAGATACAATTAACTCTACTATTAGCACACCCTTTTGACCACACAAAAGAATCGCAAAATTTTATCACCAAAGAACATTTAAAGCGGCAACTAATTGCGCCTCGAAATGTAGCACGAAAATGAAATGTAGCGAAAGGACATGGCAAGAAAATCACCCAACGGGCAAGAGCGAATTCAGTTCCAATCCTCGCCTCTATCTCGAGCTCGATTTTGGGAATCATGCATCCATGAGAGTTAGAAGAAAGAAAGCAATGCAAGAACCTCCTCCAAAAAAAATCACACCTTTAGACTGATCGCAACGGGCACGATCGTCGCCGGCACCATCGCCGGGCCAGGGACCAGGACATGATACCGTAAAGATGAGTCAAACAAGAATAAGAACCCAAGTGTATATAATGCGACTCAATCAATGATTAGAAGAGCAATTGAGAAGCCTCCATGCATGTTGAGTTAATGTATTATTGCTCTTGCAGTTATTAGCAGAATCCTTCCTTAATTTCTCAGATACTGTTTAATTCCTGACTGTAAGAAACGGTAGAAAAATGCACAGAAGTCTCCTGACTGTAAGAGAAAGAGGTTTTGAGTTTTGACAGTCAGTTGTTGTTTACAATTACAATCAGAGAAGGCAAAACAAGTGCAAATCAAACACATATATCTACAGGCAGGACATAATGGCATGTGACAGCATAGACCATTAGCTAGCAAGGATCATCACTTCGATTCAAACTCTTCTATGTGAGTGTTTATACTTTTGCATGTGACTATGGGATTCATGTGATCAGTCGCTCGATTTAATTATGTCATGAAAGTGACCATTGCATCTTTGCACTGACAGGAAGGAGGTCGACATCTCCCTAATCCCTATATACTGCGGGCTACCAATAAGCTAAGTACCGTGCTTTTTTTAATAATTTAGTTACAACATCAGACATTCCCAAGCTCACATGAAGGCCATTTGCAGTTCTTGTCTTTCCGTCAAGTAAGTTTCCAAAGGCATGCAAATGGCTTCTAATGCTGCATATAGGTTAGGGATGAGGAAAGGAGATTATTATGCTGGGAGAGCCCTATAATTAAGGGCGCACTAATTCTCCCACTTCCTTAGTATATATTTTAGAGCAAGCAGAAGTTGAATCTCTCTGCCCCTATCTCTCTCTGACTCTTTGGAATTTCTAGCTTTGAGCAAGGCTATCTCTCTTTCCCTCTCTCCGTAGAGGCGGGGAGGGTGGCTGCCGAATCTTTGTCGGCCGGTAAGCAGAGTACTTTGTGCAGATAATCTATCTTAACTAGCTATGATTTCAAGTGTAATTAGTACTCTTTTTGGCACAAATTCTTGTGCTAAGTTCATGTACCAATTTTGTAATTGCTGTTGCTGAACGTGCGACTATATAGAATATAGTCAAAATGCCGCCTCCCTCTTTCAGCTAAGCTGAGTCATTTTTTTTTCTTTTGTTCAGCTAACGCCGCTCGACAGTTGATGTTGGCTAATGTGCTATTCTTCAGGTAGATTAGCTAGCTAGCTACTTAGCTTCATGATGATTACAATTTATGAAGAGAATGTGACCAGCAATGGCGTGTAACGGCAAAGCATATTTGTAGTAGCATGCAAAATAATCAAGAAACCATTTACAATTAGAAGCACCAAACCACTTTCTCAAGTGGAGGAGGAAGGAAGAACAAGGGAATCATGTGAGGTGTTGCATTCCCTCTCTATATAGTTATAGTATTGTGGAGATTGCTTACACCAGTGTAAGGCCCAAAGAATCAAATGATGGCCTTGCTTTCACGGATAAATCAATCATAAGCAAAACACATGGCATGAATTAACATCTAAAAGTGCACACTTGGATGCTATTGTTGACCCTAGTAAGAAATGTAGGGTACTAGCCCACCCTAACCACTTCACCAATAAGCAAGCTCTTACTTGAGGTTAGAACAAAAAAACAAAAAGATATGATCTTTGCGCACTCCAGCGAGGGATCTTGATTGGAAAAGTATCATTAATTTGTTTAAGGACGGATTCAAGATTAAGGACAAACAGGACAACGAATGTGACAATGAGGTCAAAAGATTTCTGCAGAAATTCCTTCAGTGGGGGGGGGGGGGGGGGAAAGAACATGGTAAAAAGATGGAATCAGCAAAGGGGCATAAATATTACTATTTAGAAATGCTAAGTGACAACACAAAGTTGAATTTGTTTAGTGGTAATTGGTAATGAAAGTGTTCTAAGTAATTCCCGCAAATGGAAGTTGTAAACTAGCTAGCTAGTGATTCCTTGCCACTTGTTAGCTATTAAACGCAATTAGGCGTAGTAGCTTAAGCATTTTGGGGTCATGCATGACAGCAGCTGAAATGTGAACACACCAAGATTTTGTTGGGTGGTCAAAGAACTTCAGCAGACACAGATTTCCCAAGTGAAAGGAACATGATCATTTTGTTGTTTTCGTGTGAAAGTCTCTATCACAGTTACCACCCGCAGTAAAAAAAAGAGAAGACATGCATGATGTAGCGTCAAAATTCATGGTATATACAAAGGTGATGTTACTGATGTAAGATCATGGTTAAGATAACGCGGTAAAACTATTGGATGGCAATGAGCAGGTAAATGTTAAAATCGTCCAAGAGAATCATTAACGTCATGAAGACGTAAGAAATGCATTCCTCTCTCTATATTTTTTTTAAAAGAACTGCGCTCCTCTGAAAAATTGTTACGCCTTTGGACTACGTTTTTAAAAGATGCTAATATTAATTTTAGAATGGAAACGGTAATACAAAACTTAAGTTTAAAAAAAACATTTTCATTCTTCGCTTCAATTGTATAATACTAGGTGTTTTTTTTTAAAAAAATGCATAGGTACTATACAAATATACCAAAGTTTATTTTATCTCTCTTAAAAAGGGAAATGGTAGACTTAGGGCATGTTCAGATTCATGTTATATTAAACCATACCATTGTTTATTAATTTTTTTTTGCGATGAACATTGTTTATTAAAATTAACAGATATATGACAACATTTAGTTTATTACTTAATATTTGCCATGTCTAGATAATTGACAACATCATATGTAGTATATTCTACCAAAACTTGGTGATATTACTAATTTGCTAAAATTTTGGAAATATTGAAAATATCTATAAAGTAAACAATCCCTTAGGATTTCTTACCGAACTTGTACAAACACCTAACCTCATCTAAATTCTTTCTTTTTTTTAGCATAATCTAACTTCTCGTTTATGATAACACGTGAAACTTTTGAGCGGTTTTTTCCCAATAAAATTTTTGTACGTATACCATTGCTAAAGAAAAGAACACATTGAATTGTACACTGAAATAGTGAAATTATTGCGTTTTGTTTCTAACAAAAAAAGAAATTACTCAGTTTCAGAAGGCCCATTAGATAATCACTTCCATAGCCGAGATGGAGCCAGCCCAAAACACTTTATGGGCCTCCAGAAACAGATCCAAACCTACATGGGCCGAAAGGCTGAAGCCCAATACCTACCACCTAAATCCGCTCCCCATCTTCCCTGTGACTCTGTTGGCTGTGCTGTCCAGTCCCCCACTTCGCAGAGGGATTGCCTGCGGCGCTCACCTCTCGCCGTCTCCGCCTCTCCGGAGACGGCGGCCACCGCGCGCCCGCCTCTCGTCGGCGCCGTGCCTCCCTCAACGGCCACCACCTTTGCGGGCGCTCCCATCGTACTGCGTGGCTGCTGCCAGATCCAGGCCGTCAGGATCTACCCCCCGCCCTTCTCGTCGGAGGGTTAGGGTTTGTGCGACCCGGCGACGGCGAGCGAGGTCTCTCACCCGCGAAAGGGGGGGGGGGGGGTGGCGCGTACCTACAGAGCCCTCCGAGTTTCGCGAGCACAGTTCCCCGCAGGGAGAGCGCAAGCCCGAGGTGAGTCCGCTGAATCTGCCATCCATACATTCCTTCGAGAGATTTCTGTTGGATGAAATGCCTGCTCCATTTTGTCTAGTAAACGAAACACGTTGTGCATCCGTTGGATCATAATCTGCGGTGGTATACTGCGAGAGCTTTCTGTTCGATGAAATGCCGCCTCCATTTTGTCTAGTAAACGAAGCGCGTTGTGCATCCGTTTGGATCTGTTGGGTATCTGATGAACCGGTGGCCTAGGCCCTCTGCTCAGATGGTTTTATATGTTAAATTGATAATTCTGTTGCAAACTTGTGCTGAATTGACTTAAACGATGTAGGGTGCACTATATCCTCACTGGGGCGAGAGAGAGCGGTTTTGTGCGGTATAGCAGAAACCAAAGGTCAACCCAAAGGCCTAAAAAATGGTGGTTCGGTTGGTTGTGGGATTTTTATGCCCACCCATTCATTGTACCTATGAATTAGATCTAATACTCTGTTTACATGTTTACATGGTAACATGATCTACGATTAGGATGTCAAAGTTTAGCCTGTGCCTGTGCATCACATGGCATGTACGTGGATTCGCCCCTGTAGCCTCGTACCCTTAACAAATTTTATGATTTGGCCTTGTTTAGAGCCCTAGCATAGACAACATGTTCATATATCAGAAATGATGCATTGGATTTAAAGTGCTGCCTTTCTATTATGGGATAACACGGGTTCCTCACCTTCTTTATGATGGTAGCTAATTACAACCGAAAACAGAGAAGAGAATGTCGTTTTAGGATGTTCTCAAAAGCATGTGGGAACGCTGCCTGCCTCAACTTGAAAAAAAAAAGGTTTTTACAATGCTAACACAAATGACACCTTTTTTTTTGTAACATCTGAATTAGCTTCTAGGTCCAATGTGCTGTGTCCACAACTGGCATACTTTTGCATGCAAAATGAAGAAATTGATCTTAGGCTTTTTTGTCGTTGGAAGATTTATTTCATATGTGGCAAGCCTGATTGGGGAAGGGCATAAAATCTTGGTGTTTTGCTTGATTTACTTTTTTTATCATATTTTTTTTTGCATCAAACTGCTTATTTATTTTATTGTAAAATGCAGAAAGAAGAGGCATCATCCTTGTTTGTTCAACTCTGAGTCTTTGTGAATCAGCCTAGTTCTCTCACCAAATTGTGTATGATGTTATTTTGTGATCAAAACTTTCAGATAGCTGGTTCTGGAACAGATTTGGGAAGCTGAGTTCTAATTAATTGAACTTTTATGAGCTAGTTTTAAGGAATATATTTAGGTACTACTTCTATTTGTTTTCTAATCAATGTTGTAATACAGTTTTTTTTTGGATTTGAGTTGTACTTACGTCCGGGAGAAAAACAGATACTTGCTGTTGTAGGTAGACCCTTTCTGAAACGCGTAAATTAGTTTTAGTTCAACTTGGATGTCCCATTTATTTCTGAAATTAGAGCTAATGGAACAAGCCATGTTATATTTTTAATTGGCCTTTGTTTGTTTTAAAAGTTGATCTTTAGATTAGCAGTAAACCACCAAATGGAACATGACCAGTTGATGGTCGAGTTCAGTCTCTAGTGCAGTGCTGAGATTGGCAGCAGATAACTGGCAAGGGTTAGATGCAGTGCCAATTTTACTGGCTCAGACGTATCAGAATTTCAGAGCACCGCACTTGTTGGAAAATTTCTTTTTTTCTGAACAGGCATGCGTACTCCAGCAATACCTGCCACTGCTATACTGAGACCTGCCATGTATCATGGAACCATCACGTCACATGTGTGAACTACCGGTGCTTCTAGCTTCCTAGATGCTCACCAATGCTTTTTATGTTTCTTCATATGTTACATTAGCTTTGAAGTGCTTGGTTCATGATTACTTGTTCTGTGGACTAAGCTTGCTTATGATTTCTTAGTTTGGGAATGTTTCATTGTTTCTTATATCCTCTCTGTGCCAGGCTGTTATAGCTACATAGAAGGACAACTGATACGGTGTTAGGTCATGGAGGAGATTCATGGCATGCAAGAATCAAAGACTGCATCTGTCATCAAAGTTGCCAGAGAGCCTGCCGTCATTATCAATGGAGTTCCAGACTTGCCTCCTGATGTAGCATCCGAATCACAACCTGAGCCACGTAATGCTGCAGAACCTCCTGTTGATCATCGTTTTGGTGAATTTCTAGAAGGGCGGAAAGTAAGGAAACCTTTTGGGGACAAGCATTTTGTAGGGAAAGTGGACAAGTATGATAGTGAAAGTAACTGGTACAGTGTTGTCTATCAAGATGGAGACCAGGAGGATCTCGAGTGGAAGGAAGTGGAGGAGATCATGCTGCCATTGGACATAACTATCCCGCTGAAAACACTTATTTCGGATAAATTCGCACTTCAAAATACAGCTCCTGTCTTCAAACCTAAGGTGGGTAGACCAAGAAAAGTCTATGCTATAACGGATGGCAACACAAACAATGCTATGGAAGATCAGATGATGACTGGAGCGGCAAATGAACATCAATCCAATAACTTACTAGCGTTGGTTCCAGCATCTACATCCAACGATGCATATGTTAACGCTAGTAGTCAACCTAGAAAAAGGGGCAGGCCTCGAAAGGATGCAACTATGTATCCTCGAAAGGATGCAACTATTCCTGCCAATACTCAGCCTAAAAGAAGAGGCAGGCCTCCAAAAAACAGGAACTTGTCTGGAAATGCTCAGAGTGCTGAATGCACACCACAAAATAGTGTTCTTATACGCAATGCACAGACAGTCAGGGCAGAAAAACTGGCGAAGGCAGAAAGACTGAAGAGAGAAAATATGCATGCTCAAGGCGCACCACCTGGAACTCAATTTTTCTAACATGCATTCCCACTGTTCCAATACATATATCTGTAAACATTCCAGAATCTATGCACGATGGTGACACTAGCTTTCAACATATATTTTGTACAATCCATCGTAGAGCAAAACTTGTAAGACTATATTTGCTATCCCAATGCTATCGTATTTCTTTCCTATACAAGTATATGCAGTCTGTTTAGACGTCCTTTGGTACGGTCTTAAAAGTTTTCCTTGTGGAAGTGGAATCTAGTTGTGGTTGTCTGGCTGAATTCTTTTGAAAGATCCTTGAGTTGTTTCGTGAGTGTAGGGGATCCACAATAGAAAACACCTGCATATTTATGGATTTGTTAACAACCGTTACTGCAAAGCTCAAAATTGTTGCATCGACGATGTTCGCTGAAAAAAGAGGCTCACCTATGCGTGAGTTTTTGTGGGCATTCGCCAAGTCAGAGAACACCTTTCTCCAGTTAGGCCTCGCAAAATGTGTGCGAATCTGCAACAGATCAATCAGAAATAAGAGGAATACACTGGAAATAAATAAGTATTTCAGATAGAAGAGGGGGAAGATGTCGAATACCCTGCTGCCGGAGACGATATCCACACCATTTTTGGCATGTTGAAGTGACTGAACCATGGCAATCAAAGCTGACCTTGCGTCGCCTTCTTCATACACGCTGGTCAGGTAATTGTGCATCTCTATAATATTCTGCAATTCCCACATATATTAGTTTATGTTCTATCTATGACTGAAGGAACTATGGAAATTTGAAAATACAGCGAAGAATTGAGAGTGAGACAGTACATTGTGATCACTTTCAGCGACATCGTTCATGACTCCTTTAAACCACTCGAAGGACCCTTGCTCTCTGGTCACCCAGTAGAAGTAAGCTCTTCCTGGCCCATTGTTCTTGAAGCTGCCTATCTCAGAACCATGTATGCTTTCCACCTCCTGTTGCCATCAACTCATTTTAGTTATCTATTTCCTCCAGTTATACAACATTGTAGGAAATAAGGAAACACTATTTATCAGGGAAGAATTTTACTTCGTTGGATTTAATGTTGTTCAACAGATCCTTCAGAATGCTGATGAAAGGAGTAGCACCAATTCCAAGACCAATAAGCAAAAGAATGTCATACTTCTTGTAGTTTTGCGCCGGTGCACCATAGGGCCCATCAATAAGGACCTTAGGAAACCTGAAGCAACATTGTGAAGATAACCAGGGTTAGAAAATGATTGTAGACCAAATGCATTTGGTAGGTGAAATAGAAGAGCTTCTCTAGTCACCTAGTATCCTCTGTCTGAGCGTCCGCCACAACTGTAGTTTCAAGTCTTGAAAGGGTAGCCTTCTTAGAAGTAACCTGTGCCTCGCAAGCCTACATGAATACTAAGATTTAGTTCTCCATCTTTTGGCAATCTGCATTATTCTCCTAGAATTGTTTAACGAGGGAAACTAATTGTTCTTGCAACTCTTTGCAGCTGTGCTGCCTCAACTGACCTTCCCAAACAGGTTTCTGAGTTCAGTCGTCCAGTCACCTAGTGTACGGATATGCACACTCAGGTAGTCATCTCCAGGTGCAGAAGTGATGGAGAAGGGATGCCTGCAAAGGCAGGAAAAACAGTTAGAAATAGTCTCAGATAAACCACATTTTGGACATGCATTCATGCGACAAGGGTGAATTGGTTACCATTCGAAAGGAGAGACATCAGGGCACTTCACAAACAGGTACATCCCGCTCTTGTACTTGAAACCCGGCGGCTTCTTCATGTGAAGAGAGAGCACATTTCCTGGGTAAATCGCTGCCTGCATGTGCCACACCCACATCACCAATTTTATGAGTAACAGGCAAACAGCTAAGAAAGAATGGATCCCAGTTACATGAGTCAGCTGCTTACCTTGACGATGCTCACGCGGTAGTTGTTCTCTCGAACTTTTCTGATCGTTCTCTCGCATGCATAGAAGAGCACTGGGACTATCAGGTACATCCATGTCTGCAGGAACAAGATTGACATTTTGAGATGATGTCACTTAATTTCATTGCAGTCACAGGAAGATCGAGCGCCTGATGAGAATTTTACCGTTTTCTTGTACCACTCCCTGGTGAGGAATATGAAGTAGGAGTGCACGACGAGGAGGACGTAGGCGAGCACCAGGAGGTGGTGCGCGTACCAGAAGGCGTTGAAGCCGGCGAGGTGGTGCAGCGGCGACGGCAGCTTGACGACGCTCCGGCGGAAGGAGTGCGTGGCCAGCGTGAAGGAGAAGGACATGATGATGATCATGAGGATGCCGGTGACGCCGGGGGCGCTCTCCAGCAGGTCGGCGTACGTCGGCTGCCTGTACCCGAAGTTCGGCCCCAGCGTCGCCATGAACTTGTCGCTGGGGCAGTTGATCAGCCTCGGGAAGTCGCAGGTGACGTGCGCCAGCGTGTGGACGGCGGTGGCGGCGGCGATGGTCGCCGCGATCACCTTGTGGAAGTTGATGTTGTCGTCGAAGGGGATGACGTGGCTGAGCGCCGTGGACCTGAGCGTGGTGAGCGTGTTCCGGCACACGGGGAGGAGGATGAGCGCCATGTTGAGCTTGAGCACCTCGGCGGCGCCCTTGGCCACGCACACGCAGTGGCCCATCACCTGGAACGCGGCGCGCCGCTCGTACTGCTCGAACTTGTAGGCGAAGAGGCCGACGTTGACGGCGAGCCACAGCGCGACGAGCCAGATCCGCTTCCAGTTCTCGTGCACGAAGTCCACCGTCCTGGACACGTGCCGCTTCAGCGGGCTCCGGTACCGCGACGGGATCATCGTCCTCGCGAGGCTCGACGTCGTCCGCTTCATCTTCTCCGGCGCCGCCTGCGCGCTCACCATGCCGCGCAGCAGCGTCTCCAGCTGCCAGATCTCGATGTACCCGCGGTCGTCCGGGTCCAGCTCCTCCATGATCAGCGACGCGTACGTCGCCGCGTGTCCCTTCAGCTTCGCCAGCTTGTTCGCCGACGCACTCAGTATAATAACCTGCAAATCCATTCCAGCCAAACAAGAAAACGATATTTAATCCTCTCTCTCCATGTTCCAGAATGGCAGATGAGATCCAATCCAGAAGAATTCTTTCGTCCTCACCTCCTTGACCTCATCTTCCGTGAGCATCCCATCGCCATTCTTGTCGCACCTGGATGCATCAGAGAGAGGGGGAAGGAAAAAAAAAATCCATTTCGTCAGTTGGCGATCGATTTATCGTGTTCATCTTGGAAATTATAACTGGGACGGTGAACCATTACATGTCAAAGAAAATGCGAAGCCGCGAGTCGAAGTTCTGGTCGGTCATCTCCTCCCAGAACTCCTTGAGCTGCTCCTTGGTGATGCCGTCCTCCGGCTCCAGGTTCCTCCGCCGCGCCAGCGCCACGAACAGCTCGCCGGCGAACTCCTTGGAGTCCCCCATGCCTTTTGATGCCAAGCAGATCCACCATGGATTAATTTTTCTTAGTTCAATTAAAAGATCATGAATCATGGGCATTGTTAGACATCCAAACTATCTAAAAAGAGAAATGATTCGCTTAGCGCTACACGATTATTATTCCATCGATCGCCTAACTGCCTCCAGCATGAACCGGTCGCTATAACTCCATTTTCTCCGTAAGCATGTGCAATAACAAAAGAGAAGTACAGAGTACTCGTTTCTTTTGCTGTACCGATTTACTGCTTAATAATGGACCATTTCGCAAAGCAAAAGCATTAATTCGAGGGGATTAGTTGAGAAGCAAAGAGCCGATCTCAGTTAGGCAGAGCTGTCCCTGCCAACTCTTTGGGCAAAGATGAACAGTTCACGGCATCATCACACAACTGTTGCGGAGCATAAAAATGATTGACAGAAAACAAGAAAGATGGCGCCAACACAATATTCCTTCAATCAGAGATATTTCTGCTGTGTTCTTGTTAGCAACAACTAATCGCCCTTTTGGAACTGAATTTACGGCTATCTGTTTCTGGATCGCACCATCGATGGAAGCTGCGGGCCGGGGACTCACCGATGCACTTGCCGAAGCTCTCCTTGGGGAGGCGGCCGTTGCGGTTCATCTCGTCGAAGCGGCGCTCGACGGACTTCCACCCCTCCTTCCCGCCGGACGTCTTGTCGAGGAAGCGGAGCCCCCGGAGCCCCACCTGCGCGCTGGACTGCATCCGCGTCATCCTCCCGCCACCGGGCCGCATCCCCCCCACCCCCTCCGGCACCTTCATCGACACCCTCGACGCGAACTGCCTCACCCCGGACGCCAGCCGCGACGGCTGCTTCATCAGCCCCCGCGCGAACCCGCCCGCCGCCGCACCCGCCCCCGCCCCCGGCGGCCTCGGCAACCCCGACGGGTGCTGCGCATGCGGCGACTGGTGGTCGTACGGCGACGCCATCCCGGAACACGCAATGCCGGCTCACCGGAGTACGGACGGTGGCCGGTGGGACCCGCTCGCCGAGGGAGGTGGTGGTAGGCTACTACTACTAGACGACTACTACTACTACTTCTCGGGAGATGAGAAGGGGAGAGGGAGACAGATATGGCGGGTAACATGCGCGGATGTCGTCTCCAGTTATAGCCGTTGCGACGACGTCGTGTGCACCGCCTGCTGCTGCGCGCGGGGGGAGATTTCCGCCGTCGGATACAAGATCCACGGCTCACGTAGCATCGCGAGCCTTTGCCTTCTCGAGCAGGCAAGGTAAGGGGGGACACGTGGGCGGGTGGTGGGACATCGGATGGGGAACGGACGGCTCAGGGAGGCGGGCGTTAGGTGGGGCAACTTGGCTGGCCTCTTTCTGAGCCTGACCGAGTGGGCCCGCGCCGGAAAGGGGTCTGTTGGTGCGTGTCGTGTGGTGGCCTTTGCCGCAGGTAGCTGGCAGGCACCGGAAGAAATCGGAGGGTGGAAAAATAAACCAAAAGCGACCGGATCGCTAGCCTAATTAACGATTAGATACACTTAACACAGTGGTAAATAATGTGTGATTTTAAGTCTAAAGTTTCATGTTCAATCATCAACAAGCTCATAATATCCCCGCAAAAAAAAAACAAGCTCATAATATATACCAATTTAGTAAAACAACTTCATAATGTCTTCTTTAAAAAATATATTTGGAGGGATGACTTTCCCTGTAAATCTCGTTTTTAGTTAACAAACATTTCTTCATTTTTTTAATCACTTGGTACAATACTGACCATCTTGCTCATCACTTGCTGTTCCCTCTGAAAAGGATGTTCACTTTTACTAATAGCTTGGCTAAATGTCATTACCGCGATGGCTATATACACGCCAAATCGCCGGTCTTTTCGACCAAGATTGCATTTATATATGTACCACGTTTTGTACTTGAACAAGGGTTGCTTGGCTACATACATACACAGCCAAAAATCTAGCTCCAGGAATATACGGTCCCTTGTTGTTTGCAGAAGCTGGAGCCACACGATGGCGCGATCTTAGCTTGTTCGAGCAGGTGACAGGTTTGTCCCGATGTTTTACAGTGGCTATCGCGTGCAAGGCCCACACTATCTTCGGCCGGAGAATCTCAAGGGTAAATTCCGTTCACTCGACGGCCAGTGTCCTGATTTTTTTTACTCACATCCACTAGTTACTGTCAGCAGCCGGGATGACCGGAGGTTCAGGCTTGATTTGATTCTAAGGCAAGCGAATTCCAGCTTTATTTCGGTCCTGATGGAATGATGGAGTTACAGATTTACAGAGGGAATGATGATCTGTGTGTATCTTTCTTTATTTTTTTATTAAAAAGAGACCTGCTATGGTGCTTGGGAATGATGGCATCCGTTGATTGGATGCAATCCAACGATCTATAGCAGAAGGTATGTGTGGGTGGGTACTTGAAAATGTGGGCCAGGTATCTATCTATCTATCTATTATATTATTAAAACAGCTTTGAAAGAAGACACCACGTTCGTTGTGGCGGCTAGAAATTCTCACATTAATAGAAGAAAAAGAGAAAACTTTACACCATTAGATCTTAGTTGTCTAAATTTTAAGGGCTGAGATTTAATAGCATAGAAGTTTTAATATGGTAATCAGATACAGATACGTTTATTATAGAAATTGGCCAGCAGCAGATACACTTTTCTTACCAAACTAGGACTAGGAAACAAAAATTGTAATAGGAATCTAGGGAAAAAAGCTATGTCCGTGTATGATTTTATGTCCGATTGCTATGGTGGCTAGCTACCAAAAAAAAAGATACTACAAAGCAATCACAGCACGTACAGTTTCCATCTGCCGTCTCCAACAAAATAACGAAGAAATAGGAGCCAAAGAAAGAGAAGGTACGACCAGTACACGAGAGAAATAGATATATTTGATGGCTGGTCCATTTATTCAATTACCTCGGCTAACTCTTTGTACTCTACTCTTGTTATGAGGGATATAAATTCCTACATTAACCCAAAAAATAATTTTTCAAGTAAAAATACAATTTAAAAGTAACTAAAATTCGGAATTAAAAATAAGCAATATTGAAAGGAGAGTCTATATAACAATCCAATATGAGATTAATTAAAATTTAAAATATAAATAAAATAAAATCCGAATTTTTTTTAACAAAAAGAAGATTTCAAGTAGTAAAATAACTAAAATTCGAAATTAAAAATAAGCAATGTTGAAAGAAGAGTACAAATAAAAACCCAACACGAGAGTAATTGAAATTCAAAATAAAAAAATGAGAATACAAAAATAAAAATGAGAGTGGAATACATTATATAAATAACTAAAATTTGCAATAAAAAAGAACTATTGAAAGAAGAGACTATATAGAGAGAGAGATTAATTAAAATTCGGAATAACAAATAAAATAAATTCTGAAAATAGAAAAATATTTATAAGAGTTCATATAGGAATATAATTTATCTCCAAATAAGAACACGACATGAGAGTAATTGACATTCAAAATAAAAAAACACGAAAATACAAAAATAAAAATGAGAGTGGAATACATTATATAAATAACTAAAATTTGTACTAAAAAAGAATTATTGAAAGAAGAGACCATATAGAGAGATTAATGAAAATTCGGTATAACAAATAAAATAAATTATGAAAATAGAAAAATAATTATAAGAGTTGAAGTAGGAATATAATTTATAAATAAAAAAATATCGGAATGAAAAATATGGAATTTTCAAAAAAAAAAGGTCCATTTAGAACACTACGATGACAAATACAATAAAGAGGGGAGAAAAAATGAGCCCGTAAAGGAATAGAGTGGTGGTGGTTGATGGGACATCTAAAAACTATAAACAAAACCCGAAATAGAATCAAATGACAATTAAGAGGAGGGACGACGGGCATACCATTAAGCAACACGGTTATGACAGTTGGAGAGACTTATAAAAAGTAAAACCCCAATGATAATCATGTTCGATTTTAAATATCTCTATGGGCGGGCCATAGAGGAGTACAGTGGCGAAGCCGTTAATGTTTTGGTGGGACTTCTAGAAAGTAAAAAAGAACACAAACAATAATTATGTTCAATTTTTTTAAATCCCAATGATAAAAAAGAGAGGATGCAGTGGATGGGCCGTAGTGGAGTACATTGACGACGTTTGACGGGACTTCTAAAAATTATAAAAATGAAACCCAACGAGACAATCAAATCTGAAAACTACAAGTTCTAATTTTTGAAGTTCTAAAGAGGATAAATAGAAGTAATGATAGATCAAGCAATCAAATAAAGGTGTGGCAGAGGAGCAAGGGTAGCAACTAACGTGACTTTTAAAAACTTTAAATTAGAAACATGGAAATGATAAATTTTAAATAAAATCATATGTAAAAATAATAATTTTATACGGGTACTAGCCGCGCAATTGCGCGGGCTACCCAATTATAAGAGTTAAAGTAGGAATATATTTTTCTAAATAAAAAAATATCGGAATGAAAGTTATGGAATTTTCAAACAAAAAATTCATCTAGAAAACATATGACAACTGATAATAAAGATGGGAGAAGCAACATGCCTGTAAAGGAGTAGAGTGGTAACGGTTGATGGGACATCTCAAAACTATTGATAAAGCCCCAAATAGAATCCCAATGATGATTGAAAGTAGGAACAACGGAAAGGTCATTAAGCAACACGGTCACGACATTTGGCAGGACATCCAAAAAATATAAAATAAAGAGGGAAGGCAGCGGCGAGCCGTAGAGGAGCACAGTGGCAAAGCCAATGATGATTGGCGGGACTTCTAGAAAGTAAAAAAATGAACACAAACGATAATTATGTTCGATTTAAATCTCAATGACAATAAAGAGATGAGGCAGCGGACGGGTCGTAAAGGAGTATAGTGGCAGTGTTTGATGGGACTTCCAAAAATAATAGAATTGAAACCCAATGAAGATAATAAACTCTAAAAACTATAAGGTCCAATTTTTAAAGGTTCCAAAGAGAATGAATAGAAGCAGTTGTAACGATTGATGAGACATCTAAAAACTATTAACAAAACCCCAAATATAATCCAATGACGATTAAAAGCAAGGACGATGGATAGGCTATTAAGCAACACGGTCATGAAAAAAATAAAAAATAAACCCCAATGATAATCATGTTTGATTTTAAAATCTCAAGGACAATAAAGAGGGCAGGTAGCGGGTGAACCATAGAGAAGTACAGTGGCAAAGCCAGTGATGGTTTGGTGGGACTTCTAGAAAGTAAAAAATGAATCTAAACGATAATCATGTTTGATTTTTAAAATCCCAGGCAACGGATGGGTCATACAGGAGTACAGTGACAACGTTTGATGGGACTTCTAAAAAAATATAAAAATGAAACTCAATGATGATAATAAACTATATCTAAATAATATCTACGACATCCGTCCCAAAATATAACAACTTTTAGCTATGAATCTAGACACATGGTTGTCTAGATTCAAAGCTAAAAATGCTTATATTTTGGGACGGAGGGAGTAATTTTTAAAGATTCCAAAGAGAGAGAATAGAAGCAGTGGTAGATCGAGCAAACAAATAAGGAAGGAGGTGACGAAGAAGTAAGGAGTAACAACTGGTATGACTTTGAACTATAAAATTAGAATCACGGGGATAATAAGGTTTGGTCTTTTAAAGTTTTAAAACAACGAGATAGCTATTTAATAAATTTTAAGTAAAATCATTTTAGAAAATAGATAATTTTAAATGGGTGCTAGCCGCGCAATCGCGCGGGCCACCCAGCTAGTTAACTTAAAGAGAGAATCCACTCAGTACCACTGAGTTCGTCACGGTTCAATAATATGCCACTGACTTTGTCGATTTCTATTATATACCATCGCCTTTCCCTTAACCTCTACGATTTACCATCGCCGTCCACAGACAGTCATCTATATGCCGTTTGTACTGTTATTTTTTTTCCGTAATGACCGAAATACCCTTTGATTCATCTAACCCTAACCAGTCAATCCTCTCTTCGAGCGCCCAGTCAATCGGCTCTTCGAGCCCTTCCTAGGGCTAGCGCCAATGCCGCCACGCCACCACCGCGCCGCATCTCCGCCCGCCGCTGCATCTCCGCCGGCCGCCGCGCTGCATCTCCACC